AAAAGTGTCGATTAGTATGCATTTGAGGACTCGGTAATTCAACTTACATGGCAATCATTTGCATGTGTCTGCCCTTGAGATCGCGGTGAAGCATGTTCACATCAGTTTCCACCATAGCACGATCCTCTGGGTCGATGCTGAACTGCCGGCCATGTGCATGCGCAGAGAGCGTGGCCGGCTCATAGGCCGGAATATCGATGCCATCCTTCTCAGCGCGCGTATTGGTTTCGTTCTTGAGACTCATCTTGACGACAGACGACAGAGAAGGGGAAAAGAGAGGTAGAAGATTGAAGATCGCGGTGACCCCGGTTTTAAACCACCAAGCTTCGCATGGACCACAAGCACCCTAAGCTCCATAGGCACCCTGGAGCTTAGCTAGGCGTCCACTGTCGATTGGAGAGTGGATCGGGCGGCACAGATCCCGGGTTCGACCACAAAACGCATTGGTGATTGCTACAGCAAGGTGACATCGTGCCGGCGCGCGCTCATTGCGCGGGGCCTGACTAGGCGTTGCCGAGATGTTTAGGTCGTTTCTGGGCGGACGAACAACGGAGGCAAGTCGCTTGCGCTAACCGATGTGGCGTTGCCATCGTGATCGGGCTTCTCCAGATCTTCTGACTACCACGTTGACAAAATGAGGGCCGCGGCTGTTCATCGCAGATCCAAGTGCGTGTTCTCGTGATAATGACCGCCGCTAGCCCGCAAAATATGTACTTAGTAAAAAAAGGCGCGCAAAGGTGGCCAGACGGACACAGAGAAACGTCGATTCAGCTTAATCCAAATCCATTTGCCTCGCGGGTGCCTAAAGCCTGCGGGATTCGCTGCCTATGCTCTCCACACGGTAGTGACCCTACTTACGGCACTGTTTCCAGAAATGCTTGCACCAGCGAATTGGCAAAGATAAGAATGTCGTACTGGTAGTGGCGAGTGGGTTAGTGCCCTGTGCCGTGGAGCTTCTGCGGGAGCTTCCACGCATTCTATGGGGGGTGCGAGGCTCCGAACCCACAGTTGCAAGATTACTGTGGAGCAGGTGGAGGATGGGCGCATTCGATGGAGCCGTGGTGGTTTGGGGTAGAGGTTTAAGGCGGCCCACCAGCTGTCACCAGATAGGAAGGTACCGGATGTCTCCGGACAGCGACCTGAGCGACTGCGAAAGGACTTCATAGCACACGCGACCACCAAATTCCGCTGGCGCTCGATTCCGCTCATCACACTTTGTACAAATCGTATACATAATTCAATGTTCCCGATGCCTGATCTCGTCGCCGCCTATCTCATCTCAACTACCTCTGAGAACGAGGCCCGATCGAGCTCGCCGCGATCCTTTGTCCGAGGACTCCCCAGAACTAGTCTACAACCTTCCACCGTCATCAGCTCCATCAGAACTTGGAACGGGTGAACAAGTTCGTAGACGAAGTGCTAAACGCGTAGAGTCATAGTGGTAAGGTCTCCTTCCTGGGTCTCGCAGGGTCACGGCGAGGTGGAAACAGACGACCTACAGTATTCGTGGCCTGAGAGATGTCAACTATAAAGAAGGCGGGGGCGAGGTCTAAAACAGCGAGAATAGACGGATTTCGTACCTCGTATGGGGGATGTTGCTTGGAAACTGACGTCGCCTAACCTTGGAGGCGCTAGACTCTTATAAGTCATATTAAGCGAAATAGCTGTGCTACTGTACAGTACGAAGTCCTTTCGAAATCGCTCAGCTCGCTGTCCGGAGATATCCCGGAACGATTTATATGAGCATGCTTGCTTGCATTAATTGACGACAGCATGCAAGCTAGGCTACAGAGCCTCGTGGCCATGCTCGCCGGGCGTGGCATTGGCGGTCTCGCCGTGTGTATGATATATTCCAAGGAGAATTCTTGCTGTCCTCGAAGATGTTCATATCCTCGGTGGCGTCCCAGTCGCCCACAGAAATAGCTGGGAGACACTTTTTGTGCCAAAGCCGAGGCAAGGCTGTCGTCGCTAGCTTAGGAGGCCAACCCTCGGCAAACTCGGCAAGCAAATGCCTGAACGAAGCACATGCCATAGATGAGGAGGGCACAATCTCTTCATCATGTACTTCTCACTTGCTTCACGGTCTGCAACTCCAAACAATCCACCAAATTGTTTCGGCAGTCACTTTTGAGAAGGTAACTAGCGACTGTGTTGTATAGGCATTCACGATTTGAAAAGAAAAAGGCAAAGAAAGAAAACGCACGCCATAAACCTTTCTCATCTGGGATTGTTTCTGCAGTAGAGTCTACCTGGGGCAAGCCAACCACCATTTGCAATGTACCTAAACGCCTTTCCCCGCAAGGGAGCAGATAGATAGATCGATATTGCGGAGTCCGGACTACGGAGGAGTATTGATCGATGGATCTCGCTTGGAAGGGAGAGGTAAGTAGTGAATGAGTGAGTCGCCGAGGAAGAGAAATTGACACGGGCAAATTGACTCGGTCACTTACAACAAAACCGCCCATGGTCCTGGCTCCCTTGATGGCCCCTTTGCGGTGGGCCTCCACCACCTAAATAGGTAGGGGTAGCCAGCCGAATGTCGCTGGATGAAATTACTCCGTTAACTATTGGTCGAGGACATTTTTTATCTTCGAACTGAGCTCTGTAGCTAATAAGCGCTCCAAATTACACTTGATGGGCAGTTGCCAAGTTGCTATTGGGCCTCGACTAAAATCCTAGGTCTGCTCGTATACTCAACAACGACATCGTATTTTACCCTCGACTTAATCATCGAAGTGTCTTTAGAACAGCGAACAAAGACTGAGCCAGGAACGAGAGATGGCGGCCAGCAGAGCAACCAGCCAACAGGTGTAGGTATATGGTCTTATCCCGCCACAAGATTGCCAGGCCGCCTGTTAACCAGTCCTGTGCAGTTCCTCTGCATACTCTGATCCAACACGCGCCGAAAAGTCTATGGATCCCCGATATGTGATGAAGGGGATTGACTTCTCGCTGCCCCTGAGAGAGCGGGTGATTGAGTACCAGAAGAATTTCCTGGAGGACCCGAACTTCGACGGCTTCGACGCGTACGCGCTGAGGAACAACGTCCGCTGCATTTCCGTCTCCCCGACCCGGACAGAATGGGAGCTCGAAATCCTCCCGCATCTCTGCAACAAGGGCGGAAAACTTCACGGAGGCGCCGCCTGCACGATCCTGGACAACCTGACCACGACAACGCTGGTCGCAGGTGCCAGGCCGGGATTCATGGACGTCGGACACGTTAGTCGCAACATCAACATGACCTATCTCCGACCGGTCGTGGAGGGCGCGACGGTGAGGGTGGTCTGCGAGCTGGTAGCGGGTGGTAGAACCCTCGTCAACATGAAGGGCGAGATTATCCAAGACGGCAAGGTGTGTGTGACATGTCTCCACGACAAGGTCTTCTTGCGTCAGCCGCCAGAACCCTTCAAGTTGTAGTCCGCGATGTCTAATTTGACACTGAAAGACCGAGTGGAGTCTGGTTTCTGGGGAATGGAGTAGACGTCAGCGGGTGGGATGAATAGAACTCCAGGGCAACTGATGTTCTTGGAGATGGTCTCCTTACTCTGAGTCGAAATAGAGAGTTACGTAGGCCATACTGTAACGGAGCACTTCTGGGTTCAGCATGCACGAGCAACAACGTACAGCGGCCTGTCCGGTAGGTCGGTAGTCGAGACTGCCTTTCTAGTCGGCGCTGGCAAAACAATATCACCACAAACACCACCCACAGAGAGGCAGCGGCTAGGGTAACGAGCGCCTAGCACGGCGGTGGCGTTGAGGAGTGGAACAGGACACAAAGGATGCTCAGGAATAATAGACGGTATCAGAAATCATGGAATACTCTCTTCAAACTGCAAAGAATGTCACACGACTAGCACTGTCAACTGCCAAGCACGCTGGCAACGATCGCCTACTAGCATGCATCTCTGTCTGTTGTTCTCGCTCTCCTCGTTGAATGCTCAGCTAGTCCTTCCTACCTTCCACCCTCACAGCCACAGCCAGAATGCCAGTCCTTTTTATCCTGGCGTGTGACCAGCCAAATCGTTCCCCCGCTACTCCTCCATGCCAGCCCAGCACAGCCACTTTACCTTGTTACAATTCAATTATGCTTCGATTCTGGGGCGTTGGAATGTCGCTCGTATTGGGGGGGGGGGGGGGGTGGGGGGGGGTACAAAGTAGGGGTGGACGTCACCATGAAGCACGACCACTTGGGATCTAATCCAGTACCTGATCGCATCGTAAAGCGTCAAGATGTTTCGCTTGCAAAGGCGTACGCCGTGCATTTTCATCGTTTGGAGAAAACTAAAAGCGATGGAGAAGCTTTGCAGCAACAATATTGGCAAAAGTCCACTGTTGCCCTACATGGAGACCTCATTCTGTCCCAGTCTGCTCAGCCTCGATGTCTCTCGCGATGCGAAGGGCCACTTGTTGTTGATGAAGCAGTATTACTCATGGCTTGTATTGCAGGAAGTTTGCTTTGTCCCGGGATATCAGCCCAGCCTTGTGTCAGCTCATGGAGATTTAAGCGGAAGCGGATTCCGAGTGAAAAGGTTCATCATACCCTTGGTTCGCTCTCAAGCATGACCAACCGTCTCTAGCTAAGTTGAGCACCTGGCGGAAATGGCCAAGTCGCCTGAAATGCCTCACGTTCTATTATCATTTAACTTTAGGCAGTCTCCACTTCCCAGGATTTGCACCGTGGATCAAACATAAAATGGGAGCCAGCGGTTTAGGTTTGAAAGAGAACCAAAGGTTCTGCTCTGGATTGGGTATCTCACCCACATCGCCCTTCCTCACATTCTTGGTTCTCCGAAGAGGACGTCGATCGCTCTTGTCCCTAGTTCCTAATGACTGAATTGCTTGCACTCTATAAATCCACCCTGTCCCATTTGCTTGAACATGTCATCCTTTCTTTTATACGTTGGTCCGTCACTTAGGTACACTCCTTGGAGACAGGTCGAATTATTTAACACATCTCCAGCGTGATGGGTGCAGCAGGTTCTGTCGCCAGAGCGGCAACCATGGTAGGTGGAGAAGTCGCCGCCGCAGGCGCCGGGGTTGCAGAGGCGGCGATGATGAGCGGAGGTTTGGCAGCAGCGGATGCCGAAGTGCTCGGTCAGACAGCCGGCAGATTCGCCTCATCATCAGGGTCAACGGAGTTCTTTTCGGCCCTGGGAAGCACCGCTTCGGATTCTTCCGCACTTCGAAGCCTCGCTGGGTCAGAGGCATCAGGGCTCGAAGAGTTGAATCCTATATTATCTTCGAGGAGAAGGCCGCAGTCGCTGGGTCCATCCTACTCAGGCAGGCCGCCGTGGGAAGGACCAGGCTTCAGAAATCACCCTGCGTCAGAAGGCGGGGCATACCAAAACTGGGATATCCCAGGGCAAGGAGCGGGCGCAGAGGGCGCAGAGATATCAAGACACTACTCGACATCGACAGAATCAGAATGGGTCCGCGAGCAGGTCAAAGGAAAACAAACTGCTGCCGATTGGTACACCTCTAGTGGGGAACAATCATCAACAGGAGCGGTAAGAGGATCCGTATCGGAAAGTTCAGAAATTTCGGCAGAATCGATATCAAAAGGGTGGTCGACAGAAGCGGCAGATGGATCGCAATCACATGCTTGGACTGAATCTTTTGACGAAGTCAGGACGCCGTCGCAAATATCCTCGACAGGCGCGGTGAGAGGCTCGCAACCGAGACCTCTATCAGACTCGATGAGCCTCTCCTCAGAGGAGTCGACGGGCAGCGTTGTGCATCACACCCCCCCAAACGACCCCGGATCGATGGAAGCGATAGATGGATCAGCGGAAGCGCTATCAATATCAGAAACGGATTCGGTGGCTGAATTGTCGACGGTGGCGAACGACGGGTCACGAGAACAATATCTGGAAGGACTGCAAGAAGGAAACTTGGGATCGTCAATGGAAGCGATAGATGGATCGGGAGAACAGTTCCTGGAAGAAATGGAAGGATTGACAAGAGAGGGAGGGGTAGGCATGTCGGAAGACTGGGCAGGAGCATCAATGGAAGCGATAGATGGATCGAGATTCGGATCGAAGGCAGAAGGGGTGGAGGGAGAGGTAATGGAAGCGATCGAAGGCGAGGTCATCTACGACGGGCACTCGCTCCCGCCAGACTCGCCCGTCCCCCATCACCGCCCGCGACTAGGAGAACCGTCGACAGACTCGCTTGCCTTAGGGGAGTCAATGGAGCCCGTCCCAGGGGAGGCAATGGAGTCAACAGCCGGTGCAGCTCGCCGCCCACAGCCGGGAAGAGAACTGTCGGCACACTCGCACGCGCCAGGGGAGTCAATGGAGTCAACAGGAACTGTAGTCCGCCACCCGCGACCCGGAGCAGAAGCGGCAGCGGGAGGAGCACCAGAGGCAGCAGCAGGACCGAAGAAGGTGAACGAGTGGCAAGACATATGGACCGCAGACGAGATCTTGAAATTCCCTCGGGAAACGAGATTCAACATACTCAAGGGCGACGGGAAGACAACCCCGATTTTTTGGAGGCCAGGACTGAAAGCGGACGTGAAGACATATTCAAGCTGGGGAAAGGCAGTGCGGAATTTTGTCAAAAAGGAGGGAGCCTTTACCGGCGAGGAAGCCTGCATCCTCTTTTACAGAAAGCCAGGGCAACTGACCGGCCGAGAATTTGTGGAAATGGTCGGCAAGTCGATTTCTCCCAAACAGAATGCAAAGCTCTACGCCATGTCGGGAGAAGAGTTTGCGAAGCTAACCGCGCCGCAACTTCAAAAGTTGCTGCCGCGGCTTTCGAGATACAACGCGGCAAAGGCCGCTTTTGCGTTTGTTGCCTATGGCTTGATTGCAGCAGGATATACCTGGGGAAACGTAAGAGGATTCATTGGCGCAGAGAAAATGAAGCCGATATACAAGGATGTGTACAAGCGCTCAGAGAGCGAGCCAGCCTCGCCCGCGGCGATACAAGCACGTATACCGCAGGCAAGACTCGTCGTTACCGAAGGGCTGACATGGGCATATACTGACCCGCTCCCGGCGCTGGGCATCTATACGGCAAACGACACCACCTCGCAGATATTTGACGGGGATTATATCACGGTGCCCATGTCTACAGGCCCCGAATACACACTCACCTTTCCGCCCGAAGTCCAGCGGATACATCTTACCAACGCCGGCCCCCGGCCAATCTGTGTAGCGGGCGCCAACATCACCAGCTTTGACGGTGACTGGATGAGCTTAAGTGGCAACCTGGGGGCGCATTTCAATGTTGACCACTATGAGACGGGTCAGCAAGTCATGAACGGGTCGACATCATGCGTCTGGATCGACAACAGCCCAGAGGGCATTGGCATCCCTGGGATAACTTTTCAGTTGGTCCCAGATATTGATGCTCCTCTGGGGGACAACGGTACGGACCTCTTCATGTGGCCTTCATTGAATGACACCTACCGGGCAGATACGGCGAGCAGCAAGGGGCCTTTCAACTTCAGTGGGCACTTGGTCAAAAGCCAGCTTGGCAGGTCGAGTGCAAAGCGACTGTGTGAAAATCAGTTCACCAAAGGCCCACATTTCGTGAGCCTGGACGAGAAGCTGTATTGTGATATGGAGACGCGACAGGTCTACCCGACCTGTGGTAGTGCGGCTGAGGATGTGGTTTGCTTTGATGTCAAAAGGGATGAGCTTGTCGAGCCAGATGGGGGCAACAGGGGGGAGTCCGAGGTTAAGACTGAAGGGGCCTACGGCTCTTTTTCCAAGCGGCGGCTGAAGATAACGAAGAACGTTAAGGTGCTTAAGAGCTTCAAGCACGTCCATGTGTGGGAGTAAAGTGGGAGTTGGGAGTGAGAGAGTTAAGGAGAGGGAAGAGAGTGAGAAAGAAATGCTTGGCGCCCGGCAGAGAGCTCACGTGGGAGTCACGTGGTAAGTAATGATCTAATTCCGCTAGTGCCCTAGTCCGGCCAATAAACGTATGTTTTATATATGATATATGTGGGTCTTTCTGGTGGCGCGAGTGACCTCATAGTGGATGGTATGATGCTCTCTCATGGTCCGATGCGAATGAACTCATTCTCGACTTCGCCAGGCAGCATCCATCTGCAAAAGTTCCATCTACACACTCGTAGCATCTCATCCCTGAATCATTCTCTCTTGCCCTCGCTCATTCATTCCTTCCTCTACGATCCTGTTCTGATCTTACAGTGTCTGCTTGCTTTGCCAGCTGTGTCAAAATGTCGGCCACACCCCATAGATCTTCTAACGAGAAGGTCTCCGAGATTCAGGTTCTTCCAGCACCAATCACTTCGTCACCTCCTGTGAGGCGAACCACCCTCACCACCTGTCTGTTCAGGCTTGCTCTTAGCTTCTTAAGCGTCCTCTTGCTCCTCAAGGTGCTTAGCAACGTCTTGGGTTTCCACCCTAGTGACCTTATGAGGCCATGTCACGGCATGAATCACCAAGTGCTCGATAACAGCCCGCTGCTGTTCGACGACGATGGCCATCATCAACATCCATTCCCGCCTATTGAGAAGTGGAAGCCCTTCAACGGCACCACCCATTTTGAGTTCGAGCCTACCGAAGCGAGTGGCCTGTCCATCCGAGGAGCAAAAGTGTTTGGGAAAGTTGTTTTTGCAACCTCCAAGTTCTCCAACAAGGTCTTGATCGACCTAGACATCAAGACGAGCAAGGAGGACAGGGATGGAGATGTCACGGTCCAGGAAGATAACGGCCATCTTACTGTTCACACCCCATCTACTGGTAAGCTCAAGACCTACGCCGCCGCGGCGATCCAGATCCCGTCCAACATCCTGGGAGAATTCGCTCTCCCACGATTCGAAGTCGATGTCCCACGCCACATGGTCGACTTCAGCCAACTCCCCGAATCTCTGGAAATCGGCTCCTTCGCGATCCGAGTGGGCAGGGGCTTCGTCAAGCCGGGCCCCGTTCACACTAACACGACTCAACTCTCGATTGGCAACGGCGCCCTCCGTGGATCCCTAACACACGCCCGCAATGAGACCAACGTCGACGTAGGAAGGGGCAACGTGACGCTCGACATCCCCTCCATCTCCTCGGGCAATCAAGGCTCGACCCACATCCACGTCGGCCACGGTGAACTGAACGGCACACTGGCGATCTACAACTCCACCAGCATCGACATCGGCAGCGGTAGCATCTACATCAACGCGGCCTTTAAATCCGGCGCCGCGCCGCGAGCCATGCTCTCCACTCGGATCGCGTCCGGCAACTCGCGTGTATACGTCGACTCCATCGCTGCGGAGCGACTGTTCGAGGCGTATCACTCGTCCGTTGCGGGCGACCAGCTAATCACGTACCCAGCAAATTTCCAAGGCACGGTCGATGCGCGCGGCATCGTCGGGGACATCAAGCTTGAGGGCAAGGACCTGGCCGTGGAGAAAGTTGTCGGCGGCATGGTGGGCCGACAGGGCGACAGCAATAGGAACTCAGTCAGCGTCAGGACTGTCAGAGGCAGGCTAGATATTCTCGTCGGGGACGAGCCAGCGGGCAAGGCTCATGGCTGCTAAGCACTCATAATATAGGAAAGCTAGGTAATTCGTTACTTACCTAACCACCAGCCAAGCCATGGTGTTTGAGCGCGGTGGTCTCGAGGATACCAAGCGAGAACATGATCATTTTTTGTGCTTACTTCCTTGGAGCCTGACAAACAAAATGGGGGAAACCAAGCTATATCCAAAAAAAAAACATCAAAAAAAAAAACAGGAACTAGGGCGGATATATCCAACCCTAGATACCCAAATGCACAAACAATAAAGCCACGCCCACCCTTGCCCATGGGATACTCGCATAGGATCTACTGGGGACATTTATTCTTCGTTTTTCTGCCCGCTGCCCCTGACAAGCACATCTCTTTCTAGACGTTTACCTCGGATGAATCAGCCCCTTTACATATGGCTTCACCTTATGTTCGCTGCCCACAGGGCCTCCCGTGGGGCTCTAAAGAGGAAGCTAGACTATGCTGAGAAGATCATCCCACGACATAATTGGAGGCAGCGTTGCCAGAACTTGATTCCTGAGGGACCCAAGGCTTGGAATGATCGGCACTATCAGCGTTGTCTATATGGTACTGAAATCGACTAAGCACTAAAAGGTGCCTATGTGATGGGACCGGAACAACGCCCTCCTAGCCAATCAGGTCCGAGATCGTAAGGAATCGATTCCCGACTCCTGAAGACCCTTAAATGAGCCTCGGATTGGTGAGAGTCCAATCCCGGCAACGTTGATTGGCGGGTTATTTTTGAACCGTGATCAAAAGTAATATATTACGCCAGATCTCGTTACAATAAGCTTCCTTCAAGCTCATAACTAAGGTCTATATGTATAAAGGACCGATCGGCTTACGGACCGTTGATATAAATTACTCAGGGGAGTTCCCGTCTCCATACATGTCAGAAGGACCAGGGGAAAGCACCAATCAAGCAATTGTGCTTTACGTAGTCAGCTGTCATGAATTGGTGCATATATACAGGGCTGATGCCGCTCCAGGTGAATCTTGCTGACCATTACCGTTGTGGTCTGAAGTCTTTGAGCCTTGTCGAAGAGACTGTGGGTCGACACCACCGCGAACTGACCCCAAAGAATTATACCAGGACTTGAAAGAAACTGACCCTCGCATCATTCAACATGGACCTTGGAACGGGAGATGGATGGATGACTGACCCGGACATCAAACTTTTCGACTCGAACAAGTTCGCCGGAGAGATCAAACAGCTAGACACTGACGAGGGAACATTGATCACTCCAGAACAATACAACGACTTCATCTCCTTCCTGACTCAAATCGCCAACACGCATGTCGATTTCGGCCAAAAGGCATCCCTCGAGGGGGACCAACAGATGCTGCTGTACGCCGTAGGTAATGCACAGGCCCAAGTCAGTACGGGGGAGCTGGACACAGATTCGGTGGCCCAGTGCGTGCAGCAACTCGTTCAGGAGGGACACTGTAACAATATCCTTGAATATTTGAATGTGATGCACAAGGACGAGATCGATTTCAGCAGTGGCGGCGAGTCACAGAATTTGCAAGATACGCTTAACGAAGTGTGTCAATACACGGGAGATGTTAAGGGAGATCAACCCATCCTTGTGAGTCTTGCGCAGGGTTTCTTGCAGAGTTTCTGATGCCTGGCACTGACTTTGGTTAGGCTCTCTGAGAAAATTGAGGCATGATAGTTAGCGAGGCGTTCCAAATGGTTTCAGCGAAAATAGGCTTCGAGGGTATTGGAGCAAGTGGAAGTGGAAATGGAATTCGGCAGCCAAGTCCTTTCGAAGCACTCCTTCTCGCCGGGACACTCTTCCTACTCATAAAAATCGGAAACCGATTTCAACTAACTATATTTTGTGAATGCCACCGAACACGGCCTAATTCGGCTGGCATTCATTTCTCTTAAGCACACAGATCCTGTAATTCAATATTCCAGATGTCTGACCTCGCTGTCGGCGTTTGTGTATAGAAAGCCATGGCGCAGAGAACTTCTATGACGTTTAAAACGCTGGTTACGTAAATTGACAGCATTACTTGATCTGTCTAACTGTGACTGTCGTGCCTGGTTATGAGCGAGACTGTGCTTGTTTATACAATTTGCGCTGTAGCATGATGTCCTCTCCTGAATCTTTTGGGACCTGTCGCGGCCTCGCAAGATACTCTCTCTATATTCACTATCAGACCACATGAGGCTCTTGGTCCGTTGGGCAAGGTTGGCAAGGTCAACGGCGAGGCTGGCAAGGCTGCCTAGCTTGGTAGGCGAGGCTGTTGCAGTGAATTCTTCCAAATTAGGCTTAGGCCGGATAGTCTTGGCACAGCGCCATCTCTTGACCATGTCTCGAGCTCTAGATTGAAATTCAATCAATGAAGCAACCAATTTTGACTCCTCCTTGGTTTGACATCCTGAATCTTTGTAAGAACCTGTATTCTACACAAATCATTGCAAAATGGCAACCTCTCGAGTCGTCTTCGTCTTTTCCCTCGATGATCAGGATCTCTTTCAAGAAATCCATGGACGGTTGATGAATACAATCGCGCAAAAGGCGGTGGTCAAACAAGCTGCAAATTTTCAAGAGGCTCTCAACCTACTCAACAGCGACACCAAACCCGAAGCCATCTTCGTGACGGATTCCGGCATTACCACCGCTAGAAACAACCTCGTCTCAGAGAAGCTCGTCGATTTCGTTCGTAGCGGCGGCAGAGTTGTCCTAGGCGGCCTCTTCAGCTCCTTTGTACGCCCAGACGATCTGCGCAGATACTTCAAAAAGACATGGAATCTCCCTTGGAAGGTTGGCTCCTATCACCGCACCACGGTAGCTTTGAATCAGAACGCCAAAGGACTTCCGAGCAGCAACTTGCCGTCGTCTTACAGCCAAAAGGCCGTTTTTCTTGCAGACGTCAACAGCAGTGCGGCATGGTATCTGCCAACCGAAGATTCCGTTGTCGAATCTCATGTTTTCGCTCCTGTCTCCGTTGCAACTTCAGAGACTCCTGTCGTGTTTGCTGAGGTAGGAACAGGCTGGCTAGGATACATTGGCAGTGTGAATTCAGAGGAAGAGACCGACACCGTGGTATTGGGAATGCTGGGACTACTTTGAAAACATATCGAACAAATTCGAATGAAGGAGAATTTGTGGCGGTGTGGCCCCTGGTCACTGACTGGCTGAAAAGATATTACCGCAAAACAGCAAAAACTCCTAGTGGAAATATTGCGTTGAGGACGGTGGGCATCGTTAATCACAAGAAAATAGTTCACGCTACCGAGCACGGTTCTCTGTCCGAGATTGTGTAATAGCGCTATCAAGATTGAGCAACTGTGGAAATATGCTTGCTGTCGATCTCGCAATCAGTTTGTGGCATTGCCCGCCCAAAGCCTCTCTCCGCCGTCCCTTCCCATGCCCCTACCTCGAATACACCGGAAGGAAATGCCAGACCACCAGCAGTGCATGTTGGAATTGATCTGAGGCCCCTCGGTCTCTTTCCCCTTTTTTATCTCGCATTCTCATGGATCGTCAGGTAGTGCGAGAAATGGCAATGAGGCCATTCTTCTTAGTATCGATCAAAACACTTTGCTCGCCAGTATTTTCGGCTGCTTGTTCTTCGTTTCCGACCACGGGCTCCTGAAACTCAGTTTGGTCACGTTCGTGGTCGTTTCTGGAAACGTTCTGCTCCTGGTGCGATTAGTATTCGTACACAATGCTATCACCAATGAATTCCGTCACGTCCTCGAAAGTTACCGTGTACCGAGCAAAGTTTGCAATGATCTCCAGCAACGGCCCGATGCCCCAGGGTATCACCCGGAGAAAAGGCCAGACACTCCACTTTGGGGCCACATCCATGCTCGCAATGAGGGTTTGCGATGTGTGGGATTGCGATTTCTTGCGTATTGCGACGGAAGTGCCTTCATCACCGGCGATGGCCGACGAAGTAGGTAGATTAGGCTGCCGGGAGTGTAGGATCATCTTCGCGGGACAGACAAGTGTCCAGTCCACAAATTTGGACGATCGCAGGATAGACTCCACGGGACGGTGGCGGAGATAAAGTGGTAGACCGTCAAACGATGGGAGGGAAGCTTTCCAGGGTGAAATTGAGGACAAAAGTCTTGAGGTCTCGAAATAGAAAGCAAACGCAGAAACGTACGATTCATCCAGAGACCGAGCCTTTTGGCGAGTCCGGCGATCAGCACCTCCTCCTTTTGGTTCAGAGAAATCCAACAGCAACATTCCCCCTATAAACCGTCCTTTTATCCTCTTTTCAGCCGTGCTGGCCTCTGCTGATTTTCCGACTTTCTCTATTACATCGACTGAAGCACATACGATACGGGCCATTTCATTGTTGCTGCTGAAAGCCCTGTTTTTTTCCGTCAGAGACGGAACTAGAACCCCCTCGAGCGAACATCGGAGCATGGCCTGCCGCATTGACGAGGATCCGGATGCACTTCTCACGTATAACTCGAACTAATAAATCCGAATCGGTGGCATTGCCCTCAATAATAGAGAGCGGTGGCCCGGACGAAGATATAGGGGCAGGTTTCAATGTCTGTTGGCATGACTGCTGCCGACTTGAGAGGATAGGATGCAGTTTGTTCCGGTCCGTCACGACGACAGTGACATTGATGAAGGATCGTTCGAGCAGGTCGCCCAGAATACGAGAGCCCAAGGACCCGGTGGCGCCGAGGAGAAGGACACTGATGGTGCGTTTACTCGTGGAGCCTGTGGTCGTCGCTGAGGACGCAAAATTAGAGTAGCAATGAAAATATTGACTATTGATGGAGAATTTTAGTCGTTTGCAAGCACGGAAAGTAAATGTATGAGATCGTTACTAGTTGAGACGCATTCCGGCCATCACAAGTTGGGTACCCGGCATCGGCAACCCGTGAAAAGGTATGTTGATTACCCGCGGGTCAGTGAGTGTAAAGGATAGCAGCGCTCGATTTACATCTGACAAAGTTTTGTCGGGTTCGTTGATCTAGGCTTGCCACTCGGGTATGCACAGCACTCTCACAATGCGAGTTTAGTGTGTCTAATTGTTGTCTCCCCGTTGGGTGTCTTCCGGAGTCTTGGTTACCCTCGCGGGTATTGATGTGGATCCCAATATAAGACATGGTGAAATTCAGGACCAAGGAGTTTGCGTGAGCTCAGAGCAATAAGCGGCAAGTATATAAAAAAACAGCAGGGGATCTAAAGGGGTGTAACACATCAAAGAACACATTTACTTCCCTGAGCAATCCGTCTTCAGACTGATACAGCGCTGACCATCTCCCACTTTCACTCTCCTCTGTCAAGGCTCTCCTCTTCGCGACTTCAGACGTGGTGGTAAACAGAGGATGCTCGGAAGACTTCCTTTAGTAGCTCAAAAGACGTTCACCTGCTACCACTGGCGGCGACAGCTCATCGGGATGTAAATATGAAGCCGACCAGGAAAAAGCCGACGACAGCGTCAGGCGTGTACGTGGGTTGTCTAATTCGTAAGAACCCGCTTGTTACCCTAAAGGAGACGATCACTGCTGACATGCTTGGGTCTGGTGTACTACCTTCCAATATTCTTTCGGCTCGTCCAGGGGGACGGGCCTGTCGAGGCCGCACATCAGCAGCTTTTCATCACCGAGACCAAGACCTTGGCAGCTGGAAGGCCAAACTCTTTGTCTTCGGCCCAGGAGTCGAGACCCCTTCAGTACTCCGGACTCTGTATCGAAGTCTTTGTGAGCCTTCTACAAAATATCGAAAAGATATATACGAAACTTCTCCCTCATCCCTTTCGATACAATCAACCACAGCGGGATCTCGTCTCCGCGTCTGAAGTCTGTGAATAGTTATGTTTCTCAATTTGTACCTATGAACTGCTTGTGCTCGTGCCCGTACTTGTTCCAACAAATACTACAAGCACAGCAGCATAAGCAGCGGTGATACCAACGACATCCTTCCATGAGTCCGGTCCACTGGCAACCGATGCAACAACGAGTGCCATTACAATAGTTGCAAGTGACGCTGTAATAAGGCTTTTCGTTTGTGATGCGTTGATTGCCATAATGAGCATTGGCGTGATAAGGGCCAGCCCGCCAAACAAAGCCCCCAATATTCTGCCAAGGAGCTCGTTTGCCCATTGCGTAATGGTTGGAAGATAGATATAATCATTGTCCCAAGTGTAGGCACTCTTATTGATGAGTTCTTCTAAGTGTGGGAGCAAGGCTTTGTGGAACGATGTTAATATTCCCTTTGGTGGCTGGCGGTTGCGCCGGAGTACGCGTTCATAGTCCTTGATGGCTTCATCTGGGTCGAGAAGACTGGGTCAGAAAGTTCACGAGGGACAAAGAAAGCGACATCTGCAATGTTAACACTTACTATATTCGCGCAGCAATTTTCGGATCTTGAAGATCTGAGTCTCTCCAGTGTTCTCCTCATTCTCAAGGTCTTTCAGTTCCCGTGTGAGTTCCACTTCAAAATAATGCAAGTTCAGATGATGAAGTCGAGCAAAAGAAAGAAATCCAATGGCGCCGAATTTATTGTCCGGTGCATCGTCGTAGAGTTGCTCCATGCACTCATTTGCGAGCAGTTTAAATTGGGAGAACTTTCCTTCAATCTTCTTATGCCGCCGTCGCTCAGGCCATACCAATCTCGAATTCGAACATATCGAGAAATTTGCCCATGCATCCTCCTTCAAGTTCCGAGGGTCCTGTGTCTGGCAGCGATTTGGAGAGCTCATGGCACTTATAGCTGAATTGGTCCTGCGATGCGGAAGGGCTGCCATGGTTTGGCTCAGATTGTTGTGGTGATGGCTGCGTCCATCAAAGTAGTCAGTGGGAAATTCCATTGAGAGCTGGACAGCGGACGAACGTTGTTTGGCCCATCTAGTGGCTGCTCTGACTGTATATCCTCCCTCGTCAAATCAGAGGTCATGGTGTTGTAGTGAGCGTCGCGAAAATATGATGTCGTTATCGAATATGGAGCATTGAACACATCACGTCACGAGTAAATGCGTTTGTCCCCAATGCAGACTATGAGGGCATTTATTCTCTTAGCAGCGCTGGTTTGCGGTTGACGGGGGCTGGCGACACATTCATTCTCTTCGTTTTACGGACGTAGAGGCTGGAAGTTGGACTCAAGCCTAACGAGTCATTCAGCTTAATTGGACCGACCTAGGCGTTTTTCCTTTGGAGGTGACCGGTATTGATGTCAGATTGGCATCGCAGGGGTAAGTGAAAGGCGGCCCCTTTCAGCTGAAACACATAATACCAGAGGATTCGCAGAGAGTGGTGTGGGCTCAGCTTGACGCACTAGACAAAGGTGGATATGTCCGCCTTGGCCAACTGGTCTTGAAGATACCTTTGCATGGGCACTCTTTTCCCACCAACGTAATTACCTCCGGCTATGGGAACCTATACGATCTCGTCTCTTCCTCAGCCGCCTCCGGCCAATTGCCTTGGAATCGCGAATACCACATGTTTTACAACAGGAAGTTAGTATGCCGGAACCGAAGCCCCGAATTAGGGATCATCTGACATCAATACCACAGCAACTTAGCAGGGGATTCATGGCCAATATAACGGACCACGATAAGATGTCTGTAACCACAGGTGCTCACTCGAATGAAGACGGCCAACTTCATCATCTATGATATTCAATGCATTGAACGGATCTCGAACCAGCTCATTATCGCCAAAAGATTTCTTGGACAAAAGGTCCGTGGTAACTTGATCGATTATTACAAGGAGAGAAATCTATCTTGTGGCAGAGACTTTGTCTGTGAACTCAGCAACGCCATTGAGCAATCTACCTTCCAGGATTAGGGCCACCAAAATCCAGACCGCAAAGGCCTTCCCTATCGAGTCCGCAACTATAGGCTCTTTCTTCATATCGCTCTTGCTACTTGAGGCACCTGCCATCACCTAATCCTCGAGTTTCCGGTTCACGAGTCCTTCAGCCTTTCCCATTGTAATAGCGTTCGCATTTGGGGGCTTGCTCCTTTTCACCACGGCTGCAAGTGCTTCTGCAAAGTGGTCACACGATCCTTTGGTTTTGCCCAGGTGGCTGCCCAGTTCTTGGTAAATACTCAGCGTACTTGGCTGCGGTGAACTGGACATCGAGAATGATACACATTCGGACTGCGGCTGAACTGCCAACTTCTTGGGCGTAAAGCTCCGTCACGAGCCCCATCACGTCGCGGAATTTATACGAGGCCTACCATAGATCTCGCAAGACCAAACTGAGAGGTTTTGCTGATAGACACCGAAGATGAGCAACTGAGAAAGCCTACCTTGATTCTAGGGCAATCACGTACGATACAAGCGCCTACGTATCTGGGGGTATACAGCTTCCTCTACTTGGGTCACGGTATTTCAGCGGCATATCAATCCGTATTGTCTCCGGCCTGATCCCAGACCCCTTCGTTTCTTGCAGCCAGCCTTGCACTATTGTTCTGTCCTTAGAACTCAGGCCCGTAACCTGGATTAGGCGGACGGTAGAGGTTCGAGAGGTCTCTAAACCGCATGGATGATGCCGGAGCTGTAAGGACTATTGATGTCGCCAAGCTCGCATCGTATATTGCTAGGAGAAAACCTATGTGGCCAGAAATAGGCACTGTAGGCTGTGGGTTTTTGGTAACTCGAGCAGAGTTGCTGTCAGAAGCAGGAGCTAAAGCCTGGTGAGACCATACGGCCCGAAAGTCATTCAATCACCATGGTTCCAGCAGAACCTCAACATCGAAGTTCTATCATTTTCGTTCACCGACCAAAGCAAGTCCACAGCACACCTTCTATCCCCAATACAATACGCCATACGCTGTGGATTTCAATCACAGCGACGATTGGTGTGGTACTCTGGCAAAACAAACAACTAAAAGCTAACCCGTACCTCTAGTGCAGAGAACACGTACAGCCGTAGACATGTCGGACCAGGTGATATTTCAACCAACCTCAGGGTCTGCACTCAAAATTAACATGCTCAATACCGTCGAAACGAAAATTGAAACCCTGACCTTGGCTGACCTCGAAAATCCTCCAGAGGAGACCAAGGCTCCTGCTCGACCACTGGGCGTGCCTACGCTTGCATCACTCAAGAAGCAAACCCAGTGTCCACTGCATCAATTGTGATTGGAGTTTTCAAATCAATCCCACGCTGGAAGCTGGGGCTCGACGATCAATTTCGCCGCTTCTGCCACTGGCTACCCTACGCCGGGGGATGCAGTCTACGCAGCCAAACAGCTGAGAAAGGCGGCCGCCGAGTGGAACAGCCACAACGTGGGCGTCAGCTTCAATTGGGTTTCTGATGTCGATGACGCCGCGTTTGTCCTTGCTTACGGCGGCGACAAAGAAGGTGTTCTTGCCAGTGCGTTCTTCCCAAATGCTAAGGTTTTGAATACACCGTGGGTATATTGCAGTGCTTTCGACAAGACCGTGGAGGAGGGCGGGTGGACCAATCACTCCATCATGAAGAACGTCTTCTTGCATGAGCTGGGGCACGTCCTGGGCCTTAGGCACGAGTTCGCACTGGACCCGGCCCTGTATAAAGGAGGCGCCTTTCGGATGGGAACGACAAACCCAAGGTCTGTGATGAGCTACGAATTCCCGCCGAAAATCCAAGACAGCAACGTTCTGGACACAAGTGCGTTCTACAAGCTGCCACCGCTGGAGTTCTTTACTCCGAACAATTGAGTTCGAATGGCCAGAGTCGTGACAGCTCTTGTCCTGTCATCTGTTGAGGAAGGAACTTCGACTGAGGTACACGGACAGGGAAATGATCGAATCGCAAAATTTAGGGAGTCACTCATTTGTACTCAATGCTTCACCTACCAAAGGAAACAGATCTGTAATCACTCTCATCGCCTTGGTTATATGTATTTGAATGAGAATAACTGCTTTCGTATATAAAAAAAGTTCCCGATGCAGGGATATGCATGATGCAGCACGTCGTTGAGATCCGTGGGGAGGCGCTCGAATCATCCAGAGAGGAAGAAATCGGAATGGATCCGAAGAGGGTAGCTGGGCTTATACAGAGAGTTTTATCCAATGACTAGCGAAACGCCGTACCCAGTAGCCCAGAAGCAACCCCGATGGACATCAGACGGACCGAGAGAAGCGGCTCTCGTCGCGTTCGAGCAAGCTTTGTGACAAGCTTAGTGGTTTGAATGCTTGACAACGCAACGCTTATCCTTCTCTGTACACCACGCGACAGCGCTAAGACTGAGATTTCCATGGCAGTCGGTATGGGGAAATTGGGAAGGCGGTTTGTTGCTCAGATCTCTACCCATCGCCTTCCGCATTGGTACTAATCGGCTTCCTGATTTGGACACGCTAGCCATGTTATGCAGTAGGCCTTCGCTAGTCATTAAGCGAAGCGGGCCCACTGACCCACCTGGCTTACCGCCCCTATTGTCTAACATATTAACTAGCCATCTCCTCCACGCCTCCGCAGTGATACTGCTTCCTGGATGTATTAATACGTATATTGCTGCTTGGTCTGTTCAAGACCGTCCACTTGTTGTGACGACATTTGTCACCGTCCATTCTTTTAGTTGCCTCTGATCCCATTCCATTTTCGGGATGAAGATTGCGTCGTTGTTTCTGGCCCTCGCAGCTGCTGTTACAATCTGTCACGGCGAGAAGCCAGACGAGCGGGATGATTTCAATGTACTAATCACTACTACCATCACGAACACCCATTTCGTCTGCCCTTGTACCAGGATTTTGGGCTATTTGAAAACACCATCCTTCGGCTCGATTTCAACCTGGTCGTATTCATCAGAACGAGCTGGGCGTCCACGACATACATCTCCAGGCGACGCGACGACGACGATATCGGAGACTGGTCTTCCCAATGTCTGGCTTGATTGGACTAGCACGGCCGATCTGCAGAGTATTCCAATAACCCCTTCGTGGACACCATCTCAGTCCACAAGTTCCCTGATAAGCTCATCTATACGGTCCTCAACAACACATTCAAGAAGTCATTCGAAGAGCCCGTCTGGTCCGGAAACCTCTCCAAGTGTCAGCTTGTGGACCACTCACGTGCCCTCCCTTTCATATCCGCCTTCCTCAACGAGCCAAACCTCAACCACAAGAGACCCCGGGACAACATACTCTCGACCTGCCGGGACCAGTGTCCCTCCTACTACTTCTTTCGAGGCAGGGACGAGCACCGCTAGCTCATCGAGAATATATACTTCGAGAATATATACTGTAACAGAGCACTTCAGGGTTCGGCATGCACGTGCAACAACGCACAGAGGCCTGTCCAGCAGATCGGGAATCGAGAACGCGTTTCTGGTTGATACTGACAAAACACTACCAACACCAACCAGAGGGGCAGCGGCTAGGGCTACGAACACCTAGCACAGCGGCAGCATCGAGGAACAGGACAGGACTGACAAAACACTCAAGAATAGACTGACGGCATCAAAACCATTGAATTCATGATACTCTGCTTAAACTAATGAATGGCACACTGCCAGCACTGTAAACTGTTCCGCACCCCCCTCTCTGCCAGCCCATTTAGGTTTGACATGTGACTAGACAACTTTTCCTCCCTGCCACCGCTCTACCAGCCCAGCACAGCACAGCCACCTTGCCTTGTTACAATACAAGCTCTACGAGCTCCTCGACCACCACTAGCTCTAGTGTCTCTATCTACACAAGCTCGACCTCATCCCTGACCGTAATTTCAACCACAACTCCCACCTCAACTTCAACGACAACGACAACGACAACGACAACGACAACGACAACTTCCACCATACCAACAACGGTAAGGATGTACTTAGATCCTTTTTTTCTCTCTAAGAAGCTAACTTCGCTAGACGCCCATTACTACCAACACCATCGCCACAACCGTAAGCAACACTCTCTAGACAAGTCGTCCATCTCTTGTAGATCTTCCGGCTAAATACCCTGACAGACAACAACCGCTACTACGACCACACCTGTAAGTACTGTATCTCCTCGCTTCTTATAGAAAATGGAAGGGTAATTCAAACATCATCAGACTACTGCTACTACTACCCCCACCACAACTACGACGACTAGCGCATCATCCGCCTGTCCCACAAATGCTTGTCCAACCTCGACAACGGCAGTACGTATCCATTCAGCATCCTGTTGACCCCTTCAGTAGAGGGTAACAATATCCCAGAATGGCTAGCTAACCACCGCATCTTCTCCACAGGACCTCATAACGGACGGCAGCTTCGAAGACGTCTCCTCCGACTCGATAGGAGTATCGGAGGCCACCAGCGGCGACTGGACCGTCTCTGGGAACGCGTTTTTCGACCAGAACAGCGGGACGGATTACGACACGCCCGACGGTGTGAAATTCGTGTATGTATCTCTTAGTATCCTTTCCGTCTCTGTGTCTGGCCATTTGGATGTCTCTTCCCCCCTCCCCGCTTTCTTTCCGCTGCAAACAAACGCCTCAATTCTCAAGGGTACTAGTAGCTGACGCACTCCGCGCAGATACTTCCGCGGCGTCTCCAGCACGCCCATCTCAAGCGTCTCGCAAAACCTGACAAACCTCGTCCCGAACACCTTCTACACTCTCACATACGACTACGCCGTCCCCTATGTGGCAAACCCGCCGCCCGCAGCCGGCTTCTCCTCGTGCTCCCTGACGCTCCAGGTCGGCGACGTGTCCAACACCGACCTTATCGACTTCTTCGGCGACACGGCGCAGCCGGCGTGGGGACGCAGCGAGTCCCTGGACTTCCTTGCCGAATGTTCGGAGTTGGTGTTCTCGCTGATCTGGGATTGTTCCGGCTTGGTGCCGGGGAATGAGATTGATTTTGCGCTTGATAATGTGATCTTCACCGGGGTGCAGTGTGTGGAGGGACCGGTGTGATGTGAGCGAAGTGCCGTCCCTTGATAGGTCGCAAGGCGCTAGCAAGGCCAGATATACCCAGAGGGATACCAAGGTTGCTCAATTGTGAAGGAGGGAAGCGATACACTCTGTATATATGTATCACTTTACCCTCCTCGAAATCAGTGCATAAAATATCACATTATCTCGATTTTTTCTGTCTACACGACTACCTACTCTGTATATAGTACATACATGCTGATATATCCCCTCTTTCCCGAGATACAACGATAGATACCTATTGCCAGATCTCGTCTGCACAAAATAGGTGGGTAGACGCAAGTTAGATTTCATCTTTTACGACACTTTTCTCTCCTTTGAGGCCCGTTCTGTTCAGTCCTTTTCAGGCCCCTCCGAAGCCAGTCGTCCGTCCCAAGCCCGAAATCATGCCACCGCTGGCCCGCCGCGCGCTACCTGTGGCATTCTTCTCGTCTTCTTTGGCTTTCGTGGACTCCTCTCCTTGTCTGGAGCCAACGGACCTTCCATACCCCGCCGCCGCAGCATCCTGGGAGAGACTCGCCAGCCTCTTGCCAATAGCTGCGGGGTTCGGGGCTGTAGAGTTTTGAGCCTGCTGACTTGAGCTCCTCCTCGGCCCCAACTTTGGCGGCGGCGATCGCATACCACTACTGACCTGCTGGATGAGGCTCGGTGTCGGGACCGACGTGGGCGGAGTGGGAACCCCTGATAGAGGCCTGCTCATCTTTTGGCGGAGGAGACTTTACGCCAGACGGAACGCGCTGGATTTTTGCCGGTGGTGACTCAATGCTAAAGGGCGTCCGGTCGAGCTTTGCCGGCGGAGATTTGACCCCTGATGGAGTTCTGCCGAGCTTGGGCGGCGGCGATTTAATGCCCGAGGCAGTTCTGTCAAGTTTCGGTGGCGGTGACTTGATGCCTGATGGAGTTCTGTCGAGCTTTGGCGGTGGGAACTTGACTCCTGACAGTGCCTTCCCAAGGTATGGTGTGTCCTGTGCTGATCTGGCTGTGACGCTCTTCTTCGGCTCAGACGATTTCTTCGCGAGCTTGGGCGGAGCGGTTTTCTTCTCGCCCTTGCCGGCACCTCCGAATCCCATGCTCGGTATGCCAGGCAAATAGGCCGCTGCTCTAGACACATAGTTCTTCCCGGTCTTCGCTGCGTCCTGAGCACCATGTGTTGCATCTTGACTAGCGCCTTGGGCTCCTCTTCTTGCTACTTTCGCCGTCTCATCAGCTTTGCCCGTCGTGGTATCGAAACCCCCTTGTATTGTTTGAGTCGTATTCTGCACAGTCGTCCCTGCTGCTTCAGATACTTCACATGCTTTATTCTTCACTGGAGCAAGTGTGCGATCTTTCGCTTGGTGAATGATAGGTGCCTCGCGCACAGTACGCTTTGTGGACTGTACTGCAGGATTTTCCTTGGGATTCAGTGTGTTCTTGATGGTCGGTGTGACCATATCGGACAGTGTGGCTGCTGTGCCATTGGCAGCGGAAGTAGTATTTTCCGCTGTCTTGTTTACAGAGTCTGTGGCTTTTTCAGTCATTGTTTTAGGTGGTGCTTGGAATTTTCCCGCCCTATCTTGACCACCACCTGAAAAGGAAGGCATGCTAGGCAGAGAAGAGAGGTATTGCGAGGCTTGCTTAACGTAGCTTTGCGCTTGCCTTGCTCCTTCATTGCCATTCTTAGGTGCTTGCCCCGTGATTTCGCCGGCATCGGTGGGACTGGCTTGTTGAATCGCGCTGAAACTGGATCGGTTGATATGTGGCATACTCGGCAGATGTTTGTAGATGTAGGTTGCATAGCTTTCTGTGGAAGTTTGACCTGCAACATTGCCAGCCTTGGTGGGGCCTTGTCCAGCCTGCTGTAGATTGCCGGCAGCATTTTGCGCATCTTTCGCTGTGAGGGCGCTCGGCACGTAGAAGTACTCGACAACCCTGGTAATCAAGGTCTTCGTCGTCCGCTCCTGAATCTTCTTTTCCAATTCCTCGGCCTCGGCTTCTCCTTCGGCGGCCTCATCTACCTTGCCGCCATGGGACTCCCTCCTGAGGAGCCACTTTTTCTGCGCAGCACGGGATTCTTTCTCCTCTTCCCTTTCCATCTCAACTAGCTCTTGCTGTTCTCGTTCAACGGCGGTCATGTCGATATCCTCAAAGCCAATCTTCTTGAGAATAGCGCCGATAAGATAGCGATAGCGTTGATGGCTGCTGACATCTTCCGAGACATCGAAGTTTTCGACGGTGTTCAGACCTTCCACCTTTTGTAGGCCGGCCACCCCATACTGAATAGCTGATGTGCGGTACATAAATCCAAGCACGTAATCATTGACTGAGAAGACATTGACAAGTCTGCCAGCGACAATACTGCGGAGAACTCTCCAGTCGCTGGTATCGCTGGGCGTTGGGGAGCCAATCATGACGGCATTCTCAACGATTCCGAATTTCTTTCTCTTCGCCAGACTCATAAGGCAGGTGTATATGACGCGAGCACCGAGTGAGTATCCAATGAGCGTAACTGGCCGCTCACCTTGGACGCGATTGGCCAGTGCATCCGCCAGAACCTCACCGGCCTTGTCGGCACGGCTTTTGGCAACGCTGAAGGGGTTGTCAACGACCCTTGCGACCTTCATCAGGGCCATTGGCCACATCGCCGCAGCAAGGTCTGCGAAGATGGTCCGTGATATGATTTCTTTCTGCGCATATCCCCAAGCCGCAGACTGGACCATGCCGTTCATGGCATTTCCCAAATTCAGCAATGCTTCAAGTTCATATTTCAACGCAAAGACTTCAGCACCCGTACCCAGGGAACGCCAGGGTTTGACCACCTCCTCTTTCTCGGTCAACCAACCTGAGACGCCAAGGGTGACGCGAAGTTTGTGGTCGTGTTCGCTAGCTTCTTGCGCGCCTTTGGCCTCATCTTCGCTGGTCTTCTTGTCACTACTGCCATGCACGGGCAGAAACTGGAAGTCTTCAACTTGGCGCGCATATGAGTCCATCATCTGACCCGTCATTCGTCCACCATACGCGCCGAACAGTCCACCGACGAGGACAGCGCTTCCTGCCACGGAGCCCAGATAAGTAGCCGCGGAGGTGGCGCCGAGTCCGAGTCCGCCCATGACCGAGCCGACGCCTGCAGCGACAAGGGGTGCAGCCATGCCACCAGTGACGCCGAGGATTGCAGCTCCGGCCGCTGTTGCATAACGAACTCTCCATTTTCGGGTCTCTTCATTTTCCCTGATCTTCTTCATCTTCTCTTCGTCAGCCGTCAGCTCTTTCGCCGCTTCGAGCAGACCTTTAGCCGTGGCGTACTCGTCCTGTTCAAAAGCCTTCAGGGGCAGTTTCAGTGATGACGTCAAGTTGAGTAGCAGAATGCGAGAATACGCATTGTAGTGCTCCAAGGACAGGAGCAGCAGGAGCAGAGAATGAAGAACCAGCGTTCGCTTGTCCATGGGCAGTTTCGTCAATGGAGTTTTGGTCGGGGGGAACAGGTCTTTGAACTTCAAGTTGACCATTCTGGTCCCAGGCTCCATGACCTCAGCGGTGGTTGTTGGTGCTGGAGGCTTTGACACATCAGCATCGGCACCCTTCTGAACTTGCTCTTGAGCAGCGGGTTCACTGTTGACAACCCGGCCAACCCGGAGGATGACCTGCTCGCGCCATTCATCGAAGGCCTTCAGGCAGTTCTTCTTGAGATTCTTCATCTTTAGCGTGGCCAGATCTCTGTCGATTTCGGCCTTCATTTTCCGCTCGCGGTCGTAGGCAGCGACATCGGCTTTTGCAGGGTCCACTGCCATCATCTTCTCATCCTCGGTCAGACCTTCTTGGAGAAGATTCTTGTCCAGTCCTGCTGTCGAGCTGAAGTTGTCGAGAATCACTTTGCGCATTGACCCGGTGATGCGGGCAATGAGGAGGGTCAAATCTGCGCGCTGGGCGGGATCGAGGGTGGTGGTGAGATCAGTCTCATTGGCACTGCTTGTCTGAACCTTGGTAGCCGGCGCGGAGGCGGTTTGTTCGGCCATGGTGGTCGATGCTTCGTTAGTTCAACCTGCCGCAGAGTCGCGCAGACCGAAGCATGTATTCTCGCAGCCAGACTGCCTTCAACTCAACCAGCTGGGTGAATGGGGAGAGCAAGGCAGCGAAAGGCAGCGAGATCTGATGAGTGAAAAGACGCAGACGATGATGAAGTACTGTAAACGAACAAAGGGATCAGTCGAGGTGTAGCAGTCGAGGTGTGTTGAGGTATGCTTGGGTGTGGCGGTGCAAGTAGACTGACTTCATGCGGATGAGAATGAGAAAGGCGGGAAATGACGTATGGCAGCTTCACGAGCTGAATACGAGATACCGTCATCACTGATGCTTGTTCCCTGTTCCCTACCCCTATCACGCACTCATGAATCGATCGCCCGGGACTGGCGCTTCTCGAGCATCGTAAAAACAGGGCCGCGCGAAATAAAAGCAAAAAGAAAATGATCCAAACACTGTACGTTGTTCGTACTGTTGTAGAACACCGCATTCAATCGTATTCACATCTTGTCCTTGCGTGGGCTCATGTCTTAGGCTTTTCCGCTCCAAGAAGTCTAGAATGGTACAAAGTGACCTAGAATATGCAATTGCTGGCCGATCCCATCACTCCGGTCGCCTTGCTTTTATAAAAATGCAGCCTGAGGCCTGCTTGGGCAACAACAACCTAAAGAATGGTTCCGAAGCTGGTAACACGGTCAGCACGGCGCGCACAAACGGCTGAACTAGTCATCAAAACCTACCCAAATGTCTGCTTGATGCTGCGAACGTAGTAGCCTTCCCAATTTCTCTGCACCACTTCCTCTTGTCCAACCGGCACTCCGGTCCAGGTCACGCGCATATTGGTCACGCGGTCAACGTCGTTCTGGTCGAAGAAAATTTCCTGGGTGCTCTCGTGTCCTTCTGGCCATTGTGCTAGTCTCCATTTCTGGATGATCTTCTTCGGTGGCTGCAGGTCGACAAATTCCCCCGTGACATTGCCGTCAAAGATGGCGAACTTTCCGCCAACCTTGGCGCCTTCGAATAGCCGGGGAGGTGCGCGTGTGAACGCTGCGAGCCGTTGAGGATCGGTAAACGTCTGATACATCTCTTCCGCGGTTGTGCGAAATTCATCGGTCGCCGTGACAGTAGTTGTGTTGATGGACGATTTGCCGCTGGTGGAGGTTGTGACAGGGGCGGGGGACAAGGGCTTGCGTTCCTTTTCAGGATGCCATGTGGGCGTTGCGAAGCCGCTCGATGGGTTCGAGCCCGGCGCGTGCTGAAGATCTTTTCCGTGCTCTTCGATCAGAGCAGGACTGAGTTTAGAAAACACCTGTCGAAGTTGAGGGACCAATTTCGATCGGACGAGATCTTTAACGGGTTGTTTCTCCTTCTTCTCCGAATAAATATCGATTTCAAACTGCGCCAAATTGTCAGTCATGACCTGGCCGACTCATGCACGCTGAGCTGATGTGAAACATACCACATAGTCGTCAGGCTCCGTATCATAAGCACACTCAGGGACTCTGATGCTCCCACTAACATCAGTGCCCTCTTGGGTTTTGCCTGCATAACGAATGAGCCATTTCTTTCCCACTCCCGACTAGTGTAAGGCTTGTACCTTCATATTCTAACTGCAGCGCGACATCAAAGATTGTGATGACTTTGCCCTTCCGCTGGCTGACCTCCACATCGCCGTCCATCGAGATTAGTCTTGTGATCTTTGCCGACACTCCATCCTCTTCCGCCGAAACCTTCTGGACCTCTCTGTCTAAATATTCTCTAGCCCAGGGGCCCGCATCTTTGTTGACCCAATGCCAGTTATTGGGGTTATGGAGGACCATGATGGGGAGATTGGGAGTGGTGTCCAGGCGTCAGACAAGGGGTTCCTGTTGCAGTTGCAGCACACATCAGCCTCGTGTATCACAGACTCAATCCGCAAGTTATTGGACGAGGTTGTGGTGTTCAGATTGTAGGCTCAATGCCATATAAAGCTGATCCGCATGTAAAGAGTACAAGTCTTCTCAGACTGGTGCCAGCTGAATTCTCATCATAAGAGGCGAGAGAGGAAGAGCAACATCTACACTTACCTTTGGATATGCGCTTCAAAGAGGAGGCATCAGTGTTGTGGAAGAGGATCGCGTGTCAGGAACAAGGAAAAGATTGTCAAGTCGAGCAAATCGAGGCAACGGAATTGGAGAGAATTGGAGAGAAAAGCTGCTTGGTGGCCTGCGAGCCTAGTTGGTGGTTCGCTGGTGACCCGGGCTATTAATACCTAGGCTTCGGCACCAAAAAGAAATCGAAGAGAAACACAACGAAAAGAAATCCATGCCAAGCTTCTGTGACAGGGACCATCCACTTATTGCCCTCTGCTCGATACTGCAACTGAACACCGAGGGAATCGAGCCTTTATGTAGCCTAGCTAATGCTTTGTCCTTTCCCGCCATGAACGAACCCATGATGAAACCTCTCTAGCCTTCGTTCTAAGGCCTAGAAAAGAGAAACGCCGTTTTCAACCCTCCTAACCCCAGAGCGCCCAGGGGCCTTGGTCAAAGATGATCTGTACACATTACTCCCACCGGTGTGCAATCAGCAACGTCCCACACCACCCATAATGAGCTCTCTCAACAATCCCATCGTCACCTCGTACTCCGTCTCAAGTGCCATCTTATTCCTGCATCCGTTCCTATCGGGCGTTCTCGATGTACTCCGCACTCGGTTTCTCATATTTCGCACAGAAATACTTCGCACTATTCCTTGACAACCAGGTGCTGAACTTACTGAGCTCGGTCTTCAGGCGAGAAACGGCCTCCGCGTCCATGTTTGTCTGGGCAATCATTTCCGGCAGGTTGACGATCATGCGTGTGAGATGTTCGGCGCCGTAGCAATCGCCGGGGCCCTTGCCCTCCCACTCCTTGTAACGCCCGGATTCCCAGAGTTTCCGAACCTGTACCGATGGTAGCGATCAGTGTTAGGATCCGGAAATGGGAGCAGGCGCTAAGAAATGACCTACCTCTGCCAACTGACTTCTCTCAAAGCGGTACAACAAGATCTTACCAACAGCTTTCTCAAAGTACATTTTCAATCCCGCACAGAACTCCTCCAAAATGTCTGCTTCGGGCGAACACAGGCGGCGGTTCATCTTTTCTGCGTTGAAATATTCGTCGATGATGTAATTCGCAGGAGCTTGACTCGGCAAGGGGACGAGAAGCAGTGATTTCGTAACGTTCTCCCAATCGTCAACAAGGAGATTCTTCAGGTGGTCAGGGACATTGATGCGAATTGATGGGCGGAGGTAGAACGCGTCTTCCTGCGAGTGCATGGTCAAGTAAGTACATATTCCTTGTTCAAGGTCAAAATCACGGGTAGGAAACTGGGCAATCCTAGCAAATTGTAGCACTGGGTGCTGTCCACGGCGCGAGGCAGGGGAAAATCCAAATCCACGTCCTGAATCCTGGGTCCTGGGTCCTGGGTCCTGGGTCCTGGGTAGGTCATGCAAGATTACTTTGAACACGATTAGCGCTTCCGGATTCGACCACTTCTGCGGCGAGTGCGAGAGCATCCAGGCCTGTTATGACTCGGTTAACTGGGATCCTGGCGCGCAAGGCCGATTCGAGGTTGTGAGCACCCAAGTCTGCGAACTCCTGTTGCCTATCGTAAAGACTTCCACGTCGCATGTAGCTTTCCTCAACTTCTGGGGATGTAAAGTCGCATTCCAAGCCCTCCCGTTCGCAGTAGTGGCAGACTGGTGTTACCCCATCGCATGACACACCATGTGTGGCGCACATTCGGCATCCTTCGGTGCGAAAGTCATTGAATGTGGCCGTACCGATGGACCGACTTGCTTGCGCCGCAGATTCAAAGGCGCGGTCGCCAGCGGCAATGGCAAGGTCGAGCAGAGCATGGTCGTCGCCATTGCATCTCATCCTGGCCCTAGCGGCGAACGCGTTGATGATTTCCGCTTCGTTCTCCCGCTCATATTGTTCCCAAAAGGGTGCATAATCCGGGACTTCCTTGAGAACCCAGGGGGGACGACCCTCAAGCGCGCTGAACGGCAGCTTCACCAGAAGTTCTTCACGGATCCAGACAGCACAATGATCAGGGATGCACATGAGATTTTCCTCTGTCCAGCCGGCGGGAAATCTGTCGCCATCGCGGTTGATTTTCTCAATAAGCCGATAAGGGAACTTCAGTGCGTCGAATGGTGTGCTGGACCCTGGGGGGTCGACCTCAAGAGGTTGGCCGGGTGCACCACCAGCAGGGGCCGCTCCGTGATCCTCATCGTCGGAGTCAATGTCGGAAGGCAGATCTTCAAATTGGTGGGGGAGTTCCTGGCTTGGTCCGAGATATCGCAATGTGTATCGTCTACCATCCTTCCGTGCACTTCTGAGCTCCTCGTCGATTGCTTCCTCTTCAAGGTACGTGGTTCCGCTAATCAGTGGTGCGTGAAAAGTCGTGCGCTTTTCCCAGGAACTATGACTTAGAAATTCTGGCCCATCCTTAGGCGCAGGCTGTGCAAGGAGCCGGTCGATGTCGGCAGGCGTGTAGTTCGTGGTGTCTTTGATATTCCAGGGACGTAACGGTTGCTTGGGCGTCATTGCATCCGTACAACTGCGAAGCTGTCGGGGAGCTGGTGTGGTAGTGATGCTGCTGCGAAGGGTTCTGGGACTTTTGGCAAACCCGGAAGGTGACTGGGTTATCTGTTGCGAACGACGACCTTCGTTGTTTCTCTTTGCAACGGATTTGGATTTGGCATCAGAAACCGCCGCTGCGGTCTGGACGCTCCTCCTGACAGAAGTCACAACATCATCTTCACTTTCTTCATCCTCGGCGTCTGCAATTTCTTCGTCTCCCAACTCCAGGGAGGAGAGCACTTTATTATTTCGAACTCTCGAACTGCCTGCTGTGCGATAGGGGAGACTGTGAGCTTTGGAGCGACCATAATCAGAATATTGCAAAACTTTGGGCTGCCCTTGTGTTGCACCAGATTTCTTTCCGACGTTGGCACTTCTTTTCCCACCGACAACATCGGCGTCATTTGTGGAAGACTTGGCAGCCTTAGAGGTGGACAATTGGTTGTTCGACACGCCAGCCGACAAATTGTGGTTGCTGGAAGTTGCAGCAATGGTCTTCTCCTTTGTTGCGGCATTGCTTGACTTGGGTGGGTTTTGCCTCGTCGTCTTCTTCTTCCTGGCAGGACTAGTGGCCACCGATGCTTTGTTCCAATTTGTATTTGCAAGAGCATTCGTGGCCTTGACTGCAGCTTTGCGGGGCACATAAAGAAATTGTCGCAGGTCTACTGGATCGTTGCTTTGTCGTTCCAAGCTCGGGCTGGGCTCGACCTCCTCTTCATCATCCGCGATTGGCGGCTCGTCCAAGTCGTCGTCGTCGTCCTTAGTATCCAGATTTGGTGCGGGAATATCCTTTGCTGAGGCTTTCTCGAGATCCTTGTCCTTGGGCGATCCAGCAGTCCAGGACATCATGTTGAGACGGGGTACATTATCATCATCACGGGAATGAAACACTCGGGTACGGGTACGCTTGTGGGACGGGAAATCACCACCAACCTTTTCTAGATCATTATCTCTTGTGCGCTTGGATCCCCTACCGCCAGCAGCAGGGACAGAAGATGTACGTTCTTCTGACCCTCTGCCAGATCCAATCTCCGAGCCTTGTCCTCGGCGGGTTTTGCCAGTCACTTTGGGGCCGGCTTTGAGTGCGGCTTGCTGACGCAGATTTGCTGCAAGTTCGCGATTTTCTTCTGTGTTTTTGCGAAGTCGATCCTGGGGGACCCAGTCGTCCCAGCTGGAAGAGCGAAGGTTAGCATTTTCATGTCTGGGGGAAAGATGGAGAGAACTGCTTCCGGTGAGAAAAAGAAAAGAATGGGTGGGAGGCAGAGGCAGCGCGGACGCTGCATGTGAATGTGGGAAATTCACGTTCAGACACGTCAACTGTCCACACAAGACCGTGTGCCTTACCGTCTGGGCAGGATCAGAGAGTGTACAACCGAAGTCTTCGAACAACAAAGACGCAGAAAGAACAGCAATTCAACAGAACAAGAGCGCGACTAGGGCAAACAAGGATGACGAGATTGAGACTCACGTATTCTTCCAGCCTTTGTAGTGGACCTTGTAGTGGTAAGGGGACTTTGTCTCTTTGGGATCTGTTTTCTTCACGTCTGTGATTTTGGCATCATACAACAGCTCTCCGTGGAAGCAGAGCGCCTTCTCATCCTTCGCGTACATCGGTTTGTTATCGTTTGTCTGCGGGGCCATGATTATGGTGAGACAAGGCCTTGATCTGAGATTTCAGGACATGGGAATCTCGAAGTCAGGCCGAGAGGAAGTGAAAGAAATCGCTGACGGGGCTCCTCACAAAGGAGAAGATACCATCAGCAGGATGAGCCAGTCTTGGAGGAGAACAAAGAAGATGGAGGTTACAGGGAGGAAGAAGAAAGGAGAGATGTGAAAGTGGCCGCGGCATCAGAAAGACACAAAAGCAGCGACTGGCATCTGAGCTGAAGTGACCAAAGGCTAGAGCCAAGGCGAAGCCTGCGCTTATTGGCTGGCGAGAACGCGTCCTATATCCGAAGTTTTTCCGATCCGCGAAGGCAAAGTCGCTTTGGTCGCTCAAATCGACAATTGAACAACATTCTGTCCATAGGAACAAAATGGACACAACCATTATCGACTCTTGTTTAGCGAAACTAGACAAGGTGGGATAGAAATTCCCATGAGGAAAGCCGAGTCAGGAGCCATCATTACCGACAAGGCTACCGTTTCAGGGGCTCAGACCCGGACATCAAGGCGTCAACCACGAGGAAGCAGGACGATCTTCTCGGCACTGAGAGGCAGCGACGATACTCTCTGATTTTGCTAAGTGAAGGCGAGCCACAGACGGCTAGGTGGCCACGGCTCAGAAGGCAGGAGACCGAAGGTCAAGGGGAGATCACAATTTACCGGAAAGAACAAAGTCGATTGACTCGGAAATTTCGTTTTATTTGGTCAATACCTGGGCGAAAGAGCACGCAGAGGGGCAGTTCTCTGTGTCAAAGCCTAACCTTGTCACCACGACCGCAATCCAGAGAGTCCACTTCTTTGCCCTGTGGTTGTGAGACCTCTGCGTCATATCACCATCGTCGTCCGGCGCCATGCCACCCCAACCACCCTCTGAATCGGAGATTTTAACCTCCTACCTCCTCCACCCTTCACCTCTCCCAGCAATCCTGCCGTACAAATCATTCCTGGCACTTTTACCTCCCAGCCTGTCCTCCTTTGCACGGCAGCATCCGACAGAGCTGAAGCGTCTGTATCGAGACCTGCAATTCCAGAGGGACGTCCTCATTGACGACGTGCGGAGGCGGATCGAGGACGAGTGTCGCCGCAGCGTCGAACTCAAAGCGAGACTGGGGCGGCAAGTCCAGAGGGAGGAAGGATTGTTGAGGGTCGCCGTCAGGAAGAGGAAAAGGGGACACGGCAGCATTGGCAGTAACGACGATAACAACAATGAGGACGCAGAACACGGAGCGGCGACAGATGACGACGACATCGATGCCGAGGAGAAAGAAACCCAGTTCGACACGGCGCTCCACAATGGACAGCCCCTGGGTCATACTCTCCCCATGGCAACCGCAAAGCACAATCACACAACGACCACACTCCTCGCCGCAATGACCACCGCCAGCGAGGATCTGGCGTCCGAAATCGCAGATCTGGAGGCCCAGATCGCCACGCTGCGGAGCCAGTGTGAAGACAAGGTCGGGAATCTCAGTGACCTCCGGTACGGACGATTTGCGACGGCGGGCAGTAGAGCTAGCGGGGACAAGAGCAAGAACAGCGGCGAGCCCGTCGACGGGGTCGAAGACGAAATTGTAGCGGCAATCCAGGAGCTGAAAGAGACCTTAGTCCGCAATTGTCATGAGGATGGATAAAGGACAGCCCAGTCAGAAGAGGGCAAAGAGTTCGAAGGCTGGATTGTAGGATTGGAATAGTAGAACTACCTCGTATGCTTGTGCGAACTCTTCTTTAGTCCATGAAACAGAACGGTTTGGAAACTGCTTCCTAGTACGAGGGATCACCAGATGCATGAGACATGGAACCTCTTTTGTGCCCAGCGACACTGTTCCTAGGTCGAGCAGTACAGGGACCTCATGGAAACAGAGGTTAAGCTCGCGATGCACCTGGATGCCGGTTTTCTGAGTCTCGTGAATACTATGCTAGATGGCGGCTAGGTACATATATCATAAGATCAAAACCATTCCTTGATTGCCAGTTCGTTTCCATTCAGCAACTCCTGTTGTGTCGTCGTTGGTCCTATGCCATCGTCTTCCCTCAAGGCATCACTAGCTACGGGTGACCCACCTGTTCACCTGCTCCGCCACTGGCTGCCATACTTTACTTGTGCGCCGCAATGACTTTCTCCATCTCCTCCTTGCTGCCCATGAAGATCCCACTTCGGTCATGGATACCTTCTGGCTTCACCTCTAGCATCCTCTTCATATTGCTGTTAACTGCCATCCCACCCGCATTCTCCATAACTAATGCCATAGGTGCACACTCGTACAGAATCCTCAGTTTTCCCTTAGGGGATTTCTTATCCGCCGGGTATGCGAAAATACCTCCGTATAGTAAAGTGCGGTAAGCGTCGGCAACCATAGACCCAATGTAGCGGGCACTGTATGGCTTGCCGCCCTTTTCGGTGGGGTATTTGAGCGACTCGAAGTACGCCTTTGTTTTGTCGGTCCAGTATAGGGAGTTGCCCTCGTTCACAGAGTAGATGGCACGCTTCTTTGGGATGCGCATGTTCGGATGTGTGAGGATGAATTCTCCTAGGGCGTTGTCCTACATTATTTTGTTAGCACGAGAATAGCTCTGCCGCGCATAGAAAGGAATGTTGAGCGATCCGCTTACCAAAGTGAATCCGTTAACAGAGCCGCCTTTCATGGTGATGACGAGTTGAGCGGAGGCGCCATACATGGTGAAGCTGGTTCTGTTAGGATTGTTCCGTTGTCTAAAGGCCTCACATTCCAACCTCCGACTTACCCAGCAGCAAGCAGTTCCGTGCCTGGCATAAGGAGATCCTCTGGGGAGGGTTTCTTGCCAACGACACTGTCCGGCAATTTCATAATTCCAAAGATAGTTCCTACACTGACACCGGCATCCAAATTGCTCGATCCGTCAATGGGATCGCAGGCCACGACGTATCTGGCATCATGGCTGTCGTCAAAGTATATCACCTCCTCTTCCTCTTCCGACACTAGGGCTCTGCATTTTCCAGATCCGCGCATGGCCGCCACGAACAGGTCATTGCCAATCACGTCGAGCTTTTTCTGATCGTCGCCTGTCGTGTTAGAAGAACCAGCGAGACCGGTCAGATTGATCAGAGTGGCGCGACGGATATAGTAGGCGATGGATTTGAAGGAGAATTGAAGGGCATGGCAGAGCAGTCTGCAAACACAAACACCGTTAGCCTTGAAGTGCTTTCTGTGAGGAAAGTGGTTTGGTCGGCTGACGTGAAGTCACCCGTTGCTTCCTTGTGCTTGCTCTGTTCTTCCGTCAGGAATCTAGTAAGGGTGATGATGTCTGTGTTGATTTTCTCCTCGCCCGTGCCGGTATTCTGGCCATTGGTATCTCCGTTGGTTGCCATTTTGAGGCTTCTGCTGTTGCTATGGTTCACTATGGAAGAGGAACCGTCAAGGACAGGGAGGTCTGAATGGGCGACGTAGGGCACGCGATGGGTATATGATCCTCGGTAGAATGGAAGACAGACGTCAGAGGAGCAGGGGACGACGGAAACTGGGGATGCAGAAGCCTGGGCAAGCAATCAAATGAATCAAGTGGAAACAGATACCAAGAAGAGAGAACAGGAGCCAGATATCTCAGGAAAAGCCAGTGGTTTTAAGGAGAGCGAGCTGCTGTCAATTCCGACAGCCCCATATCGGGTGGCAGTATGGCAAGGCAATGTCAACATCATTGTTTGGTCAGTGTCCGCCAGTGGGTGCTTCTCCGCATCAGACAGTCAATCCGAGTCAATTCGCCTCTACAAATGGGAAACATGGAAAGCGAAGGGAGGAGGAGCAGTAGGCGACTGGATGGAGGGATGGAGGGGCAAACCAGACTGCGCTGCGCATGGACACGGACGGCAGCCGAGGAATCAAGGTCCCGACATCTCCCGGTGGGCCCCTTCTCACGTGATATCACATGGGGGAGATGGGGGGCGAGGCTGAGTGTATTTGTGCGCGACGAGGCATTGTGCGTACTTGCAGTAGAGCAATAACTCTTGGCATGATAACCACGGAGAAATACATGTCTCGCCTCCAATTATGCATGTTTCACTCTAGAAAGGTTGCTGCAATCGTCGACCCTGCTGGCTGAGCTCGGTATTCATCAGCCCGAGCAACACCCGTCGGGCAATTTCGGAGTTGGTCGACAGCAAGGTCCTGAACCCCATGGCATCCCCCCAATCCATTTTCTGCCTGCTCAGCATCCTCTCAGTCCGGCTAATAGTATAAGAGCGATCGAGAGCAACCCTCCCAGACCAGAACCCAGCCTCGCCAGATACCGTAACACTTACTCAGCCAAAACTTCATCACGCTCAACAAAGCAATGACTTCATCACTCACGCCTCGTTCAGCTTCTCTGCTCGGTGATAGAACGGAGGCAACGGCTCGAGTTTCTGCCTCAACACCCACACGCGGAAATGCCAAACAGCATTCTTCATCTGGTAGCTCATGTGCTTACGAGTGCTGACGCCGAACACTTGATCCAATTCTTCGAGGGTCAGAGCCTATAAAGATCGCGTCAGAATCATGCGTCAACCCCAGATATATTCGGCCAAGCGTACCTTGGTCTCGGGAACAAACAAGAGAATTAAGCACCACAAGACGATACACCATGCCCCGTACCACCCGAATGCCCCCTGAGGTTTGAAAGCCGTCAGGAGATGAGGCCAGGTGAAACTGAGAATGAAGTTGAAGCACCATGTCGTAGCTGTCGCAAAACTCATGCCAACATCTCGAACGTGCACAGGAAACGCTTCTGCTGAGTAGGTAAATGGCACAGGGCCTTCGCCGGGCGAATAGAAGATCTAGGAAACGGCGGTCAGAGAATTTTGGTTGACTCAGAAAAGTTGCTGAGCACTTGGCTCACCTCAAACAGGTACATTCCGGTCGTGACCATGCCAACTTTGGTCTTGGTGTCATGAAACCAGAAGCTGAAGCCAGTCCATAGCAAGAAGATCGCCAGGAAAGGGAACGTAAAGAGCAACAGATTTCGACGCCCCCAACGATCAATGGTGAACACTGCCGGTAATGCAAACACCCAGTTCAAGATACCAGTACCCATCGATGCTAACAGGGCGGACGTCGTCGAGAACCCGCTCTGCAAAAAGATAGTTGTGGAGTAATACGCAATCACATTTACCCCACAAAATTGCTAGGACAGGAGTGCGTCAGCATGATATATCATCATGTCTTAAGCAATGGACCGTCTTACCTGCCCGAACATGACAATCCAGGACGCCAACGTTGCTCGTCGATTTCGAGGAACTGTGAAGAGTTCGAGAAACTGGGTGACTAAGTTCTTGCCTTTATGGGCCTTGCGTTCGAGTTCAACACCAACGTATGTGTAGTAGGTATCTCTTGCCGCTTGGAGGTCGGTGAACCTCAGGCGTTGGAATGACTGGAATGCCTTTTCTGGTCGATTGTGCTGAATGTACCATCTATGGAAAGATTCTTAGCAAGTCTCTCTCGAGGCGCACACAGACGTGGTATCTTTGATGCCTCGTACTACCTACCTTGGGCTTTCAGGGCAGTAGTAGACTTGAGCGCAAACAATCAATGGAAGGACAACAGTGCTGCCGAGCATAAGTCTCCACCCAAGATCTGGTGCCAGTCCGCCGAACGCCACGCCCATGATGTTTCCAAGCATGATACCTATAATAACTATCAAAAGACGCGATCAAAACATTGTGATGGGCGATCTACCGAATGCGGTCCACATTTGCCACATCATGACCAAGGCCCCGCGGATGGGGGCTGGAGCGCACTCAGCAGAGTACACTGGCACCGTCGACGATTTGGGACCAATTCCAAGTCCTCCAAAGAGCATTAGCAGACTTCTTCCCGTTGTACGACAACCAATCCAATAGACTCGGCTCACCCAGGACGAAACGTGCCAAAAACAGGTTCACCCACGAATTGGCGACCCCTTCCCAAACCGAGGCAACTGCGGCAATGAAACAAGAGATGGAGATCGTGCCCCGACGGGCAAAGACTCTGTTGCACGGCTCCGTCAGCCAGCAACCGAGAATAGCACAGCATACTGCAACCTTCGTCAGCACCCAGCCAGAAAATTCTCCTATATCTCGCAGAAGTCCCCTTCTAAGGGGAAGGGGAGTCGAGCTCTTACGATATGGTGCACCGACAACCAAGCCGGTCAAGTTGTCAACCATATCTTGGCTAAATCGCTTGGTGGTGATATTAAGTTGCTTGAGATAGAGCGCTTGTGCACCGTTGTTCACGGTCTCATCCATGCCCTGCACAGCAGCGGCCAGCGAACACATGACAACCAACCAGTAGAGGGTAAATGGTTGAGACCAGCGATGCGTGTGCTCCCGTGCGAGTACCTCTCGATCCTCGGGTGACAGCTCGACAATATTGTCAGTGGCATTTGGAGATTGAGCTACCAGAGCACCTTTGCGGAATGAGTCAATGTACTCGACGAGATTGTTGTCTCTGCAAAAGACCTCCACTTCTTCCAGGAGTTTCTCCTTGGGTATATCAGAAAGCGGGTTTTCAAATGCGGCACTCAATTTGCTTATATCCACGTCCATGAAGGACTTCCTGCGAGAAGGCGCATTCTCAACATTGGTGGCAGTACGCTCACTGTCGCCGGATTTCCTGCCGTAGGGTGCCTTTTCCTTTTCAGCCATGTTGGGCAGTCAGCAATAACCAAGATCCAAACACAGCCCCGTCTTGCTTTGGAGAATCAGACAAGAAGGGGTCAGAAGCAAGCGTCAATGGTCTCTGGGAAGGACAAAGAAAAGGGTCAAGGAATGTCAAGAGAAGTCAAGACATTCTTGTACATCTTGTCTCGGCTCAGCTGCAGGGAGAGCCTGGCCCTGTACTTGCCCTGTATCAAAGCGCTGGACGCTCACTCGCAGAGTGGGATCACAAAGATCAACAATCGACGTCATCGTATTCATTGGGCCACCGACGGGACTATGTGGTCAAGGCGACATCCAAGTAGAGTTCGGGATGGATGCTGCCGCTAACTTAAGAGCAATCCAATGGCATCTCGCTGTTGACAGGATACGTGGAAATAGGCCGGAGAGTCCAACGCCCTCCCAGTCCGTATCAACAATGAGTTGTGAGAGTTGTGACAGGATCCCTGCGCGATAGACGTCAGAGCGGCAAGTTGATCAGCAGGGCTAACTCGGGGCCTTAATCAGGATGCAACGACGCAACGTGCGTGATGTGGTTTTGATCGAGATCAAGCTCGCAATCGAGCAAGGGAGAAGAGAAGGACTTGCGGGCGATCATCAACGTCCTGATTGTTGGGTCCCTGCCAAGGCGCCGGCTCCACTCTCCTCTCTTCGGGTACCTAAGCTACCGCAAAGGGAGGACCTCGTATACGGAGTACGAATACAGGGCATCCTCGTCCCACCCAACAACCCCCGGAAGTCCTTCTCCATCTCCCCGTCGCTCGTATTCCTTGTATCGAGTCCGCATACCCAAGAGACATCCACCGCGAGGAATCCACTTGCAACCCTCCCGTCGTGGTCACACGCCGCCTTCTGCGAGCAGAAGTGGAGTCAAAGGTGCCATATCATCCGTCGACGGCCCTGTGCATTTCAGCATCGAACAAGTATGTACCTGGCGACCCGGACTGTTTGTACAATAGTGATGGTGATAGTATACCTCAATAACGGGGGATAGAGGATGAAAAGTGACAGGGCCTTTCATCGCATCTGTGCACAAATCCAGTCATTCCTTCATTATTCATAGCCATACAAACTAGGTCTTCGCTCAATTGGTATCATCTCAATGTGATCTTGGGAAAAAAAAAATCCCCCGTAAGACGCTGTCAAGCTATTCACCACCTTGTATAGAGTCATCCCAGCCGCCCACACTTTCCAAAAACATCTTCACCCGTCCTTTCTTGCTCTGCAAAGCACTTCCCAGTGCCTCGAGCCACTGCTCCTCAATCATCGCCACTTGCTGCTTCAGCTCTGCAGTAGCCGCCTTCTCTTGCTCGTCTCGAACTTGGACGGGATCCTCTCCCGCCACAGGACCATCCAGTTCGGCGCGCGCTCGCCTGGCTTCGGTAGCTCGACACCTTGCTGCTATTAAACTGACTTTGACTTCGTGGAATAGACAGTTGAGGTTGCTTTGTGATTCTATAAATTGATATGTCGATTTCTCCGCGTGATCGAGCAATGTGAAAAGATACTGTTGTGGAAACTGACGGTATACGGGGTTCTCCTCGTACTCAGCGTCAGGAATCACAATGGCGCCCAATTGGTCCATGTTGTCGGGGATCTTTTGAATCAGGTCCAGCAGTCCAGGTGCGATGTCCCAAAATGCAGACGACTGCAGTTCCACCTCGCCTTGGACATGTTCTGCAACCAGGTCGACGAAGCTCTGATACCGTAGCAGCGCTTCCTCACAGAATGCCTTGTGTCGCTCAACACTGTCGCGATTGAAGAAATCCTCCGTGTCCCGAATCTTTTCGAAATTGCTGACTTGGTGATAAGGCAAGAGTACAATGGCTTTGTACTTGTCGTTTCGCTCGGTGAGAAGGTTGAATATCTCTTTATGGACAGTTTCTCGAGTTTCGAACAACCATTTCAACTGGGTCAGATATTCCAATATTTCAGGCATTGCGTCTCCCTCTTGTTGTGGTCGATCGAGGTCTGAAGCCTGCATGTCTGCCACCAGCTGCTGGGTCAATGCCGTCATATGGGCGTTGAGCTGCGTTGCGCGATCATGAAGCATTTCATGCATCGGGTTAATCACCACGTCCTGCAACGTATCGAATTCTGCTTGCAGGCAGGCTTTCTCAGCCATATTCTCTTCCATCTTAAGTGCCTGTTCGGCTTCTGCAGCTTCGGCAAAGGTGATGCTGCCCTCATTGATCTGCGCCGAGATATTTGTCTTGAAGTTCTTCTGCCCCTCAGCAATTTTGCGCTTATGTTCGGTCCTCAAAGCCTCCACACTTAGATTATGTCGCGACCTCCTACTCTGCAACTCACTCAAGTCGCTTAACGTCCGGACGAGCCTACGATACGTGGCCAACTTGGGATGACTGTTATTCACAGCAGGGTGGTGTCGCGGATATGGTGGAGGCAGGGTGATAAACCGTGAAATATCAAGACCCACAGGGGTCAATGGGTTTGGTGGGGTTGTCTCCTGTACTGGTGGCGGCTCGAGGTCATCGTAGATGCCAAATGACCCCGGATTCACCTTCTCGTCTGGATAGCCCTCCGTCGAGCTGTGTACTTCATTAATGTTGGTCGGTGTCGCGGCCTCGGACAACACTTCCTGCATCGACAGAGCGGAGAGACCCATATATTTGGATTCCCGCTTCGACCTTTTCATCTTCTTCGGTGCGCCGTCAGTTTCCGAGCCAGTTTGAGACTGCCACCATCTGCTGGCGGTTCGACCACGGGAACTGAGTTCGTCGTTACTCATACTGGCAATCGGCGAGAGCTCCGGGCGGTACTCCTTGGACCACATATCCGTATGTTGAGACGGATCGGCCCGCATTCCGTGCATAGGTGATCGCATTCTGCCGGGTGTCGTAGCCCGCACCTCAACTGGGGCTGTTGTTCTGCTATCGGTAAAAAGCCGCTGTTTTGCCTCCTCTGGGTTGAAGGACCCATCAGCGAACGGACTTGGGTAATGCTGCCGCCGGATCTTTGACTCCTCCACAACATACTCCACAAAAATTTGCAATCTCTCTAGCTCAGTGTTTGCTTGGTTTTCCTTTATCAGAAATTGTTGGTGCCGCCGTAAAGCTTCTTGCATGAAGGAATCGTACTCAACTTGGCTGAGTTCAGATACCGATGATGCTGCTGAAGGCAAAATACTGTGCGCCGAAGTGGGGTTCTTCTGACTGAGCGGAGGTGTAGGCAGCGCCTTTGGCGGAACAAGCGGTGTCCGGCTGCTCCTCCTTGACAGTGCTGGAGGATACGGTGAGTCAAGGGCTTGGTACTCGCTGTCGTTGCCATGGAATCGGCTCCTGGTCCTGCTGCTGGTCCGGAGACCCTTTCGAGCAGTCTCAGGGCTGGCTCGTCCTGGCGCCAATGGGCCCAAAATAGGTGATTGTTCGGGACTAATACCGGTGGGGCTCAAGCTGTTGAACCAGGGGTCAGTGTCAATAGTCAAGGCGCTGAGATCGGCCAATTGACCCTCATGAAGACTTCGACGTTGCTTCCGACGTTCCAGAAGGCCTTTAGCGGAAGAGACGCGGACAGCAGCACTTCTAGTCAAACCTGCAGGTGTCGAGCCCGGTCGATCGAGGTTCGTAGTCTCAATATGTAGCGGCATCGGCGTTCTCGAACTGGATCGATGAGTAGACTCATCTCTCCAATTTGCAGGTGTAGGAGGCATCGGACTGAGAAGAGGGGCATGTATCGGAATGCGATGATGTGGTCGACTGCTGCTCGTTCCAGCTGCCTGTGGCTGACCAAGAGTCAGACCTCCGCCTGCACTCTGCGACCTCAAAGCTGAAGGAGGCGGACCTGGAGGCGGACCAGGTAAAGGCAGTCCTGGATACCAACTTCTCTGTTTGGATGATGATCTCGACGTCGACCCCTCCCGACTCTGAATAGACGAGGGGTGAGAAGAACAAGCATCCGCTGACGCAGCTCTCCTCGACCCTGGCGGAGCTGGGACTGATCCAAGATTTGCGTCAGTCTGTGGAGGTAGAGGCATGCTCTGTTGTGCAGCCACCGTGTTGATCGACAGAGTGGTCCCCAAAGGATGTCTCGACATACCCATTGCAGAACCTGGCCGTGACCCATTTTGCTGCGATGAAATACTCAGGGGTCCCGGGCGGTGATCGAAACCACCAGGTCGTCCTGGAGGACTGAAATATTTCAGTCCATTCGTGTCGGTGATAGTCTGACCGCTATCTGCGAGATAGTTAGATCCTTGGTTGAGCGGTGACAACACTCCGACAGTACTAGTCGGCGTGTCTAACTGTGATTGATTTCCAGGAGCCGTAAACGTCGAATCCGCCGGTGATATGGTTGACCCAGCACTGGTAGCCTCGCGGACATTAACACCCGCTGCTGCCGCCACCGCCGCCGCCGCGGCTGCAGCGGAATATGGGGGAGGTGGATTGGAAAGTCCCTCTGTACACAGGATCAGACATACTCGTTATCCACGGGACATCAACAAACCTTCCGCTTGTGCCCCGGTGTTTCGGCCATCTGACCCAAATGACGTTCGCCGACTACCTCCCACCCACTCTCTCGGGTCGTAAGGCACATTGTAGACTGCCGACACTCTTGCAGCCATTGGTAAGGCACTCTGTGGACTCGGCACAGGCGAGTTGAGATATGTCGGGGAGAAGGGACCATGGAGCAGAGGAGCGGAGACGGGACCTTGCGTGGACAGACCACGAGCAGAGGCAATGTTGATGTTCAGCGGCGGTGGGAATGGGACATGGCCGAGGCGCACTGGAGAGGCCGCAGTCTGGCCATCCCTTGGTGGTGGTGGTGGAAGAGGAATAAGAACCGTGGGAGTTCTTGGGGAGTGTTGATATTGAGCCTGGGCATGTTCAGCCGCAGAAAGAGGTCGGCTTTCGAAACGCTGTTAGCCTGTCCTGCCTAGGAGCTCTAGACTGTGACAAGGAACCACAGTCTTCGACGTAAACATACAAGGACATGTCGTGAAGAAACAGTCTTGCCCGACCGCCAAATTGAGATTGGTGGGTTAAGCGCCCACACGGTTCAAGTCACATTCGCGCATGGTGGGCGTTGGTGTTGTGTCGTTTCTGGCATCAGCGGCCACACTGGTCTTTCAACTCACTGCTCGACATTGGAAGAGTCTTCAGCGGGAAGAGAATACTATACCAGGTACCCTCTAGAAATGAAAACAGAAATAAAGGCCCTGCCAACCCTGAACTTGATCGGAGGCGAGGCAAGGGACATGGAGGGCGAATGCGGAAGTGGAGAGGCAAAAGTAGCAGATTGTGTTGCTATTCTTTGCCTGAAGCCTACAGGCCAAGCCCAGAACCATATTGGTCGCTTACAGCCGTTGGTCGACACCATGGGGATGGAGATTGTCTGCAGGGACAGGTGGCCGGAGAATAACTCGGGCTCTGGGTGGCCTGAGTCGAGAATATTTGGACGCTGACAGGGCCGATGCGATGAATGTGCAGGAACCCAGAGCGGATGCGGGATGGTGGGCAATGGGCAAGGCTCGCAGAGCGCCTCCGCAGCCAATGGTGCCTGAGGGGGTTCACTCCCAAGGGGGTGCAAGGGAGAAAATAGCAGCAACTATAACTCATGGGGAACAGATACGGAGAAATGGACAAAGTCATCCCGCCTATAAGGTCAGATTGCTGGCGGGACTAACCTTTAGGCTAGTTGGTGCGCATACCATGTCGTTAGCAGTAACAAGCTGCAAGAGCCCATCGCTTGACCTTCCGCTTCCGTCCTGCTACCAACTGCGCTTTCACATTTCATAAGAGAAAATAAGAAAAAAAAATTTGACGGTCTTCTCGTACCATACCCGGTACCTTGTACACCAACAACATCTTCGCCTGCCTCTCTTCTTGCAAGACCTTGTAATCCTGCCGAGAGGCAGCTGGAGGCTCTTCAGACAGCAAGATGCATGATGATGCAAGCAGGATCAATGAGGACTGTTGCTAACACTACAGGTCGACCGCCTACTTCACAAGTCAGGTTGACGTTGACGTCTCGCCTCTAACTACTCGCTCCACAGATGGGAGGCCACCCTTCCTACAAGCTGCTGCACACGGGAAGGATAGCAACTATGAAAATGACGGTCAGACAAGTTCTTCGGTGTGTTTCCCCATGTTCCAGGTCCTTCCTCCAATGATGAATCTGCATACCGTAACAAACTAGAGTCTTTGATCCTTTTGGATATGAAACTCAAATCGCAACGCACGTCAGTCTGATCATGCAAAATCCCCGTATCACAGGCGTCAGTCCGTCAAGAGACATTTGGCTAACATGTACCATAGAAGTCCTCGAGGCCATAGAGTTCCTGTTCGTCCCCATCCCAGAGTTATGAACATTCGGGTACGTCGTTCTCCGCCCAGTCGAGCATGCCAACCTGTTATGATGATTGTTTCAAGATAATATACGCTGGAAATTACCGGCAGAGGCTTTCGAGCCGTGGAAGATATCAAAATGGCTATATCTGATCACTCAAACCCCTCCGCAGTTTGCAATACTTGAGGTCTGGTGGGGAGTTTTGCTGACTGGTGTTTGAAGATAGATATCCCAAGGTACGACCGGCTCTACTACTCTCCTGGATGCAAATTGTCTTGATGAATGGCACTGGGCTCCGACAACGGCTACAAAATTCGCCGGTTTTGATGGAAATGCCCCATTGCGGCAGGCCTAGAAAACCTCGCCCGCTGATTTACCCCATGTCGTCCGCTGGCCACGTTCTTCATTCACGACTTGCACTGATTGTCCTCTCTTTGAACAGAGCTGGTCAAAGCATATTTCGCGCTTGAGTATGTGTCTTCCCCTCTCTATTCTGACCTCACTTTCAATGATGAACTTTCCTAGATGACGAGTCTTATCCAGTACTCTGATGCAGATAAACTCCAACTACCATTCATGCATTTCCTGACTTTTGCAACAACAACAAATTCGTTCCCTGTCTTTTGAGGGCAATGCTAACGACGGAATCTTGCAGGTCTCTGGCTGGAATGCAAGTATGTTCAATCCTGTCAATCTCCCTAGCATTTACATGATGAATCGACACATCACAAAGACAAGCATATGTCCAAGTCGACTCAAGTTGACAAAGACGAAACAGTCAAGCCTGACGTATACTTCTGTCGATATCTTACCTTAAGGGGCTGTCACAGTCTGATGCTGATATAGACCTCGTACAGGGTTGCTTTGATAGAAAACTCTCATGTGAGTAGCACCGTCTCTTCTACGGCACTTTCTTCTCAGGATGATTTATTCTATAATTCACGACGGTCAACGTAGCTTATGTTTTGACGACCACCGCCTGTGACAAGGCTTAGATCTGATTTTTTTTTTCTTTGGTCACCCTCCACTATTCTTTATGTTTTCAGTTGTGGATCTAGCTGACTCTTTATTTACAGAGAATCATGACCTAACCAGTTCTCGGCACCAAGATATGCGATCTTCACTTATTGTCACTTTTGTCGCGTTGTCATGTTCTAACCCGTGCATTTTCCTTTCATCTTTCACTCCTACTTTCACTCTTGTCTCATGTTTCATTAAGCTCAACCCTTCCTACTACCCCTAGCCTGGTGACTCGACTCGAGATCGGGCGGTCGGTTCAGCATGGGCTACCCCAAGTCGAGGCTTCGACACGCCCTTGATGTGTACCACAGGGCCTGGCAACGTTCGACCTCCGCACTCAGAACCAAAGAGCGTCATTTGCGCAAAGATTATCAGCTCCGACGAGTCAAGCCTACTTCCAACTTTGTGCAAGCCGTATCTTGGTATGAAGACGATTCATCCGATGAATATAATCCGAGCACAGCGAAGAGACGTCGACATGCGGTCCGCAAAACATCAAAAGTTAAACGAGCTAAACATGAAACTAAGCCAGCAATATCAACTCTTACCCCAGCTCCTCATGACAGATCTTCCGGGGCTCCAGTGACTCTCAGACTGCGGTCCAATGCTGGTAGGGTCCTCTTAGGGGACCTTGCCAATAAAGATTGTAGCACTAGCTACGAGACAAAATCTTATGCTGAGGCTGCTGCTGACACAAAAGGAGGCGTCACCAAGGGTGGTGCAAGCTGCAATTCAAATCATGGACAACAACACGGTGCTCTTTCGGACAAGACGGGGTTGGAAATACAAGATGAAGAGGGTGACAAGGTCGGCGCAGGAACAAACCGCAGCGGTTTGAGGAGGAATACGGATATTCTGGCGAAGATTCGTGGATGTACAGCGTGCCAGGAAGCCAATAAGCGATGCTCTGCGACATGTAACGGGCTACCGTGCAAACGGTGCCAAACCGAAGGTGTAGAGTGTGCTGAGCACGGCCCGGAGGAGCCAAAGGGATCTCAGGACGTCTCTGATATTGTTCCCGCCAACATCCACCAGAACCCCTATTCACCTGCTCAACCGTCACCTATCCAGATTATTCGAGCTGCGGCAGTGGAGATCCAACAAGCCCAAAGCGTGCTAGCTGGAGCTTCCAGGGATGACCCAATCATTCTAGATTCACCTCGATCGTCGCCCGAACCCGTATCACAGAACGAGGTATTCACCATACAAACCCCGTGGGCCCACCCGATCAATTTCAAGTATTTGGAAACGTCAGAGCAGCCATGTCACTTTTGCCACGATTTTAGATACGGAATCTACGGCTATGGTCCCATCAGCGCCGACGTCTTCCAATTTCCGGGGGAGACAGAGCTTCGAGAGGCGGGTAATGGGCATCAGTCTAGGGGCAAAGAGGCAACGCGCATGTGCGTCAACTGTTCTCTCAACCGCCTCTATATTTCCAGATGCAGGGTACATTCGATGCAACGATTTGCAATTCGATCCGACCAGGTTTATTACAAGTACATCAGCCAGTTGATCGATGAAGGGTATCCTCAAGGACCGGCTCTCAAGCACGGCGCGTACTACTCGTGTTCGCTATGCTGCCAACCTGCGTTCTGGAGATGCTGTGCCGACCAGCGGGTCGATAAGTATTTGAGGAAGGTGGAGGATGGCAAAGGCAGAGGTTGCGGGTTGATTCTTTGTGAATCGTGCGTTGCGCAGGTGAAAGCGGATCAAGGAGTATTAAAGAGATCGACAGCGCAGGAGGTCAACGGGCACGATACTCGACGTGCGGACATGGAATTCCTGTTTGCCGGGAGTTTGCTTCACAAGGCCTGGGCCTGAGGAAGACATGAACATGAGGAGAATTGGATTCCAACTTTGTACCGAGTATTCAGGCGTCTCGGCGCGAAATGCAGGACGAAAGCGCCTCTGGACCGGAGATGGATTGGTGATGGGACTCCACGGCGTATCCTTGCAGTCGATCATCCTGCGCTGAGCATCGCTATCTGGATCTATTAGCAACATAGCGAGCTTTTATCCCAACCTGATGTATTTCTGACATCTCCTTGAGCTCGTCCTCTGATGTACTCTGTGACTTGCGCAAGCACATCATAGAGAGTGGTACCGAGTAAAAGAAGCGCGTCTGTGCCGCCGATAAGCAAATGCTGCCGCGATAAGGAATCTTGTCCCGCCCGTTCAAAAAAAAAAAAAGGGCCATCCAGACACCGGCACCGACACCAGCACCAGCACCATTCCATCAACAGATCCATCTCGAGCTCATCGCCCTTCAATTCCCATCATATCATCCTGCACTGCTCTTCTTCCCGCATATCGTCATCGCCTTTCGACAAAATAACAGGACAGACTCATCCTGTCGGCAACCGAAGCTGTTTGATTGCCTAACGGCTTGACCGCCATTCTCCCAAACAAAACTGCCTGCCTCCGACCCTGATCGATAGCGGACATCATGAGACCGTGAGAGCTCGAAAGATGAGGACATTGGCGCTGCATACTGCTCATCAGATTCATCGGTCACCTCTGCCACGCTTACCCAGCAAGCCCATAAGCCCATTGCGGGCGCCCCGAAACAGCCTCCTCAGTCCACCATGAGTTTCATTCAGTCCAGTCCGTTGGCCATGCTCAACAGGAGCACCTTGAATCGGGTGCTTCAGCCCTCTGATGTGAGCGACTCTCTTTTATCTGATTGTGCTGTCATGTTCATCGGCCTCTGCATCTTTTAATTTACCGCGCATTGCTCCGTCGGACAAGCGAATTGTTTGATTGTCACATGAGGAGCATGCTTTCTCTTCCCTGAGGAAATGCTTCGGCCTTGACAGCCGAGGCAACAGCCAATCTGGCTACGGCGATGAAGCCTGACACTCTTGCGCCTGGAAACGCAGTCATCCGGTGAACCGACCACCCCCATCTTTGTCCCATCGCCATTGCCTTCTAGATGGAGTAAGCCGAGCAGAACCAGATGCTGGGTTGTGGAGAAGAAGCCAGATCTGCAAGCGAGCCCCCCCAAAGGCCACTCCTGAATGTTCCGATTGTGCAAGGCGGGCATGGACCAGCACCAGCCAGCAGCGAGCCAAACCCGTCGACTCCGGCCAGAAAATTGTGTTGAGCCGAGAAAAAAAAAAAAAGGCGATAGCCCACAACGATTCTCCTGATGTGCATGGTTTTCATATCCATCGAGCCATCACCACGCGACCAGCCGCCTTCCCCAATCTAGCCCAAATGAGATGTGGTCTGATCTCGACAATTTCCAGTTTGCACTTGCCTGTGACGCATTTGGCTCGAGCGTTATTCTTGGTCTCGCTTGGACGTTCAGTTAAAGATTCCCGAGTCGACATCTCGCCGCTCGCTCAGGATTCGATTCTGCGACAAGACCACTCCTCTGTTCGTGAAGTGAGACTACAACCACTGCAGAACATTCTGTTCAATCATCTTTGATCCCCGGCCGATATTGCTGGGATGGGCCAAGACGTGAGCACGCCCGAATTTTCCTCTTGAGACATTGCCTACGCTCAGAGCACGAGGCACGGCAAGCCTTCGTGTTCGACACATGCGTCCTTTTGCCCCTGGTCCCGCATCAGCCGGAACGAATCATTTGTCCAATCCAGCTTCTTCTTCGTGCCATTCACGTCGTTCCTGATTATGGGGTTGTGCATCCCTCAAAGCGATCGAGTATGACGTCGCTTCACAATCTTGCTTTTCGAGTTGCGTGATTGGTCACACAGCTACTAACATCAATGCAGTCCGAGGTTACTCAGATCGTTGTGGTTATGGTCGGCTTGCCGGCTCGAGGCAAGAGTCTGATAGCCGGCAAAGGTTTGTCCACAAAGCTCAAGCCTGTGTGCCCTTGCGCTAATGTGGTCCAGTCAAAAGATATCTTCGTTGGACATCGGTGAACGCTGAGGTCTTCAATGTCGGCACATACAGACGGACCGACAATCCGCATCCAGACGCCAAATTCTTCGATGTCAACAACGCCGAAGGCGAGAAGGCTCGCCGCGCTGCGGCCGAAGCAGCCGTCGCCGACATGTTGATGTGGTTCAAGGATAGGAACAATAAAGTCGCCATCCTTGACGCAACCAATTCGACCAAATCGCGGCGGAAATGGATCCACGATAAGATCGTCGAAGCAAACCTGCTTCACCTGTTCGTCGAGAGCAAATGTGACGATGAAGACCTCATCATGTCCAACATTCTCGAAGTCAAGACAACATCTCCGGACTACATCGGTCAGGACCCCGAGGTAGCAGCCAAAGATTTCCGCAGCCGTATCCGAAACTACGAGAAGGTCTATCAGACGATAGACGAGTCAGAAAAGCATCTCACCTACGTAAAAATCATCAACATCGGCGCACGGGTGGTGATCAACCTCATTCAAGACTATCTACAGTCCCGCCTCGTATATTACCTCACTAATCTGCACATCAAACCACGCAGCATATGGCTGTCCAGACATGGCGAGTCTGAATACAACCTCGAAGGCAAAATCGGTGGCGATGCCAACTTGTCGGAGCGTGGTGCACGGTACGCGAAAATGCTACCCGAGCTGGTCAAGCGGTCTGGGTTGCCAAAGGACGCGCCTTTGACGATATGGACATCGACTTTGAAGAGAACAAGTCAGACGGCGCAGTATCTCCAGGAAGAACTCGGCTGGGAGAAGTTACAGTGGAAAGCGCTCGATGAGCTGGACAGTGGTGTTTGTGACGGGATGACCGTAAGTTGGAATATTACTACCATTGCTGTTGGCGTCTATTTCCCCCCCGTTACGTGCTTACCGGTCTTCTTTTATCATGCAGTACCAACAGATATCTGAGAAATACCCCGAGGATTTCCAAGCCCGCGACGACGACAAATACAACTACCGCTATCGTGGCGGCGAGTCCTATCGCGACGTGGTCATCCGGCTTGAGCCAATCATCATGGAACTTGAACGAAGCGAAAATATCATCATCATCACGTACGTACATCTTCAAACATTCCAATTTCACGCTCTTTTTGTTAGTGTTTGACCGCGACACCCATCTTCCGAAATCTTTTCCCTTTTGTCCCCATTCGTTCATAGAATCCATCTCACTGACGCCGTCCATGAAATATACAGTCATCAAGCCATCGTCCGCTGCATATTCGCGTACTTTATGGAAATCCCGCAGGAGAAATCCCCTTGGATGGAAGTGCCGCTGCACACGCTCATGAAGCTCACGCCCAAGGCGTACGGGACCGAAGTCGAACGCTTCAAGGCCGACATCCCGGCAGTATCAACGTGGAGACCCAAGGGCAGCACGGCTAAGCACCACGACAGTGTCAGCGAGTGCATACCGGAGGACGTGGTCGGCGAGGCCAAGGGGAAGAATTTTGGCGCGCGGGACGGCCTGGTCGTTAAGGAGATCGATGCCGGCAGTGCCAGGAGGGAGTTGACCGCGGGGGAGGTGCCCAAGATCATGATGACCGGGTTGCCCTTGCCTTGAGGTCTGGATACGGGAAGTGGCTGGTGGGGAGGAGACCTCAGAAAAGGAGAAGAAGGCAGCGAGAAGAAACAGACACGCGACTCGGCGAGGAGAAGCGGAGGGAAATCGAGGATGGATTCCCGATGCATTACGCCCTCTGCATCCAAACAAGTGGGTGAGCCATCATTGTAGAGAGAAATACGATTATAGTCTGGTTAGAGTGCATTATTACAGAATACACTTGTACCACTCATGGGTTCTACACACCCTTCACTCTTAACAGCCTGTATTCTGTGTCAGACTGTGTCACCTAATTTTCAATCTGACTCTGTGTAAATGAGTCGGTCAGGCGGCCGGTGAGAGCGTGGATGTAAAGTTGTAAACTCTCGGATAGTTCATGCTTATCGGGGACTGCTTGGGGTGGTATTCATCAATTGCCACCATGCTGCATCAAACACCGACCAGTGTGTTCCAATGCATATCCACTGTGCCTCTAGGTAGACGATCTAGTTCTTTACCCGATGATATATATAGAACGTGTGGTCGACCCAACAAGCCCAAAAGGAAAAAAAAAAAGGGGGGGGGTTCAGAAATAAATCCATAAAATCGTGCAAAAAGTGTTCAATTTGCTGTACAAGACAAAACTATGACTCGCCATGGGCATCTCCGAACTAGGTAATGTTGAGCACTGTCGATACTTGTGGAGCATAGGGCGGTGCTGAACCCATCAGTCAAGCAGTAGACATGGGATGGACGATGTGTCATGTTAGCAAGCGAAAGGCGCCCCGACCGTGCCGCTGTCGTACGCGTCGACGATCAGCTTGATTGAGACGTATGTTCCTGAGAAATGATTCGAGGTTGTCAGTCATGTATTCGAATCCCATGCACAATGTTATGCAGTAGAGCCACAGTCAAGATCCAGAGAAGAAGAAAAGCAACCCCGAGAAATCTATGAAGCACTTACCGGCAACGCAGATGAAGGCTCCTGCAGCAAATGTCGCCACATTAATTACTGTCTTGATTGGACTTCCAGCCCATGCCCTGATGCCGTACATGCCTTTCACTCGATCCATGTCCATCCCGTGATAGGCATCATATAACCAAAAAGCACCGGCGATCCCGTAGGTATACCAGCTTGCGAACAGACTGGCCGCAATACTCACCAGATAAGCGAATATAGGTACACCCACAGCCAAGACAAATGCGGCTCCATTGGCAAGGACGATGAGGATGGTCCAGGTGGCCCAGCCTAAGACGGTATGTTTGTGGAGATGATCGCGAGATTTGCGGAAAAACCGAATGAAGAACAACTTGGCGGCGGTGTGGGAGTACAAGGAGCCAGCGATGAGGAAGTTGGGAAGGGCGATACCGTACGTGGCTTTCGCCCATTTGGTGGGGAGGGATGAAAAGGCTGGCGACTGTACCGACGGCCCTAGATACACATACATGACGATAGCGAAAACAGTATAAAACCTATGAGAGGATTGCCCACGGCGGCTCTCAGTCAGCCTCAAATATTGATATGCCATCCATGAGGCAAGTGGGCAGTGGTCCTCACTTACGTGGTCGCAAAAACCTGCAACACCCACGCTGCCTTTTTGGCATCGGCGGGCTGCTTCATCTCGGAGATCAGGATAAAAAACATAAAATGTCCTGCGTACGCAAACACGGGATTCGTAATGGACACAAAGGCGTTATAAAAACTGGCGGAACGGACGACGTCGACGTGTCGATCCGGGGCGGGATTTCCTCCAGCGGCTCCCATCCCTACCACGCCGGCCACCAGAATGCAGATGCATGAAGGAATGCAGAGCCAGGAGAGCTGGTCCAGGGTCCGGGGAAAAGAAAGCAAGAGGGTTGGAATTGCAAATATTCCTGACTTGTCAGTCGTTGACGATAGATATGGGAGCAAGCGTTTCAAACGCACCGGTATACCACATCAGACAGAGCTTGTTGTCCGACAATACACCCAAGGCGATCTGCCCAGCAAGTAGCTGTGACCCCGTGGCACACACGGCGAAGATGACTGTGCCCGCGGCGAGGATTTCTCGCAATATGGGCCCTCCGAGGATCTTACCGGCGTCGCCCATATTATGGACTTCTGGGTGGTTGATTTTAAAGTCTATGAGCACCAGCGAGGTGTATAATGCAAAGAGCCCTATGTAGGTTGCGGTCAGAGATGAGATTCGAGGTCCACGTCTAACGGCCTGCAGCTATCTCACCAAGGAAAACAATCAGGATGACTCCGGGGACGATGCCGACCACTGCTGTCGCTGCTGGCAAGGAGAGCATGCCATTGCTGACAATTTCCGCAATCATGAGGACGGCAACGAGGGGCCATGACAGTGTTTTGTATTTGATATCAGCACCTTCCTCATTACCAAAGACGTCACGGTCTGAATCTGTTAGCAATGCGCAGACAATCGAGATGTATACCAGTGCGAAACACACCATGGTAGCCAGCAGGGGCACCGTCGACGAGGTCCCTCGACCGGACGGTTGAAAGTCCCTCGGGCTCAGCGATCTCGTCCGCTGGACCCCTGTACTCAAACTTCTTTTCGTAGCTCGACATTGTCTGGAATTCCACGTTCCTCCCGGTTTGGGTTATTAACAATGCTTGTTAAGTCACGTCCAAACTTCAGCTGGCATGACAATGAAGTGAGCAGCACATCGAGAAGGGGAGATAAAGATTAGAAGAGAAGACCAGGCGAGACATTAACAACATTCGCGTTCACAAGCCATTATCTATCTATCCCCTTCTGCCGAAAGAGGAAGGTGGCAAGCCGCCATGCAGTAATATGTGTCTCGTTACAAGAGTGGGATTGGATATGTAGCAACACTGATGATGGAGGTCCACTGAGGTCAAGAGTTAGTACGAGGTCGGGGGTGGGAGGGGGGAGTGGGAAGAGAAGAGGGATCACAGAGAGCGGAAAGACGCCGACGCCAAGCCATATGCGCCACTTAGCCACACTAATTAGCGCTAACCATAATAGGCGCACTAGCCACATTTATCCGCCCCAATTCTACCTCGTAGAATCACATGCTTTGTATGTCTGCCGAGCCAATCATCATCTGATCCGCAACCACCGAGCCACCTTCGTCATACCATTCCTCCAGTTGCATCCCAGCTCGCCAGGTTGAAACTGGGCAGCAGCAGAGAGCTTCTGCTCCTTTGTTCCGCCTCGTCACGGTCACTTTGTCACTCTGTGCGAATACTTGTCTCTTAACTCTCCAATTCCTTCAAATATCATCATCTCTCCTCCCTTTAGAGCTGCATCGTCCTCTAGGAGACTGGCAAGATGAGTTACGCCGATGCTGCTGCCAAAGGGCCAAAACAGTCCCCAGAGGAGGTCAGTTAACATCCGCCCGTAACCAAACCAGAATTCACAAGCTAACCATTTTGTAGGCGTATGTTTCCAGCAAACCCTGTGAGCATAACCCCAATCCGCTAATGTGGTAATTATAGGCGTGCTCCACCAGTTCCCTCCCTCTCGCAGTCCGAGTCTGAAGCTGCGAGCTTGATCGACGTCGACTCGCCGCACGTCAGCTCCGTTAAGTCAGATTTCCAAGAACAAGAGATCAAGACAAAGACCCAGGCTGAGCGAATCGAGCATGAACTGGAGGACAAAGCTCGTGCAGAAGCGCAAAACATCTCAGAAGGTGTCGAAAGTGCTAAGAAGAAGGCTGCCAGCAAGGGCAAACAATTCAAAGACGAGATGAAGAAGGACGGACAGAAATTGAGCGAAAACAGAGACAATCCTGTCGTCATTGGAAATGCCATCATCTGGGGCATTGCTACTCTTGCTATTGGCTATGGAGCCTACCAGAAGCACACTGAGGGCAAATTGGACTGGCAGCTTGCTGGATCTGTGGCCGCTGGTGTGGGCGCTTTCGCTGTCGCCGACTATTTTGGCAGCAAGTAAGACTGACGCCTTTTTTGATCCTTGCCGTCTGTAAACTGATGAACTTTCTAGGTGGCTCCTCGAGAACAAGTACCCCCCAAAATAGAGATGGCGACTAGCTCAGGTCGAATGACTCTCCCGGCGGCGATTATTGAAACGAGATGTCTAGGTTCTGGCGCGGACACTCAACTCGGTTGACAGAGAGGGGCGGCTTCTGGCGTGCAAGCCTTTGGGTGCCAATTTCTTTGCTCTTACAATATGATATCCCCTTTTTGATTTTTCTCGATCCGAATTGGTTCCGTCCACAATTTCTTTCGCCTGACCGACGATCCCCCAATACGCGATTGCATGCTTCAGATACTCCTCTCCTGCTTGTTTGGTGCTCATGGCTTCACCTGTCGATCGCCATCTCGTCCCTGTCTCCGTTCAGCGAGGACGACTTTGTGATCTTGGCTGCTTGTGACGAATAGAGCGCTGACTGTAATGCAACCATGAAGAGGGTGAACAGGCGACAAAGGCCGTCTTGAGCATGGGCATCTAGATGAGGTTGGACGGAGGTGTCGAAGATTGCATTGTGGGTGGCGGCCGGATAGAGAAAGCTGAGCAACCCATTGATCAAGTGAAGGACGAGTACCGGATTGCAGAGGACCATGGTGTATAGAAGCGAGGGATTCCCCTGGAATTCTCTCCAGACTGAAGGGGTGTCTCTGCGAGAGGGCTGTCTTTTGGCAGATGGGCTGTTCATCCCGGCAGAAGGAGATTCGAGTTGGGTCTTGCGGTTTCGATGGGTTCTACCGCTCGAGAACAGAGGTTGAATCGGTTGCTCTTCGGAATGAGTCTGGCTGGGAGCACAGCAAAGCCCGGAAGGTCACTGAGTGGGAGGAGTCGATTCCTTGCAGGCTTTGCGACAGGAAATTGATAACATTGGATTATGCTAATTATCGGCACAGGAAGATAGGGAGAAAGACAAGGTCAGATCAAGGCAAGGTCTTGTTGCCACGTTTGTTGACGGCCACCACTTCCCCCCCACAGGATGATTCGTGTTTAGGTGACACTGAAATCCGTTTGGGAAGTCACGGTGCCGCAGCCATGTCTTCGAGGCATCGCAGCACTCACGACTGTGAAGGGCATCTCAGCAAGACTGGAATGACGAGTTTTGGGACTTGGTGTGAAATGTGCCCCTAGATTGCTTGCCTGTATCCCAATGTCTACCTCTACATATGACAGTATAGTGCTTGACAATTTAATTGCTTGCTGTAGATGAGTTTGACCATGGGCTGAGATTCAGTGCCAGTGCTGCACGGAAGAGTTTGTCCATGTTGAACGAATTGTGTGCCACTTGGCTCCAACATCATGTCCTCTAGCGCCTTAGGTAATATACTACGTCGGAGGACGATAATCTGTTGAGGGGAAACGGCCCAAACTCATACGGAGTAGCACGAGCATCTACTGGGTATACCTGAGGCGCTCGCCTGTGTCGATAGAGAGCCCAACGACCACATCGTGGACACACCAGCAGCAGATACCATTTAGCCCTTTGGGCATCGAACACCAAGCGTCTTTTGCCGTCCTAAACAGGAGAAACCGCCTGGTGACTAGCAATCCTCGAGGGCGATTTCTCCCAGCCGGAAACGATTGGGGTAATTTAGCTACAACTCACAACTCAGCAGTTGGCCCGGGAAGGACAGGCTGTACTTTGACCGCGATTCTCCTTCGACAACCTGAATTATTGGTGTCCACTTTCAAGGGCGATCTCTTAGACGATTGCTGCAAAGATCCTGCATGTCCTCTGCCACTATCGACCCCGGAGTGTTTGCAAGATGGTGAGTCGACTCCCTGCCTGGTGCGCCCAAAACATTGCCCTGACCTGGTACAGAACGTACTCTTCAATCAAGCCCTGAAGCAGTCGACAGCGATACGGAAAGATCTAGAAACATTCGCACAGGCACCTGCTACGGCATCTCCTGCTTTACAAGGACAGATATCCACCACCCTCACCAGCCTATCTCGAACCCTAGAAGACTACCAAAATCTGTCCCGAAATGAGTTGAACGAGGAGAAGAAAGAGAAGGCCGTTGAGAGGTTGAAGAACTTTCGTGCCGATCTGGCGTCCTACCGCACGCAATTTGATCAGTTAAAGAAGGAGCGCGAGGCCGCCGTTGCAGTCAACAACAGGAATGAACTACTCGGCCGGCGGCCGCACCACGCTGCGACTCCTGAAAACCCATATGCCCATGCCTCGAGTCCGAGTGCGTTTGCTCCTGCCCATCGCAACACACAAGACGGTCTCTCCTTTGGAGCGGGCTCCAGCAATTATACCCGCGAGGAACACGCTCTCCGGGAACAGAACTTCTTCGATACCGCCAACGCGCAGCTTGACGAATTCCTGGACCGAGGTCGAGCAGTTCTGGGTGACTTGGGACATCAGCGCGACATCCTCAAGGGTACCCAGCGGAAGCTCTATAGCGTTGCCAATACACTCGGCGTTAGCGGTGACACCATCCGAATGGTCGAACGACGAGCTATGCAAGACAAATGGATCTTCTGGGGAGGTGTCGCCGTCTTCTTCTCCTTCTGCTTCTTGGTCATCTACTTTTTGAGATGACCATAGCCTTGTGATCATGCCTCCTGCGAGTGCTGATTCCATCCATCCAGCGCCCGAAAGGACTTGCCGTTATGAGCGACATGCATCTTCGGTTTAAGCTGTTGCTATGGATGGTGGATGTGGACCATGAACAGCACATGCCTGAATCGAACTACTTCCATCAAGAACACAGATAACAAGGCAGGACATATTGCGGCCTACCTCAAATGCTAAACCCGACTTCGAGCCGAGAGGGTGGCGTGAAGATGCCGATGTCTCGTCTTTCCAGTCGAGCTTGACAAGGATTTTGCGACGATTCACCAGTACTCCATCCATACCTACAAGCATGCCCGGCTTGATCCCTAGGCCCAGCGGTATTTGTTCCACCCGGTCAAATGCGTCTTCAAGACCGTGTCATGGTTTATTGACACGGTAATTCGCCTAGACCTGGCCGATAACACCACCAGTGACCTTGCGTGTCAGAATGCCCGAGTCAGGGCCCGTTCAGATAACGCCCCAAGCTGCGTGGGATCTGGACTCTCAAGCTCTCTCCTGGGGGCAGCGCAGGGGCCCCAAGAGCGGATTCGTGGCCGCTCGTGAACTCTCCCCCGCATTCTCGCAGCAACAAATGTTTCTATCCACTCCTGAACCCCAGTATGGCGCGCATCAATTACCTCGGAAGAGAGGATGGTCGTGTCGCAGGCACTAGATCAGGTATTGTCTGGAAAGATTTTTTGGTTGCTCCCGCCGCCCCTTTTAAATTGCTATCTTGCTCCCTTCGACAAGAGCTTCCTGTTTCACATTACTCCTGTTAAAGTGACTGCCTAGAAGCCAACTTTTTCTTCCCTGAATTTCCCTTGGAGAAGTCACCAAGACCGGCAAGATGGGAGGTGATGTGCCGTGGCCGCAGGTTCCTGTGGGCAACAAGGACCACACCGAGGCAGCCGTGGTCATCATCGGAGCCGGGATTTCGGGCATGTGCACCGCAATCGATCTGATCAAAAGGAACAACTGCAGGAACTTTATCATCCTAGAGAAAAGCGGTGGGCTTGGTGGCACCTGGCGAGACAACAAGTACCCGGGATGCTGCTGCGACGGTAAGAGAATCCATCAGTCTGAGGAGAACGAGTCTGTCTCTAACGCTTTGGGCAGTCTGGTCACATCTGTACAGCTACTCCTTCGAACAGAACCCGGATTGGACCAGGGAGTATCCCGGACAGGAGGAGATCTTGCAGTATCTTATGGGTGTCGCACAAAAGTACGAGCTATACCGATATGTTCGCTTCAACACCGCTGTCGAGTCCGCGAAGTGGGACGACGCAGAAAAAAAGTGGAAGACAACCGTGTCTGTTCAAGGAGTCAAAGATGCCGAGTTCGGGAGCACATATACCATCACCTCCGACTTCCTAGTTTCTGCTGTCGGGCAGTTGAACGTGCCGAGACTGCCAGACATTCCAGGTGTTGACGACTTCCGGGGCAAAATCATGCACAGCGCCCGTTGGGACTGGAGCTATGATTTGCGAGGGAAGAAAGTCGCCATCATTGGCAATGGGGCCACGGCTGCACAGATTATTCCAGAGATTGCCAAAGAGGTCAGCCATCTCACCATCCATCAGAGGACACCCAACTGGGTCATTCCTCGCCTTGACTCGCCCATTCCACAGTGGAAGAGGAGTGTTTACAAGTATCTCCCCTTTGTCCGATGGCGGAAGCGAGCCGATATGATGGATTTTCGGGAAGGCTTTCATGCGGCCGTCTTTGACAACGCATCGGCGACAGCACAATTCCTCGAGGTACAAAGCAAAGATCATCTCCACGCCCAACTTCCAGACCGACCCGACTTGTGGGAGAAGCTTCAGCCGAAGTACTCGATTGGTTGCAAGCGCGTCATCATCAGTGACGATTACTTCCCTGTGTTCCTTCGCGACAATGTCCGATTGGAAACTGGCAAAATCGACAAGATCACCGCCAACGGCATTGTCACCGAGGGCCAGGAGGAGGATTACGATCTCATCGTTCTCGCTACAGGGTTCCGCACGGTCGAGTTCATGCATCCCATTGACATCACGGGCAGCGCCGGCCGTACTTTGAGCAGCATCTGGAAGGAGGGTGGACAAGCTCTGTACGGTGTGACCGTCGAGAGTCTCCCCAACTTCGGCATGCTCTACGGCCCAAACACGAACCTGGGACACAACAGCATTATCCTCATGATCGAGACGCAGAGCAAATACATTAACACCCTGATCAAAGAAGTCATTGATGCCCGGAGAAACGGTGGCAGCTTAGCGATCCAGCCTAACCCGACGAAGGTCCAACAGTACAACGATGAAATCCAGTCGGAGCTCGAGAAGAGCAGTTTTGCGGACCCAAACTGCAACAGCTGGTACAAGGTCAAGGAAAGTGGTAAGATTACCAACAACTGGAGTCGCACGGTCGTCGACTATCAAAAGGTAGGATGCTCTTTCCAAATGTCCTATCCCAACGTCCTGACGCTAACGCCTCGATAGCTTCTGAGCAATGTTGACTGGTTGGATTATGATCTTTCTGGAACTTCTGCAGATAAAGTAGCGAAGCAAAAGCGTACGCACATCGGGCGGGTTGTTGAAGAGTCGCGGGTTAGCTATCAGACCATGGGTCTGACGGCTCTGAGCTTAGCAGCAGTAGGCGTAGGCGTCGCTCTTCGTCACACAGGCAGGCTTCGGCTCAGATGAAGATTCATTCGTACCCAGCTTACACAATGGCCTGGGAGGATGGAGTTTTGGGGCCCGAGACACTGTACTGAGTGGCTTACCTTGACATCTTCTGCTGCAATATGATGGTTTCGTACGCCTTTTATTTCCTGCCCCTGGTCTTTTGTGTGGTCTTCTCAAGGAAAAAATGGGCGTGGGGCACATGGTGATTGGCAAACCGAAATTTCGACATCCAGCGTGGGATGGGTCTTTTCATCGATCTCAGGAGAATCCGGATTCCACGTCCCTCGCCCCTTGCCCTTTGCAGTCAAGCCATGTGGTGCCTAGCTAGGGCCTGCTAGGGGGAAGACTGGGCGCCGTCCCATAGGCGAGCCTCCCAACCAGCGAGCTTATAGCACCACTAGGGTACTTTGGCATGTCTTCTTAGGGGGGGCCACCCAAGGCTACACCAGGCTTAGCATCCAACTGGAGCCACCTTAGCCGGGGCTATTAGCTGGTCCTCAGTAGCCATTGCGACTGGCTGCATGCCAGTGCTTGGGGGCCCTTCCGGAGAACTCTCTCCTCTCGTCTCTTTCTCTGTTCTCCCACGAACTGCCTTGCATTTATTTTCTGGCACCTATAGCATCGACATCTACACGCCGGCAATATCTCATCCTGTAAAACCATCACCGCTATCCGCCAACCTCTTGTCCGTCGTTCAACCTGATCCGCGCCCCTGGCATATCGGCCTGATTCACTCACGAACTCACGCGCCCATATACCGCATTTCACTCTCGACTCCCAAAAAGCTACTTTCGACGGACCTTGTCCACGTTACGATTCCCATCTCCCCCATTTTCTCACGAAATGCCTTCTCCATTCGGGTCTACCTTTGCCTCTGCTGCTGCTAGCACAAATGGTGACAATTCTGGAAATAGAAGGGACAATACGGGCTCAAGTGACTGGTAGGCCAACCGACTCGTGGACTTGAACATTGCGCACCACAAATCTGTCTTTAGTTGTTGCACCATTCGTGCCGACGCCATTCTATCTCTTGAAACCCCTCTCGCCTGGCCTGATTTTGTTCAGAACTGTCGATGCTCATTGACCTTTTCGTCCCTTGTAGGTCTAGAAGCCGTGTGAACGGCGTCCCTCAAACCTTTCGCAGAGTCTCCCAAGCGACTACGCAGTCACAAATACAGTCACAGACTCGAGAGAACGCGAGCGCAGCACCATCTACCGCCAATAACGGCGGTGTGTACATCCCTCCTCACCTCAACGTCAACAACCCGACCATGCCTCGACACCTTCCTCTTGGTGACACCCGCTACTCTAAGGACCAACTCCTGAATATATTCCAGACCCTCAAAGATTCCTCGGCCCTTGATCGGAACCTCGAGGACATCTTTCTGGGGACCTGGAATCCTTTGAACAACCAAAACGGGGCGGGCAGTCAAGTGGCCGGCGGCGACGGGAAGGATCAGACTGCTGGGCCAGAGGTCTGTTGGAGTTACAACATAAACCCAGAGCCGTTTGGCTTGACAATGATGACAGAAGAGGAAAAAATGGTGAGCAAGACTCGATTTGCGCCAGATCTCTGGACGTGGCTAATCTTAGATGGCAGCTCTTTTCCGGTTCGGTCAATTCGCCAATCAAACCGCAGCAAAATACCACCAAAGAAAGCACCGGTGTAGGAGTGATCGGCGGACGCAAGCTTTCTCTATCAAACTACAATAGCACGACTGGAACTTCGAGACCAGCAACGCGTCGTAGGGAGACGAGCGACTCCTTCATGAGTAACGGCCCGATGTCGCCTGTAGAAACGAAGACCTTTTTCCGAACCGAATCGAACACTGCAACCCCTCCACCTGCTCTCTTACGACGTCGAACGGACTACAAGGAGGAAGAAGCCACCCCTACTACCAAAGAAGACCCTGAGCCGGACGAAACCCCCGAGCCCCAACCCTCTCTTCCGGGATTGCGCAGAGCAGGTACCGGTCCCCTGAGTGCAGGCCTGAATCCTCCCTCGGCGTCGCCCTGGTCAGCGGGAGCGCAAGCATCGGCTTTTGGATCTATGGGTACGTTTGGCAGCTTTGCGATAGGAGCTGCAAGCACGCCAACCGACTCTGTCGAAAAGCGGTCTGGCTTTGGTAGCGCGCGCAGTGCCAGTCGCTTCAAGGACCTCTTGTCCAAGTCGAGCTCAGAGGATGTCTCACAACCAGGGAAAGAAAAGGGACCGTTTGGAGCACTAGAAAAGCTGCCGGAAGAGGATGCGGATGCCAGCCAGGCAAAATTGCGCGACGAGCTCAAGACTCGTCCGGGTCGTAGTGAGACCAACCCATATGAGGACGCTCCAGTCCGGGCGGGAAGTGCAGCTTTGGGTGGCGCTCAGGAGGGGTTGCCCCCCAGCGCAGGCATTGAACAAATGGGCATGTCTGCGTTTGGTCCTCATGCAGCGATTGGTACCCGTGATTTCGGCCACGAGGACTCGTATCAGCAAACGCCCCACGGACGATACAATCTCCACGAACCCATGAGCCCAACGAACACCAACCCATATCAAAGTCCCCACGGTCGTATTGAGGATGATGAGCGTGACACAAATGACTCCGCATCCCAAGCTTCAGGGCTCCCAGCCTTTGGTGGCGCTGCACGTCGAAACATGTATCCCGGCTCCGACGATCGAAGTCATTCAGCAAGCGGTCTTCGCAGCACCAGTGGCTTTGGTGGTCTGTCGGGCTTCGGTGGCCTCGGCGGCAATCCTACTTGGTCCGGCGCGGGCATTGGATCAAGCAAACCTGCAATGGATCGAGGAATTTCGTCCGCATTTGGTGATCCCATATTCAGTCCTCTGTCCGAGTTGCAGTCGCCGGGTGGCCTCGGAGGCGGTTTTGGTGGGTTTGGCTCTGGAGGCCGTGCTGCTCGGCTTGGAGCCATGTTGCCTGCAGCAATGCAAGAACAAATCCGAGGCGACAGCAGGAATGAGGCAGCCTCTTTCGACTCTCGTCCTGACAGTGCTCAGCAGCACCCTATTCGTGATCCTTTCGACAGCACTACTAACCGCAGACCAGAAGACTTTGGTCATCCATCCAGTCTCTTCGAAGAGTCTCCTTCTATGAGGAGTGTTGAAGAGCCTCTAAATTCCAGCCAGCCCGGTCCGTTTGGACCACCGAGCTCGGGACCTCCCACAACTTCGGTCTCGATATCTGGTTCAGGTTCACAAACGGCGGCACCGAGGACGGGCGGATCGGATAACTATCAGTCCGGCCATGGTCTCAGCCAATCGAGCGGGAGCAATTCTTCGAGTCAATTGCCAGCTGCGCAACAGCGACAAATGGTCATGCCGGACCGGATGCGGTGGATCTATCGTGACCCTCAAGGAAATACTCAAGGGCCATGGTCAGGTTTGGAGATGCACGACTGGTTCAAAGCCGGGTTCTTTACCGCAGAGCTACAGGTGAAGAAGCTTGAAGATGCCGAATTTGAGCCGCTTGCTCAACTTGTGAGACGCATAGGTAACTCTCGCGAGCCTTTCTTGGTGCCTCAGATCGGCGTCCCTCATGGTCCTCCTACTGCCGGACCAGGAAATAACTGGGCGAATCCATCTATGGGAGGAACTGCTGGCGTTACGGCCCAGCCACCCTTTGCTAACAGCTTCCCAAGCTTTGGCACAACTTTGACCGCTGAACAACAAAACGCTTTGGAAAGACGGAAGCAAGAAGAGCAGTACCTGATGGCGAGACAGAAGGAACACCTAGCGCAACAACAGATGGCTATGAAGATGCAAATGCAGAATGGTATGCATTCCTTACACCATCATTCAAGTGCCCACTCTCTACAAAGCCAACCCAGCTTCGGAAGCATTACTTCGCCCACCGGTTATCAACCCTCACCAATCCAACCGTTGATGCAACCTCCCCAGCAAAGTCTACCTTTCGCTCATCACGCTGGGCCTGCTGCGGGACCAACCTTCAGCCGCGAAGAGGATATTCATAACATGATGGACCGTTTGAGCTTCAATCAACGCGCAAATATCCCTTTTACAAGTGCTCCCTTGGGCCCTCCACCGCCAGAAGTTGTCCCTTCCTCCCAACAAGTCAATGCCATGCTTCAAGATAGAGCACGGCTGCAGCAGCAGCAGCAGCAGCAAAACGATATGCGTGGTCATCAGGACGCTTTTTTAGGCCCACAGGGCCGCAACGAGCGGCTGGACGAGTTTCACAGACTGCGTGGACAAATAGACATACCAGCTGGTCGTCTCGGCCCTGAAGAATCTCGCCCTCAACCCATTGGTGCACCTCGCCAAGTTGGTGAGCAACCTGCCACGTCGGCGCCACCAAAGGTTCCAGCTCCAATTGGACACGCAGCTGTTACTGCTAAGCCGGAGCCGGAGCCCCTTTCTCTAGCCCAACAAGTACAAATTGCAGCAGCCAGTCAACAAGCAGCTGCCGAAGAAAGTGCATGGGCAAAGAAGGACGCTCCAGTTGAACCCCCGCCCGTCTCGATTTCACCTTTGCCCGCTCCAGCCGCCCAGCGAAATAGGCAACACGTTGCTGACGCGCTAGCCGCGGAGTCCAGATCGGCAACCCAAACACCCATCGAGACTCCTGTCGTCTCCGTTGCACCGTGGGCCGAGCGGACCGCTGAACATGCCAAGGGTCCGTCTTTGAAGGAAATCCAAGAAGCTGAGGCCAGGCGGGCTGCAGAACAAGAAGAAATTGCAGCTGCCGCACGACGTGCGCAGGCAGAGCAGGAGAGGTTGGCTCAAGCTCAGGCACCAGCCCCTGCCCCTGGTCTTCCATCAACTTCAACGTGGGGTAGCTCTACATCGCCTGCGACACCTGGCTCTCAAGCCGCTTCTGTGTGGGCGAAGCAAACTCCCACAAAAGTAGGTGTCGGAGTGAATGCAGTTCCTAAGAAGACGCTTGCCCAGATCCAGAAAGAGGAAGAGTCTCGTAAACACCGCGCTGCCGCCGCCGCCAACGCAACCACAGCTGCTGCGAGTGCACAAAACACTAGCAATTCGGTTACTGCTTCAGTTGGCAAGAGATATGCTGAACTGGCTGGCAAAGCTGCCCCAGCTAATCCTATTCCATCGGGCGGCGTCTGGACGACTGTAGGCTCAGGCGGTAAGGCCAAGGCCCCGCCCGCTGTTGTCGCAACCCCCCAGCCAGTATCCCGAACAGTGTCTGCCGGTAGCGCACCGAAGGCACGACCAACTCTGCAAACCCCTCGAAGCACCACGCTCACCAACCAGAGCAAAGCCAACGAAGAATTTACCAAGTGGATCAAAGGGTCGCTCGGGAAAGGGCTAAACAGCGGTATCAATCGTAAGTATTCACTTCGTTCTCCAGATGATCAGGGTCCCACTAACATAGGTTGTCAGTCGATAATTTCGTGCAAGACCTGCTGCAGCTCCCACCCGATGTTGAAATCATATCAGATAGTGTCTATGCGAGTTCACAGACCCTTGATGGACGTCGCTTTGCCGAGGAGTTTGTACGCCGCCGGAAGCTCGCCGACAAGGGCATCGTTGAGCCTGCCACGGGAGTTCAACCAATGATGGGTATCGGCGGAGGCGCGGATACTAAGAGTGCGAGCGCTGCGGGAGGCGGTTGGAGCGAGGTCGCTAAGAAGGGCCCCGCGAGCGTCAGTGCTGCGAAGGAGGAGAGCAATTCACAGTTCAAGGTTGTTGCGACGAAGAAGAAGGGGAAGAGATGAAATGAAAAATGAGACTTGAGGCCTTGTGCAACGAGCAGACCTGGGGGGAGATGAAGAAGGAAGGGGTTGATGGTCCATGTGCCCAGAAGAAAGAAATGCGCGTTTTGGATGTGAACAATGTGCTGACACGACGACAAGATGGGGTTATGGCTATTGGAATTGATGCCACGAGCGGCTAGAGTCTCACTCCTTGTCCGTCGTCCCTTTGATGAATGGCAATGATCACTTTTCCCACGCAATCCCCTGTCTGAAGAGATCCCAATCCCTCTCGAGCGTGGTGGAAGTCGAATTTCCGAGCAATGACATCGCCAAAGCGGAGATTCTGGGCCTCCACATACGCAGAAAGTTGCTCAAGTTCGTTCCTCGAACCAACATTGATGCCTCTGTTCGTATTTGCTAGTTAACGCTTTGAGGACAACAGTAGCCAGTGGTGCTATGATGGCCTACCTCATAATAACACTGCGGTCAATCAATAAGGCGAGAAACTCGTTGGGATTGTCCACGTTGGTGCCTCCAAGGTATCCGATACAGCTGACCAGACCTCTGCGCTTGGTGGCTTTGAGACTCTGCAGCAGACTCTAGCCGCCGCCGTTCTCGATGGTGATATCCACACCAGCATTGTGGGTGAGTCTGAGAACCTCTTCCTCCCACCGTGGGCAAGTTTTGTAGTTGATCGTCTTGATGGAGCCAAGGCCGTAGAGTGTCTTGACTTGTTCTAATTTCGCGTCCGAGGACGATGTCAGGATCAAGTCGGCGCCTGAGCTTGCGGCGAGTTTCAAGGCCATCATGCTGACGCCGCCGGTTCCTGGACGGAGCTCAACACCAAGCTAACATTCCCGCTTCCATCACCGCCCCAAAGCCTCCATCTGGGCAGTCGCCACTTTGCGATCAGAGCTGGTTTCTCCTCCTACCTTGGACAACCACCGTGTGACTTTTCCCTAAAGCGTTCAGTCCATTCAGCCCGTTCCAGGCCGTGAGTCCAGCACAGGGTAAACATGCTGCCTGTTTCAGAAAATTTTGGTTCCAGTCCCACGATAATAAGAAAAAGGCAAAGGAAGCCATTGTTGCAGTTTGGGACTGTCTAGCCAATTCACCATACCTACCTGCCGCGCGGTCTGTCTGCTGAATATATGCGTACACACACCTACATCTGATCATAGGAGAGAGCCGTTGTCGGGACTCTTTGACTGCTTTTGGAGGTCCTTCTTCTTTCTGAAGGAGTATTAATAATGCATTCGATTGTTGTCCGCGGCTGAAAGTCTTAGGACCCACTCGTTCGCTTCCGACTTGTTGACCCTTTTCAACTTCGTTGCCCTTTTCAGGAATTCAGCCTCGCCTTCACCTCCACTTCACGTATGTTACATAGTCGTAGTTACGTTCTGTGCCCTTCAAACCTTGGTAGGGTTCTGATTCCATAAACAGGGTCTTATTTGATCTATTTTCGAAGAGGAGTGCGAGTCTACCACAATATGCGCCGACCCCAAAAAGAGGTCCCCCGAAGGATTCTTCTAATGCTACCAAGTGTATAGAATTTCGAGAGATGCTCTACCCCTTGGTAATACATGCTTTCCTAACGCTTTGAAAACGTTTCAAGAACGCTCCGGGGCTTAGTGTACTTGCCGATTGGCACATACTCGACCTGATCAAATCCCATCGAGCCCGGCCCGCCCAGTTCCAGTCCCCGAGGAGTATCTGTCCATCGAGGAGACGCCGCGATCGCGATGATCGTCACCTTCAACCCGTACTTGTACTCCGGTGTGCCCAAGCCCGCGCCAGTCTCTAAGTCGAGCACGGCGATGAGATCCGGCACTGAAGCCAAGATGAATGTCTTGCCGTCGCTGGTCGTGGTTGCCTCGACGAAGGCGTTCTCGTTCTTGAATGGGATCCTGACCGTCGCCTTGAGCCCGCTGCTGCTCAACACGCCGTCAATCTCCACGACGCCGTAGGAATGTCCCGTCTTGAGAACGCGCTCGACGCTGGTGATCTTGCCCTCGGCCAGGATCTTTGCACTGGCGGACCCACCGACGGCATCGATGATGCGCTTTGCCCGGTCGCTCACGTCTTTCTCCAAGGCAACCGCCCTCCCTATCCACCATGCCAAAGACACCGTATGAAGGATGGCCTGCTCTTGAACGACTTTGGCGGACTTGGGTGGCCCGGCTTTCCCGGCCCGGCATCCCATCTCCACGACCGCCGCCCGTAATGCACTGTCTACCAGCCTGTCCGTCCGACTGGCTGTCATGGTCATAAAGGATCCATCCCCGCTCGCAATGGTCGCGGGCACAAGCGCCTCCCCCTTGGAGGTGCCGTAGACGTTGACGGTGGTTTGCCAGAAGGTCGGATACGCCCTGCCCATCAAATCGGCGTCGATGCAAGGCACTTGGTGTGCGGCGGCGACTTCGAGATTGACGAGGCCGTTTCCGCCACCGATCTCGACAGCCATAAATCCGTCCACGGGCGCCAACCCCAGGAATCGCGTCAGTTCGTCGTGGGCCTTGTTGCACTCGTCGGCCTCCATTCGCTCCAGGCTGACTTCTGGACTCCCCATGCATCCAGTCCATCCGATCGTGGCGTTTTCAAGCAGATTGTTGGGCGACACAACTTTTATGGTCCCAGGAGATTTTGTCAGGACGGACTTGATCTTGAGGAACTGCTGGTATGGATCTCCGCCACCGCCACAGCCTAGAATCTTGCAGCCGCTCGAAATCCACTCGAGATCCGTCATGGATATTATCCATATCCCGTTCTCGATCTTGGGTTGGTAGTTTTCGAGGTCGATGACCTCGGTCTCCTCTTCTGCATCACGTGCAGCACTCATTGTCGCGCCAGAATGCTGCTCAGGCACTTCTGGCAGGGCGGCTTGAAGAGATGCTCCTTGTTTCGCGTGCTTGACGGCATCCAACACACCGACTGCTCTGACGAGTATTCGCGCCTTTGCATCGACGTACTGGATGGGAAGAATGGTCACTTCGGCAATCTCAACCGTCTCCCGCCTGGCTCCGTTTGACACAGCGGCATCGACGGCCAGTCGCGAGACCATTTCTTGGGCCGCCTTCAGCGTCTGGTGGGCTGTGTCCACAACAGTGTCCACAATGCCAGATACCCTCGAAATGGCCGCGCCGACCGCGTTGGCGACTTCGCCGCCCTTCACTTTTCTCACGGCACGAACCCCGGAAAGCGGCTCGTCTGTGTCAATCAGGATGGCGCCTCCTCCGACGATCAAAACATCCACATCCCCTTTCTGGACCTTTGTTCGGTCGACCAACTCTTCGACGATCCGTCGCATCTCCTTCTTGGCTCTCGTCACAATTTGCGGTGCGACATCTCTCAGTTGGGCGGGATTTCCTAATCCTTCGAGGGGATTATCTCCAGAGGGAGAGTGTAATTCGGACGCGGCCACGATGTCAGTAGCTGTCAAGACATCCCCTCCGAAAAGACGAGCTTTCTGTGGCAGCTCCAACGCAACACTGTCTGGTCCGACTGTTAGATTGTCTCCGGAAGTTCTGACGATGCTTCCACCGCCGAGACCGACACTCTCCACGGCGGGCAGTGCAAAGTTCGTCCGCACGCCTCCCACAAGGCTCATCAGCGAGCTCATCCTAGGGAGTCCGTTGGGTAGCAGTAAGCCGCTATCCGAGGTTGTTCCTCCGATATCAATCACTACGAGGGGGTCCTGGCGCACCCCCTGGGATTCACCTGCTTCCGTACTTGCTGTGGTCCAGAGGAACTCGCCGCCGCGAATTGAATTGGTTGGGCCGGAGTTGAATGTTCGAATGGGGAGGTCAATGGCATCCGGCGCATTCAGGACGCTTCCATCGTTCTGCGTCAGGTACAATGCACATGGCGACCCTTGGAAGATTTCCAGCATAGCCTTCTGGAACCCCAGGATGGTCTTCTCAGCCAGCGGTCTCAATGCGGCATTCAGAATGGCTGCATTTTCTCGCGCGAGGAAACCGAGAGACGATATTTGGTGGGACGGGGTCACGCGAGGCCGGATCATGAGACCTGAAGCGGCGGACAATTCATGCATCTTCTCCAGAAGAATTTGCCCGGCTTTGATCTCATGTGCCGAGTTTGGTGGTGAATAGATTCCTGAGACCACAACGTTGAAGATGCCGTTCTTGACCAGCTCCTCTGCAACCGTCGTCAGCTCGGCCTCATCAACTGGGGAGATTTCCGCGCCCGAGATCTGATGCCCGCCATGGCAGAAGAAAGGCTGCGTCGCGATCAAACGGCGGAGGTCCTTGGGGAAGTCGACAAAGGGCGGCACACCCAGTCCGAAGCCATGCTCGCTTCCTCCGCAGAGTCGAACCACGCCGACGCGCTGCAGGGACGAAGACCGCTGCACCACAGCATTCACAAAATGCGTCGTCCCGATGATGACGCAGCTGATGGCGTCCAGAGGCACATTGCTCGCCTGAATGACAGCGTGGACTGCTTCAGTGATGCCCGTCGTCACATCCGGCGTCGTTGGCGCCTTATGCGATGCAATGATCTGAGTCGGCGAGAGAGAGATGAGCACAGCGTCGGTGTTGGTTCCTGGGGCACACTCGTTGGTCAACAGGCTCCATCAAGAGGCCAAGATAGGCGGTTCGTTCCTTACCTCCCACGTCCACTCCTATACGATATCTGTGATGCTGCTGCGAGTCAATGCCTATGCTCCCCATGATTCGATTTCCTCAGCCCGTTGACTGTGCATAGGTGTGTGTCTCCCTCCCCGCTCAAATATAATCCCTATCTTTTCTTCTCCTGCTGGTTCCTGTGTCTGATTCTTGTTCTCTTGGTGCTGTTCGAGAGCCTTACTTCATTATTTCGTCTTCGGCCGATTTGGACGGGAAGCGAGAAGGAATTAGCCGATGGTGGATTTCCTCGGCTCAACCTTGCCAAAGGCCAGTAAAGTCCAGCTCGCGGAGTTGAGCGGTTGACCAGCATTCGATAACTGCTTTTGCACCCCTTTATCACAATGCCTGATAAAGATGGAGACCGGGAATATGTCTCGACTTTTGCATCAAGGACATTCGTCTACGACTATGTTGGCGATAGCACGCCGATATAGACTTTTGCGGCAACCTACTATCAAAACCGGGAGCCATTGCAGGCCGTTTAGTTATACGAGCAACCCGGATTTAGGGCCTATGGAAGTGGCACCGCAGAATTCCCACCTGGACGGCTTGTCCCACACGCAGCTCCGCTGGCAAGAGATGGAGAAGCAACAAGGTTGAGCGAAGAGGGTTCTATGGTCGGCCAACTACCAGGTGTTTGCACCAACACTCCAAAGCATCTTCGACTAAGCCTTCTATGGCCATTGAATGCACGATCGACGTGCATTGGTTCCACGAGGCCAATTCCTCCTGTCGCTCTATCCATAGACTCTCTAAACGGTGCATAAGAGTCTCATAAGGGATCCTCGTCGCCACGCTGCCCATTTTGCCGAAGCCATGGCGCGATCGGTCAACTGGCGACGTTTCGCAGCTTTTGCCGTCTTTCGATGCCAGACAGAAACCGCCAACTCTATGCAATGCTATGCAATGCAGGGACCATGCGACTTCTGATCCTCTGGTATCAGCTGAGGCCATTGAGCAACTGGTATCGACGATGATGCGTGGCGACAGATCGGCGAAGTATGTTCGATGAGTACAGGGAGGCACGCGGTTCGAGGCTCATGCACGTATGGACGTCTCCGCCCTTTTCGCCCCCGACCCAAGGACTGGTATTAGTATTAAGACATCTAAATACTGCGGCGCGTGGGCCTAGAGATACGCTGAGCCGTTAAAGCCAAATATCACTGTCCCACTGGCGCCTACTTCAAGATATCACAATTACGAGAGTAAGTGGCTTCGACGACAGGGTGGTTAAAACTGGGATAAGGGAGACCAAATGCCATTTTATTTTGAGTAAGCAACGACAAAAGACAAACTCGACCTTGGGGAAGAGAGAGAAATCATGGCGATCCAACCAGAAGAACTGGCTATCCCCATCATCGACCTCGAGCCTGTTCGCTCGGGGACTCCTGAAGAAGCACGCCAGACGGGGAAACTGGTCTATGAAGCGTTCCGAGACGTGGGCTTTGCGTATATCAAGAACCATGGACTCCCTCAGGAACTTCTCGACCAGGCATTTGATTGGGTGAGAACTCGTCGTCCACTTGTTGCTCTACATTTGTGAAGAGCGATGCTGGTTCTCGCTCAGGCTGACAAATAAATAGAGCTCCAAATTCTTCGCCCTGCCACAGGCCGACAAAGACAAGGCACCTCACCCGCCTTATGGGTGGTGGCACCGGGGCTACTCTGGCATCGGGCGGGAAAAGGTCGTGCAGATGGTCTTTGACCAGGACTCGATCGACCAGCTGCGCAAGTGCCCGGATTTTAAGGAGTCGTTCGAGCTGGGCCGCGAGGACGACGAACGCACCCCGAACATCTGGTTCCCCGAAGACGTGCTGCCGGGCTTCCGCCAGTTCATGACCACCTTCTTCGAGACATGCTACGGCACGGCACTGTGCTTGCTGCGCGCCATCGCCCTGGGCATGGACCTGCCTGAGGACTTCTTCCGCGAGTACCACACCAAGAAGGACAACCAACTGCGCCTGCTGCACTACCCGCCCGTCGAGGCCGAGCTGCTTCGCGGCGGCGCCATGGAGCGCATCGCGGCGCACTCGGACTTCGGGACCATGACGCTGCTGTTCCAGGACGAGGTGGGCGGGCTGGAGGTCGAGGACGTGCGCGAGAAGGGCAAGTTCAACCCGGCGCCCTTCGTGCCGGGCACCGTCGTCGTCAACATCGGCGACTTCCTGCAGCGCTGGAGCAACGACACGCTCAAGTCGACCCTGCACCGCGTCAGGGCGCCGCCCATGGCCACCACCGGCATGACCCGCGCCCGCTACTCGATCCCCTACTTTGTCACCGCCGACCGCGACAGGACCATCGACTGCATCCCCGGCTGCTGCAGCGCCGAGAGGCCCAAGAAGTACGAGCCCATCAATGCGAGAGAGTACATCGAGATGAGGTTGAATGCCACGTACTAGTTGTGCTAGGTAGAGATGTCCGAGACCGCAATTATGTTATGTTGCCAATCAATGGTGTCGAAAATGGAGCAGTTGAAATACCTGACGGTTCACCCTATAATTGCCCTCATTTTTGAAACTGGAGTGCCGTCTGAGGGTCTAAATAGTTCCTCTTCTGTCCTCAACTCACTCTTGGCCACCGTTGTGTCTGTGCTATGACGGGACCAAATCGTGTTCAGATGGGTCAATGATATGATGTTGTAGATATTGCAATCGCGCGAGGCAGGGAGCATCTGCGGATGAGCCTTGGTGCGATGCAATCCTCTACACAACAAGCATTTCTGGTAGACGCCGTTCGGCCTCAATATGTGAACCAAGCAAGAACAGGAGAACGGGTGTGACTTCAACTATGGATTGGGAAAATCTCTATCGCATCTCCTCGCTACCACGACACCACACAAGGCGATCTTCCACTATCGGATCAGAGAGTGTCATCGATTACGCACAAGGACATGAATGCTCGCAGAGCCTCCTACACGGAGACGGTCGCCACAGCTCCTTGCTTATTGTCGCCGCCGTTGCCGTTGCCGCCGGTCCCAATGGCGACGTTCTTCTCATCTGCGCTTTCCGAACTGCGCTCGTCGACCCCGTAAAGGACGTCGTCCTCCACGAAGGGAGCCTCTTCGCCCAGACCAGGCGGCGGGAAGAAGAAGTTCAGGACCCAGAAAACGGAGAAGCTCATGGCTAGGCCGACGATGAAGGTCAGATTGTATAGACGGATCCAGCCGACGAAGGAGGCGTCTGTGAGGCTGTTGACGGTTCCCACCAGACCAGCTAGACAGGCGCTGTCAGTACCTATTATGCGCCATTGGGTGCGGTGGCCAGGCGCGAAGAACTTACGCAACAAGGGCCAGACACCAGAGAAGAAGGCGACAATGGCGCGCCAGTTGACGCCTTTGTTGAACCAATAGATCGACGAGCTATCCCCGGTGTACAGGTCGTTGAGCTTCAGCTTGGTGCGACGCACGACGTGGTAGTCGGCCAACATGACTCCGCTGTGGAACGAACCAGGTCAGTCAAAGTTCTCACGGAGCGAAAGAGAAAGGGGGAGGCGCACGTTGCGGGGGCCATGAAAACGCCAAAGCCGCTTAGGACTTTGAGGAACTTGTCTGCTGTGCTCAAAAGTTGCCACGGCTGAGTGGCAATGCCGATGACCGCCATGATATAGCTCCCACGGATGATGTTGATATACTTGGGACACAGACCAGCCATGTCCATGCCCGTGGACACCGAGTTCAAGACAACAGAGATCTAAGTGTCGTCAGGACCACCTAAAAAGAGACATGTCCAAGGCGTTCGTTGTCAATACTTACGGCAAGTTGTGAGCTAACAAGCCCCAGGCTTCCAAAGAATACACCGGCTCTGGCTCTGGGGCTGGAGTGGTATTCTTCTTGGATATCCGCCAACAAATAGATGGGATTCCATATAATGTCTCCCCCAAGAATGTCCTTCGCGGCGCTAGTGACAACAATTCCAATCGTTGCAGTGACGGCGATGGTGACTGGAGCGGCAACCAGCTGGGACAGGGTTGGAGCAAATTTACGGTTGGCATACCTCGTCCAGTCCGATTGACCCAAGGTTCCAGCGCCCCAGGCGCCGAGAATCGCCGTGATGCCGAACATAAACGCCCAGCCCACGTTGTCGCTTGATCCGGGCTCACGAAACATTGAGCCAACTCCTCCTGCAACGTGGACAGCCCTACGATCATTCAGTAAGGTTATCACGTCAACAACGAGCCGCTGTCACGTACCATATGAGCAATCCGAAGCAGGATCCGGCGAAGAGGACGAAGGAGATCGCAAAGGGAATTTGTAGGCGCTCGGGACGCACCAAGACGAGCGGGATGAAAGCGGCCATCCAAATCAGCAACCCGATGAAGTCGTTGGTCAAAAGGTGGGAGCCCTCGCTGAAATAGTTCTTCATGTGCGCAAAGCCTTTGGAGACACCATGTTAGGCCGGCCCTCGATGATCATGATCAAACGCACCTGGGATTATAGCACCCCATAGAACCCTCGTAGCTTGTCCTCCCCAGTACGCTTGCATCCCGAACCACATGCAACTAGACAGTGAAGTTAGCGCTGTTGTCTCAAGTATTGACTGTAGAGGCAAGGAAATCGCTTGACTCATAGACACCATTGACGTCGGCGCGTCGGAAGGGGAAGCTTACGCCACGAAGATGCGAAGCACGACGGGAAAGTAGCTCCCCTGCATGCCCCAGGAAAATCGAGAGGACACGGTGAAGCCAATATGGTGGTTCTCACCCATCCAGCCACACGCGACGGCCAGGAGACCTGTGAGAACACCTCCCAAGATCTGATTTCCTTGTGAGCATGTCGCATCTTAATTCATCAAGACGATGGCATACAACGACACCGATGGCTTGCTGTGGGCTGAGCCCAAAGGCGAGCAGTGTACTTCCCGTCGACCATGCTGAAATACAGGATCCAGAGACAGTCCAGTATCCTAGAACATATCAGTAAATATTCAGTTCAAAGGCACGCCGCCAGAGTCCACTTACCACAATATCCCCAGATACCCCAGGTCCGCCTCTCCGGGGGCATGGGGATTAAATCCCTGTTGCACCACCTGGTATTGTCGTAGTACGAGTGCTTGTCCTTGGGCCTAGAGACGTCGATCATAAGCAACTTGACCTTCCATAGTTATATTCGACCCTCTGGGGACTGCTCACACTTGGAGCCGCTCCTTGAGCTGTTCCCACTTAAGTCCCATATTGGTCCTTCTTTCGCCAAAGAAGGCTGCGGTTGGGGTGCACGTTTCTGCAAGGAAAGAATCTGTTACGAAAGAAAATGAAACGTGTAGTCGTGGCAGGAGTTGGATGGGCCAAAAACTCGATCTCGGAGGGAAGGGGAGTCGAGACAGTGCTTATACATATTGGTTGGTCAAGCGGCACAACAAACATGCTGGTAATTCAGTTGGCCGCAGTTGGCCGATGAAGTGGAGGTAAGGTTGGCCGATCTCTACTAACGTTAGTTATTTCTTATGTGGTCGGGGTCTAGATTCGGCGAACTAGAGTCGGTCAAACTTGGATAAGAAGCTTTCTCCGCCTGCCAGGTGTTGGTGGTGTCACAAGGCTACTCACTTCTCTGTCCGAGAATTGACATGCGGACCGGTGGTTGATATTGATTGTCGGGCGGCCGACATCTCCCGCAGCCGAGCTGGTACAAAAGCCTCAACTCTATAATGCGGTCCTGGTATGGTCATTTTGCATTGCCTTGTACGTCCGATATTGATATCGCCACCGTTTCGAAAGCCAAGACAAGCAAAGATGGCGACTACCAACCACACGTGCCAGAAGTTCACTTTGAATACCGGAGCCAAAATGCCCGCGGTAGGACTTGGAACTTGGAAGTCACCGCCAAACCAAGTCCGAGACGCTGTCTGCCACGCACTTCGAACCGGTTACCGTCATGTCGATACAGCTCTGAATTATGGTAATGAGGTCGAGGTTGGCCAGGGCATCAAAGATTCAGGGGTTCCGCGAGAGGAGATATGGGTTACCACGAAGCTGGACAATCCATGGCACCACAGAGTCCGCGAAGGATTCGACAAGTCTTTGAGCGACCTGGGACTTGAATACGTCGATTTGTATCTCGTGCATTTCCCTTGTTCCACAGACCCTGAAGATCCTTCGAAGCATCTGACGGATTGGGACTTTGTAAACACCTGGTGCGTTGTTAAAATCTATGACCTTGAAGGTATTGGCCATTGACCGAGCTGCAAGGCAAGAGATGCAAAAGCTGCTGGATACCGGAAAGGTCAAGAACATTGGCGTGTCCAACTTTCAAATTCGACACTTGGAAAAACTTCTGGGTGATCCGTCTTGCAAGGTGGTTCCTGCCGTGAACCAGATCGAGCTGCACCCTGGTAATCCATCGTGAGTCTCCCAACACTGTCTCTGCTGCGTGGGTTGGCGGTGTTGATCCACTAGCAGTCCCAAATTGTTAGAGTATTGCGTGTCGAAAGGGATACACTGTACAGCTTATTCCTGCCTCGGAGGTGCAACAGACAACCCACTCTACAAGGAACCCGTAGTGTCGGAAACAGCTCAGACCGCCGGCAAGACCGGTGCCCAGGTTTTGTAAGTGTCCATTGTTCGTGTGAAGCGATGATGCCAAACACTAACCGGATCACCAGGCTGTTATGGAGCCTCCAGAGAGGCACAAGTATTATCCCCAAAAGCGTGACACCTTCGAGGATAGAGACGAACTTCCAGTTGGATGGCTGGAAGCTGTCCCAACACGACATGGAAGCTCTCAGTGGTATCAAGACGCGGTTCAAGGTCGTCAACGATTCGTGGATGCCAATCAAGGTATTTTTCGGAGATGACGAGTGACCGGCTTAACAAGCCCACGCTATTCGGAAAGCTAGGTAACTTGAAGGGCGCGAAGATCGAGTCACATGGCAGGTTGGGCGTTGCCTTGCTGCGATGCGACCTATTTGGGGAAAGGCACAGAAGCTGGCTGGCGACGGACGTAAGCGGCTTTAGCCAATGAGCCTTATACCGACATTTATGGTTAGCTGGTCATAGGGACCGCAGATATCCCATTTATGGCGGTGTATCGACCATCCTTGCCTCCGAATAAGAGCCCGTCGTCGAGCTCCGTCTCATGATCTGCGCCGCTTGGGTGAAGAAGGAGTCGATTCTCAGCGCTACCGGCCGGATCAGACCTACGGATTCCTCGTCCACAAGTTCACCTATCCTCTGAAGGGATTCGTGAAAATGCTCTAGGAGTCGAAATGTCCCGCTGACCTGCTCGGGACTGGACGATAATAGGAATAGATGTATCAGGAAATTGCCAATAAGGGTCAGCTGTGACCTTCCATCTACTTCTGTCAGTTTGTGCTTCTCTAAAGTATCACAGGGAACAAAGGATGACTTGCGTCGGCCCCAGAATGCTCGAAGGCCCTCAAGCGTTATCTCGTTCATGAACGCCAAAAAAGCACCGAGCTGTTCTATTGCTGCTCCGAAGAACCGTCGCAGGGACGAAAGCGGATTGCTTTTGGCAGCCATCGAGGCTGGGGTCATCAAGGCTCGGAAGAGAAGTACTTGAGTTGCAAAGTAGGCAAGGTGGAGTGGTGCTAGCCGACAGTCAGCTAACGCACAAGATCTCAATGTCTCTCCTGACTCACGTACCATTGTTGCGGAAGTGAAATCTAGTTGTGGTGTAGTTCATGGTGACACACAATGGCATCAGTGAATGCCAGGATTCGAGTTCTCTCTGAATCTTCAAGAGTCTAGTCTCCTGACTCGCAAGGTCCAGCATCGCAGCTCGGTACGAGTGGTCCGAGCTGTAAGAAGGTTTAGTCTGGGCGTTTTCATTCTGAAGAGTGTCCTTACAATGCTGTGTCCAACAAATTATGGAGTATCTGGGTAAGCTTCACAAGTTCCAGGAAACGTGCAGCTGTTGAAACATCAAAGCTTGCACTTGCGACATCCACCATATCTTTGAGATCTTCGGGGACATCCTCATCGAATCTCAAGTCATCCATGTCCAGGTTCGAAGTCGTATAGGAGGTGGCGTGGAGTAAAAACGGATTTCCATGGCTCACCGACGCCCACGCGTCCGTCACGTAGGTCGCCCACCACAGCTTCTTCCGCAGACTCTTCTCCCAGGGTGCAATATTCCAATTGGAAGGGTCGCGGTGAAGTCCTATCATCTGAGCGCACGCAACGGCTTGTGCAGATAAAGTCCATGTACGTGGAGTCTCAAACGTGCCATTGCCAGCAGCCTTCTCGTGAAGCATCAATAGACAGGCCTGCAATTTCCACAGGTTTGGTGCCTCAAGCTCCCGCTCGAGTGAAGTCTGGGCAGCTAGAAACAACTCATATTGTTCAAATGGGCGGTGAACTGTCCTCAATACAGGATCTTGTTTCCAGTAGACAGCGCCCATTCCATAGACCACTCCTCGTAGTGATGCCGGAATGCTCAGCTTATCCTCCGTATATGCTCGGAGGAAACGGACTTTTGACACGACACAATAGACAGGGTGGACATGTTTGAAGAAAAGGCGGACAAGACTAGGACCGTGTGTTCCAACCTTGAATTCGATCTCGCGCGAGGATCCATCTTTGATCCTATTATCGTATGGCATGAACCAATCCCTTAATATAAAGAAATGGAGAGGTGGCGTGCCTGTGGCAGGACTGCCGGGGTAGACCTGGATGATGTCACCGGCGACACGATTTGTCTCGTTCATGATGACGGATCGAAAGGATGCAAGGAGATGGGTGTCCTGCTCCGCTGATAGACCCAAACAATGTGCTGTCATGTCCTTACCGTCTTCGAGAGTATGAGCTTTGGGTTCCAGCACATGGACTTCATTGCTGCTAGGTGGTCTTAGATGGGCGCTCGACAGACGGCCTTGCATCTCGACGTCCCCCACGTGAGAACCTGGCGAGGAGAGAGACTGGTGGCTATCAGCATCGCCAGGGTTGGTTTGCATGGCTAGCACTCGGTCTTCGCAAGAGTGTGACTCAGTCAGCGATTCTAAAGGCCCCATCCGCTCGTCATCTGGGTCTGGTTCCTGACTGCCGGAATGTCGTATACTTCGGGGTTCTGAAGTGGATTGACAGTTTAACCCCCTTCCTCGACAGAAGAGGCCTTCGCTGGTAAGTAAGCTTTGCGAACTCAAGCTCATCTGTGTAGTCACTCACATGGAGGCCGATCTTCGATTACACAGGCGCTCTTCCGTCTACGGCAGGCATCGCAGGGGCGATTCTTCCGGCTTCGCCATTGTCTAGCAAGTCCAAACTCGCTCCGTATTTTGAAACGCCGTCTGCGGGGAGACTCATTGCCGGCGGGAGCTTGTTGCATCGTAGGGCTGGTGTCACGACCAGACTGTGTGGTCTGCGTAACTCAGACGCAAGGACAACGGGAGAATTGAGGCGATAAGACAGGGAGAGAGATGATATCGCGTTCCAGCATGCTGAGAAGTCCTTGACATGAAACGAGGAAGCTTTTCCGAGCCCCATCAGGGCATGTCAAAGTAGACTGTTTAGGAAAGTTTATAGTAGGGCGGCATCATCTCTTTCTTAAAAGGGGTTGACTCCACCTCTATCAAAGTTGGCTATCTCTTGGCTATTGCTACATATGTACTCGTACCCCCTGGAGACTTTCCACGATTTGCAGAAATGAGTTGACATGCCGACACTGCCGCAGCCGCACCAGCTGCATTAAATGGAAGCCGCGCTAACCATCTCCCAACTGGTCAGATATCGGCGCAATACAAGGCGACCTCCTTGATCATAGTACCTACAGTGGCACCGACAAGGTACTCGTCCAGGTCAATAGTAGCCCAGAATCTAGCGCTGCAGTGCCTACACTGGGCCATCCCGTTCAAGGCCCGCAAGCAATGTTTTAGTTTTGAGACCTCCACCGTGGTATCCTGTGATAGGCTCTCCGCCATTTGTAGCCGAACCCTGAGGTTGTAGATTTTCCCCATGAGATCTTGAATCTTTTGGGCACAGCCTTGCGTTACCATTGTCGAAACGTTCGTCACGACGCTCAGCTTCTTGAAATGGTCGCACTCCAGGAAGGCAATGTTCGTTACGGCTGCCGACGCTAAGATTCTCAGTAGTTCCTCGTCTCTGGTCGACTGGACAGCCGCTTCGGTTGCCTCGGGCAGGCTTTCGATCCAAGATTCGTCGTTACTAGTACCATCACTCCGAAGTAGGTGCTAGATCTTGGTGTTCGCTAGTGAAACAAGTTCGTCGATGCGGTAATAATCGCCGATAGAGTTGACACGGATATTTTCGAACAGGCTAGCTGTTGCGTTCAATCCCTGTGGCAATGGCAAGGGAGGCTCTTCCAAAAGGAAATTTGTTGCTGTTCTCTTCATTGCTATCAAACTGACCTTGATTTCTCGGCAAACTTGGTGTTTCTGGTGACATTAGCTCCGAAACCATCTCCTTATTGAGACTAATTTCCATACCTTCTTCAGCTTCATCGATGTCATCTCCGGAAGCTTTCCCCTGGGTGGCTTCATGCTCATCGTCGTCAACGTCGTAATCGCCGGTGTAGGATGGAAGCTATCCATGACGATTATATTGGTGTTTGCTTCCTGGATTGTTGGGTTAGTACCTTGTGGCGCACCAAAAAAAAAAGGTCCGCCCCGAGGAGTCTCACCTTAAACTGTCCTCGAGTAGCAGCTTTGATCATGGGTGACTGCACGCAGACAACCGCCTTACGGACCTTGAACTCCTGGCCGTTGCAAAGGAACTTCAGATCGCTGAATTCACCCGACTCCATCATCCGGACCATTATTGGTTTTGGTTTCTTAGCAGACATTTTCCTGGGATATGATGCTGAAACAGAGCGCAAGGGAGAGACCAAACTTTAGCCCAGCCTGTGAATGTTTTGTCTCAGATAATGACGGCCATCGGCTTAACTGCCTAAGGTGAGTAGCCGGTGCTAGCAGTGTACCCCCAAGGGGAACTTGAGTCTGATTTAGTGAATGCACCATGTTAGTCAATGATCAGGCTGTACAAGGCTGCTGCAGCCTGATGTCCACACATTTGTACAAACGTGACCTGCCTTGAGAAGAGGTAAATTGCCCCTCTCCGCTAATTCTGTTCGCATATGTACCTGAACCCTCCATATCCCTTAACCACAGCGGCTGCATCACCGGCAGGGCTGATAACTTGGCTTCGATCGCCAATTTTGGCGCAGCTTTGGCGCAATTTTACTATGTTCTCGAGTTCGCACGTTTAAAATACACAAGGAATCAAATAATCATCGAAAAAGCAAAGCAAAAACCAGCCCTCTCTGCCTCGTCGGTAGCCTTTAAGGCTGCCGCTTCGCCACCACGCCTCCGTCCTTTCCTCCCACTGAAGTGCCTCTTCTCTTGGTTTAGGCCTTTCCAACGACCGGAAAATCAATCTCGTCACCGTTGGGGCCTGGGCCTCGCTCCACCACAGAAAGAGCCTTTTTGTCCTCCCACTTGCCCTCTTTATCCTTCTGAGCCCAGCGTACGATCAGCGTCTTCTGGACACCGACGTTAGGATCGAAACCGATGAACTTGTTGTCCGCTTTGACTGGTGCAGCCTTTGCACTGTAGAAGCGATCAAGGGCCATTTTGTATGCCTTGTGGGTATCTGGGAGACGTGTCGTGCCATAGTTGATGTTCTTTACCCAGATGTTGCCTCGCACTTCACCGTTGCCAGCATAATTCTTCATCGCGCCCTTCTCCTTCTCAAGCTCAGCGGTCTTCTCTTGCAGCACCTTCTCGCTTTCGTGCTCCTTCTTCTGGGCTTTGGCAACACCGTCCTTGAGATCGACAATCTCCTTGTCAAGCTTGTTCTTCTGATCAGCAGCCTGGTGCTTCGTGTCTTCGAGTTCTCTTGTCTTCTCGTCTCTCTGGCTAACTACCTTGCTACAAGCCTTTTCGAGGCTGACGACCTTGTCTTGAAGAGCGGTGTTATCCTCTCCACTCTGCGCTAGCTTGTCCTCCAGCCCCTTGATCTTGGCTTCTAGATTCTTCTCCATGTCGTCCTTCTGCTGCTTCAGGGTCTTGCCGAGCTCTTCGGAAACTGCGAGCTTCTCGAACATCTCGTTCCGCTCTCGAAGAGCTTTGATCTCGTCTGCCTTAGCGTGCTCCAGCTGGTCCGCCATTAGTGCTTCCTTCACTTTGGCGGCCTTGAGATCCGCCTCCATAATCTTTAGCTTCTCGTCGAGGATGGCGCGCTCCTTGTCGGCCTTCTGGAATTCATCCTCCATGTCTTCGTACTTCTTCGTCACCTTTGCGCATTCTTGTGTCGCTTCGAGGAGCTCTTCAAATGCCTTTGATTCCTTGGCAATGGCCTCATTCCGTCTGGCCTCAGATTCCTTCAGTTGAAGGTAGAGCTGTTCTCGCTCAAGGACGATAACATCCTTATCGTGGCACAGAACTTCCATCTTCTTCAGGGTAGCTTGGACCTCGTTCTCGGCATGTTGCCTGGCCTCGGTGGCCTTTTCGAGCTCGAACTTGAAGCCATGAGCGCGGCTGTCGGCCTCCTTGAATTGTTCTACGAGCTCATCCCGATAATGTTCCAGGCTGGACTGGTTATGTACAGCATAATCGCGCTCTCTGATCACGATTTCGAACCTCTTTTGAAGTGTCTCCAGGTTCAACTGGCAGTCCTTGAGCAGGGCTTGATCCCGGATCAGCTCAGTTTTGGCACTCTGATAGTCGAATATGGCACCGTCACGAGCTCTGATAGCACCATTTCGGTCTTCGATTGCTTCGTCCATACGCTGGACGGCGATATCACGTTCGTGGATGGCTTCCTTTCGCTCTGTGATCGCCTTGTCTCTAGCCTCTTTTGCCTTGATGAGTTCCTCCCTGACTGACTTGAGCTCCGTTTCAAGAGCGGTGCACTTGTGTTCAATGCTGATGAACTTCTGCCTGACAACTTCAAGCTTCGAGGAGACTTCTTTGAATTTCATGCGTGTGATTGCAAGCTCGGTAGCCAATGTCTCCTTCTCGGCGAAGAGAACAGCCATAGAAGCCTTCAAAATCTCAAGCTCCTTGACCGCAGCATTGTATTCCTCCAGGCGGATCCTTGCAATTGCTTCGGCTTCGACAAGTCTGGAAGTGAGACCCACGAGTGTTGCTTCCATGGAGACAATTTGCTTGTGAAGGGTACTGGTCTCTTCTCTGAGTTCTGTGCATTCGTGTTCCTTCTCGAGGAGGTGACCGCTAAGAGCTTCGAGCTCAATTTCGGCACGATCGCGTGCCTTGGACATCTCGTAGAGTCTGGCCCTCAATGTGACGCACTCTTGGGTGGAAGTCTCGAGGCGAGCGGTAATATCCTTGTATCTCTGGCACAGACCGTCATATTGCTCTCTGTGGAGAAGTTTCTCATGCGTGGCCCTGTCGAGGCTTTCGACAATCTCACGAATTCTGAAGAGCATGTCGTCGCTTGTCTTTTGTACTGATCTGAGGTGCACTTGGATATCCGATCGGAAAGAGACGGCCTCCCTGTGATAGGTGGAGCGGACCGGGGCATGGGCGCATATCAGTGAGTTGACGGCGTCGTCAGAAGCTTCCGACTTATTGTCCTCCGGAATGGGCTTGATGGAGACTTGCGGGACGAGCTCGAATTTTGGCCGACTTGCAAGCAACGAGTCTTCGACCACGGGCTTAACATCAATTTTGGGCAGCTTTTCAAAGCTGGGTGAGTCGACATTTGGCGAAAGGCCGGCCGGTACAACGACAGCCGCCATATCGTCTTGGTGAGAGAAAAAGATTACGAGAAGAATTGTAAGACAGATCAAGGAGAGCAGCGGAACTCGGGAGGTGATTAAGAATCCCAAAAGACGTCGATGCTTGAGAGAGCAAGGAGCCTCGAAGGCAGAGGGGCGATGACCATTTATACAAAAATATCCACCGAGTGACCTCCAACATCTGGAACCGTCTGTCACAGACGCTGCAGGCTGAAGACCTTTGGAAGTTCTAGATTCAGCTGTCTCAACCGCGTGCAGGAATTCAACCCCTCGGCGTCAGCTCCACACAGACGTTGCCGCATTCAAGTCCGTCATCTGAACGGATGATGCATGAAGGAATTGCGATTCCCCAAAAAGAGCAAATCAAGAGAAGTCCAGACTCACACAATAACTTATGAGTACTTCAAGGCTAGCTGAGTGAGGGTCCGGACCTTTCGAACCGTAGACTCTGGCTGAAAAGCTGAAGGCCAGGCGTAAGGCTCAGCCAGCCACCATCATTCGTGGCTTGGACCCTGAAGCTGTCGCTTTATATTGGAACCGAATGTAGAAAATTAGCGACATTCAACTGCAAAAAAGGGGAAATGCCTACCGACGATTCCGTCGGATCCGGGTCGAGACCATTTAATACGAAAGTACGGAGTACGAGTTCAGCAGCAACCCAAAACAGTAATGTGATGAAACAATAAGACAGAAAATACAGGCTGGTGATCCACGCATCATTTGGACTGTGCCCCTGATATCTAGGTGGCGCATGGCCAGCGATGACTTGATTCTGTTATTCCTGTTAGATGAGTGGTTGAGTGGCTGTAGCAGCTGATTCTCGCTTGAGGCGCTTCCGGTCCTCGTATGAATTACACGTTGTTTTGGCCACGAGAATGGGTAATTGTCAACTCGATAGGTGATTTAGCGGCCCACGCCAGCGAGATTCGGTGGATATACTGGCCTGGCCATGTGCTGCGTGTGGTGTGTGTCAATTGCCGTCCAAGTCCAATTTTGATATCAATGCGTCTTCGATTTTGGAAAGCGAAATTGCAGTTTTTATGGTCGACCGTCGACGCTACGGGCCGCTCCTTCCGAATCGAACTCACTCTGTCGCCGCTTTAGTAAACTCAGCACGTGATGCTGGCGAGGAAGTGACACTAGGCCAAAATAGTCCACGAGCGTCTTTTGAAGCCGTCACAATGTCATTTGAAGCGGACAGGATCTCTCAGTCGTCATCTCATCTCATTTTACCTCGTATGCCTCGTACCATCATATCAATCGAGACAGTGAACTGAGACTTATAAGATTGGTAAATCTCGATTCAGAATCCTACACTTGGCAGCAACCATGGCCCTCCACATGCCAGAGCCCACGGTCCCGCCGCTGCCGCTTCTCGATTACAAAGTCCTCTCTTTTGACGTCTACGGCAGTCTAATCGAATATAAAGCCCACATTCTGGACTCGTTTCAACCCCTCCTCTCTCGTCTCCCGCCTTCATCACCGTTTCTCAATTCCACCCCATTGACCACGACGGTTCCTGACTCCGCCTCCGTGGGCTCTATTGAGTTTCTGAAGCTGTTTCAACGCCAGGAAGACGCCATTAAGCTTGAGAAGCCCGTGAAACGATTCGATGAAATTCTAGCCGAGATATGGAGGCGGATCGCCACGGAACTGGGTGTTCAAAGCAGCGACGACGAAGCAAGAACATTTGGAAGCGAGGCTGTGATTTCCGCCTGGCCGACGTTTCCGGGAACTCTGGATGCATTGAAACGATTAAGCAAGCACTACAAACTTGTGGCGCTTTCGAATATTGATCACTTTGCCTGGGAAATCACTGCACACTCGACCGCAAGTCGCCTCGGAGAAGTGAGCTGGTGGAAAGTCTTCACTGCAGAGGATTTCGGCGACGACGCGACTCGCGCGGATGAGGCGAAACTGGAGACTCTGATCCAGTATTGCACCGACCACGGCGTGAAGAAAGAAGAGATGCTTCATGTTGCACAGAGCCTTGGTCACGACCAGGCCCCTGCAAAGAGGTTAGGATTAAGTTCTGTGTGGTTGATTGGGGATGGGCCCAGATGGGGAAAGGAGACAGAGAGTAAAATGGCACTGGAAAAGCGGTTGGTCGGATACGCGTGGAGGTTTCGGAATCTGAAGGAGTTTGCGGATGAGGTCGATAGGGTGGCCAGGGGGTAAGAGTTGACGGACCTGCAAGTCTCGTCATTGGGGCCATTGACAGTAAAATGATTGAATCGTCAAGAGTTGCTACACTATATCGTATGTGGCGGTAGCACAAGGAATTGGCCGTTGTCTGATTGAGCGCCCATATACCCGCAGGATCCGACTCCGAATGGTCAACTCATTATACATGTATAAGCCCGTCCATGTCGTTCCAGGATAAGGGTCTCTATACAATATGCCCTGGCTTGTGGAGTTGTCTGACATATCGTCGGCGCGCCTACTGCCGTATTAGGATAAGACGACTATCTAAGGGATCAAGTCGGCGATGGTGATAATTGGATAGAATCAGACCTTCAAGCACGCCCCAAGCCATGACTATTACAAAGGACGCATACTTTACGAGCCTCGTCGAAGCTACGGACAACCTGATTAATCATCTGGGAAGTATATTTAAGACGTCAAAAGCCTCCTCTCGGCTGTGACAGGAACACCAAATCTCCCAGGTTTATCACGTATAGTATCCAACCATGGCAAACCAGACAGCTGTCCTCCTCATCGACCCTTACAACGACTTCCTCCACCCAAAGGGTAAGCTGAATCCCCGATTGGCGGAGAGCATTGCCGCCACGGGAACTATTGAGCATTTGCAAGAGTTTGTCGCTACAGCTCGTAAACACAAAATCCCCATTTACTACTGCCTGCATCAGCAAACGGACAAGCACTCCTTTGAAGGCTGGTCCATGATGAACTGGTCACTGGAAAGTCTCGGAAAGAACTTGGTCTTCGAAAAGGGTTCGTGGGGTGCAGAGGTTTACGAGGGCTTAGGCCCCAAGCCAGATAATGGGGACGTCGTCGTCTCCAAGCATTGGAACTCAAGGTAAAATAATCCTGCGACTGTGGTATGTATGTCTAGTTGGCTGACGCTGCCTCGACTGGACGAAGCTCTTTCCACAATACCGACCTGGACTATCAACTCCGACAACGGGGAATCCGTAACCTGGTCCTAGCTGGCCTCGTGACCAATACATGCGTCGAAGCGACAGCACGGTACGGATATGAACTGTGAGTTGTCCCTGCGCAGTGTCTAGATGCAACCATGCTAATGATGGCTGACGCAGTGGGTACAATTTGACCATGATGTAAGTAGAAAGTTCGACCTGTGTACATTCTTATCTGTCTCTCAAGCCTTGAAACTGAGAACCGGTACAGCTCAGACGGGACAGCTGGTTTCAGCACGGAGCAGAAGAACGCGGCCACACAGTTGATCTGGCCATTGTTCACTAACAGGATCTTGACCGTCAGTGAATGGGTTAAAAGCTTGGAGTAACAGCGAAGCGTGTCGCTATGCGATGCTTCCAGCGTTTGAAGCTTATTGTGCAGAGCGGGGTTGGGGAAGAGCAACTCGGTGCGCTGCAAACAGATAAAAGTGTCAATCGATAGACGTTGATCGAGCTGATTCCACAAAAGATATTATTGTAGCTAATTTGGACGTGTCTCTGGGTGTGCAAGGTTCCCCTCTCATATATACGTCCAGGGGCAGAGCAGTAAATGCAGCCTTGCGGACCATGATTCGCTCTTCCCTGGCGCGCAAACTGCCCAGTTGGGCCTAGCGCTGGATTATGCTGACAAGGGGTATCAAAGATACTCCGCACTTTTGCATTTATAAGTCCTGCATGTGTCGCCTCCCATTCGACCCGGATGATTACTAAACAGGCTCTCCCTTGCGACTATTGATATCAAGTGCCAAACAGACCTTTTCTATTCATCTCCCTCTGTCGCCCTCCCTTCCTCTTTGGAACAATGACCAGTTCCCCCGGGACATCGCGGCGTTGTGACGAGTGTCGCCGAAGACGCAAGAAGGCAAGTTTTTCTTGTGGACACACCATATCACGCGTTACCATGGCTGATACCATATCGACAACGAATAGTGCGGTCTTGAGGAACCCGAGTGTCACCGGTGTGTTTCCAGGGGCCTCAAATGTAGTGGACCCAACGATGGTCGCATCTATGTCCACCGAAATGCAGCAAACTTCCACACGCAATCCCATCGTGGTGCTCTCCGGATCGCGATGCAGCGTCGAAATGCCCACCGTGCGCCTGACCCGGCACCTGAACCACGACCCGTGACGGTGGCTGCTGCCACGCCTATGGATGTTCTTCAGAGCCTTATCCAGAGCACCCAGGCCTCTCTGCTAAGAGCTAGTGCGTCTCTAACAGCAAAACCTGTAGAGTACTTCTACTCGACAGTGCTGGATGTTTTCCAACCGAAGGAACACCTCGGCGTCTTTAGCGGCGATAGAGTGCCATTGCCGTCAACCGAGGGGGATTATTCGAGCGTAGCGATATGCATCCGCTCATTGCTGCCTCTCGCACAGCAATCCGCAAGGCACATATTGGACATATCGATATTCAGCCTCCTGACCATGTATTTGAGCCTCCTGGTCAAGGACCCGAAGCTGACAGAAATGGCCCGCTCGGCATACACTTCAGCAGTTCGCGAGTTTCGCCTGTTCATTGGATCTCGCTTCCCCGCGGATTCGGCGTATCCGCAGACAGGCTACTGTCAGGTTTTCCTCGCTCTGTCTACAGCGCTGCAGCTGTTCGAGGTATGTACGATCTCAACCGCTCCACCGAGCCGCTTCTCACGATGTGATTGTCGGTGGCTAACTCGTTCCAGTACGTGAATGATATGGGAGCGACTCGGTCTGGCTTTCTGACTCATCACGAGGGAATGCTCAAACTCCTCCAGATGTCCGGACCTGAAGTATACCAATCGCCTTACCTGCTCCAGTCGTTCTCAGGACTTCGTGGGATAACTGTAAGCGGCTGCTGTTGTGACATTCCGCGTTATATTCCCAACGCCTCGTACTGAAAGCCACGTATTGCAGATATTCGTCGCTTTGGAGAAGAGACGTCCTATCTTCCTGTCCCAGCCGGCATGGATATACACGCCATTCTTTTATCGCCCCAAGACAAGGAGAGAAATCCTTCACGATATCGCACTAGAGATCCCTGCATTATTACGTCACTCCGACGACCTTCTCTCCTCGCTCGTGCAAAGACCGGAAGAAGATTCGATTGAGGCGACCCTTAGGGCAAGCGATCTCGTTCAGGTGTTGATGGCAGCCCAGCAGCTTGTTGCGGAATTTGCGAGGATTAAATCGGATCTGGAAGCATGGCTCCAAGCCTTCAAACAGTCACACGCCGCAGCACCTCTTTACTGGAACACAGATAGCGTGATGGACAATACCAATTCCTACACGGATCCAGTGTGCATACCGGACCTGCAAGACCCAAAGTACCAGCTGAGATTCCAGGATGGTCAGAAAGCAGGGACATTAATCTGCTACTGGAGCTTCATGCTCGAGCTACTAATGAGCTTGATTGACGTACAGGCCGCCGTTTCCACAATGGTAGGAGCCCCAGAGCCAGTCGCCTGCGCAGAGGAAATCATCACGGTCGTATGCAAGGACTTGGACGCAAACCGCTCTGCGGCGGACGAAAGTGCCTTCCTGATCATCCAGTCAACACCGTACCTGATATGCTGTCTGGAAGGGGTCTTTGTGAGCCAGTCACCGCTGAGCCTTGTCCGGAGATATTTTGCCAGACGACAATAAGGTGCTAAGGGCGATAAGCCTCGATTGATCTGGACTTAAGTCCTGTGAACCCTAAAGTTAGGGGTAGATCATCTGCGACCTCAGCGTGATCGTAACTAAGAATAGCGGAGAAGGCGACGCGGCAAGGCACGCAGTAACAACATAGTCATGCGCTAAATCACCATGCACCATTTCAGCGCTTCGGCCTTCTTGAGGCGGTGGCATCAGGACCGAGAGACTGAATGGGTCACCCAAGGGACCGTATTGCTCGATATTCTTGAAGGGATCGATGAATCCTTTGGGTGTAATTTGCAGAGAATTTTCTGTGTACAGACCGAGACGGAGCGAGGACCGATCTGCAACATGGCATACCAGGATGAACATGGCGTCCTTTCCCCTGGGGGCGCCCCCGTACAACCGCGATACTATACGGAAACGAACGAGGCAATGAAATCTGACAAGGCCGTGAATGGAAAAATATCTCTCGTTGGCATTCCAATATGTCTCTTGGGCAGCTCTGATCTCTTCAACTCTGAGCTTTGCACTGTCCTTGGGGAATCCGATACCAATGCGTTGATAACTGTCGTTTCGCAAGATGGCGTGCAATCCGTCTTGGCCTAGGGTCGAAGCTAGATATATGGGTAGAGCAAGACGTCCTAGCGGCGGAACTCTCGACTGTGCCACCCGATCTGGCCAATAACGAAAGTAGGGGTCCACAACCCGCTTCAGATAGATGCCCACACTTGGCTCCGGTCCACCCCGGTATTGGCTGTAACGGCATAGATCCAGTATGTAAATTCCGTCACTGTAGAATTGAACTGCGGTGTTGATCTTGACTCCATGATTGGTCAGACTGATCTCGTCACGAAAGCGGTACTGGTCTTCAATCAATGTAATGTTACCGGATTTCCGAAATTCGCTAGGCGAAGTTGCAAATATGCCTCGCGGCGAGGATTCAGCATCGCTTTGCTCAAGCAAACAGTGATAAATCAGTGGCCTTCTTCAAAATCTCTTCCTGCAGCCGGGAAAACGCTTTGATGCCTTCTCGATATACCAGCGGCATGTTGACGTCAAATATACCTAGAAGACAATAGGCCAAGTCTTCACCTCAGGTGGTTTTTCGATCTGCAGCCCAAGTCATTCGCTTGGCCAGAGGAATCGTGGATAATGCGTCGGGTCCCGCCAGGTAGTATCGGTGTATGCCAGTGATGGCTGCAATATCTGGACCGAGACTCTTTTTGGTGCCAATCAGATTCAAATTGCGGTCATAAAACAGCAAAGTTGTTGGGGCGATGAGTTCCTGTAGCGTCCATCCCCTTGTGAACCATTTGCAATTGTGAAGATCCTCAGGCCGGTAAGTAGCCCTGTCGCCAGGTCGGAAAGGAAAGCGTAGCAGAGATGCGCATTCTTGTACCATCGAAACATTGAATTGATAGCTTCAGTCAGCTCAGCGCTCGAAGATTTGTCGATACAACAGGTGTCGACCATGACCGACTGCCAAGGCACAGACGGCTTGAATCTTAGCGAAACCTTTCTTCCGCCTAGCGACAGCAAGGTCTTTCATGTCTTCGAAATTAACTTCGTCATCTTCCCATGTGTGCAAGAGAATGGTGTAGCGTGCCTCTGCCGGCACCGGGTCGTTGAAGAACTCTAGCTTGAGTGTCTGCGTGTTGATGAGTCTCATGTTGAGCGTCGCAGCTTGGCCAAAGATCAAGATCCTCGGCGGACTAAGGTATGTCAACGACGACGACTTGATTTTCGATTGCTTTGTCGTCTCAGGAGCATCAGATGGACCATCAAGGTGCTTGGCTTGCCAGCTCCAGCAAGGCAGCCTGAACTTGATCCCATTCCAGAATTCGTCTGCTAGAATGGAGGCTATTAGGGAATGATGAGGCGCATGAGGCTGCAGGGCTTCGAGTGGCTTCGTCTACCTGGGGGCAACTGGGGGGCATGGTAGTTGCATGGTAGTTGATGGAGGTGGGCTTGGACTGCCAAGGCTGGTGCCAAGGCTGGTGGCCTGCCTTCTTGGCCGTCCCAGTTAAGCGTCAACACAACAAATATCTCGAGATCTCTTTGTATAATTGCAACCTCTCTTCAATAAATGTCATCGGATCCAACAGAATTGGAGTGGCTTGGCCTTACGATCGACTCGGCGACTGGGCGGCGTTGCGCTCATTGAAAATCGTCCAATGCAGCACTCGACTCGTTCAGCGCTTTGTCATCTTGACATCAACCTTTTTCGTGTCGATGCCTTGGATAGCAGAAAGTAAGCCTTCCCGGGCCTGGGAAGGGAAACGGACTTTGGAGAGGTCAAAATTCGACGCTGAGTATTGCGGTAATATATTTGTATATATCTCACATAGCCCGCGTCAAAACGATCCTCCTGAATCTCGACAAATCCGAAGTGCCATGGAGAGACAGAGGAAGCAAACAGAAACAATCATCTTCATCTCCATCCCCACTGCCTACGTCAAGTATATCCAAGCGAAGTCCGCACTCTCTTGTTCGCACGTCGACTCCTTCTCACCGCCGTCCCGTCCTTCTGCTTCAGATTCTTCTCCTCGTCTTGCTGTTTGACTTGCTGCTCGATCTTTGCCACCGCGGCCGCGACCTTGCCGCCATCTTTGCTTGTGGCCGTCGGTTGTCCCTGTCCTCCTCCTTCAGCATTTTCAGCGACTTCTTTGGTCTTCTTCTTGGCCTTGTTGACTAACTTGCCAACTGAGGCTGTTGACTTCCAAGTTACGTTTCGACTCTTCGGTTTCGTCGTTGACCCCGTTACGGAGCGCTTCTCAACCTTTGAGCCCTGCACGGCGGATTTTCTCCGCTCGCCGCGTTTTGGCTGCTTTATTGCAGAACCACTATCTGGGATTGGGGGAAGGGCGGGCTTGACTGGAGACACGGCGGGGCGGTAGCTAACGACAGAGTCAGGTTGGGAGGTCGGTGGCGGGAGCGAGAGCTCCCGGCCCAGGTCCCCTGGCAAAATCGTTCCGGAAGCGCCTCGCATTTCAACATCCACATCTGCACCTTGCCTGGAGAACGGAGATGGGGTAGATGAGCGGACCACATGTGCCGGCGTCGACTCGCGTGCCCAGTTCGGTGGTGGGAGTTCCGGCTCGACACTGTGTTGGATGTACTCTTGATTTGGTGACAGCAGCCCAGATTCTATGCTCTGTTGAACATAATCTTGAAGCACATCTGCCGTGTACATTGTTGATGAGGTTGGTCCAACAGGGGGACGTGGAGTATCTGAACGGGTTGGGGTTATCGAGCATTGCTGACTGAACGCTGGCGTCACCGCCTGTGACGTAGCCAGCACCGAACCCTTTCGACTGAATGCTGGAGCAATTCCCTGCGGTGACAGTCCGTGGGTTGGATTTTCAATCAACTCTGTGAGTTTGAGGTGGAGTGGACGATAATCCTGTCTCGGTGCCCAACTTGTAGCTCGGCGAAATTCAGCAGGCTCCTCTCTGTGCAAGATCCTGGGCTCCGGTGCAGACTCTTCGTTGCAACACCTGCAAGCTCCCGAAGGGCAGATACAGTCTCGACCGTCTCTGCAAAGACAGGGCTGAGTGGTCAGACGCTGTTGATTGTGCGGTTCGGCTCCATGTCGCCCCGAATGCTCTTTGTTGCATCCGCATCTCCCAGCTGAACAGGAGCAAACAATACCATGTGTGCACTGGCAGGCATGCGTGGCATTTGTAGCTGTTGTCGATTGCTGGCCTCCGATGTAGGGTTCGATCTGCGGCAATGGTTGAGTCTGTGATTGATATCCGACGGCTTGTTCCTGGTATACTTCGGGCCCGGCGAGATCCCCGTCATTTGCACGGCCCGTATGCTCATCGTAACCGGTGCACGCACATTGATCAGGTTGACACTGACACCTCTGACCGCTTGTACCACATCCGCAGTGCCTGATGGGTTCCACGATCTGATGCCCATGCTTGCTGCAAGGAGCGCAGCGACACAGGCCTGGAAGGCATGAACATTGCCTTTGGGGATCTCTGCAGCCGCAGCTCTGGTCACTGGAATGCTCTTCGTAGCCCCATTTTCTTTCCGCCTCGGTCTCTAATTGCCTTGCTTGCTCGTCGTGGTCGCAGCCCAAGCATTTGCAGTATGAAGGATGGCAAGGACATTCCGACGTAGAGCACCCACATGAACAGTCGTGAACGTTCTCACATTTTGTGTCTGCATCCTCCCGTTGTCCTTGAAATTGTTCGCGTTGTTGCGCGATGCTTTGGCAGGTTGCTTCGTTGTCGTTGGAATGCAAGCCGTTTTCTGGTAATTGCCTGCGTGGCGCCTCCTCTTGCGTTGCTAGATGTATTTCGTATCCTCCCTCACCGTAGACCGGCTCCTCGGGTTCGTATTCTACTTCAGACGACGAGACAATCTGCTGCCCTTGGAGCTGTCGGCTGAGTCCGCAAGGGGAAGGCCGGTCGTGACCATGGTGCGATATAGCGGCTGCTGGATTTTCGTCTGCTGCTTCCCCAAAACGACGCTGTAGCATTGAGATCTCGCCCTCGGCGTCACTGTCTTCGAACAGTGAATCGATGTCCGAAGATCCAGTCTGGGGAGCCGTGCTGGAAATGACTGGCGAATCTGAAAAAGCCGGGCTGTAACTGAGGTGATTGTTTTGCTGGCTCTCGTTCCATCTGGATCGATTGATGTCGTCCGGGTACTGCAAAGCCATCATAGCCCGTATTTGTTCCTGACGCATGCTTGATCCCCACGAGGACGGACCGTATACCCAGGTGGTAGGGCTCTGCGCTTCGTTCGAATGGGGTATATTGTTCGACTGGTCGTGCCGTAACTGCTCTGGTTCCTCAAGCCACAACGACGGCATCCTGATGTTTGTCCAGATATCTTAATCTTAACTGGTCCTCACTGTTCCCTTCTTTACTCCTCGTCACCTCCTGTGCGTGCCTGATCAATCTATCATGGAAAGTCCGCGGACTCGACTCTGTTGTTGTTGGGATAGGACATGGGGAAACAACATACCATAAAAGAGATCCTACCTCAACCATTTGTTCAAAACAATGACCAAAATAATCGACTCCATAGTAACCTTGATTGGATGGTATGTGCCTGCAAAGGGTCAAAGAATGCGACTATGCAATTGGCAACAAAACGTCGCATTCCACGAAAGTCCATCAGCACTTTAAGGCTGCAAGCGTGCTGCTTGCATCGGAGGACATGGCGCACACGAAGTGAGTCGATACAGATTCTCAGTGACAGAACGCTCGGTGCAGCATCTGAAATCCGCAAGAGAAACAAGCAGCAGCAACCCTCGTCTTGTAAGAAAACGACAACTTGCTGTTGGAATTTGCGCCGCGAGGAGTTTGGGAAAAGTCAATGTAGCCGAGTCTTGTTGGTTCAACAGACGATAATGCATGATTCGAAAATCGCCATTTCGTCTTCTAGCTAAGCAGCTTCACCGATAGCGGTTTGCAGTCGTGTCTCGATAAGGAATATTAAATCAAAAATGCATCGACAGTGTCACCAGGTTCCAAATCGTTCCTCGCTGCAATGGCGGTCCATCGCAAGCAATCTCCCCAGTACATCCCACCAACTTTAGTCCATTGATCAAGACCTGCCTTTTTCGCGTCGCCGTCCGAAAATTCGCCTGCTGATGGTTAGCCGTGGAAACTCCCCTCAAGATTGTGCACGAAAGTCGGGGACCTCACATTTGTTAGCTAGCTTATCCAAAAAGGAAGCCACGCAGTCTTTCAGGCCATATTTCTTCATGGAAATCCCCTTTCTGAGGGAGCTGGACGCCGATGGACACCCATTTTCGTCGTATGCAACAGCAAGTGTCAGATTGTAGCCCATTTTCGAGTTTCCAGTTGAGTGGAAGAGCTCACATTCTCCCGCCGATACCCGGCCGAGACCCGGCGCATCATTTGCGAATTCAGATCCTTCGTAAAAAACGATATTGTCGGCAATTAGAGTCTGGCAAAACTGCCGGATTGGGCCTGAATCCATTTGGAACGGCGAGAATTCAACGCCGTGGATCCACACTGTTGGACTTGGAATCGCGCTTGACGCTTTGAAACTGACAGGAGTAGCACAGTTCACCACACCGGCCTTCGCTGGGCTTGTAGTGGTTGTGAACGCAGTCCAGTGGGCACAGTGAGAGGTTAGCTCATCCCTGGGAGCAGGAGTAGAAGTGATGGTTTGGAGACCCCATGGGGCTGTACACCTTGCACTACCAAAAGCGGCCACTCCCTCACAAGTCCGTACGTAGACTGCGGTGTAGCTTCTAAGGGTCGTTGTGAGGGTCGCATGCCCGCCGGCGCCGACAGAGATTGGCAGACTCGAAGTTGTTCTGCTCACTAGCGAGACCCCTGATGAGCCGAATGTCCAGGGGCCACCTGCGCCCGACGTGGGAAGTGACGAGACCAATGTAGACGATATCAGTACTCCTCCTGAGAAGACCTCGCTATACACATTGCCGTTGTCATCTGTGGCCACCACCGTGAAATCCCGTAGGCTGCTCGGAATTACTGGAGTTGTGATAGGAGGGCTGGAGATGGTAACATGAGAGCTCGTATTGGTCAAACTCTGTGAGGTCAATGTTGCCGAATGAGACGTGCTCGGAATGGTGCTCGAGGTGGTGTTGCCCATGGTCTGTGTGGTGTTTGACCCGAAGCTGAAAGGACTGAACTGTACTGTCGCGTTATCGGGAATAGGAGGGAACTGAGTAATCCACGAGGCAATCTCAGCTGATATGGACGGATCATACCACCAGGAATTAGCCGTGCAAGCCGGAGCTATTGCTGAGGAGTTGACAGTGGTGGTGGTAAGTGTATTGGTTCCAGAGCACTGTGTAACGGTCGTGCATTCGGTCGTGCACGATTGAGTGGCAGAGAAAGTTCCATTTGAGCTCAGAGTCCAGCAGATGTCTATGCATGAAGAGAATGCTGTCGATGAACATGAACTGGACGAACTGGATGTACCCGACGAACTTGGCGAGTTCGTCGTTGGCTCATTCGATGGATTTGCTGCTGGATTGGTCGTACACGGCGATGCTGTACAATGGATTGTAGGAATGGTCAAAGTTGCAGAGGGCAGAGGAGGAACTGGAGGATGAATGGGAATCTGCATCAGTTAGTTCCACATGATGGAAGTTCGCGGGTTGAAATTTGGAATACGCACCGTGGGAATCGGGAATCCATTGAAACCCAGATTGTTGCATGGTAAATGGCATTTTGATCCCAGGAGTGAAAAGATGCATCCAGCTATGGATCCTACCCAGTCGAGGACATCACCACAACCAGGCTTGCACAAAGGGCCGACACAAGCCCAAGCCCAGAAAGGAAAGTCAATGTAGCCACCCTGAATATTCCGGGTGCTGTGTGAAAGAGTAGCAGTCCATGACATCGACGTGGTACTGCTGCTGCCGCTTGTTCTGGTCACGCCCTGCTCGGAAGTAATGCTCCATGGATTGGGTGTGTTTGTGTCATAAGAGAAGCCGGTAGGGAGCGCAAGCCAAACGCCAGATTGCCCAACAGATGTGGTCACGGAGCAAATCCAGCCATCGCCACAACTCGAACCTGACGGTTTTTGGGCGTAACATAGTGGGTCTGCTAGCCAACAGAAGGGGCACAAGCAGTTGACTGTGCTGGCAACCACGACTGTTCCTGCGATCTCCGTCATGCTCGACTCCCCAGAGATCGACAAGGGCCAGCACCATGGAGCAACAGAGTACGAGCCAGATGCGGTATCATTTATGTAATTGTAGCCACATGACATTTCGCCAAAGAGTGAAACAGTGGGGAGGGGTCCAGGTGGGAAAGGAGTCACCGTGATTCCAGCCAGGGGGGCAAGTGTCCCACTGAAAGCTGAGCTCGACGCAGGCAGAGGGAGGGGGATGAAGGCACCACTGGAGGAACTTGGCCCAGGCACAGACGACAAACTGAAGGTAATGCTGGAAGAGGGGCTCTCCCTGGCCGAAGTCGGATGCGTCGATTCACCAAAAGATGATCTCGAGCCTGATGGGGACTGGGTCTGTGAACCTCTAACACTCGACGACGGCGACACTGGGACTGGGAGAGGAACACTGGAACCAGCAGTCTGGGTCGTCGAGGACACTTGCACGATGCTGATGGTTGTGCGAATGACAGTGACAAATGTCGTTGAAGTTAGATCGATCGTGCTGGTGAATGAAGAAACGATTTCAGAACCAGCAACAGTCACATTGACAACAGAAAGTGAGCTCATAGTTGACAAGCTCCCATTCGAGGTTGGTCCCTGTGATGACAGTGTCTGTGAAGACATGCTGCTGTTCCGTGAAAAAGATTGAACCGTGCTCAATGTGCCGTTTGCCGAGAAGGGCGGAGCTATGCTCGAGGGTGCGACTGGCTGGGAAAAGTTCGACGCGCTCGTAGCAGACTCTGTCGCCCGAGTACCGGGCTGACTTGACTGCGGGACAACAGACAATGAGCCTCGAGAGGAAGAATACATGGTTCCAGAAGCGGAGACCGAGGCCATCTGACTGGTGGACGTCCCGTTTGTAGAGCCACTAAGCAAAGGGTGACTTAGCATAGAGGAGGCAATGCTGCTAATCGACTTCGTACTAGAGACATAGGAAGCGGACGAAGACATGCTGACAGATGGCGCAACTCCTGTACTAGTTGTTGAGCCAGAGGGAGTGGAGACCGGGTTCGACGAAGTCTGCGAGGTAAATGCGCTAGAGCTCGATTTACTCGCGGACGTCTCAACCGACGAAGTCACAGACGAAGAGCTGGCGCCGCCAGAAGTCGGGATGGAGGAACTAGACGGAACAACAGGGGCATTGCTTGTCGAGCTGCTGGCCATGCTCCAGTCTCCCCAGGGATGCGGACCTAGCCACCTCGTTAGTGGACAATTTTGGAAATTTTGGGAAGACCTGCCAGGATGGTGAGGGTCATTGTCGCAGGTAGGGCAGTCAACATTTGCATCAGCTCGCTTGATGTCCGATCCGAGTCGCGCAGCTTGGGCCGGGTTACTGAGGCTGGCGACCAGGCCAAAGACGACAAAATGAATGAGACGCGCCATTGCGGCTGGTCAGCGAATGTGGAAGTCGGTCTGAGAATATGACCTTGACAATTGTCCAAAGCTCACAGACTGTGGATGAGACGCTGGAGAAGAAGGGTCAAGAATCCAAGAGCCGCAGAAGAGATAAATAGGGCCCAACTATCCACCACCTTGGAGTGCTGAATCAAAATTTCCACTTCCTGTCACGGAGAATGACGAGCGAGTGAAGATGAGGAGTAACAATCGGGTTGCGCGTTGTTGTGGCATTGTAGTGAAGATTGAGTGGAAGAAAGGGAACGGTCACTGAGGGTGCTTGAAGCAATCTTTGCTCTCGCCCAAGCGGTCGCCGTCGCCTTGAGCAGGTCAGCGTTGTTTGCTGTGATCTGAAATTTCTGTCAAGGTCTTCATTACCAGCATGATTCCCGTAGTCTTAGTGACATGTTCCGAATGACTTGCTTGGTCTCTACCTTTGTTTACCCTGCATACAGAGCTCAGTTTCCAAACTCAACACAGAGGCATTCTCACCTGTTGCTAAACCAGAACATCATTCCCAAGGCATAGTTCACATTGGGTGACTGAAATCCATCACCAGCGAAGAGAGTTGCCTTCATTGTTACCCCGGCCACTGATAGCCTCAATGGTCAGACTGTCCGCTGTCTTGCTTTATAAATGAACGTCATATGTCGCGGGTCTTGATCTCAACGCAGAACTTCTGACTAATGATAAAGAGTGGGCTGGAGTCGACTGGCACCACGCGTTAATCGCGAGGGAACATAGTGACTGGCCAACATGGTTAAGTATTCCATCGCGCACATACCAGAGCAGTTGTCCGAAGGTGGAAGACCAAAGTAACATCTCGATCAATGGCTGAAGAATCTTCCGAAGTCGCAGCAAGTAATCAGAAGTCATTTCAATCCAAAAAAGCCAGAAAACTAGTGACAAAGTGCGCTACAGGATAGCGGATTCGGATTTCCCCGAGACTCCCACTGCGCATATCACTTTCGTGGGTGTTGGTACTTGGGAGACGTGTATCATACGGCTTCTCCTCCATTTCCTCCATACGCAAGTATGAATCTTTCCCAACCTTCCCCGCACTGTTTGTGCCTGTTCTTCTGTGGGGAACCTCAAGGCTGACCAGGTCTCGAGTAACAGGAGCGGACATGGGGCTTCGGCAGATGCATTCGAAATGAACGGAGAATTGCCGAATGCCTGGTCTGGTGTGTTTCGATCCATACTCAACAAGATATAAAACGAGATGGTGGCCTCGCCGTCTGCTTGCCGCCCGGCCAAGCATTTCTAAACCAACGCTCGAGAGTTGAACATTACGCTTCGGTTTTTGCCTTAGCTGACACAATGCCTGGGCTTCTTCTAACACCAGAGACCGAGTTCAAGAAGATCCAAATCAAGAAGCTGCACCCAACATTCGCGGCTGAGATTGAAGGCGTTGATTTCTCCAAGCCGATTCCGGATGATGTGTTCAGGGAGATTCTCGCCGCATCTGCAAAAGTAATCCCCTACGATGGACTGCCCTGCTGCAAGTTTCCAGATTCTGACCGCTTCACAGTATGGCGTGATTGTGTTCCGTAAGACTGGGCTCGACGACACAGGGCACGTTGAATTTTCTCGCCGATTCGGCGACTTGGATGACATCAGACCGTACATGACCAACGGGAGGAAGCCACGATATGAGTACTATGAGCTTTTTGATGCTGGTAATATCGACCCCGATACGAACACTGTTCTGTCGCCAGATAGTCCCCGTGCCCAATACAACAAGGGCAACGCCCTGTACCACGTCGACTCGTCATTTAACCCACGAAGGGCATCGTACTCGATTCTGAAGGCGCACGAGCTCCCACCGCCCAACACTGGTGGCAATACCGGGTTTGCTGACACGAGGGCGGCATTTGATGAATTGGACCCGGAGCTGAAGGCTGAGCTCTTGGAAAAGAACTATATTGGGGCCCATTCCCTCTATTCATCGCGCAAGAAGGCAGCACCAGATTATTTCAAAGATGTCGACGTGACCAAGTTTCCGATGCACAAACATTGCATTGTGCAGAAGCATGAACCTTCAGGTCGGATGAATTTATATATTGCCGCCCATATGGACCATGTCGTGGATGTCCCTCCGGAAAAGTCGAAGGAGCTTATGGACAAGCTTATGGCGCATGCGACACAGGACAAGTATACCCTAAGCATTCCATGGAACGACCCTGGTGACTTGATCATCTGGGACAACACGTAAGTCAATCATCGCACACTCAGAGAATCTCGATGGCCTTCAAACGAGCATCTGGTCGGCAGCGAGGCTAATTCGATGTTTAGCTGTGTTATGCATCGAGCTGAGGGCGGATCATTCGCCGGAAAATACCGAAGAGACCTGAGGAGGACCACGGTCCATGATGACAGCCCTCAGGCTTGGGGCCTCAACAGAGAAGGACAGGATGAGAGACCGGGCTTCGTATTGTATAACTTATGAAGCTTCTTTCCAAAGGCCCACATTGACTGTCTACAGCTTCAACCAGAATCTGCCAGAAACACGAGCATGACGGACGTGGGAATAGCAAATGAGGCAGGTGCTCCGTAGAGATGGAGAGTTGGTGTTGAAAGCAGTCAGGAGTATCTCACACTGGCAAGGCTGAAATCGAGCCTCGATAGGTCTTGGCAGATTATGTAACCACAATGGTCAAATTTAGTGCCACCGAAAGTGCCTTTCATGCCTTCGCTTTTGTCCCGCATTGCTACTTGGACCCTTTCCCATTCAACCTCATAACAACTCCACACACCTGCATTGCAATTTCTTCCCGTAATCCCAGTCGACCAAACCAGCACACTCTAAAGACGATCTCTGGGCGGCGACTCCAGGCGCCCAGTCCGTATCTTCAGAGCCGGTGCTGTTGACAGATCCCGAGCCCTCATTGATTTCCCCGCCATTGAGGCATAAGCAGGGCTGCATTACACCCTCCACGATGGCCAACATAAATTGGCGCACTATCAACGTCGACGCCTACGATCCCGACTCCGCCTTGAACTTCCCTCTTTCCACTCTCCTCCCAGCCAACCTACCCGCACCCTCCACATCCTCTGAATCCGCACAGATAGGCCAACAGGTCCGGCAACTCCTCCGCGCCGGTGACAGCGTGGGTGCCTTACAATCGGCACTGGAGACCGCTCCTCTCGCGGGCGATGAGGGTGCAAAGCAAGTCCATCTCACCACTGTCTTGGAAGTACTACAAGGAATCAGACAGAGCGATGTCAGTCGGATATTGACGGAAATCCTGAAACAGCCGGGTGGAACGGCATTGGGGGATACCTTAATGAAGTACATCTACAAGGGTATGGCTAGCGGGAGCGGTACAACCAGTGGGAAAGGGGTGAGTCCGCAGGCGACGGGTACCGGTTTCAGTCAGATACAATCGAGGAATTTTGGGGAAGGCGGAGGTGGCCAGGTCATGAGTGTCCTATTGAGCTGGCATGAGAAGTTGACAGAGGTTGTGGGCGTCGGTGGGATCGTGAGAGTTATGTGCGATCGACGAACGGTATGAAGTTCATGCCCATAAAATGGTCTACTTCTACACAACTTCAGACAACATGTCATGGGAGGAGGTGACGAGTGGGTTGTATGCCCCGGTGGCATACTGAAAAGATCTCTACCCCGGGCAGATGCAAAAGACATAGACGAATGGACAACATGGTGCTCGATGCAATGGCCATTGGCTGGAAATGCAAATCATTCAAGGATGGAGGTATTTCTTCAAGCCCTGGTTTATATCGAGTTGCTGCTTTACCGTTAACAGTCGACTCTTCCAACGCCAAGCACCATCCAATAACTCAACTCTCGCTTCCCATCATCCGCCTCTTCCCCGTCTTCGAGCACCTTCTCCCTATCTCGTTTCCGTCTCTCTACAATACCTGCAGTCTCATCCTCGGTAACGGTCCACTCGAGCCTCACTCTAATGGGAATTTCGATGACATCCTCGTCCTCGTCCAGTTCCTCGCCCTCATTTCTCAGAATGCTCGCGGGGATAATCTCAATGACCACGCTGGCCCAGTTCCTACCATGCTCGTACAGTTTGCCCGCGATCTGTTCTCCGCCCGCTGTGTTGTTGGCACTGGCCATTGCTTGACTCGGAGGGTTGTTGAGTGCGTCGTCCCAAGCGTCGCTGTTCTTCCCGATCTGAAACTGTGGACACAAGATCGTGACTCGGTGTCCATGCTTTCCCGGCGTCACGCTGGGGCTTCCCAAACTGACATTCACATCATCGAACAGCGGATTGCGCAGTGTCATTATGAACTGGACGGGTTTTGCGGCCGCAAGGACAACATCGCCTCCATCAGGTCCTACAGAGGACAGGCCACCAGGGACTGGGAGCGGTTTAATGGTCACAAAAGGGATATAGCTAAGCGCTATCAATTTGATGCGGTATCGTGCAGAGGAGATTTTCAGTTCAGGCCGAGTGAGGATGTGTTTACAGGTTGCGCAGCGCTTGGATCGTTTGGTACGCATCAGTGTGGGCATGGGCCTGAGCTCCGAGACTGTGCGTGCTTGGGGATTGCCGATGAAGGGAGGGTTCTGCAAAGTCCTTTGTGGCATGGTTGTGGTTTCTTCGTATTGGCAGGGTGTAGAACTATGTGGCTCATGAAGCTTGAGCCCTTCACTCGCTGTCCGTGCCTCTCGCATGATTGTAAGCTTCTGTCGAGCCCGTTTAAGTGAGTTTTCTCTATTGGTGTAGATGTTCATAATACGTTGGAGTGATGATGGGGAAGAGTAGGCCATGTCCAGCGCAGAGGTAGGAAAGCCGGCGTCAGTTGCTGACGATTCGGCGATTTGGTCCTTGTAGAATGTCTTCAGGGCGTTGAATCTTGACGTCGGATCTAAAGCAGGTTGTGACTCGGGTTGCCCTTTGGCCTCCACAACCTCCCCTATTTCCTCAAGAGATAAAGGGGGTCGTGACAGTGAAGATTTGCGTGCCGCATCATCTTGGTAGGACGGTGATTTCAATGTGGAAGTCTTTCGTTTGCCCCCATTTGCCATGTCATCAAGCTGACCGCGGACACCGGTCGCCTTGTCGAGCTTGATACCAACATCGAGGGTGCTCCACATGCAGTAGTTGCAGTTGAGGATGAAAGGGCCGTCTTTCGGGTCGCCGATAGAAGTGGTGATCATCTGGGATGTGCATATGGGACAATGGAAGCAATTTCGAGGACACCTGTTCCCTTCACTTCTCACCATGACCCTGGGACTCTCAAAGAGGCAGTCTGGGCAGTAGGTTGCATTGATCTCTTCGGTCACGCAGCGAGGGCATTTGATCTCGTGGCATTCTTCGCAGTACAACAAATGCTCTGGGGGAAACAGAGAAAAGGCAGAACGTGGATGTCGCGGATCAAAAGTCTCTTCACCGTCTTGAACTTGCTCAAAGTCAACATCGCGCGAGGATCGCTTCGACTTCAATGCTCTATTGGAAGCATCTGAACAGGGGCAGGAGACGAAAGTGTAGGGAAATGCCACCGCCATGGCGCCGGCCTGGACCCAATTTGCGGTCAGGAGAGGCACAATTTCATGAAAGAACACGCCAAGCAGGATGCCACTTTCAATCTGATCTGGACGAGAGAGAATACCGACTTACCTTCTCTTCGCATTTTAGAGGGCTGGAATTATTTCTCACCATCGAACCAGACGCGGTCAGACGCGGTTGCGGGTAACTTTCCTTCCTCGATATTGACATCATTCTGCTAGCCGACCCGAGACGACTTCTCTTCTACAAGCACTCCGTGCTGTCCACCATCATCTATCTACGGTCCTTGTACCAGATATATTCCACAATGAAGCCACCGGCGCTTCGGCCATGGCTTCCCACTGCAGCTCTACGACGACGTCTATGCTTCCACAGGTCATACGCAATACAGGTCCCCGGGGGTCCAACTCTCCAGGTCTTCAACGAGAATGTGAAGTACCTCCAGAAAGAACGGGCTGCCTCAAATGCAGAATACAGCCGCAAGGTCGACTATTTGAAAGATGAGGTAGCCCAGAGACTTGTTGACCGACTCCTCGACATCAATCGCGAGTTCCCCCATGTACTCGACCTGGGCGCCAATAGCTGCAACATAGCACGAGCACTCTCTAAGCCGCCATTGAGCGCGCAAGAGTTGCCAGAAGGAGCAGCAGACTCCAAGATCCCTCTCTCAGAACGGATACATCGCCTCACCTGTGCAGATACTTCTCCGACGACTCTCCACCGCGACGATTCGCTGCCTGCGCCCACAGTTCCGATCACACAAGAGGTCCTCCCTTCTCTTGAGACGCTGCCTTTTGAGGCGAACACTTTCGATGCTGTTCTCTCTTCTCTAACTCTCCATTGGATCAACGACCTCCCATCCGTCCTGTCAAGCATAAACAACATCCTTAAACCTGACGCCCCCTTCCTCGCGGCCATGTTCGGCGGAGACACACTTTTTGAATTACGCTCATCTCTGCAACTGGCTGATCTTGAGCGCCGTGGTGGCGTTTCTCCGCACATATCACCGTTGGCGGACGTCAGAGACGTGGGGAATCTGCTCGGCCGAGCTGGATTCAGGCTTTTGACCGTCGACGTTGACGACATAATAGTCGAATACCCCGACACGTTTGCATTAATGACGGATATTCAAGCCATGGGCGAAGGAAACGCCATTCTCAAGTCCATGGGTGGCCCCATGAGTCGAGATGTGTTGTTGGCCAACGAGGCCATATACAGGGAATTGCATTGTAAAGAGGATGAAAAGGATAGAATACCGGCCACTTTTAGAGTGATTTACATGATTGGGTGGAAGGCTGGTAAGGGGCAGCCACAACCTTTAGAACGAGGAAGTGGGAATGTTAACATGAAGGATATACTCGGCGGAGGAGAATTCATGTAGCCGTAGTAATCGTGTACAAAAGTCAACCAAAAGAACGGTGAGCAATTTGAACAAATATTTTGTCTTCTATCCCTCTCTCGAAAGATGTCTGCAAGGCTTTTGCCGCGGGTTTCAATCCTCAACTGAACGGTACTCCATCCTTGGTTCGATCCAAGCACAATGTTCCCGGTAGCATGCCGCAGAGACCCAGTCCATCCATACAATAAGACTTTGCGCAGCGCGATGAAATAGACCGATTGTCCTCCGCTCTGGGTGCATCTGCGCACTCCAGGCTCTCTCGTATCATGTCAACGCACCTCGGCCTGTCCTTTTGCATTCGTCTCATCACTAGCCCTTCCACCTGTCATCTAGAAGTCGGTAGAGCTGCTCATAGGGAATTCGAAGCCGCAAACTCGTCCAGTCAACTTCCGATACACCTCGGAGTAGGTGTCGAGTCTGTAATCCACTCCACCCCGCTCCTTCTCATCAAGAATGACCTTCAACACCTTGCTTCCATCCTCTTTGGTCCTCAATCTCTTGCCCACAATCTCAACTGGATAGACGACATCCGCAAGGATAGCGTCGTGGACAGCAGTCAGAGTACGGCTTCGCGGACGCTTCTGGGTCTGGCTGGTGCGAGAGCGGTTGGAGCGCTTGGGGCGGGGAAGGATGCGGCGCGAGGCAAGGATCAAGACGTGGCGGTCTGAGAATTTCTTCTCGAGTTCGCGGGTCAGGCGCTGTTGGACCTTGTGGAAGCCTGCAAGCAGGGGCACCGGAACAAAGATGACGACGGCGCGCTTGCCATGGCCGACTTCGAGCTGGAGGACAGAAAGCCATTGTTAGCATTGTGATGTCCGTTATTTCCAGAACGTTGCCGGCAGTTTGGAGGTCTGCCTGATGAACAAACGTCTCATACCTCGCGAGCGGACACGAATTGGAGCGGTCTCAAGGCGACCTTAAGGTCAGGGATGTTGGTCTCGAGTTCATAAAGAGCGGTTGCGATGCTGGTTTCCAGCTCCGAAGGATGCTGCCTCGAAGGGCTGTTGTGGGCGATCTTGTTAAGGGCAGGTTGAGACATGATTGCGACTTGATAGATGTCAAGTTATTCGCAATCTGCAGTTGTCCCAGGAGATTGAAGGTTAGTAGTTGAGGCCTTGCAGGTTGTCGACAACGATCTGAACAATCAATCCTCATTTTCGCGGGATGCGCCAAGATTTTCGTGCGTTGCCCTAAGATCCGGAAAGGGGAAGGAGCGCGTGGGTCAGAAAAACTCACCGTACAATCTGCGCTTGATGGCGAATGCCCAACCATATCCGCTCTTCTCTCGTAACGCCTCCAGATAAACACCACCACCACCAGCCACATTGCCACTTCTTATTAATCATGGAGTTTAGACAAGCGACCTTCGTCCGCTGATAAATTCTGACGGCCGCCTTCAGATATTCAAAACCCCCACTAGCGAGAACATAGGGACGTCCTACCCTGACAGCATCGAGCTCCATCGAGCGATTGGCGCACTCGGATATGGGGGCCGGACAAAGACCTACTGGCAAGCTGCGCAAGGAGCTCCGTTTCCTGACCCGAGTTGTCATGCATAACAAGTACTTGTACACTTTTGGCCCTGGTGGCCCCATGTATTCTAGGTTGCGTTGCGTCAGGCGCGAAACGTCAACATTACCATGAGCTTTTGGAATTCGGCAGACAGGACATCAGATTATCCAACCCCGCCGGTTCGGTCTCAAGCGACTTCGGTAGTACCATTTTCTGCCGGATGTGCAACCACTCGCACCCCTTTCCCCGGAGATAAGCAGATGTCTTCATCGTTGGGTCTTTTACAGGTAAGTGGAGCATATAAGGTATGTAAAATGGTGTTGTCACTCCGTCTATATAAGTTCGAGATCTGCCTGGGGCTTTCCCACCACCTCCGTCTACCATCTTCTTCGAGTTTGAATCGATTTTCCAAGCGCCCTTTTCATCTGCCTTGTTTCCATTTCTCTCAGTTAACTTCCATTAAACCTGATTCTCAATATGTCTCTTCCGAAGACTACACCTGCTTGGGTTATCGAATCCAATAGCCCGGAGACGCCAGGATGGGGGAACTTGAAATTTGTCGAGGACTACCCTGTCCCAGAGCTTGGTGAGAACGACTGCCTGGTCCAAATCCAAGCAGTATCTCTCAATTACAGAGATCTGGTTATACCCAAGGTAAAGTGTACACCTTCAACCACAGACCCCGAGGTTGAAACATGGTGTACAGGGCCAGTATCCGCTACCGCTCAGTCTCCCATGTGTCGCCGCCTCGGATGGCGCGGGCAAAATTTTGGCTGTGGGCACGAAAGTAACTCAATTCGAAGAAGGCGATAAGGTGGTCACACAGTTCACCCAAGCACATCAGTACGGTCCTGTTACCGCTGAGATGATGAGCACCACCTTGGGCGGCACCACCCACGGCTGTCTACGCAGGTACGCAGTCTTCCCAGCGTCGGGGCTCGTTCATGCTCCATCAAATCTTACTCCAACCGAGGCGGGAACTCTGACTTGTGCTCCCCTCACCTCCTGGAACGCGCTATTTGGTCTTCAATCCAAGGCCTTGAAACCTGGAGAAGTAGTCCTTACCCAAGGAACAGGCGGCGTCTCTCTTGCCGCCATTCAATTCGCGAAGGCTGCCGGTGCGACCGTCATTGCAACAACCTCATCAGATGAGAAGGCAAAGCGGTTGGAAAAGATGGGAGCTGATATTGTCATCAATTACAAGACGGACCCGAACTGGGGCGAGACAGCAAAGAGGCTGTCCCCTGGTAAGGCGGGCGTAGATCATATCATTGAGGTTGGTGGGCCCGGCACAATGACACAGTCGTTGAAAGGTGCGTTGCATTTTCCATCATTTCATATCCTAGCGTCGTCTGACACCTGTCTCCAGCAATCAAACTCGAAGGGGTGATTTCTGTGATCGGTTTCCTTGGCGGTTTTAAAGCGAAGGACGAACCCAATACGCTGGCGGCTCTGTCTGCGGGCTGCATCATCCGCGGGATCCTGATAGGATCAAAGGCCCAGCTGATCGAGATGAATCGGTGCATTGACGCGAACAACATTCATCCGGTGGTGGACGAGAAGACATTCAGCCTTGAAGATGCGCCGGAGGCATACGAATACCAGTGGCAGCAGAAGAACTTTGGCAAGGTCGTGATACGGCTCTAGAGTGACTTTCAACCTGAATGAGCAGAGGACAAGCACCCAGTTAGGAGTCGAGTCAGTAAACCAGGGATGGCAGAAGATCAGAGAGATCGAGGAGATTGATGCCATGCAGAGTAAATGCATGCTAAGAATCTAAGATCATTCGTCGGTAGTGTCCTCGATTCAATAGCAAATATTACTCCGTGCTGAAGTACAATTATTCAGCTCCCCTCCGCTATTCGGCCTCTATTTGCCAGCAGGGTTGCATCTAAACTACTGCAAGTATCTTTTTAGCACAAAGATGAATCCCCTCAGTCCTTGCTGGATTTGGGTCGGGATGGACGCCCAATACGAGAAGTTCAGAAGGGCAAGTTACCGCTTCCACAAAGCCCAAATGCTCCTCGATCAATCACGTTCGACTTGCTTCCTAAGCCACACAGACCCCAGCGCCAGCCAGCCTCGTGGGATGGGCCGCTCAATTGATTCCAGAATCATCCACCGCTCGTGCGGCACCTGCGGCCGCCATGTCATGCTAGCTAGCTGGCTGGCTGGTGCACTTGCCCTCTTCCTCTACTTATGCATGCATCCATGGGGTTTTTCTAAAAGCATGAGGGCAGCTACCTAGCAAGCTATGTCTTACTACGAAGCGAACGGGATTCTGCCGAACAACGTGGCAAGGTTAAGAATTGTACGCACAGGCCTGAGCTTTACATCGAGGAGATTGTATAATTTGGCATCGATTCTCGACAACGAGAGGATAGTAAATACAGCTAGCTCCGTTCGAGTGGGATGTATGTATGCTGGATTGGGGAATACCTATGCTCTCCTCTCTTTCCTCAGTAGCTATCCCTCTCCAACCACTTCGCACCGGCTTCATAAACCTCCTTCAACTTCTCTCCGCCCTCCATTGCAAAGAACTTGTTCACATTTTCCAACCTGTCCATCATTTTGAGGAAACCCAACACCATCATGTCGGCGTACGACACTTGCTTTCCCATCAAAAACGGTCCTTCCGAGTTCTCGGCGTAGATCGCGGCGAGCTCCTTGACGAACGGTTTGACATCCTCCCAGGCCTTGTCCGTGTTCTTCGCAGCATACTCATCGAGCGACATGCCTAGCGCCTTTTCTCGCGAGGCAACAAAGTAGTCGTACGAAGGTGGGTTGAGAAAAACCTTGGGCACCAGCGGCATGAAAACGGGCCGGACTTGGCCTAGTAAGTTTGGCAAGAGCTGCTCGATGCGTGGTAGGTACGGTGAGTTCAGGTGCAGGGATGGCGAGGGGTGCAGTTGTTCGAGCTTGTCAACAATCGCGCGCGACTCCATCAAGTATTCGCCGGAAGGGAGGCGGATGGCTGGCGAGGTGTATTCATATGGTCCGCTGCTGTTCGGAGGGATACCACTGGATTGGAAAATGAGTAAGTTCGTTCATTCGATCGTCTCGATGTGTGGGTGGACGAAGAAGATGGCTGTCTGGGGATGAAAAGCACCTATCACGCCCTCATCCCTCATCCGCCACACGGAGACTCGCAGACAGAACTGGAGAGTACCTCTCAGTTTATCAACACCGGTAGACTTACAACTTCGAAAAAGTTGGCTTCAGATCCGGATACTCGATCCACTCAGTCTTGTACGGAATGCCTTTGTAGTTCAGCACAAGGCGTGCTGGCTCTTCTGTCAGAGACGACCAACTGGACAGACGAATGGCCTTTTGAACGATGTCATGTCCTCGGACAGCAGCATGGGACTGGACTTACTTTTCCAAGGATTCAAACTCCAGCTGAACCCTCCTTTGGAAGGGAGATCGTACAAAATAAGCTCGTCGGACATGGTCGCTGTAATGGGACAGGGTCGGTGTACTTGAGCCAAAGCAGTCTCGATAACCAGAGCAAACAGTGTCTTGTGAGAGAACCATGGGTCTGGGGACTCTTCCTTGGGTAGGAAGAGATAGATCAATGCCCGGCCTACCGTTGGTGCCGTCAGAGTGAGCCATGATCTTCTCCACGATGACGGCACCTTCTCCGAGCGTATTTGCAATCACATAAGGAGTTCGTCCTAAACGCGAGACGGATCCGATCGACGACGTTTTCGCAACCCCGCATCGGCTCAACAGTTGGTTGTAGAGCAGCAGAATTGGAGCCGCGCTGAAATTCCTCCAAAGACAACAGGAACCAAGCAAAGCATCCGTTCCGTCCATTACATCTGTTAGCCGAGGCTGCTATGAGGAGACATTTCTCATGGACAACAGCAACGAGGACGAAAGGATAGCATCTAGTGCTGATGTTTGACCTGCACAGAATGTTGCTCAGCGTCATCGACAGCAGTTAAGCAGACACATGGTGGGCAAATACAAAATGCTTTTAATTGTCGCTGCATGATATTTCTCGTTGCTGTATGTATACATATATACCCTCCATGTTGATATTCTCCGTGACCCTGTATTGACGTTAAAAACTACGCGCTTGCATACCGAGATACCTGAACCTAGTCCATGACACCCACTTTTCCATCTCGATCAGCATCTGTGCGAGGATTCAAGCGATCGCTCATGCTGGGTTTGGTGCCGTCGGTGTGTCGGTGGGAAACATCAATCCCATTTCCAGGGGAATAGAGATTCTCTCTTCCTGGCGCATCAGTCCTAACTCCATTTCCCATGCCCCCGACACCAGAGTCGGTGGGCCGATGGGTCTTTGTGCCAGTGAGACCCGAAGAAGCGCCGTGGAACTTCTCCTCCAGCTTTTCAAAGGTCGTGGCAAGTTTGTCATTATATGGTCGAGGTGCACCCTCATATTCTTCATGCGCAGAATGGCTTCCACCGGCGAGGACACCACCGGCCTTCTTGAATTCATCAAGGGTCTTCATGGGCAAAGCCGAAAGTCCATGGTGTTGAACTGCGGCATGGTGTGTTCTGCAAATGTTAGTCACAGGCGAGGCGGGGAGGTAGGTAGGCAGGTGTGACTGACTCGTGAATAGGCACGGTAGTGTGCACGACTTCAGGCTGGATTGTCTCTTTGTGAACGACTGGCACCACAGTTTCGTGGACATGGTGGTGGACATGCTCCCCAGTCACCGTCGGAGCAGCCGCCTGAGTGTGGACAGTCTGTTCCGTTGTGGAATGGTCCTTGAAATGAGCCATTTCGGTGGCGAGCTTCTCCTTGGTGTGCGCTTCATTGTCGTGGTGGAATTCCCGATGCTCTACAGGCAAGATGTTGTGAGTCTGCTTCTCTGGGAGCTTTTCGGTATGGGTGAGAGGCTGCACTGTTGTGTGGAAGTGATGTTGATGCACCTCGCGGTCAACCGCCTGGGTAGTCTCTTCGTGGCGGTGAGGTTTGACGGTCTCATGGGTAACTGCTGGGTTGACCGTTTCTTCTACCGTGGTATGATGTCCCCGGTGACCAGTGATCTTTTGGACGGCTGCCTTTGCTGCTTCCATTGTATCTGCGATAGGCTTTTGGAAAGTGTCTGGGCTGGAAATGATCTACTTCACATGAGGTTCCCGGAAGGCCAACTGGGGCCAACAAAAAGGACAACTTTATATACATCAATGGACACGCCATGGTGACCATGGACAACGTATGAGATAATCTCAAACCTTGGAAAGGAGCATGATATCATCTGGAGAAGGCTAAGCCTGGGCCAACCGCTAGTGGTGAGGTCAGAGAAGATCGATCTTTTTGCCAGATATCGCAAAGAAAGGCCATCAACGATTGGTATTATCCGATCTCGGCAATCAACGTCCCTTTTTGCTCGATACTGAAGGGCCTGAACTGATTAACACGTCCTGTATAGGTAAGTCTTTGCCGAGTTCTGATCTTCGCCGACCAAGATCTGAGCCTAGTTCGGTCCTCATTCGATACCGCGAACTTCTCCGTCGCATACATCAATTTCCATCGTCTTAGCAGCCCGACTTCCCGACGACATGACCGTCCGTCGCGGTGAGGGTCGGAAGCGAGAGAGGCCTTTTGCCAGATTTGAGTCCTTGCGCAGTCTTCCCAGACTGAGTGTGTTCAACATTCCGTCATGGGACGGGACAGGCGGGGAGAAGAACTTCAGCTGTCTGCGTCATGATGGTCTGTGGTGTCGAGGTGTGGCGGGTGAGGTTCAAACCAGAGGTGTCCGTGGCCTCGAACCATTGCCAATCTGACGTTTGGGCTTCAAGCCACAGGCGGAAAGGCTCTCCTGACCTACCGAGGATTTGACCCCTGTTCAACTGTTGATGGGGGGGTGGGATTTGCCTGATCTGCCGGCCCAACCCTTGTTGTTCCTTCAAGCATCCGTCACTCCATTCCACTGTGACACTCTCTGACCGGCTAAGCTGCACCCTAATGGCCCCTCCAACATCTTCCCCTAGACTCTAAAGCCACTTTCCAGCCCTTCAGCTTCTCCCGCGTGGGTTGGGGTTTAGTCCATTGTGCCTGGTCGGCCATGAGCCAAGGTTGGCACAGATCGTCATCCAATCGCTCGACAGGTGTGTCGGCATTGTGGATTCCAAATCCCACAAGGTCAACGTCCGCTCCATGGGTCTTCCCTGGTGGCTGTTGTTCCTCTGCGCCATCTTAGGTAAAGTCTTCAATACCGTGCGTGTAGACGAGGTGGAGCGGTCTCGCAATTCAGGTCTAGCGACGCAAAAAGCTGTTTTTCTGTGGCCTTGGGGATCCGTCGACGGGTAGAGCAAGTACTCGTAAGTACCGAGTCGTTCACCCAAGATCAAACAGGAGGTGAGTAGCGTGGGAAAAAGGGAGCTGGGCAGGCTGGGACAGGTAGGAGCCTGGGTCGCCGTTTGCGTTCGCAATCTTCCATTTCGATCTGCCTTTTGTCTCTCCTTTGGTACAGCTGTAACTGTACCGGGTCCAGCTCCATAGTCCGGGAAGAGAAGAGCCACTTTTCCTTAACATATTTCCTGCAGCAAGAACAAAAAGCAAAAAACACCATGACCACAGCAACGGCAAAGGCAGCCGCAGCGGCTCAACGCCGCGCACATCCTGCTGACTGCGACCCGAAATGCTTCCCCTACGTCATGCATCCAAGCAGCACCACCAGCACCATCAGCACCTCTCACACCACCAACACCACCAACACCTCTTCTGCAGCAACTGGGAAACAAAGAAATCGCAGCCAGAATCCCAATCACAGTCGAAACCTCAGTCACAGCTACCACGGCGCTCCTCGCCAATGGCAAGACCCGGTCCAGCGTCCTGCAACGGCCAATCCTACCATCCATCGCAGTGATGATTCCGCTCCTGTGGCCCGTCCTACTCGCTCAAGAAGCCGTCTACAGAAGCGCCCTTCACAGCAGATGTTGAAGAAGTCTGCCAGCGTCTCTGCCATGTCGGAAACTGCCTCCCGTCTCCCAAGACCATCACTTGATGAGAAAGACATCACAGCCTTGCCCCAGTCGGCCGATCAGGCTGTCCCTCAGCGATCCTTCTCTCTCCGAAAGAAATCTTTTGGGACAACAGATCGCCCAAAATCGAAAAAGGGCTCTTCCGACGAGCTCAAGTCTCCTGCCTCGACAATCCACGCACCACTCTCTCTGAGACCTAAATCCTCGCCAGCAGAGCATAGCCCTAAGCCGGACTCTGACAGCGAAAAGTCATCTTCCGCTGGCTCTCCTAGCCCTCCCAATCCTATCAGGACGCCACGCTATCAACCCCTAGCACCGAACGACCCTTCTCCCTTGAATCCCCTCTACCACATTCCAAGCTCATATTTCTCCTATGGGACGACTACCGAAACGATGCAATCCGCGACCTCTACCAACCCCAACACCGTCGCTGGGAAGAACGAGCAAGTCCTTCTCCCTCCCGCGTTTAAACCAGGGAAAAGCGAGGACACCGAAGTTGAAGAGGTTGTCCGACCAGCCGTAACACACGAAGTCATCAAACGTGATAAAAAGGAGATAGTACAAGAAGAAATCACCCGAGAAATCCATGTGCATCACTACTACACCTATACACAACCCATCAAAGCAGTCGAAGTACTACCAGCACGTCACTTCCTCGTCGACGCAGAAACGGGAAAGAAGGTCGAGATTCCAGCACCTGAAGGATGGGTTATGCCTAGCAATCTGCAACCTTACAAGCCTGACCTGAGTGGTATCGGTGCTGTGACGCGGCATTCTCTGGTCGATGAGGAACATCCCAATGGTGTACTGGAGCCGGCGCCACTGAACATCAAAAAGAAAGAATCACAGCAAGATATGAAGACGACTAGGAAGGCCACCAGCACCGGTAACTGGACGCCTTTCCCTAAAGTGAGATGAGACGACGCGTGCATGCAGGTCCCCCAGCCAGAACCGAAGACCCAGAGTTGAATATCCGGTGTCGGCGGCTCCAGAGCTTTGAAAATATGAGCGGCATTGCATGTGCATTAGTAGGGAGACTCCTTAAATGGACATGGGCAAAATGCGCCGATGTGGTGCAACATGAGGATACCTCGATCAACTCGACGTTGCTGCATCTATTGTGCAGTGTCCATGTGATGTGTACTACTATAATTTTCAATATACCCAACGCAATGAAACGATTGAGTCAGTTTCCCCCCTTCAAACCCCCGTCTGATCTTGGGACTTGCAATCTTAATTGGAGTTTCCTTTTTGCTCTTTCTTTTTTCGTTGAAGAGATTAGTATTGCAGTATCCTCTCTTGCCTAGTAGAAAAACACAGCCGCAGACGCTCTTATAGCACAAAGAGTTCGTGACAGCCATAGACCCAACTCGTCTTCATGGTACCTGCGATAATGAGTATGTAGGTAAAGCACCGTGGGCCTCATACCCAAGCCCGGGCTCACCCCAGGGGTCCGAGAACGTGATGTCGATTCAACGCTCATGTCCCAACACAAGCCGCATCCATCTTCCCCCAAATTATTGGATTGTAGAAATATGGGAGTAACTCCGCCCTTCGGCTGGCTGTAAGTGATTCCTGGTGCATATCTCATCAAGGCATACGGCAACCAGGCAACCGAGAACCAGCTCACCGGCTTCGGTCCACAGGCGTCTGTCGCCAGAGTGTATCCCCACTGAGTCGACTCACACTCGCAGAGACCATATTTCTCCACATAGAATGTCTTTCTCTGTCCCCGCCTCTCTCCCTATCTCTTCCATGGTCTTGTCGCCGTCTCTGCAGTGTGATGGTTGATTCCGAGCTCAATGATTGTGATTCACCTAGAAGTGGTACGTCAAGGTCCTGCCCTCGTTCCACATCCTCATCTTCCCTGCTCAAAGTAGGGATCGGAATCGCCGCACTGGGTTCCTGGTTCACAGTCTGAGCTACTCGATTTTGAACATCGTCGCTCGTTCTTTCACGTTCCCTCCGTCCGATTTCAAGGCTGTCGCCGCTATCGTCATCCTCTTCCTCCTCCTCGTCATCATACCTCTGCGTTCCTTGTCTCGCCATACTTCTTACAACATCACCCTTACAAATGGGGCAGGTCCGCCTCCTTGTAACGAGCCAAGGCGTAATACACTCGACATGGAATTCGTGCCCACAGGGCAGGGACATGACTTGACTTTCGCCATCGACGTACTCTTCGAGACATACCACACATTCGACTTGTCGACCTGTGTAGCGCTTCCGTTTTGCAGGTTTCGAGGTGTGCTTTTCTGTGTGCGGGCTTCGGGAATGCGAAAGCTGACTTTCTACACTTCCACCAGAGAAGATGCCCGTGGTGGTTTGTGAACGCGGACGAGGCCGGTGAGACACGCTCTGGCTTGCGGAGATGAGCAGTGGTGAAGTAGGAGAGGCTCCATCCGGCGATTCAACTCGCGAAGAAGTGGTGGATGAAGCCGTACCCATAGTGTGGTACGTGCGAACCGGTAACCGGTCGACCAGGGATTTCGGTGCACGCCATCTTCGACGCCGAATCCGTGAGCGGAGGAGCAGAAGCGCGTAGACAACTGTCAAAGTGACAAGTGGGCTGACCACTAGGACGAGGAGTGTGTCGAAAAATGGACTTGCAGAGACGCTGGTGGGCGTGAGGGTAACCCATAGGCCGGCGTGATCATGCTCTTCGCCTGCAGCCGCAGAGTTCGGGCCCTTTTCCTTTCCCCGGCTGTCCTTGTCATTTATAGCTTCATTCTCTTGCAGAACCTCTTTCATGCCCTGACCAGAGCGGAAAACGTGGAACCATGAACCCTTTTCTTGACCCTGGCGAGCGTGGTTATTACTGAACGCCCGGTTCGCAGGCGTGTTGCCTCGCTGGAAGTGGTTCAGATGCTCCGACTTTTCATGGTCGTATTCTCCGCTGCCGGGAGTGATGCTGCCACCTTTCAGAGCTGCATCCAGACTAGTGGAAGCTTTCGCCGAGCTCGCGGTATCCGTGGGCAAGCCCTTGCCGGCCTCTTCAGGAGCGGTCTGTGCAGTGGTGGTGGGCTTTGGTGCTACAAGATCTGTGTCTCGCCAGTCTTGTACTCCGATTACAAAATCATCCCCTCCAGGCCGTTTGGAACTTGTCGATTTTGCCTTGAGTGTGGAGGTGATTATCGTAGCGGCACTGGTTAATGTGTTTTTACTGTCCTTGAGATCTGGTCGAGCCTCCTCTTTCCAGTCCTCCAGGAGGACCCAATCGATATTTCCACTGCTAGGAGGTCGACGGCTATCCTCAGAATGGGAAAACGGAGAGTTATCTCCTAGTCCCATGGCTGAGAGGACATTCTTCACCCAGCTCTCTTCCTGCTCCTCCTCGGCTGCAGCTGCCAATACAGAGGTCGGCCTCGTAGCTACTGGTTTGGTGGACGTAAAGACCGGTTTGTTCGCCTGCTGTTTCTGATCTGCACCCGAAATCACCGTCGTAGCCTTGTCATGTCCCTTAGAGTTAGCGTTTTCGTCATCACCATCGTCTTGAGGCACCAGTGAAGATAAGAGGTGCGCGGACGTGTATGAGGTGAACAGCGCAGGGATTGTTATATTCGAGGTATCGCCCTTTGCGTACATGATTGTCAACTGGGCGCCCTTTTCGTTGTCACCAACAATCAGGGCAATGCCCCCACGTCGCTGAGCCCATTTGACTTTCTCCAAGAACCCGCAGCCGCCACGGCTGAGCATGACAATCTTGCCCGCAATGTCGGCGCTCTCTTGCAGCGACTCTATGTCGGCATGGGTGGCTTTCTTTTTCTTGTCTGAAAGATTGACGTTGGCAGGCTCGCCTGGTTTACCGGGTGTTGCAGGATTCGAATCGGGGAGAGGATGGTGTAGATAGTCGTCAGTACCATCGTCTTGTGGGAGATTCTCGTCGGAAAGGGATTCGGTAACATCGCGGCCTGATCCATCGTTTTCAATGCTTCGAGCTACTTTGGGCTTTGCCTGACTTTGGTCGACTGCTGGAAGGTTCTTGATGCCTTTTGCCCTCTCTTCAACCCAGCCCGGGACGTCGGAGCAGCCCAGTTCCCATCCTGCCACATGGATGTTCTCCTCTTTCAGCAAAGCATCGTCTCCGAAGCCCTTGCCCACCCATAGTTGACCACTCAGACCCTTAGACGGAAGGTTAGGACCAAAAGCAGCGGGCCTGGCTAGGAAGAAGGTCGAGTTGTCGTTGGTCAGGCTAATAACCGCAGAGGGCGGGAACAGGGAGGAGGGGGTCGAGAAGGAGAAGAGAGCCCTCAGGCGACCAGACTTGGTGTTGTAGCCAGGCTGAAAGGAGTCGACCGCGTCTACGCTTGCAGCCAGCAATGACCAGAAGGTCAGTGCCACGGGCAGAGCGACAAAGAAGAAGAGTAACAGCAAGAAGCGGAGGGGACGCATGTTTGGCTAATAGGACTGGCTATTGCCACAAGTCAAGGAGAGATGGTGCAATCCTCCATGCGGTTTACACGGGCTGCAGTTGCGAAGCCGGCGACACAGTGCGACGGACAAACGGCTCGGACGGGTGGTCAAACGAACGTAGATGGGTGGTTCGCGCTTGTATAGGTAGAAAAGATGTCGTCCTCGAAGATTGAATGTACCAGCTGCAGCCTGATGCTGGGAAGGATACTTGGGTAGACCCTGGCACCCACTGGCCACCGGTGCGGGATAGACCAGCCAGGGCGCGGTCACGTGACTAATATCTCCTTGAGCAAATGATTGCGCGTCGTAGGTACGCACTTGTAGGGAGAAGGTCACCGCAAGGTGGATATAAAGGTTATGATGACATTTTGAATATCTAAGACCCGCTGCCTGCTCCCGTCGAGGGTGGGAGCACCAACGCGATGAACAACAAGCACTGTCTCTGCTCGAGTTCTGATTTTCGGGCATTCCAGACCTGTCAATCTTGCCCAGATGCTATTCGAGATCTTTCTGATGAGTTTCCAACCAAACTTTCTCCTGGTTTACTTAAACTAAGGACGTGTATGGAGTAGGTATGTGTTGTGCTGGGTAGGCATGATTAGGGCTGTGGGCTTCGGTATATGGTCCCCTGCATGGCCCTAGATGGCCCCCCCCCCCTAAAAATCTGGAAGTGTGCCCCCTCTTTTCCCTCATTTCAGCTTAGCTTGGGCCCGTTAGGGGCGATTGTCCTGTGGATTCCCGCCCAAGCCCGAGCTGAATTCGCGCCATGCCCAATTGGAGGCTCCAAGCAGGGCCTCTTTCGTCATGTCGATGCCAAAGTCGATGCCACAACTTCACACGCCATGTCCATCCCATGTTCGTCCATCGACCATTTGCCTACTATAGGTCAATCTCCATATCAACTCCCAACAGATTTTACTTTCAATGGCGTCTGTGCCGTTTTCCAAGAGCCCTGTGGCCGTCCTACAGCTTGGTATGCGGCTGGGAGGCCACCATGACTTCTCGACCACCTCCGTAGATCAACTAACCGTTATCTTCTCTATCCTGAGCAGAAGCGTCCCCCTCTCTTCCTATCAGAACTTCTGACCTTGTTGAACTGCTTGTTTTGCGCACCGTTGTGCTCCCATGATTGGATGCAAAACCGGTTCGACCATCGAGTATTTGAAGTTTGAAGCAGTTTCTGTGGCCCGGCGAGCAACTTCAGCCTCGTGTTCAGTCAGCTCCTTCCGTCTTGCTCAAAAAGGCTGCGCCTTCCCTCGTCATTTGCTGCCAGCTGCGTGTGTGAAACGCAAACAGCAACCGCAAAGATGAATAACATCAACCCCACGTCCGGCTTTCTACCGGGTATCTTTGGACATCGGAGAGGCAAATCCAAGACTGGAGCAACAGCTGCAGGTGAAGACGACAAAATGCATGGCCCGAAGCCGAGCTCCTTTTTCATGAGGATCCCAAACAAGCCGCGAAACCATTTCATTGCCATGGCCGGCGAATTTGTCGGCACGTTTCTCTTCCTGTGAGCGCCATCCTCGTTTTAGAATGGGGCTCCGAAACTGACTATTCGACAGCTTCTTCGCCTTTGCCGGTACTCAGGTGGCTAACACTCCTCAAACTGTTGCTGGAAACACGAGTACAGACCTTCCTCAAGGGCCGAATCCCATTCAGCTCCTCTACATCAGCTTGTGCTTCGGGTTTTCTCTTGCTGTCAATGCTTGGATTTTCTTCAGAATCTCAGGCGGTCTCTTCAATCCTGCTGTATGAGAACCAGGGTGAAAAAGATGAAGATGATGGGCTGATAACATTGCAGGTCACCCTCGGTCTCTGCCTGATTGGCGCCATCCCTTTCATTCGAGGGGGCCTTGTCTTCATTGCACAGATGTTAGGGGCAATGGCGTCGGCCGGAGTTGTCAAAGCACTTTTCCCAGGACCTCTAGCTGTTACAACATCTCTTAGTGGGGGAACAAACCAGGCACAAGGAGTCTTCATTGAGATGGTTAGTTTGCCACTGTCGGCTTGGGACGGCTTGCTCACATCTACATAGTTCCTCACCTCCCAACTAGTTTTCACCATCTTCATGCTGGCTGTGAGTATCTGAGGAGGCCATCATTGTGGTCCATTAATGACGGTCTTTCCACAGGCTGAGAAGCATAAAGGGACATTTCTCGCCCCCGTGGGGATTGGATTATCTCTCTTTATTGCCGAGTTGGCTGGTAAACAAGATTCACGTTCTATGCTTGCCTGTCGCTGACAAGACATCTAGGCGTGTACTACACCGGCGGATCTCTGAACCCTGCTCGAAGCTTCGGTCCTTGTGTCGCTAATCACGAGTTCCCAAGTGAACATTGGATCTACTGGGTTGGTCCTCTGCTAGGTTCGCTGCTCGCAGCTGGTTTCTTCTGGTTCATCAAGAGCTGCGAATATCAAACTGCAAACCCTGGACAAGACTTCGATGACCTCGAAGCCTCTGCATATAACCCTGAGGAAGACCTGACCCGCCCTGTCGTCAGTCCAACCGCGGTCATACCTGACCGTACCTTGTCCCGTACATCACGAACTTCCAAGGACGACAGACCTGGTTCTCGCCAGGCAGTTCGAGTAGGTTCCGGAGCGACAAACACAACTCTAGGCAATGATACGAATGGCAATGCCACAGTTCGCGACAGGACCACTATACCGACTCAATCTGGTACCTGATGGTTTCACGCCGGAGACCTGCTCCCCTTGTTGACCCATCTCTGCAAATAATCGACCTTTACCTTCTAATTCGGACAAAAGTCTGTCTGTGGTGCGATACCCAGGATTCTTTTGTGGTCATCGCGTTCAAGCGAGTTTGTCTGGATGCTTTGGCCGCTATAAACCTGTCGTCGCTTGCTGCGGTCTCGAGCAGCACCTGTACCTATTTGCATTCGAATAACACTCAAAAATAAGTAATAAGCAATATCTCAAAGGGTGGGGGGGCATGATGACGGATGGGCAAAGATCTATCAGATACACAGTATGAATATGATAATGCATCTTTTATATGTGTTTGTGGACCATTCCTCTCGAAGGGACGTGAATCATGTCGCGCCTTAGACTAGTCATTTTGCTGTTCAGCGCCTCTAGCTCTGGTTTAACCTCTTCATTGATCACTAGCATAGGGGCCATGAACACCTGGGGAATACAAGCGTTCTGTTACAGTTGACAACCCATGAGTGATCGATATTGACCTCGCGATTTCCACGTTCATTTTGTGGATATCAGGCTGAGGCGGTGAACTCGATGGGACAAAGTCATAGACCGGGCGGTTCATTTTGGTTTGAAAACATGTTTCACGAAGAATCTTTGCCCCATCTGGCGGACTGACTGGTTGTCAGATTCCGAAGAATCCTCGTTTCTTCCGCGTTCGGTTCCAGCGCGGGAGTTCTTCTTAGAGGAGACGGTGGGGAGGTATTAATGTACAGTTTCCTCGTCATCACGACTTGTACTTGCTGTGGATCTGCCGGATTTGCTCCTGCACATCCGTTGAATGCTGCCCGCCCTGCATCTGTGCTCCCACGGCAGGATACGCTGGCGCCCCAGGCTGGCTGTCAAGCTTCAACCTCTTCCTCCTTTCCTCCTCCTCTTGTTCGCCCAAGACCCTGGCTGCCGCCTCCGCGACTGGGTCGCTGGTGACTCCATCCGTCCTCGCCCTCAGCCTCTTCAGATTCGCTGCAACATCCGTACCACCCAGATTCGTAGTCGAAAACCGCTGCGCAGCTTTAGACTGCTGCTCTTTCCACCTCGGGTCGAGTAACTCGATGCGCAAATGAGCGTCGAGCTCGGCGACGGGGATCTGTTGGCCGCAATTTGGACACAGGGCTGTAGCGGCACGAGCGGTGGCCGCACGTTGTTGGGCGCGCGGGATGTAATCTTGTTTTATGCGCATGGGAGGTTGACCTGGTACTGGGGCGGGAGAAGCCGTTGGGGGAGGTGGTTGCTGTATGGGCACTGATAGAGGTTGCGGGGAGGGAACGGGAGGAGCAGGAGATGGGTAGGATGGTATTGGTGTCGGGATTTGAGGTATGGCTGGCGAGGGTTGTTGCGGCACAGGGGACGGAGTATATCCTGGCACTGCCGCTGGGGCAGGCGCTTCTGGGGGAGGAGCCCAGCCGTTGGCCTGAGGATATCCTCCGAATTGATCGTTGTAGGCATAGCCGCTCATGTCTTCTGTAGGCATGGCCTCTTCGATCCGCATGTCTGGTCTAGCCAGGCTCATCATCGCTTTCTGCTCGAGACTCGCGCTCTGGAGATCATTCAGTGTGGTTGGAGGAGGAAGATCGGCCTGCTCATCTGCTTCGGTGAACAGTACTGTTTCGACGACCACAAAGTCGTGCCAGTCAATCTGGGCATAGGCTATTCGTTCGGCCTCTTCTACCTCTTCTTTCTTCTGTTTTTGGGTTTCCTGCCATTTGATGTATTCCGACCGTTTCTTTGCTAGATTCAGCACCCGAAATCGGTCCTGGATGTTGGCTTGGAGTACTTGGATGCGGGCTTGTTCTGTCTTTTGACCTTCTGGGCCCGTCTGAAGGAGGATTGTGAATTGATCAACAAGGCGCTGGAAGAAGTTATAGAGCGAGTGTTGCGGGCGGAGGAAGTCGAACTGGTAATTTCGGGCTTCTCGTTGCGACAGGGCCGTCATCCAACTCTTGCCCTTGCGAGCAACATGCAGAGCTGTGAGTTTGACCACTTCCAGGTCCAAAGCACTGATATTAGGCATTCGCGCACTGAATTGAAACTCCGGAGGTGGTTCTGGGCCTTTTGGTTTTTCTGGCATGGGGGTCGCATCTCCTGGTCTCCCAGCGGACACAGCCGTGCCTCGTCCCGAACGCACTTCAGACAGTCGCCACTGATAGAAAGGAGCGTACGCATCGTGAGGAGAGAGGAAGGAGAATTTCGGATTCGCTTGCTCCTTGTCGCGGATGCGATCTTCGAAGACCGGGCCGTTGCGCGCCACGTAGCCGGCAGTCTTTTCGACAATGGCTCTTATGTCCTTGGGCGGCAGGACAATGCCTTCGGGAGGTTTCGAGACGGATTCTGGAAGTTCGGGAACTGCTCCGTTCTGTGCCATGCTTGCTGCTCTCCGTCTGTCCACCAGGACAAACCCACCACGTCTGCGCCTGTTTCAAATCCACACACGACTTTGCGCTCGGACAGATGCTGGAGGGATATGCTCTTAGGAAGTCTTGATGTGCTCCTCTAGTGAGTTGGACGCAGTCGGTGCGCACGAGAGGTTTGCTGCGAGGAGATGCTGGACTGACCGTGACTACAGCCTGATGTCGAACAAAATGCGAAGTTTGGGGAGAAATCTGAAATCTGTGGCTGGTGCAGCCTGTGGCTAAGGCATGCTTGTGGAGTTGGAGGCTCGCTTTGCTCGCTGAAGGGAAAAGGAGGATTTGCCTTGCACATGCGTGTCGTTCTAAGTAAAGACTTGGACGCGAGCCAACGAAAAGTTACTTGGTACGGAGTACGAAGTACAGCTGAGCCACCTGCGGAGACACAAGCCCTCAATGAACAAGTTGGCAATTGTTACTCCTGAACTTCACTGCATCCAGCCTTCAACCCCCTTTGCTCCTTTTTCCCTTCGTGCTTGTCTTCTTCCTTTTCATCATGGTCGTTTGACCTGCTAATGACCGGTCTATTTCTTCTTGTCTCTCGTTGATCCAAGTTTCTCCTGTCCCGCCAGAAGCTAAGGGGGACGGCAGACTGCGTCGACCGTGTCCTCTGCAGCTCAGCCTTTTGGCACAATTGCTACTATATTCCCCATTTTCCTTTGAGGCAGCAGGCCCGATTCCCTCATCATGGCCAACGCCCCCTCGCGCAAAAATGCTGCCTCGCAAAAGGCTACTTCTCCCGCACCGACCTCGAACGGAGTGAGCGGTGACAGGATCCGCACGCAATCCAGTAAAATAAAGAGCTACGCATCAGAAGGAGTGACAGACAATGATATATTCCTGCTCCCCATGTCGGACTATCAGATCATGGCACTGCTGACTCTGTTGGCTGGCGTCGTCCGCCTGTTCAAGATCTACCAACCCACCAGCGTCGTCTTCGATGAGGTCCAGTAAGTTGACCAACAAGTCACAAAGTAACAATGTACTAATGGAAACTGCAGTTTCGGTGGGTTTGCTACCAAGTACATCAAGGGCAAGTTCTTCATGGATGTCCATCCTCCTCTAGCCAAACTCCTCATTACCCTGGCTGGCTGGCTGGCCGGCTTCAACGGCGACTTTGATTTTAAGGACATTGGAAAGGATTATCTCGAGCCCAAAGTCCCTTACGTCTCGATGCGCCTCCTACCTGCTATCCTTGGAGTTCTCACCATTCCCACGATGTTTTTGACCTTGAAAGCGTACGGATGCCGAACAGTCACAGCTTGTCTCGGCGCCGCGCTCTTGATTTTTGAAAATGGACTGATCACACAATCAAGGCTGATTCTTCTCGACTCGCCCTTGGTCATCTGCACCGCTTTCACCGCTCTGGCATGGACTTGCTTCACAAACCAACATGAACTGGGTCCCGACCGAGCTTTTGACGCAAGTTGGTGGTTTTGGCTTGCAGCTACTGGTTTAGGCCTGGGTGCCACCGCCAGCGTCAAATGGGTTGGTCTCTTCACCATCGCATGGGTCGGCAGCTTGACCATCCTCCAATTGTGGGTTCTGCTTGGCGATAGCGTCAACGTCAACCCGAGGAAATGGTTCAAGCATTTCTTTGCCAGAGTCTTTTGTCTGATTGTCATCCCGATCGCATTCTATGTGGGAATGTTTGGGATTCATTTCCTTTGTTTGGTTAATCCCGGCGACGGTGACGGATTCATGTCTTCTGAATTCCAAGCAACTTTGAACAACAAGGGCATGGCCGACACTCCTGCCGACGTCTTGTTTGGCAGCGAAGTGACCATTCGGCATCACAACACCCAAGGTGGCTACCTCCACTCCCATCCGCACATGTACCCCGGTGGCAGCAAACAACAGCAGGTTACACTATACCCCCATAAGGACGAAAACAACATTTTTCTACTCGAGAACCAGACGCAGCCGGTCACCGTCGACAATGTCACCATTACAGGCCCTAAAGCGTGGTCCAATTCTACCGAGTTCATCAAGGACGGCGACATTATCAGGCTGTACCACATAACAACCCATCGGCGCATTCACTCTCATGATGTCCGACCTCCTATTACCGAGGCCGACTGGCAAAATGAAGTGACTGCTTACGGCTACGAAGGATTTGAAGGCGACGCTAATGACCTCTTCCGGGTGGAGATTGTCAAGTCTATGTCTGATGGCGAAGAAGCCAAGAAGAGGCTGAGAACCATTCAGACCAAATTCAAGCTGGTTCACATCATGACCGGCTGTGTCCTCTTCTCACACAAGGTCAAATTACCTGATTGGGGATTCGAGCAACAGGAAGTGACTTGTGCTAAAGGAGGCACCCTTCCCAACAGCGTGTGGTACATTGAACAGAATCAGCATCCAATGCTAGGGGAAAGTGCAGAGAAGGTTAACTACAGGAACCCTGGCTTCTTGGGCAAGTTCTGGGAATTGCAAAAGGTCATGTGGAGGACAAATGCTGGCTTGATTGAGTCGCACGCATGGGATTCTCGACCGGGCTCCTGGCCAATCCTCCGTCGTGGAATCAATTTCTGGGGCAAAGATCATCGTCAGATCTATCTTCTCGGAAATCCCGCCATTTGGTGGCCCTCGAGTCTGGCCATCTTAACCTACGTCATTTTCAAGGGCATCGCAGTCCTACGCTGGCAACGCAGTTGCAATGATTATTCCAACGTCAACTTTAAGCGATTCGACTATGAAATCGGCCAGACTGTTCTTGCTTGGGCGTTTCACTACTTCCCCTTTTACTTGATGGCAAGACAGCTGTTTCTGCACCACTACTTCCCAGCCCTGTACTTCGCCATCATGGCTATGTGCCAAATTTTCGACTTTGTCGTCAATCGCATCTCGTCTCTCGGATTGAAGAAGTATCCCGAGATTGGCTGGAGTGTGGCTGTGCTGTTTGTGGCTTTCGCGATCGGTGTGTTCACCTTATACGCTCCATTGATCTATGGAAATCCGTGGACACAAGACCAATGCAGATCGGTCAGACTGTTTGATACTTGGGACTTTGACTGCAATACTTTTCACACTGATGTAAGCTAGACAAAACTGCTCGAGGTGACCAAAGACTGACCCGAAATAGTACGCCCAGTACTCGACACCACTTCCATTCTTGGGAGAAGGCGGGGCCACTCCCACTGTTCCGTCAGTGAAGATCGACTCGGAAAGAAAAGATGATCCTTCAGCTGTCACTCCCCAGGTAGGTGAAGGCAAGGTGATTGGTCAAGAGGAGCGGGTTGAATACCGTGATCAGAACGGCAACCTCTTAGATGAAGCCCAGGTCCAAGCGTTGTTGGCGGAAGGCAAGGCATCTTTCCAGACCAAATACGAGACCAGGACGAGACTGGTAGATGAGCAAGGCAACGAGGTCAACGGTCCGGGAGTTGCCCCTGACCACCCGGATGTAGAAGGCCAGAACCCGTTGACGAAGGGTGTGCCAGAAGAGCAGGCCAACAAGTCGCCCGCGGATGCCCAGGCCGACGGATCAGTGAAGAAGGGAGATGAGAGCAAAGCCAAACCGGCCAGCGATGCGAGTGAGGCGACGAAGTAAACGATTGTTGGATCGGCCATAGGGAAGGGCGGAGATAATAGATGCCACGAGAATCTGAGTGTAATAACAATAGAAACGAAATGTTTTGGTAGCTCGGACAGCAAAGCACGGTGAGGTGGTGACGGGGCTTTGGAGGCGGTCTGGGCGACCCCGGCAGTTTTGGCTGTGCCTCCTTTAACCGTTTGGGTGCCGTTCAGGCGGGAGGCACCCAGAAGCGACCAACTAACTCGAATTGTTTAGTGGGCAGCCACCCGGAAGGCAAGGGCAACCAAAGGGCTGGTTACAGTGGTTAGTTGGTAGCAGGCTCAAGCAGGCTGAGCCCCTCGATCCCGATCCCTGAAACTCAGGGACCCGCGTCACAGATCAACATCCCCGTCCTGCGTCCTGCGTCCTGTGTCCTGCGCAGCAACAACCACCGTCGCAACAAAAACATTTCCCTTCACCCTGTATCTTGCACAACCCGTCCAAATCTTTCCTTCATCAGAACAACCTCAAGCCGCTGTCTTTATTCTTGGCTTCTTGTTTGCGCCGATTAATCTGTCTCTCAGACGTCTCCAAGCGGGACTCTTTCTCTCCCCCCTGGTTGTCGTCAATTTCTTTGCGCCTCAACTGGTATCCGTCTTTCTCCCTTTATAGGTGCAGCCATGAGCGAATCAAGGTAATGCTACAACCATCCCCCGGCCAGCGAGACTCGAAGAAATATGCAGGGCGTTATTAACATGTGTGCAGGCAAGAATTGCTCGCATGGCTGAACGGCCTCCTTCAACTCAACATCACAAAGGTCGAACAATGCGGGACAGGGTAGGACATAATTCCGAAAGACATAGGATCAGATACTAATACAGCACTCGACAGTGCCGCACTCTGCCAGCTATTCGACTCCATCTTCCGTACGTCGTCCCCTCTGTCGCCTTTCCGCTCCCCGAGAAATTGTGCTTGTGGCACAAAGAGACGATACGCGGACACTGATTAGTGACTACAGTTGATATTCCCATGAACCGGGTAAAATTCAATGTCAATACCGAATATGCCTACATACAAAACTTCAAGATTCTGCAAAGTACGTTCGAAGCGGAGGGTGGCAGGTCCTTCCTTTCACTTCGCACGCCGCTGACCACGATATGACAGACTGCTTTACAAAGCACGGCATCGACCGAACCGTACCTGTCGAGCAGCTCGTCAAGTGTAAAATGCAAGATAACCTTGAGTTCCTACAGTGGTCGAAGCGATTCTGGGATCAATATTTTCCGGGTCATGATTATGACGCTGTTGCACGAAGAAAGAGTGCAGGTGCCGCCGCACCAGCTTCAACCGCTCCAAGAACAAGTACCGGCGCCAGCACCACTCGAAAAACTGGGACAACGCCTGTCAATCGGCCTGCGCCAAGGGCCGTGGGTGCCGGGGGGGGGAGTTCATCTGCATTGAAGGCCGAAAACGAATCGCTGAAGGAAGCAATCGCGGGTCTGGAGAAAGAGCGAGACTTCTATTTCAGCAAACTCCGCGATATCGAACTGCTCTTGCAGAATGCAGTCGAACAGGATCCCTCCCTTGAAACAGATGAAAACGGACTCGTGAAAAACATCCAGACCATACTCTATAGCACAGAGGAAGGGTTCGAGATCCCGGACTTGGAAGCGAATGGAGCAGAAGAACCAGAAACATTCTAGGGGAAGAGAACCAACAGATTGATCAAAAATTGCCCAACCATCAGAAGCAGTGGAATGTGAAAGGAATGACACAGCCGGGTTAACAGTATCGTGACGAGTGGATGAACAAAAGAAAGCATATCTAGTGCTTGAATAGATGCAGGCTTTTCGTGTACAACTTCGACGTCAAAATGGTTACAAAAGAGTACTCAGACGGGGTGGGGGGCCGGTGGCAGGGACTTGCAGCTCTCGCTGAAACTAGGGGTTTCATGCAGAGGGATACCGAGAAACCAGTCGCACGAATCCCTTTTTGCTGCAATTTGGCGATGAGACATTGTTGTCCTGCGAGGCATTCTTGACAGAGAGCCCAAGAGCCACAACACTCGAGAGAAACGAAGGCTAATATCACGTGTTTTCCTAGCCGAGAGAGGACTAGTCATCAGTTGCTGCTTTTGCCAATATCCTGGGCAGGGTTCTCAGCCTTATCCGCCGAGTACTCAATACAGACCACCTAATGTTGAACCACTGGTCACGCTTGACAGACACAGGTTCGAAAGTCGTCAACTGTGGGCAGTGATATTCTAGGCATATTCAACCCAGATGTTCCATTCGTGGCGTAAACTCCTCCTGCCTTTCACTCCTCACAACCACACGCTGAAGCCAAATCCTCTGGCACCTTGTCCGTCGAGAGAAGCATCTTTCACATCGAGGAACCCAGCCCTCCGACCGTCGCCGCCATCAGATCATCTCCACACCATCATCGTCCTTGTGGACCCAATACGCGGGCTTTGAACCCTGATGCATCCCGCCAACGCGGTAGGCGAGCTGGACCAGACTGGGACTCTTCCCCGTGGAGGCGGAGGCATTAGTATCGGTGCCGACGCCGATCCACATCAGCGGCCGGGTGTGATTGTGGTGGGCGTTGCTGTCGGAGTAGTTGGGCTGGATCGCAGGTAGCTCCGAGGTGGTGACCAGGCACTTTACATTGAGCCGGAGAAAGCCCCAGCTGTGCCACTCCTTGAGCACGAAGCAAAAGTGCGTGCCGCCGACGATGTCGAGGTCGTACGCCGCGTTCTGCGCGCTCGGCATCGCCACGCTCGACTTGCCTGTCCTATGGTCCTTCCATGCGTAGATGGCCGATCTGGAGCTGGAGCTGGATTGTGCCCACAGGTCGTAGTGGATGATGATTCCTTCGCCGGCGGACAGGAGTACGGGGAACTCGTTGGCGGCGCTGGTATCTTTGGCTGCGCGATCACCTTCACCTTCGCGCTCGCCCTCACCCTTGTCGTCCTCAGTCACAGACTCAGACGCAGTCTCCCGCACCCGCTCGGGTTCGGGGAAAGTGAGCCACGCGGACTTGATACAGGTTCCTTCGCCGTTGTCCCGCACCGGCTCGTGCACCGCGACCGTCAGGGCCTCGATATCCCTCCGGACGTGGTCGACGTGGAAGAATGGGGGCTGGACCATTGCTTGGAAAGTATGATAAGGTGCCCTGAGTGGTATGTAGTGCAGTTGGGTATTTTGTTTTTGCTTTAGAGTTTTGTTCTGCGCTGTCCTATCTTGTCCTTGCTGTAGATCGCAAGGGATAGAAACAGGAGAAGAAGGAGAGGTAGTCGAAGAAGAGAAGATTTATATAGAAATGGGGAAGTTCAGCCTCGTTTGGTTTTTCTGCCCCTGTGAAACGCCATATGCTCTGGTCGATGTTGGCGTGTGGGTTGGACAGGGAAATAGACAGTACGGGCAAAACGCAGACGAAGACCGAAAATGAAGACGAAGAGATTCCTACAGCTTTTCTTCGTCTTGACTGAACGAGGGTTATAGTTTTTCCATTTCTTTTGTCATCCTCTCTCTCTCGTTTACACGTTTACACGTTTACGACGCCCTTCTGGTTGCTCTGGTCGGGCTTGGTTTGGTCTACGTTGCGTTGCAAACGACTTTGTGTTGCTGTTTCTGAGAGGGCCTCTGGTGGCCATTGAAGTCATGGTCATCAATGATTCATCGTCGTCCTCTCATCAAGAGTCAGTCATAGATATGGGGAATCAACAATCCCCCGTCAAACAAACGAACACGCTCGCTTTTGATCGAATTCCCCCACATGTTCTGGCACTTTAGGGGGTTAGCGAAGATCACCCAAAGATATGGGTAGGGACGGAATTAGTCGGTATTGGTGTCAGTCCATTCATACTCATGCTGGTGCAGGGCCCGAGGTATTAGGGTCCAACCAAGTTGAAAAAGGGAACTAACCCTTGGGCACTATTACATGCATGAAAGGCCCTTGATGCCGGAGAGGTTTCCTTTCATCGCTCATGAGCAAGCGACCTTGTGAGCTTGTTAATCTTGGAGCTAGCTCGCATGGCAAGTGGACCTTTAAGTATGTGAGTGAGCAAGCAACGCTCCGACTCTGTGAAAAGGGTGAAGATAGATAAGTAGATGGACATCAGCCACGCCCTATGCAATACAGCAGGGCTAAAACCTCACAACAGCTCCGCCATCACACCTGACCTCCCAAGGCCCGTCCCCGTGTGTCCCATGTACCGCGCGGAAGATGTTCTCGGGGCCACCCTCGTCGACGCCGATCCAGATGGGCACGCCAACAGTGTCACCCGTGGGACAGAACTCGTCGTTTGCCGCGGCGATCAAGGCCTTCACTTTGAGTCGCACGAAGCGAGCTGGCTCCACCACGGCTTCGAGCACTGAGAACTCAATCACCCGCGAGCCCACGATCCGGATCTTGTGCTCGGGGATACCGGCGCTGGGTTCAGCGGGGAATGTGACAGTTCGCGGTATTTTGTCGCCGTCGTTGTCCTCGTGGCAGAAGCGTTCGATATCGCTGTGATACGGCTGTCGAACGCAGGTCCACGGCCCGTGCAAATGGCCTTCTCTGACGATGACGCCCTTGCCGGGCGAGACGCATGCCGGGAACGGCTTGGGCACGACCTCGAGGCCCGTGTGGCCCAGGTGGAAAAACACCTGGGCGTTACCGATTCGGGGGGCGGGAGCAGCAGGTCCGAATGTTGACATTTCAAGATGGTCTGAGGAGGCGGCGGACTGGTCGACTTCGAGTTTTGCAAGACGGGTCGGTCTTGTAGTTGTGCACCGTGACGCCGTTGTAGGCTGACGATTCATGGCTTGTGGACTGCGCTATGCTTTCTTTGTATCCAATATATCGGCGGTCGTGGATTTTCGGAAAATATGTAGACGGGTGGCCGCTGGCGAGAGAATATCTGAAAGATGTGCTGGCTGGTCTGTGTCAGAGGAACCAACCTGTCGAGCATTCTCTAGATGTAACGTGGCTGCACCTAGAATTTGTCTCTTTCTCTTCCTTTTCCTCCCCACAAACAAAGAGAGAGAAAGGCTTGACGCGGGTTGCGGCATCTGTGACAATCAAACACTGGTCGCCGAGTCACAACTTGGAATAGGTCGTGTAGGGGAGTGAAGCTGAGGCTGAGACAAAGACAGCAGTGAATCAAACAAACTGGCTCGATTGCATCGACAACCTGTCGGTTCCAAGGGCCAGCTCACGAGCCATGTCTCATGCCCGAGTGTTGTATTGCCACTACTTCATCGTACGCTGACTGCGGTAGATCAAAGTCTAATAAAGAAAATGACTCGAATTCCAGAACACAGATCTCACGAGTGCTGAGAACCCTTTGACACCCTCACTTGCTGGCCACAAATCGATAGCAAGATGTCGAGGAAAAAAAAAGCATATGTCGAGCACAATTGGCACAATTGTCAAACTCCGCACATCCCAATGCCGCCGGATCTCACACCTCGAACAAGCTCGAGCAGGCTATTTGCAGCTTCTCCTTTGATCACACTACTAGTGAGACCAACGCCTTGGAGTGACTTCCGCCGGAGGTCAGTGTCCGCTTCAACATCATCTCCGTGTCCACTAGGCGCCGGGCTAGACAGCTGCAAGGGCGTGCTAGGCTCGGTGTCTTGATGGGTCGCTCCCACGGTCAAGTGTTCAGCCGAGTAGTCTGCGCGCAAGAGAGGAGGACTGCTGGGGATATTGGGCAGCGGGTGGACCTCGCTGCTCTGACTCCCTTGCTGTGGTTCGAGTTTATGATTCCATCTCGCGGAGAAGGCTGTTGGAACTATCTCTGGCATTGGCAGGCTTGAGAGAAGCTTAATAGCCGGTCTAGGACCCATGGTCGCGCGAGCTCGCGCCATGGCAACTCGAGTCTCTTGCGCGGCCGAGTTCTCTGGTCCAGGGCTCGGTCGCACAGTCGATGAAGATCTTGGGGACGAAGATGACCCAGTGAGCTGCGGAGGGGGAGATGTGACTTTGGGGACTTGAAGACGCGCGAATGGTCTTGTAATCTGGTTGGTTTGAATTTTGTAGAGGGCGAGCTGTAATCGAGTCCGCAGCGTTTCAGCTTTCTAAAACCAAAGTTAGATCAAGGAGTTACAGAGGACAAACAGGACATGTACCTCGAGCATCATCTCCTTCCTGGCGTCCTTCTCCGTCTTGGGCCTTTTCTCCTTTGCCCTTTCGAGCTCTTCTATCATTTGCATGTCTTCATCTTCCGACGAGCGGTTGTTGTCGAAGTCGATTAGGCTGGACATGCTTAAGCTGCTCTGAGAGGCTTCTTTGGCCAGATTCGGGCGCAGAGGCGGGACAAGCTGAGATGTACTTTGACTGAATGTGACGGCGTGCTACATCTATCACTTAGAAACGACACGTCGTGCCATTGAGCCTAACATACCATCTTGTCCAAGGTCTGCTGGCTCGGCTCGTCGTGTATGTGGAATTCGCTCTCCATTTGAGACGATTCTTCCTGAGAATCACAGAAAGAGGTGAGGGCGGTGTCCAGAGTCGACCTGCTCTGGGCCATCGAGATTTGCGCATTGTCTTCATTTTCAGACTGTGTCGCGCTCAGTAGCGCCGAGGTCGGTGACAGAGGGGTGGCCGTAACAACTGTATCTTGGGACCCTGCTTGTTCGTGATCGTGTACTGCTCCAATCTTCCGTTTCTGGCCAACGCGAGGACTGCTTGATGGAGAGTGCCCCGAGGGAAGAGGACGCTTTACAGCGCTTGGTTGCGCGATAGGACTGGCGAGTGGTAAGGCTCTGTTTGGCACCTTTGAGGGCTGCTGATGCATGGGCGCGTTGGGGTCTCTGTCACCGAGCACGCGTCTCGCAGGCGACGCCATTTTGCATTCAATGGAGATAAGGTGAAGTCAGGTCTATAAAACTTCAGGCAGACTGAGTAGCATGCCGCGATGTCAGTAAAGCACACGAGTCCAGTTGCCACAATAACTCACCACAGCAACAAACGCTCGCACTCTCTCCCAAGATATACAAACGACCCAAGAAACACTGCAACAACAGAAGTTCTGAGAGCAGTAAAAGCCCGAGTTCACGGTGCCCCCTTGCAAGGCTGAGTGCTCAATGCAGACGCGATGAGACCAAGCGTGCATGCAAATCGCGGTGTCACGTCGACTCGAAAGAAGGCGACGGACGGCGACACGGGTTCACAACATGAATGAAGATGATGGCATTTCACGCACAGGCCGCATCTGGCCCCCGAAGATCAACCAGCAGCCCACTGTTGGGCATCCGGGAGTCGTAATTGGATGCCAATGGGTGCCGAAAGGAGTCTAATGGGTCATGCCGCCGGCTAGCGAGGCTTCGGGAGAGCACCCTTGAGCACCCCAAGAGTACCCCCCAATGGTTCACCTAGCCTGCCTGAGTTAACTGACTTAAACTGGGGCTCGCGTCCCGCAGCTTTAACTAGCGAGCCGCGTCAAGTGGGCACCTACCAAGTACTTGTACAGCTCGTGCTCTGTCCGGGGAAGCCTCGTCAGCCTCGTGAGCCATTACATAGAGCCCCGCTTAAATACCAGCACCATGACTATTATCTGCAACTGGGATAATGCATGCTTTCTGGTCAAAGGAAAGACTACATTTCCATATCAAACAGTCTCTCCAACGTCTCATCCATCATCGTTCCATCATAGACATACTCCCTTCTGAACGATCCTCGCACATGCTCGAACCTTGGATATCCTAGCCTTCTTGCCAGTATTCCAAAGCGCATGGAGAACCATTCCGTCGGTGGTGTCGTTCCCGCGGCGTTACCCGCACTGAGATTCTCTGGTTCCTGTCCTTGTGCTCGGGCCGCGGCAGCAGCTTCTGGCATCACCGTCAAATCTAAGATCTGGTTTCGTCCTTGCTGCTTCCTCACCTCCTCCTCGAAGCATGCACCAATGGCAACGATCCAGAGAAGATCCTGCGCCTGTGCCAGGGCAGACGGGTTGTTATTGGCTACCGCATCCAACAACGGATCTTCCATTTTCGCTGCCAGATCGAGGTCCTTGACCCGCTGCAAGAGCACTGTGTCCATGGCTTTGATCCGTTCCAACATCTCGGCATGCTGCGTTGGTATTGCGAACCACGGCTGCTTGATGGGATGGGCTTCAAGGCTGAGATAAATGAAAAGTTGGGCTGCAAGGCACAGCGACGAGTCCAGCGAGCTGCCCGGCGTGTTTGGCGAAGGCTGTGTGTTGAGCTGATCTGCTGAGCTGTGCCAAAGGTTCCACAGGCGCATCTTCAGGGCAATCCTGCGGAGAAACGACCATCGGAAGATCGGACTGAGGTGATCTTCGTCGGACCAGGTCCCCTGCCTTTTCACCTCTTCGACAGCAACCAACTCTCTCAGTCCCGCCAAGATATCTGACAAAGTACTACCAAGGATATCAGTCTGCCGGGATAACGGACTGCGAATCCCGTCGATTTGTCGAGGCGTCGATGTCATGGATTGAGCATTCCACGGTCCAGGGTCCCATGACGAGGGATCGATTTCAGTGCACGTACCTGTTACGACGGCAATTTTGGCAAAGAAATGCACAAACAATTCTCGGTAGACCAAGGGGAGCCTGTTGAGCCCTCCCAGAAGTTGAATCAGCCTCTTCAACGCACAGCGGTGTTGGAAGCAGCTGTCATCTCCTGTCCGAACAGACTCTGAATATTCCGCGCTCGCCAGCGGCCAGATCGTCTGCAAGATGAGAAGTAGTTGGTCGTACGAGTAGTCCAAGTTCCCGATCAGACCCCGGAGGCATTTGAAGCACCTCACAGAATATTGCATGGATTTTTGCCGGTGAACATCTGCCTTCTCCGGCTGCGCGATGGCCATCAGGTTGTAGACGTACGACAGCAAGCCGTTCAGAGGAGCCGCATGTTCGAAGTACTTTCTATACAAGACCTGATGGGCCAGGTACAGACTTCCCCCCTCCCGGCACGCTCCGAGTTCGTCGGGCCAATTGATTGCATACGTAAACGATCGGGTGTAGGTCAGAATGTCGTGGCTGTCGGCAGTGACAGGGACAGGCATCGAGTCAAATGGATCGGACTTTCCATTTCCAACGACACTAGAGGGGTCGAGAGGAATGATGGACGAAGCAGTGGGATCGCTCCACGCTTGGTCGGCACATCTCTGTCCAGCATGATCTGAGGCCGACTGGACTTCGTCACACGCAGTTCTTCTGTTCTTCTTTCTTCTGTTTGGCCGGGCAAAGGACGCCGCACGCAATGCCAACGTGCGTACCTCCTGGCGATCTCGTGTCCCTGGAAAATTGCCGGGTGTCTTGGCACTCATAAAGAGCACGCGCTTTGAAGTTGTCGTCGTCATTGTAACAGTCGACTATCAGGCCTCGTAACGGTGTTTTGCGGGCCTGATATGTCGGAGAGAGGACAAAGGGAGGTTCTCAACGCCACTCTGGTCCTTTTCTTGTATTTTTAAGTCAGATCGGCGACCTTGCCTTCAAGTCACCCAATCCAAACTTCCCCAGAGGCTTTTGGGGCGTCACGACAGCGACCGTTGGTACCGCTTTTTGCACACTTGTTAGTCATCCTCTTGGGCAAATCAAGCAGATAAAACAGCCGTGCCAATGCAGGCAACGGGGCAGGATATGCAGCTTCTAACCGCGAAGGAAGGGGACTAAGCTGGACCTTCCCACGAATCGCTTACAGGACAGGTCTACTGAACGATACTGCGCTATCGATTTCATACACCGTAATTACCAGCGCGGGGACCGAAGTTTCTCGCCGGTTTTACCGTTTTGGTGGCAGAGCCAAGGCTGCACGAGGCTGTACTGCAGGCGGAGGCCCAGAGAACGCGCCAGTGCGACAAGGGAAAGATTGTCCAGCAGTGCGAGGAACCAAGGGAGTTGACAGGTGATGCTCATTCTCCATTTTTTATTCCCACTCGTACGTCAAATTTCATGATCTCATAAACAGAGCAACCGGCGCCAACCTTTCCAACAGGGGAAACAATCCATCCACCATGTGCTGGCGAGGCTGTCCCGGTCTCCATCAAATCTGTCTCATCTGTGTGCAGGTGCAAAATGCCGCTCAATAGGACCACCTTGACACATCATGAGCCCTTTCGGAATTGTCATCAAACAGATCAATGCTCCCCGTCGGCTGTTCCGCAAGCTCCAATCACTATCTTCAAACGCTGCTATCATCAAGCCTGTTGATCTTGTGCTGGCCCTAATGAAACGTCCAAGGGCAAATTGCTTTTCTCTCCCATCTTACTGGTCATGCAAATCGCTGTGTTGATGAACCAAAAATGCCGCGCAATGCTCTCTCATGCAGGTCTCGCCCGCACCTGGCCCATTTCCTCCTCTGCAGATTTTTCATATATGACTCGCATGGAATCTGAACCGTCAACGCCGTGGCACGGAACCTGGACCAATGTAAATCGCACCTGCGGGCCACAAAACTTATGCTCTTCTTGTGAAATCATCATCATTGTCCAACGAAAAACATTATACTTGAAACCTCGCTTCTCCGTCAAGTAAATGGATCATCCCTGGATCGGGAATCCGACATCGGTCGCAGAAAATGAGGTGGATGAAAAGTATTAAACATCGCTAGCCGTTCTCCGATGCTCAACCCATTGTGCCCATGATTTGGTGTCGTCGCAAATGCACTTGTATTAATGAAAGGGTCACTCAGGCTCGGCACATGTCGAGGGTTTTTGGAGCGGTAGCTTCGCTTGTTAGGATCAAGTTCAAAAGGGCTGCCTAGTCGCTTCTGACTTGAATCTGGCTCGGGTGGAGCAAGGCCGCTCGCGTTCGTCGCCCGAGCATTGGGGTTTGCCAGAGCAGTCAGCGAGGCTGGCAAGGGCGGGACTGGCGGAATACCATCAGTGCCGGGGACTAGAGGGGTCGGAGGAGTGAAGAGTCGCTCGACGTGTTCTCGATTGTTCATGGCGCCCAAAGTTGCACCTCGATTTCGAACTCGAATTCTCCGCTGGTTGAGGTCTCCTGCTCCAGTAAACACTAACTCCGGTCGAACCTGGCGCTCTGGCTCAAACACAGCCGGTGGAGGGAGATTGTTGAGGTCGAGATTGAGTTTCTCAATATTGCTTCCACTAGGGCTCAGCTCGTCCTCCAGGTTATGCTGAGCACGTCGCTTGTTGGCGTTGAGAGAGCTTTCCGGCTCAAGCTTAAACGGAGAGAGCAAACGCGTTCCGGTAGCGTGAACAGTCTCGAAGTGATTGTGGCTTATATGGCGCCGATGCTGACTGTTCGAGTTGCTCGATCCATTCCAAGTACTGTAATTGAACGGCGAAGCCAAACGCGGGATATTGCTTGCGACTTGCAGCTTGTCGGGCTCTGCCTCGATGCCTAGACCTGCAGGAGTGGAGACGGAGATGGCGTCGGAGGAGGAAGCGTCGACAGGGGTATTGAACCAGTCGTCCGACATCAACTGTGTTGGAGGCGAATCTCCCGTTACCAGCTGGGCCAGAGGGGCAGTTGCACCACTAGCAACGAGTGAGATGCCGAGTTCTCGCGTGGCATAGGTAGTTGACGCCTGCGGGTCTTGATGAGAAGTCGACCGAGCCAGTCGAGACGACGGCCGACGAGGAAACTGTTCGTGAAAAGGCGATGGGCTTCTGGATTCGCGCAATCGCTGATAATGGGCCGTGATGGTGAACTTCTCTTTACACAATTGTTTTAGTCGCTTTCTCGTGGCTGACTCGGAAGGCCAAGGACTCCTTGCATCATTGTGGTCGGTTCGGAGAAAGTCATTCGGTTCAGGCGTCTTGTCCCTGACAAAGTTTCGCGTCTCAATGACATTTCGCATCTTGTATCGTCGAATGAGCGGTTTGTTGACCCTTGAAGCTTTGGGCCATGTCTCCTTGGCTCTCCGAGCTACACGATGACAGACACCGGTGGGAGGGATGCTGCCGGGTACTGTCTTGAATGGGGTCACGGTGGGATCTGCCAGATACATCTGATAGACGTTGAAGAGATGGTTGTCCATCTCGATGCTCCATTGAACATTGACCTTGGACAGCATGGTGTTGACCTTGAGCTTCTTGTTCTTCTTCCTCGACGGCGTGTCAGGGATTATGTTGACCTTTGTTGGTGAGAATGGATCGTGTGACTCGTTTTCAGGACTCGTGGCGCTGCCGTCGAAGGAGGTCGGTCGAGTGGTGAACGTGTCGTCTGAGGATGAGAAGGACGAATCCGAACGGATCGAGCATGCTGAGGCAGACCGGTGCATGTCCCAAGCGCTGTTCTTGTACTCCGTCAGAACGATCTTGGTCTGGGCAATTGGGGTACGTGGAAGTTGTGAATCTCTGAGCGCAGACAGCTTCAACCTCTCGCTGGGAGAGGGGTCCGTGATGCTGTGCGTGTAGACCGGTCTGGCCAGGTGATGGTGCAATTCAATCGACGGTAGAGCAAAGTCGACGTCTGGAAATCCAGCATCTTGTTGTACCGAATGAGCACTAGACGGGATGGGAATGTCGGAAGCAAACAGCGTTGCCGGCAGAGCGTTGTTACGCGCCTGGAAGTTGTCCATCCGAATTCGCGACCGGCGCAAACGACAAGTGGAATGATGGGGCGGTGGAGGCAATTTCAGCTCCGCGAATGTCTGATCTGGAGTCTTGGGGTCCTCGCCGCCTTCGAGGCCCAAAGGCGCGAAGTTCCGGGGAAGGGTTATGGACATGTGTGGTTTGCGCTGTGCGGACGAGGACAAGAGCGTAGGAGACGGTTTGCAGTTGGCCATGGGTTGTATGAGGGATGCGCGCAGGCTGAATTCTGCAATCTGATGGTCGGCGCGATATATACAAGCAGGCGCAGAGAGCCGAACGGTGCAGCCCGGTCAAGGACTTCGAGTGCTGTTCCTTTTCAAGGGTTCATGCTAGTGTACGCGCGTTGAGACGGCTATGCGGTTATGCGGTCGGTCACGCGGACGAGGGTCGATCTGAAGGCGCCACGGCGGCTGTAGGTTGAATCGTATGCACCTTGAAAGAACAGGAGATGTACAGCGATGTATGAATGAAGGACGAGCGACTCGGGATAGTGGTGGTGCTGTGCTGGACGCGCAGACTTTCGCGGTGGGATAACGTGGCCGCACAGGGACGAAGCAGTAATAGAGGTTGAAGCTGGGAAAATGATGGTGGCTGGGAAAAGTAGTAGGAGAAATTGGCGAGACCGGGGGGTGAGGTTGATGAGACCAGGGTGAGGGTGCAGATATCAAGTGATGGACGTGTTGAAGCCGAATGTCGTAGGTGAGAGGATGTTTTGTTGCCGTCCAGACAGAGGGGAGAATGATGTTTACACTGTTGACGTGATGTGATGGGCGAACATGGGATGTGGGAAGTGGTAGGTGGTGTTTGGGTGGGAGGATTGGAATGTTGGAAGTCGAAGCGGGCGGCTGACTTTTCTGGAGATGGGAGACAGCGAGAGGAGGGCGAGATGGGGGAAGACGAGTGAAACTTGGAACTTGGGAAGGGAGAGACGGAGAAGGACACGTCGGACAAGGGACAAGCTCTTGTCTCGTTTGGGGGGCTTCCCAGCTGGTTCAGGTTCCGTTAGGCGTCAAGTTCTGGGCTCGGTCCCCGGGAACAAGCCCAACAAGACCAGCAAGACCCGGATCCCAGGCGGTGGGCACTGGGCAGTGGAGAGAACCAGACGGGGGAGGTGCCCAACGAGAGACGTGGGCGAGGGAGGGGCACGTGCACACCCCAAGCCCTCAGTAGGCCCTAAGTTGCCGAACCCCAAAAAGCTCGCCCAGAAAAGAACAAGAAGTATGAGATAAAAGGGGTGGGAAAAAAATAAAAAACAATTAAAGAAGAGGCACAAGGTGATAGGAGAGAGGATGCAATATTCATCTTATTATTCCATTCAATGGAGCCACTAGCGACGCAGAACAGAGACACTTTACGTGGAAATCTTGTAAAGAGAGCAGCAGGAGGAGTGCATGCAGTAGCAGCAACGGTAGTTCACTCTCTGACAACGACTCTCCATCCTCCTCCTGCAGAAAGAGGAGTGATATCGACCACTCCTTTGCGCTTTTCTCGTTGTGAGTGCTCGCTTCACTTTGCTCGGGTATGCCCAAGTCGCAGCCATTTTCTCCATCATTTCTCCATCATGCTGCAGAGCACAGAACTCGCGGGTCTTGATCCCAACACCACATGTGCATGGTTTCCCCCTTCCCCTTTCCCCCTCGATCATCATGTGGCCTTTCCTGCATCCTCGTTATGCTCGGAGGTATTGATGGTGCTGCTCAGTCATGTTCTGTTGGGTTCCATGACGGTCGTGTGCCTTGAGCTGTTCCCCCCATCTGTCCTGCCATGGACGCGTCGAGTCTCCCGCCGAGAGACGCGAGATCGACGCGCTCTCAACACTAAACACTCTAAACACGCTAAATGCGCTAAATACGCGAGCCGAGCTTGAGTGGTCCATGTACTGCCAATCAACATCTGTGTTTGGCTTATGGCGCTGACACCACTGCGAGCCACTGCGCGCCACTGCGCGCCGCTGCGAAAATTCCCTTCCGCTCACTGTTTGTCCATCAGCTCAATGGCTTGGGTCGCCAGGATCACTCCATACTGGGTACCTCCTGCGTACCTCTCTCTCTCTCTACCTTGCCTGGCTGCTCATGCTGACCTCAAGTCCACTCCGTGACCTTGCTTCGCAAACTATCAACACCAACGCATAGCCGTTTACCGTTGAAGCCCGCTGATGCCAGTGTCCCCTTCCCAAACAGACAAACATCCCAGTTCAGCACCAAATATGCGCATCTAGGTCGAGTACGGAGTATCCTCCGTCGGCGATCCCAAGAAAAGCAAACAATCCCCTTTGTTTCGACAATGTCTCTCCTTGCCCTTCTTTCCCAACAGAAGTCAGGACCAGCCATTGCCAAAGCCATCCATCCCTTCCCTTGGCCCAACGTTGACAGGTTCGAGATCCGACCGGGTGAGTGGGTGGGTTACACGGAACAAAAAAAAAGGATCTCTCATTATTGCTAGATGACGATGTCAAACATTCTGCGAAGAGTCCCGTGCTGGAACTAACCGGTAAGCCTTCCTGGTGCCGATATCTCCTTACCTGATCCTTTTCAAACCTTGTCAGACCCGGACTCTTGGAGATGGAAATCGAATCGAAGTGAATCGAGCGAGCAACCCATCCCGTTGTCATTACGAATGCCGTTGCAACCATCTGGGAACGGATCCTGGTCCCTTTTGGTCCTTTTGGTCCTTTTGGTCCTTTTGGTTCTCCGTTTCAGCTGGATTTTTGAGCCCTGTTTGCCATCAGCCCTAAAGCCTTTGAGCTGGATATCATTTCTCATCGACGGGGAAACATATTCGTTCCACAACGAGGCTTGGTGTAGGTGAATAATAGCAAAGAGAGAGAACACGTCCTATCAACCAGAGCAAACTAACAAGCTCGAGCTGATGAAGTTTGGGCTTCTTCATATGTGGTGGTATGAGATACCCATCTAGAATGTCCTACAGTATTATTATCACGGCGTCGTCCATCGTTCCATGTACGGTCATCATTCCCCGGCCATGTGCGCGGTCTATCTATCATCCTGCTGGTGTTTCGTGACCCATTCCATAACCCAACCCTCCCCTTACGCAGTGTCCCACCTAGGTATGCACAAACCTCGCAACTAGGTAAGTGTGGTTCTCCCCCTCTCCCTCACCCCCTCCACGGTGACGCCACCCTGCCCGCTTCCTCCGAATGCTGCTTGGTATACGCCTGGATTGCCATCCTCGCGCCAATCCCTTTCCTCCTGTAACCGTCCTCCCAACTTCCCACCAGCGCGCGAATCACCTCTTCGGCAACCATGACGCCGCGGTTGATGTCTTCCACGCCCGTCCAGCCCGGCACGTGCAGGAAAGCCACTTTGCCGAGTCGGTCTGGCGCGTGGTCTGTCTGGGACTGAGAGGCGCTAGAATTGGACGAGGCCGAGGTGTTCAGATCGGGTGACCCCGATAGCGATGACTCGACTTCTTTCTGTTGTGCCGCTTTTTGGTTTCCTCCGTTGTCATCACCATCAGTCCGTCTCTGCGACTCCAACCATCGGCGGCTCAAGCTCTCAAACAGGGCATACTCGCACAGAAACCGTCCGGCGTCGCAGGACAACTTGACCACGGCTTTTCTTCTGTTCTCGTCCGCCTTGGTCGATGATATAGGCACATTGCTCGTCCCCCACATCAGGTTCAGGGGGATGGTCCCTCGTCCGATGGGCATGAGGGGTACCGCTCTTGTGGACAGTGTATCGATCTCGCTGTCTCTCTTTCCGTGTTCTGTCAACGCCCTCTCCATCTTCCCTCTCCCCAAGAACCCCCGCTCCCTCAGTCCAGTCTGTACACCTTCCTCCCAACGAGCAAGCACGTCGACCTCATCCCATCCGACATACAGCACCTCGGGCACCCCTTCCGTTTTCCACCGATTCTCCCCCCAGGTGAAGCCGTCGCAGTCGTCCACGTCCTTTATCCGGTAGTTGTCCCTGTGCCCGCGGGTTTCGAGGGAGTAGCAGTCGCGCCCGCCCGCCATGCCGATGTGCAGGACGAAATCGGGATTGTGGGTCGAGATGAGGGTGGGTACGGTGGTGGAGACGGTGGAGTAGGAGACGCGGATGGCCGAGGGGTAGACGATCAAGGTGATTTTGTAGTCGGGTGCTTTCTGCGGAGAGTCGGTCGATGGAGAGGGATAAAGCTCCTCGGGCAGCGCCGAGGCGATCAACCAGGAGGGATTTATGAGGAAAGATTTAAACGGCTAGAGAGAGGGTGAATATTAGCATGGTGCCAATCGAGGTGAGATAGATGACACGTGTTGGGGGAGGTTGGCAAGGGAATCGGGTCCATGGACATCCTCCCCAGAGACTCTGCCGTGTCAAGACGCGAGACCTAGCACTATCATACTTCCACAACAGCCGGAGAAATAGATCAAGCCTGTTGACGCCTCTCACTGTCCTGCCCCTGTTCAACTGGGTTTCCGGATATTTTCCTGCCATTCGCCGCCTTTCCAAATACATCACGGGCCACACCAGCATCGAGAACAAATTCAAAACCCGAGTCGAAGAGAAGAACTTACACCGAACCCCGTAACAAGCACCTTCACCTCCCTCAGGGGAGACGCTCCATCTGTTTCAATCTGCCCGTCGAGGCCGGCGCTACGTTCCGGGAGGAGCGGGTCCGGCGTCAGAGGTCCGGCGTCGCCCATCTTCAGTGTGGAGATTTATGTTTTAATGGCTTGATATGTGGTGTTTGGAGGAGTTTGGTTGTTTTTGGGCTGTCGCCCTTTATCGGCCGTCGATGATGCGTAGTCTCTCTGCGGCACGAGATCTCGAGATTTGCCCGATCGCAAATACAGGGACGGAACGGAGCGCGAAGGAATTGGGGGGGAATCTGCGGAGTCGGAGTGGTGGAAGTGGGATCAAGGAGGTCTGAGAGCCCTGGGGAGGATGGGAGGTTGGACTCGAGACTGATCGTGATAAATAGCGTCCAGTGCGTCGCTCGCAGTGATCGTCCTGTTCTCTTTACAAATCTGCCGAGAGCGAGGAAGCGTACGGATATATCCGTGCGGAAGGACTGTGCGTGTGGTCTGCGTAGGTATGTGTATGTTTTTAAGAGGGGGAGAGAGAGACGAGAAAGCGACCAGTCCGCTTGTTGGCTCAACGTCAGCACACTTGACGCTGCTGCATCATGCGACGATGGTGCACCCAGAGTGTCGCCGCCGTGGTGAACGGACCAGGCGTTGGAATGCCAATGAACAGAGGAGAAGATGGTAATGGGAGATTTGAATAATGCGATTGTCAAACGACTTTTCTCGGCTCAACGGGTGGAACCTTTTGAGAGTAAGGTGATGTCAACAGCCCAGATCCCAGGAACCATGGACTTACCAGTTCTTGGTATATTGTACTGACACACGACTCAAGGTGTCGATAAAAGTCCCAATCTTGAACTCGGGTTGGATCTCCTCATGCTCTCCTCTCTCCCCTCCTGTGTGGCCCTTCTCCCAAGTGCATACCCACCGACGACGAGAGGGGCAAGTGGCCGGGCTCCGGCAATCACTCCGCATCTCGCGTGGTGGCGATTCGATCGGAAAGCTAATTCGAAGGAGGTTCGGTGTTTACTCACATCGGTATGCGACTGACTTCTGAGACTGTATCATTGTCGCTGTCTGCTCGTTCAACAGCCATCGATATTGATCTCTGTACCATGCGCCATCCGAAATCCGAGTCTCTCGAGGAATAACCTCCCGTTCGTGACTTTCCAAGAGATCCCACATGTCGAAATCTGCATGAATGTTCCGTGTATCCAATAAACAAAGCCCCCAACGCCTCGCTTGGTCGTGGTCCTCCATTAATCTCCCGGTCGCGCCATGGTATCTAACAACTCAACGCAACAACGTCTCTCTGATCCCCTACTTTGCGCATACCAACCGTTCCATCCGTCTCACACTTGCCCTCAAATCCCGTCCGCCTCGTTCTCCCTCTTCCCCAAGCCACTTCTCCATGGTCGCCCTCACTCTCCTCAAATTGCCCTGAATTGGCATCTCCTCCCCATCGGCAACACAGCCTGGATTCAGCAGTGCCGCGAATACATCTCCCCAGATATCCTTCTCCCAGTATCGTTTGAAGTTCTCCTTCAATTTCCATTCCTTCTTTTGGCCTGGTCCGGCCAGCATATTCCCTCCCGCTGGGACCGTCTCAATGTATTTTCCAAACAACAACGAGTGAATCACGCCAGCAGCCCCGTGATAGTCAATCTGCCACTTCCAAGGGCGACATTCGCGGATTTCAGTACAGTCCTGAGGACAAGACGGCCAGTCGGCGATGAACTGTGCGTTGGGCTTGAACATGCGTGTATCGATTCCGCGGCCGAAGTCGATCAGCTTCAGACCCCGAGACTGCCACCCGTGATTTCCCTCCGGATCGAACGGTGCCGTGACATCTACCGCGGTGTCAAAGCGGACAAGGCAGTTGTCGCCTTTCAAATCGCTGTGGATGATGCCCACGCGATGAAGGTCCTCCAAAGTCCGCAGAAGCTCGACGCTGAACCACATAGCCAATACTTCGTCCAAGCCCTCGGCCGGCTTGCCGGCTTTGACGTTCTCGGTCCGCGCCATGTTGACCAAGTCGAGCAATGTTCCTTGCGGACTGTATGAGAGGACGAGGTATGCTTCATCGTGGTAGAGATGGCATTCGTGAGCGAGGATGATGGACTGCATGCTTCGCGAGGCGGAGCCGAGGCGCTGTCTGACCAGACGGACAATGTGGAATTCCCAGGCTAATGTACCCGGAGGAGATTCAGTCTTGAGAGCTTCCAGTGGTTGGCGGGCTGGAGCAAGGTGGCATGACAGTGGGCTCTTGTTCTCTTTATCGTTCTCGTCTGCCCCTTCATTCTCGGCTGGGTCGTAACTGTCGACCAGATACACCGGCGCAAATGCTCCTTCGCCTAGTTCTCGCTTGACCGCATAGACTCGAGTTGCTTCACCAAATTTGAGCACTGGAGGGACCGCTTTACTGGGGGTTTTATCGTTCTGACCCTTTCTTGGACTGGATTTAGCTTTTGTCTTTGCCTGCTTTTCAGCAAAAGACTTCAACGCAGGATAGCGCCCAAAGGTGACAGTCGAATGATCATGGTATCCCTTTTGTGTGGATAGCGGTGGAAAGACCGAGCTGAGAATCTGCTGTCGAACAGCGTCGTCACATGGATTACACTGCAGGTCCGGGATAATTGGACCTTTGCGAACTTTTGTCAAGGGCGATCTAACAACCGGCTTAGGTGGCAGAGCAGAAGTCTTCAAGGCGTCCCCCTCTGTGTTTGAGGCAGCGACAGGGAAGGGGTTGAGATCTGTCGTCTTGCTGGGACCTTTCTTCTGCGGCGAGGGCGTAATCACCTCATCATCAGTCGCACCAGTTTCAACATATTTCCTCTTTGCCGCCAGAGAAGCAGATGTTGGAGTCGCAACTTGCCGGTGTGGGCTGCATAGGAAAAGATCCTCAATACCGATTTTCGATGGGCTCTCATACTGGGACCTGCTAGGGGTCTTGGAGTCAAAATATCCGGGAGCGTTGAAGATGGTCGAAGGAGCAAATGAGGATTCAGTTCGCTCTGCGATGGGTGTCATGAACGGCATCTTGTTCTGTGCCAGCATTGCTGGGTCGCGGTAAGGTCGATTTGGGGTCGGCTCATAGTCGACAGGGGCGATGGGGATGAATCGAGGTTTATGTGGGATCTCTTGGTGTTCGGGGAATTCGTTCTCGACTGGAGTAGGCAGATCGTCATCATCGGTGACACTGTGATTTCCAGGTACCTCCTGTTGTTGTGCGTCTTCCTCCTCTGGTATCCCTTGGTTTTCGGAGGTAGCGACAGTGCCGTCTTGATCAATGTCGACATCTCCAGCGTCTGTCGCACCCTCATCGATGTCACCAGCCATCATGGCAATGGCTTTGGTGTCCAGGTCGTCGAAATTGCCCCCAGCAATGGCAGCAATGGCTTGAGTGTCAAAACCCCCAAAACCAGAAGTCTGCGTTGGATTTTGGCTGGACGAGTCTATACTCTCTGTCACGTCCTCAGACCTGTCTCTACGTTTGACTTTGCGGTGATTTTTGGCTGAAGTGGTTTTGTCTTTGACACCAGCAAAGTGCGTTGAGTCGAGACGCGGAACGTGTTTGCTGGTGGTGAAGTCGGACCAGGGAGAGACACATTCGGTTTGGCTCTGATTCTGTGAGTGATTTCTTCTGATCGAGGCCAATGTATCGTCACCGTATTCACTCCCAGGCGCTGATACTCGTCCAGTCTCTGTGCTCTCAGCATCACCCGCAGTACTGTAGCCATCATCAACTTCACCCTCGGTGAAATCTGTGTCATCGCCACTCTGAGTTTCTTCTCTGGCTAGTGCTGGTTTACGGAGCGGCTGGTTGAACATGTCGTATATCTCATTCGTGGCAGCCTTGGAGTGGAAGGTCATGGTTGGCTCCTGCGATGAATTTTTGCGCTTCAATTTCTTGCCCGTGGGTGATTCCAGTCGAGTTTTGACTGTCTGAGTCTCTTGTTTGACTTCTCTAATCTTCAACTTCTTCTCTTTCTGTTTCGGCGGCTTGGTTGATGACTGAGAATCAGACTCGGGCATGCCGACCATAGATTGAGTGGAGACATCGTGAACACTGAGGCTCGAGTTTACACCACTGTTCAGATCGATCTTATTAGCGAACGAGTGGGTGAGATTCTCGATATCCTCTGGTTCCCGGGACTTGGTGATTTTCGATGTCGCTTTTGCGGCGGCGTTTCCGGCGGCGGGCATCAATGGAGTTGCGTCTTTGCGTGGTCTCCAGTGAATTTCAGCCCAGCCTCTCGACATGGCTCGAAGTTCTTCGAAGCTGAATTCCTGGTCACCGATAGGGGGGTAGATAGCTTCCAGGTCTACGAAGACCCGTTCCGCTCGACCGGTGCGTGGATTGACAACTTGGTCCAGTTGTTTTGAGTCTTGCGTTGATGAAGATCGCTTGGACTGTCCCTGTGCTCGTGATGCCTAGGGGTCAAATAAAATCGGTCAGTCGCTCTATGGTCAGGAAGAAGAACGGGACCGAAATCTTGAGTCGTCCACAGAAATTCAGATTCGTATTATCCGAGACTAGACGCGGAAAAAGGTCAATCATACCGGGTCCTTGAATACCTCCATCTTTGGCACTGAACCAACTCTGCCCCCGGCCTTTAACTTCTCCCCGGCCCATGGCCGAGCTTCAATGGTGTTTTCCTTCTTGCGTTCCTTCATTGATCCAATGGTATCCCATCCCTTGGTGTTATTTGAAGCCAGTGGCTGCTGCTGAACACTCTCAGCATCCGAGAAGATGGCCATCTTGGGTTTGCCCGAGCGCGACGTTGGCGCGGAGCTGCCACTCAAACCATTCCTCTGACGAGCCTGTGGATCGTCGCCGCGGTGGGCGGAGGCGAATGGATCAATCTTGGCTGCGAGAGCGGGTCGAACGGTTGGCAGCGCAGGGGAGCTGGGCTCATTGTCAACTTGCGGCCTTGCATCGAACCTCTGCTGGAACTGAGAGTATTTTCGCGCCAATCTCTCCGTCGGTCTGGCCTCCCGTTCAGTCCCCAGCTTGTATACCTCGTCTGCTTGTATCCATCTCCCTGCGGCTTCTAGCCATGCCGCAAACTCTTCGTAGAACAAGCCCAGCCCTTCGCCAATCCCGTGTCGAGCGAGAAACGCAAAAGTCTCCCTGGGGGTGTCCGAAAACAGGCGGATATAATGCAGCCATAATTTCAGGTAGCGCGGATCATTTTTGTAGTGCGATGAAGTAAGAAAAGCCTTGGTGGCTCGCTCTAGCAGCGGAAGGAGCTGGGACTGAGGCGTTGCTTGAGCTGATGGGTATGCATTTAGTGTCCATTTGACATATCGGTCGTAAATATCGAGAGGGTCGTCAGAGTCTGCTATTGACTGCAGTTCAATTTCGTATTCTTGTCTGATCGCGTCGTTCAGTGTCTTTGTCTCTTCCAAAGTCGGAGTCGCGTTTGCGCCAGTTGATCTGGAGGAGGAAGGCAGGGGTGACAGTATAGAGGCGAGCTGTTTGACTGAGCGGCCGCCAGGGAGGGATTGGATGTTTTCCTTGTGGGTTTCTATAATGTCGAAGTTAATGAGGTCGCTGTCGGTGGCGACAGGTGCGGCCATTGCTGCTGTGGTATCGCCTGCACAATCTATCCCTGTGTCCGCTAGCTATTATGTGGTCGTGCAAAATGTGCTGTAGCAAACAAACGGAATCAATGTGGTGGAAAAGAGATACAGGCGAAGTGAGTTGATCGGGCAACCTGCGGTCCCTGTCGAGGTGTCAACAAACAAATTCCCCGAGTGGCCCCGAAGTTTAGCCGAGACTTTTCTCATCTCGCCATCCCCGTCACACCGATTGCCAACGCAAGTTGCTGACATTGATCCTTCCAACATCAAACCACAACCCGCGAATGGCACGCCTAAAACAAGGTGAGCTCCGGCAGGCAGAGACATAAAGACATCCCTCCTACTGGGTATTCGCTTGATGGTTCTTATTCTCCTCTGCTGCTTATAGACATTGCCGTCCCTCTTCCCGCTCTACGCTCAGAGACGTAACCACCACCAATGGCCATCTCTGCCCTTCCTGTCTGGCCGTTGATTCTCTTCGGTATCTTGGAGCCGGCAGCGCTGTACGGTCCCTATCTGCTGTAAAGGCCAGATGGTGCTAATCACTGACATGCACAGGACTTGGGCGTACTTTATCACCCTTTCCCAGCCTGAACAATACTATGCCGAGCAAGCCCCCAACACTGCCGTCTCGGACCTCCTCTTCACTGGCAATGCCCTTTCTCTGACTCTCCAGCTCGGCAATGTCTTTCTTCTCCTTGCGGCAATGGCAGTCATCTGCTGCTTTACGGTCCATCCTGAAATTGCGAGGAGGTACTTGATTGCGGTGGCCATGGCCGATTTGGGGCACATATATTCGATATACTGTGCGCTAGGTGACAAGGTGTTCTGGGATCTCAATCAGTGGAATCAGATGACATACTCAAACGTTGGAGTTAGCGTGTTCTTGCATATTAACAGGTTAATGACTGTGGCTGGGATGTTTGGGCAACTCGGAGCTGGCGTGAATGCCGCCCAAAAGAACAGATAGGAATGATATGAAATGTGAGAAGGTCTTTAGATAGTCTTGGATTGCTATTTCAGCCCGATGGGCCGACGACTTTTGAGGGTAACTCTGCCCCGAGCCCACAATTGCTTCAGTTTCATTTTTATGCCTTGGCACGGAAAGAAATTCTTCTTCGACTATTTATTCCCTCTTCTCTCCACAGAAGCCGTAATGACACCTCCGGATGGCGGTAAGCACTCTACGCTCGAGAGTTGGCCATCTGAACAGCACGGCGACGATCTCTCTCCTCGGCAATAGACAACTGTAAAAGACACCGTCAGCTTGAGCCAGAGGCCAGAGCACACGCATGAAGCTTACCTTGATACCCTTGTTCTTGGGCAGACTGATCCACTCTCTCTCCTTGCCAATGATGAAGACGTTGCTCTCTCGGGTCGCAAACGAGTTGTCAACCTTATCCTTGATGTGTACAATGTTGAAGCCACCGTCGTGTCTCTCGCGATGCGTAATGACACCGACACGACCCATGTTACGACCGCCAGTAACCATAGCTATCACACCGGTATCGAATCGGATAAAGTCGGTAATCGTTCCGCTGCGGAGGTCGATCTTGACTGTGTCGTTGACCTTGATGGCTGGATCTGGGTATCGGATACTATTAATCCACATCAGCATCTTGACTTGCTCTCTTTCCAACCACAGCTTGGCCCAACGGCTGATAGATGCAGGCGGTGACTTACGTGCGAGCATCATGCGTAACCAAGTATGGGATTCCTCCTTTGCCAAGTTGAACTCTCTTGACCTTGCCGAGTTTGTATTCTGCTTCTTCCCGTTGGATGCGGTGGATGGCGAAGCGGCCTTTGTTATCGTAGATCAGACGGAAGTATTCCCCAACCTTGTCAATCGAGATCACGTCCATGAAGCCCGCAGGGTAGGTCATGTCCGTTCGGACCTTGCCATCGACCTTGACCGAACGGTCCATCACAATCATCTTGGTCTCTTGATTGTTCAGGGAATACTTGAGGCGGTTTCGGAGGAGGATGATCAAGGGGAGGCAGTCGCGGCTTTTCTACATGGGTGTTTGTTAGCATTTCCATTGCGGCGCACAGACTCGAAGAGACCAACGTGAGGCCCAGGCGATGCCTTGGGAGCGTAGGCACCCGAGAGCTTGTCCAAAAACCAGTGCGAAGGCGCACTGAGACGCTTCTGATGCTTCTTTGGACCACGACCCATCTTGATCTAGTTGTTGATAGAAGAGAGAACAATCCGCAACGACAGAAACGACAGCGCAAAAAGAATAATTGGAATTTGGTTGTGGCCCTCGCCAAGATTGTTGAGACTAGCCTCTTTCAGGAAGAGCCCTTAAAAAGACGTGGAGTTTGTCATTTGAAAGCCACATTGGCCCAAACATCCTGCAAATTGTGAGTCCAATATCGAAGTGGGCAGCGTTTCCCTTTTTTTTCTAGGTATTGCACTATCATGGCGCTCCGAAACTTTTTTAAGTCATCGTTTCCTTTACCTTTAAACTGCTGCCGAGTCCTTAACCACCTCGTTTAAGTACACTTACAGCAACCCTTGGATGATCGCGGCCTCTGCATTTAGGATAGAAGAGCCGGCTGCTCCAATGACGGTGTTGTGGCTCAATGCCGCAAACCTGATGTCAAAGTGTGACCCTTTTGCAGCCTCCCGAACTCTACCCACGCTGACCGCATACCCTCCTGAGATATCTCTGTCAAGTCGTGGCTGAGGCCTGTCTGGCTCGTCGAAGACAACGATGGCCTTCTCAGGAGCTGATGGGCATCCCAGCTTCTGCGCCTCGGCCACATATTCTCTCATGGCCGCCTTCACCTGTTCGGCAGTGGGCGCAGGTCTATGCTTGAATCGCAATGACACGTATGCCATGTGGCCATCTGTGACACCCACTCTCGTGCAAGTAGCGCCCACTGTCAGGTCTGACTGTTCTTCGAACGCAGTGGCGTCTGAATTGATAGAGCCCAGAATCTTTTGGGCTTCAGTTTCGAGTTTGTCCTCTTCTCCCGCAATATAAGGGATAACATTATCCACGATGTCCATACTAGCGACGCCTGGATAGCCGGCACCTGATACAGCTTGCTCGGTGAACACCTCGACGTCTTCAACTGGTCCGAACTTTGCTTGGAGTGCGGCAAAGGGGATGACGATCCCGATGACGGCGCAATTTGAATTGCAGACCAAAAATCCTTTGTTTAGACCGAAATGTTTCCGTTGGTGGGGAATCAGTGCCAGATGCGAAAGATTGACTGTTGGCACGACCAGCGGTACGACTGGGTTTCTCCGGTAGTTCTTTGCATTTGAGAAAACAGGAATATCAGCCTTCAAGAATTCCATTTCTGCAATCAAATCAGCGGCAAGCCCAAGCATGAGACCGAAGTATAGGTATTCGTCGTACCGACTTCTCCGGCAACATCACTGTCCAAGCCGGAGAAAGCCAAGTCACAGTCCTTGAAGTTGCTGGCTTTACACTCCCTAACTTCGAGATTGGCTAGTTCTGTCGACATCGGTCGAGCTTGCTTCCATCTGACGGCATCTTTGTAGAGTTTGCCAGCAGACCTCGACGACGCTCCAACGGCCTGTAAGTGGAGCGTCGGGTGGTTAGCCAGAAGGAGAATGAACCTCTGGCCCACGGAGCCTGATCACCGAGTCAGCAAATTCGAGCAGATGGATGTCGTGATACAGATGCACACCCGTTGCCCCGAGGACAGCACATTTCTTCTTCGGCTGCGATGTTGGCACTACCATGCTGAACGTTGCCAAAGGACAGAAAGGGTTTCCTTGTGTCTCAAGAATCGACAGAGACCTTCGGTAGATGCTTGACGCCCTAAGGACGAAGTAGGCTTCCCTGTAGAAAATCAACCTTTGCGTCTTCCCGCGCTAAACGTGAACCAGAAAGTGACTGTTCAAAGTTTTGCATTTGAGTCACTCGAGATAAGAAAAAGTGGCGCCAGCGTTGTAATGACCGCTAAGAAGGAGAATTGTGGCGAGTGTCGGTGGCTGTGCGCTTATGTGAAAAATCTATACGTGGAGACAGAATACATATTTCTTTGTTGTTGTTTTTGTGATCTAGGGTGTTATTCGGGAGGTACCCCTGGAGCTAAGGAAGCCCACATGATCTCATATTGTCGACTTGAGCCCGAAGCTTGGGATCATATGCTTGGCTTTGTAAAGAGGACGAAGCTCAGAAGACAACCACCGAGTGGCTGGATGAGATTCAACCGGCCCCCCTTGTAAATGTCTATGTAACGAGTACTCTGTTCTGATTCTGATTGTCCCGCCCGACTTTGTCTCCCGTTTGTGCTCAATCACACGATTCCTTGGTAATGGCTGAAATGAGCCTCACAAGTTAGCGACTGCCTAGACTGGCGAATTACGCGAAAGACGAGACACTCACCAAGGAAGATCTGCATCTGCTGCTCAAGGCCGTTCTTCGCTTGGTGTTAGTGGTTGCGGATACATTTCTGCTAACCCTAACTGGACTTCTGGCACGATAACTGCAAAGCGCAACCGCAGATGGTCTCTGCGCTGCGGCTCTGGGTAGAGGCATCCGATCGGGCTTTCCAAATACCTTAGTGAATAAACCCCGAAATTTGATCTGGTCTTGTGATGTTGGCCTCAGTCCATTTTTCATTATGGGAAGTTCGCTCAATCAGCGAACAACATCGTTTCCGAAACGCTCGAACTGCAGATTCGACTGCATCTAAGCGATGCCGGTCACGCTGCGGGCGTCCCGGTCTCGCTTAAAGACTGGAACGAACTCATTGTTGAACACAGGGCCCCGCTCTGACTGATTATCCAGGCTTCTTGCCCCAGACAAAGTGGTAATCGACATATAGATGGAGATTTGGGTTGATCAGATCTTGCTTGACTCTTTCAATCGTGACAAGGGCCTGGTCGATTGTGTATCCCAGAACCCTGGTGAAGATGGCCAGAGTAAAGGGCTCGACGGCGTCGACAAATTGTGCGCGGTAATAGGTTCCCAGTTCCTTGTATCTCTTCCCTTTGGCCCACGGACCGATAGGACATTTGTATATCTCCTCATGGACGTCGATATAACCAGCGTCCTGCATGTAGTTCTTCAGTTTGTTGGCTGTCTTCAACTCCTTGCCGAATCGCTTGCTGCCTTCGTTCATCTCCTCGACCCAGTTCTTCAGATAGATGGCTTGGTCAAGAGAACCATCATCAGAATAAACCTGGCAGTGGTACTCTTGCATCTCCACCCACCCGCCGGGATTTAAATGAGATAGTGCCTGAGTAAACAGTCGAGGCCAGTCGGCAACACTTCCACAGAGAGCCCGTCCATGGATATAGTCGAAATGCTCGGAGGGCGGATACGTCCATTCACTCTCGTAATCATCGACATAGAACTTGCAGTTTGGAGGCACCCATCCGGGCTGAATGGGACTGAGATCGGTACCAGTAACGGTGGCGCTGGGAAACTCATCCGCGAACTCGATGCACCAGAGACCGGTGCCACAGCCAATGTCGAGAACACGTTGAGGCTCTTCCAAGGGGGAGAGAAATAAAGCACCGCCCAGGATCAATTTGTAGATGTGATGAAGCATGTCTAGGCGTTGTTGCTCATCTTCGTCGTTGGGTAAGATATACTGGCCTTCACGAAAGGCGTGGTAGCGTCGGCCATTTTCATACTTGTAGTTGAGCACCGAGCTTGCTAACGAAGCAGACCAGGACCCAGCGATGGAGCCGCTGTAACCCGAATCACCATCACTGGGGTTGGACTAGGGATTTGTCAGTAGATGTATTGGCTCGTGGAAGAAATATCGGCAACAAACGTCAGCTTCTAAGTCGGGCTCGTGGTGCGGACCGCCGGTGGTTGATTGGCACATTGGACGGAGAGTAGAACAAGGGAATAGCTTATAATAGCGTAACTCGTCTCCAAGCAGTAGAAGCGAGGAAAATTATGGGTAGAAGACGGAGAAGAATGGAAAGTCTGGGGAGGAATGCGAGATTTTGAAAGCCAGAGAGACCTGAGAACACTAACATGGCTGGGAGAAGGAATTAGTGGGTGGGAAAGACGGGCGAGGCTTACATTACTGGCTAGCTAAGTAGAGGGCCTGAGTTGTGCGTGGCGGGCTGCACCTGAAGTAGTTGTTGTACTGTAGTATTATGTGCGGAGTACAAGTATGGAACGGAATACCGACCACCTCGTACGGAGCTGTCCACCACTCTTCGGAGATTGAGCCATGAGGGAATAAATTGATGCCTCCAAATTCTTGATGTGTCCCTGGGTTGCTCGGAGTTCGGCCCGGCACGAACGCACCAGATGTTAACTGGGATTAGGGGCACTGAGGCCTATGGTACGAGTACTAGTACGAAGTACTGTAGTAATAATTGGGAGAGAGGGTGCCAATACTTACCATGGGAAGGTACCTGGTACTTGTGTCATCAAAGTAATTGTACAGTCGTCAGAAGTACAGGATACCTAGCTAGGCGGAATTATTTATCCTCCTCTCTCATCTCTCTTTCTTCGCTTCTCATCTCTCCCACATGCTTCTCTTCTCAAACCCCCCCCCCCCCCCACAATGGGCGCGTTGCATGAGTTAGCGCCCATTGCGCTGCCCCGACACACTACTTGACGCATGCACGTTCCTGGCGGCCGTAGAGATTCGTGCCGCCGGGCCTATTGGATCCGGGTCCTTAGCATAGGGTGACATCTTTCTGAGCCGTCGCTGGTAATCTGCCATCTCCATTCTTCCTTCAGTTGTCACTGTTCAATCGCCCGCCGGCTAACAACCAGGCCCAAGCATGGAGAATATCACATCCCTCTTGCCCATCAGCCGTTCTCTTGTTCCCGTCGCCCTCGCTGTCACTTCAGTAATAGTCTACTGTCTTGCTCTTGCCATCTACCGTCTCTATTTCCATCCCATCGCCCATTTTCCAGGCCCCCGGCTCGCTGCACTGACAAGATGGTACGAGTTCTACTACGAAATCATCCAGAAAGGTCAAATGACTTTTCACATTCAAGACCTCCACAAGAAATATGGTGAGCATCTTCCAGCCTGCACCTCTGTGTCTAACATTAATGGTGCCAGGTCCCATCGTCCGAGTGACACCGAATGAATTGCACGTTCTCGACTCCGACTATTTTGAAGAACTGTACGTCAAGTCCGGCAGACTCGACAAGTACGCCCCCTTTTCGGCCAGGTTCGGCACCGACGATACCTTCTTCACTGCGCCGCTGCAGGAAGACCATCGTCGCTTGCGCAATGCGGTAGCCCCTTTCTTCTCCAAGCGGAAAATCATCGACTTTCAACCCGTGGTGCACGCTAAATTGGGGAAGCTTTGCTCCAGAGTCCAAGAATACGTAGGGACCGATCGTGTGCTGCCGCTTCACCGTGCCTGGACGGCCTATGCAGGCGACGTCGTGACCCAGTTCTGTTTCGCAAAGGCCTACGACCACCTCGACTCTCCAGATTTCAAGGAGACCTTTCATGAAGCGATGCATGCCGCCTGCGAATCGTCCAGCGTGCTGATGCAATTTCCTTGGCTTTGGCCTATAATGAACAGCCTGCCAGACTGGTTGGTGCTGAGGCTCGAGCCGAACATGTATATGCATATACAAGTGCAGCAGGTGAGTGATAGTACGCCGCCATCATCGAGACGGGGGCCTGACTCGGCTGAAAGGACTTCCATCGAACCATTTCCGCGCTCAGAGAGAACCACGACGAACCCGAGAAGATGGTCGACCATCCCACGCTATTCCACGAGATGCTTCACAGTGACCTCTCCTCGAAAGAGAAGTCCGTGAACCGCATGGTGCAAGAGGCTCAAGTCATCATCGGTGCCGCAATCTTGACCACGTCCTGGGCCGCGGCAGTGGCCAGCTTCCATATCATTAACAGTCCAGAAATCTTCAGGAAGCTGCGCGCCGAGCTAGAAGAAGCAATTCCCGACCCATCGAGGCAACTCGACTGGCAAAATCTTGAGCAGTTGCCGTATCTGACAGGGTGTATCAAAGAAGGTATTAGACTAGCATATGGCATTGCTTCGCGACTACCTCGCGTGGCCCGCCATGATTTGAAGTACAGAGACTGGGTTATTCCAGCCGGTACCCCGGTTTCCATGACAATCGTCGACATGAATCACGATGAGGAGGTCTTCCCCCAGTCGCATTCTTTCGTTCCAGAGAGATGGTTGGATAATCCAACTACCAAGGACGGCCAGCCTTTGGAGAGGTACTTCATTGGCTTTGGGAGAGGAACGAGGCAATGTATCGGTCTGAAGTATGTCGGACTTCCTGTTCCATTTCGGGCTTCGTGTTGCGTTTCAGAAAAGCACTGACAATGTTGCAGTCTTGCTCAAGCCGAACTGTACATGGGACTTGCCACCATGTTTAGGAAGTTCTCCTTTGAGTTGTACGAGACCGACCTGTCGGACACGGTTCTCGCTCATGATTATTTCGTGCCAACTGTCAAGATCGACACCAAGGGAATTAGAGTTAAGGTGAAATCGGTTGAAAAGTAGCCGACCCGACCTGGGAACAAGCTGTTTGCCTAGCGAATAAGTCGGGAGTGATAGAGCCTACTCCTAGTTCGCCCACGTTGGTGGCCTTGCGGAAAGGCGCGCATCTGTTTGGAGCTGATTTCCAGGGAATTTGACAGAGAGGTTTGGTATCAAGCCGGAGGCAGAAATGATGCATATAGGCCAGCTTGAATCAGAGCATAGATCACCATCCACCGAATCACTACTGAAGTTCGCTTCGACTCCGTTTGAAGCTTGGTCGCTAACCATATGTACCACAATGGATAGCCAGAAGATAGCCTCGTGATGATTTGTACATGATAGCTTGTCAATGCAAGGAGTGCAAGTATAAGTTGTGGCAGGGCCAGGCTGAGCAATACGCGTTCCCCAGCAGAAGCTGGTGTCGGTGACTGCTGCGCGTCTCGGATGAGAAGTCGAGGGTGTCGAACGATATCCACGGCGGAGTAGATTAGAATCCAGAGCGAAGGTGCGGCCAAGAGAAACAGCGGCAAATTTGACACAGTCCAGTAGCGAAACGGGCCGACATTCCTGTAGAGTTTATCAGCTGTGGTTGTGGTACAAGGCAGCAGGAGGCTCACCAGTAATGAGACTGGACCCAGGTGAATATGGACGGTACTGTCTGATTGCACCAGGATCTCTTATCTTCAGCACCGTGGCCATAGCAGTATTCCCAATACGCCCGTGCTTGCGGATACACCATCCCAAATGCCACCAGGAGACCACCAACAACGACCGAGGCCAGTCGGCTGAGTCGCGAAGCTGACAGGCCCCGAAAGAAAATTGCCATGACGGTGGAGCTGGCTTCGATGAGGAAGGGTATTCCGGCCAAGATGCCATTGCTCCGGACCATGGTGGCAGTACTGAAAGACATGCCGACGCAGATCATGGTGGCACAGCCGGCTAACACCAGGCCTCTGTGAAAATGCTGGGTTGCGTGCATGTATCCCAGGAAACCAGAGATGGAGAGAAAAGCAAAGAGGCTTTCTGACTGGGGGGCGGCAAGAAACACTCCTGCCGGCGAGAGGATATGGAGTGCTGCAGCGGCGAAAGGTAGCGGAGAGTTGGTAGCTTGGTCGGCCCCCGTGAGAACTTTTGTCAACGCCCACAGCTGGATAACAGACAGCCAGTGGGCGATGTGTGACAACAATATACCTGCCAGCAATGAAGGCGGGTCGGAGGTTATCCCCAGTTGGGAAAGACCTAGGATATGGTCAGCGTAGAGCTCATACACTTGCGACGGGCCATCGTACACCTGCTGGTCCAGGATATCGCGGTCGATTGACCAATGCCGAAAGCCCACTCCTGCTCAAAAACGTGTCCTTGGTCTGACAGGTGTGTGTAGTATACAGCGTCCCATCGAACGAACTTCAGACACCCGCTTGACATGTCATCCGGGGTGGTTGATATAATTCGGTCACGTCCATCTTTCCAGGACAGGAGACTCGTGGACGTGTCATATCCGACTCCTGGAGCGGCCAGAGTAACCATGATTATCAATGACTTCCAAGCGACAAAGAGGGCAAACAGAGTGAGAATAGGACGGTCGCGCCCATATCTTGACCAGAGCGTTGGATTCATCCTGCATAGCCCCCTTGTGCGAAAGGACAATTATCGTGTTTTCGAGTCTGGAAGAGCTCCGAACAAGGAGGAAGGTTGTCCTCATTCACGCGAAAGATTCACCGTAGTAGCTGCAACTCCATTGATCTACCGTACTTCGCTGCCTCCCATTTTGTCACTTCTCAGATGGATCATCCTACTACTACTACTACTACTACTACTACTACTACGACTACGTACTAGCTCCGGCGATAAGGATATATCGGATGTATACGCTGCACTTGCTCTGAATGAACTGGTGCGGAATGCAGGATAGCTTGTGCACTTGTGTGGCATTGTTTTCAAACATCAATGCGCGTATGTTGCGTTGATTGCCATGACGGCATCAGCTATAATTCCAGGGACCAACGAGGTGAGTGCTCCTGGATGCTTGCATGGTGGAAGATAGTTTCGAATCCAACTCTCCTCGCCAAGGACACTTTTTCGGTCCTTTTTGGGGCTGATTCTGGAAGAACGTTGTGGTGGACGAAAAGAAGGGCGAAAAGAAAGCCGGGGTGGACGAGAGAACCGAGTTTAAGCGAAGAGGAGCAACTCGGGCGGAATGGTGGAAAGTTGACCATGTTGGTTTCATGTAAGGCGGTCCACGGTGCAACCAGACTTGGATTGCTATCGTACCCAGTAAGCATATGGAAGAAGATCGCGACGTCTTTCAGAGATAGCCACGTTCGGCACAACTCTCGCTCAACTGAACTAGGACATGGCAATTTGACGGCATAATATTCAGTCAGTTGACTAACACCGCAAATTGGCTAGGAGAAAAGGACTATGGCGAGACGCAGACAGTGACCCTACATGTCAGTATGTCGTCAAATTCTGCCATTAGCGATTAGCTCAAAGAACATCGGGAGTGCCGAATTGGCAATAGTCATGCATGCATCCCTCATCAGAAGCATGGTAGTAGTATGTAGAACCTTACAAGCAGTCTGCGCCACCGGATACGAGACAAGGGAAGCGCGGACGGAGCGAGTTTTCTTCTTGTGGAGGGTGCGAAAGCTGTGGGCTCAACATTCCACCTGTGACAGCTCTTTGAGCTGAGCGTCGACAAGGGTTCTCGATCCGCAGGAACGATGGCTTTTGGCCAGCAATGACATCTCTTCGAAATGTTTATGGCTTGTATCGTCGAAGCGAAATCCACCAGTCGACAATGAGTGGGTTGCCAACTAATCTCATTTGGCCACGCCGTCGCAGGAGCAGCGGGGGTGCCACCTACGCAATCACATGCTCGAAGCAAGATGTGCTCCGTCCTGATTCGGGTGACGATTTGACACGCCCGAAATCGCTGCCTGGCGCTCAAGTAATGACATGGCCAAGGAGACTCGAGGGGATTGACTATAGTCTGCTGGAGGCTGGATCATGCAAGAGAATCCCAGGGATCGCGAGGGCGTTGGATATTTTGGGACGGACAATGCGAAGTTCACCACCGCCGTCAAAAGAATGGTGTCGGAAACCGATCGTGCAGGCGGATAATAATAGTGCTGTCGTCTATGCATCAGCCACGCGATCAACACGTGGGCCGCCCTTGCAGCCACGTGGATGTCGTGTTGCTCGACTTGTCTTGACGGGGATGCGATGTGTAGGAAAAGTACGGGACGTTCAACCCGTATATGGCAGTAGGTTCGATCTGCACCGCTGACCTAACTTACAAAATTCTGGCATGGACCGCCGAATACCAGCGACAAAGTGTGATAAAGCACCCTGAAGCGCGGGCGCCATTGGTGGCTGCAGTTAGCAGAACCTGACCAAAGGAACCAACCTGCGTCGCGTATGATAATAGTGCACGGCGGTGGTGTCCCGATTGGGATCTGTGCCAATCTGTTGCGGCTGGAAAGGGATGTTGACCGATGAACATTCTACCGAAAGGGAAGCCCAGCACATCGTAGGTGGGACGAAGCTCTAGCCTTGGCGCCCTCTCCTGGATTACAAGAAACTCCCAACGTAGTTGTCTTGAAACATGCAAATGTCAAACTTGGTCCCCTGCTTCAGGGCAGTCCCAGCAATGACTGGGTACAGATGAAGACGAGCTGAGGGCTCCCCTGGTCGGAAAACTCTTCTGCACTCTATGCGACTAGATCATGCTTCCACACTCACCCAAAAAACCCCCCCACAAACGTGGCGCATGCATACGATGGGCTCGATGGGTCGATGTTGACAGGTTATGTCAGACGCTGCATGGCCTGGACCCTCATGGGCGTCGTAAGCCAAGGAGGGAATGAATCGTGAAGCCATTACTATTCCCACATGCACCTCCTGAACAACCGATGGGCAAACTTGGGCAGGCAATGGTGACCATCAATGGCTGCAACGCCCGATTAGTGCGGTCTTCTATCGCCAGTCGTCGAAGAGTGGCGCAGGGAGACCATCCTAGGAGAATTGTAAAAGTGATTGCAGCTCTTGATCTGGAGTTGGCGCTTTCTGTGGGCGGATTGGAGCACTCTATCATGGAGTGTACGCCATTGTATTTGGACTGTGGTCGTTTCGCATCTGCTCGAGGTGCTTAATCAATGCATTTCAATTTCTTCCTGCCCTCATGCGACGGTCACTAGCAAATTGCGCTGTCAGGATTTTGTTCGAGGCGGCATGCATCAAGTGTCATGATTCGCATCTCACACTCTATAATGCTCGTGTCTCCCAGCTTTACCGAGATGTGGGCTTTGCTTGACCGAGATGCTAACCCACCGCTAGACGGGTAAATCGGCTCGAGTCCCACAGCAACGATTGTGGGCGATAATGCATGTACTTGTAAGCGAAGTCGCGATATGGCCAATGTCGCGGATGACCTCTTCGGAAAAAGCTCGAGAAAAAGAAACCCCAGCCAATTGTCGGTCTTCGCCTACCACCATAGGCAACAGCTCCCAGTGGAAGTCAAAGGTGTGATCCGAGCTTGGTGGGGGAGCCTGATTAGCTCGCTTTAGACCTGAAAGAAGATGTAGGCGCCATCAGCTCCGGGGATTGGCTTGAGGGGTAAGGTGGAAGCGGCATCCATCTGGCCTCGTGGTCAAAGCCCGATCTCCTTTGTTCTTACAAGCCACCTCCAACGTCTTCGGCTAGCGAGTTATGTAACAGCGCCCGTACGGCTGGAAATGCCGGCGCGGACATGGGCAGCGAAACGGCTGAATAAGTGACCAATGGACGTCAAACCCGCCCTTGTCATGAAGCTTCCTCTAGGACTGCAAGTCGCGTTCAATCCTCACTGAACACGGCGTTCCTCCACAACCACGGTCAAATCACACTGGTTGTTGGCCACATGGCCTTTTGTTGCCGGATGTTTTGGCCCTCTCTTGCTCAGTGTTTGCAATTTAGGCGTTCGGTTTTCTGATTGTTATCCCACATCCCACGTCGTTGGCTCCAGCGACCCGGATGGCAGCAATGCAGCGGAAAGCCCCTGCGGGCGGGGACCATTTGCACAGAAAACAGACAAGATTGTGTGACGGATACAGAAACCTGATGCCTTGAACTCGGGGCGGCGTCTTTTTTGCCTGGTGAGACCCACACCACGGTACAGCCTCGTACGCGCCTTGACCTAGTCCTCCATTGACCGAAACAATACCCCCGGCTGCTCATTTCTGTCCTGGTCTTGGTTTGATTCACCATCAGGCTTACTTCTTTGATCGGTGCCCAATGCGCAAGTACGAACCAATTTGGGCATCATCGTAGCACGAGAGTTGTCTTGAAGCAACGAAGCTCGATCGGGTTGGCCGATTTGTGAATCTTGAGGAGCGAGCTGATTCCTTCCGCCGTGGTGGCCGCGTCCAAGCGCCCCATCTTGCATGAGAAGCTATGCCACACCGTCAAGTCACGATGTTGACATGTTCCTTGCCTGACTGCACACTTCGCAATAGCAGCAGCGGCCACCAATCGAAGACATCCTCACTTGCTTAGCCGGCCGCGCCCGTGTTGTTGAGTATTTTCAGCTCCTCAGGTCTCTCGATTTGGAGCTTTAGATCCCAGCAAGCCCGTGGGCACCCTTTCCACCAGGCCTGAACCGACTGCCACCCATCGACGCTTGGAGCACAAGATCTCGGTTTGGAGGGAGGCTCTGCCTATCTGATTGAACTCACATTTGTGTTACCGAGTATGAGGAGAGGCGACTGAACAGCAGCCCAGAGCGACTTTGCTTGTGTGAGAGTGAGAGGGCCGGTCAGATCGGGCGCAAAGGATGCTGTGGTCCGCAGGGATACGAGCCATCCATATTTTTTACCCTGCATTGGCCACGGTTGAGTTGAGGCGGCGAGAACATATCGAGGCGAAAGGAAGCACCTGCGGGAGCTTTTGGAAGTGGAAGAGAACTGTAGAATTTGCGGGCAGCGCAGTCGTTTTTGCAGCCCGCAATTGCGACCTTCTGCTACCTTCTGCTCCCTTGCCACTTCGACTTGCATTGCACATTGCCTGTAAACGACGGCAGTGGACGACAACCTCGCCACCTCTTCATACCTACATCAGAAGTCAGAAGCTGGACGACAAGCTGCTGTTGTGCCGGAATTTATCACCCATCAACGCCATCCTTGTAACTGTCGACGATATACACCAAAGACTCCTAAGATTACCTCCTCCTGCTCCTGCTCCTGCTCCTCATCCACCCCGCCTCAGTCCAACATCACTCATCTCCCCCTCGTCGCCTCCGCCGGTTGAGCTCGCCTCATCTTCTGGATGCTGGCAAGGAGCCAGTACCAGCTGGGGCCCCGAGCCTTGCCTTCTCCTTTCGCACACGACAGCATCGATGCTTCACCAACCGAAAACCCCATTGACACGCGATCCTCTGTCGTCAACGTGGCTATCGTTCTTTTGTCACCTTCCTTGACTTCGAAGCCTCCTTCACCCAAAGACCTGTGCTCCAGTGAGGCTCCTCAAGTTTGATGCGGCAGCTTGACCTTGCTGTTCCTTCTGGACTTTGTAGGGACCGTCAGACCGCCGAGCCTGTTCCTCATTTGGGTCGGATACGGGATTGCGCAGTCAGGGATTGCGCAGTCAGGGACTGCTCGGCATCACAGCTTCACGTCCTCTTGAGCATCCATCCATTCATCTGTACAGCTTGCTGGAGTCTATCAAAAATCCGAACGAAGCCGCCCTGCCAGCTCGAGAAGCGGTTGCCTACTGAACCGTTTGTTCGCCCCTTGCACAATCCTATTACGATCGACGTGCTCCCACTTCGCCGGGCATTGCGGGCTGCTACAAAGTTGACCAGGTTCACGAACATCCCTCAGCCTCACTCCCTGCGGTCATCAGTCCCGAAAATAGCACGCTAAGTGGGAGGAACTGTGTGCGGTGCCCTCAACAAAATTGCATCTCAAAGTTTTGCTCGAGTGGATTTTCTGCCTCGCGAACCATTGCGCTGGATCCGCGAACACCAGGAGCAGCACCCTGATTGTCTGACGCAGAAAATTAGCAGAAACATCCCGCACACATTCTTCACGGCTTTGGTCTTGTTTTCGAGCTTGTCTAAGGGAAACCTGCCCCTCGAATTAACCCAAATCCTCCTTACCGTCGTTTGTGACGAGCTAACGGAAGACCTGATCACCATACCTTGATCAAAGCCCATCACACCTTTCCGTCCACGAATCATTTGCTGAGAGTAGGTCCTCGCCCTAGAGGAGCCAAATAGCACATTTAAATCCCGGCCCTCTGCAGTCGTGGCTTCCTCTCCAGCATCTACCCATCGCCTACAACTTCACACCTCCTTCTGCATCTTCAAACCCATCAAATTCACCTTGTCTCCCATAACCTGCACCATCTCTTGAATATATTCTTCCACCATCCTTTCTGGACGCAGTCTTAATCTGAAGCATTCTTCCTGTACCCATCTTGCAGCTTCACACCTGGGTATCCAGCTCATATGGTGGACCAAGCAGCGCCTCGGCCTGGATTCCGGAAACCCCAGGTCCCAGCATCAGCCTCGACCCGAACCCTCACACGTAAACCACCGGTTCTTGTCGATCCATATCTGGCCGAACGCATTCAGTCTCGATCCCTCATCCCCAGGTCCGTCGTTGGCAACGCTCGATTTCAAGATGCAGGCAGAATGTTCGTTAGGAGGTGCAGAACTGACAAGACTGACCGCGAACAGAGACATGTACAAGATGATGATCAAGCAGCAGCCCAGGGATGGTCAAGTCCTGACGGCTCAAAAGCGTGCTAGCGGTGAGTGACGCTGCTGTCCATACGAGAGAGACATTAATCGTCAGTACAGCAAAAAAGCCACAGAACGAAAGAATCTCCCTCGATCCTCCTGCAGTGGTCGAACTTGCGGTTCTCGATGATGACCCGAGCAGGTGCTGGCTTCACAGCCCGTACTTGTTCTGCACCGCCGAGCTGGTTAGACTTGATGACAAGCCAAACAGGTCTGACACGCTTTCTGGCACGTTGACGTCTTCGCTGCACGTGGTCAAGATGAATGACGGAAAAGGTGTGTTTTTCTGACCTGCGGTGTCTTGGAACTTAACTGACAGTATCACAGCCCACGGCTTCTTCGTTTTCAGCGATCTCGTCCCACTATGCGCCGGCATGTTCTTCCTTCGATTCACGCTGTTTGAGATGCGCAAGAGGTACGAGGGACAAACCCCTGAGAATTTGTTGGCGCTGCTGACTAGGCAAAAAGCCCAGATGGGCTGTTTGCGGAAATGCTCAACTCTGTCTCTAGCGTGACCCTTGAAGGTAAGCTTCTTTCAATGCGACGTTGGTATCTAGAGAGATACTCACATGTAAACAGTCCATGCACGCAATAAATTTGCCCCTCTAGCCAAGTCCACTGACTTGACGAGAGCGTTGAGCGAGGGAGGCGTGAAGGTCAGGGTTCGAAAGGAGCCAACGTACGTCCCCCTTGAAGATTTGACATTGGCAAAGGACAGCATATCCTGGTGCAAGAGCTTCTCTCGCCCCTTGAGCGGGTGATCCACCACCAGACCATTCTTTGCGCAGCTGCTTTCTGTTCACGTCGTATTGCAGCTAACCTCCATCCAGGCGTCGATTGCAGAGAAATAAAACCAGCTGGGGATTCCAAAGATACATGGCTGGGTATGGCCAGGTCGTGCCAGCCGCCGTGTATGGTCAACCTCAACTGTATCCGCATCACGGCCAATACCATGAGCATTGGAGTCAAAATGGAAACGCTGCTTATAACACGAACAACGCGATAGACATCAGAGATCGCTTAAGTGTTCAACATCATGGGATGGCGCCGCCATGGCACGGTGGCGCTCACCAACAAGCAGCCCTAGCCATGGCCCCTCCGATGCTACCACAGCAGCTATTCCCTCAACCTCTGCATCGGCTTCAACATGGTGCATTCTTGCAAGACGTGCAGAAGCAGTCAGTGAGCCAGCCACTCCCTCTTATGCAGCACACAGCACTGTTGCACGAGACACAGCACTCGCTCATGCCACCACCACCGTCACAATCTCAGCAACAGCAGCCCTCTTTTCCACCTCTTGAGCAGATTCTGCCACAACATTTCATCCCACTTCCACCGGCGAATTATACCGTGAGGGACGACACGAACCAGTTAGGGTTTTCAACCGGCGCGGAAAATGAGTTGTTTTTTGCCACCACCTCTGCTAGCTCAATGCCGCATTTCACTGCAGCGGACGAGCAGGTCTCATATACTACCTCATCAGCCGCGCAGATGATGTACGTCACCGCATTGGAAGACCAGATGATACGCAGGACATCACCGGGAACTGATTCGGCATACACATCGTCGTCGAGTGGTTTGGACCAACAGCAATATCTGCAAAGCGCTGGACATGTTTCTGGGACGTATGATGTCTCAAGTTTCAACCCTTTGCAAGATCCGTACGATCCAAACTCTTCACATGGAGGGTTTCAGTAGACATGACAACTTCTGACAACAAGTCATGACACCTGAGCGCTGGATTGGTCGTTTCGTTGAATGTGGGCATGGTGCTTTGGATCGAAATATCCTCTGACATATGAAGCAAAAGTTTGTGGGTGCTATTGTTGGAAATGTTTGTTCTTATTTGAGTATAGGTTTCTGATAGACTTGGTCAAAGGGAAGGCTGATGGAAGGTAATGGGTGGCATAGGCATCCCGATAGGAAGGGATTGCAGTAAGTGAAAAGGATATCCCGATAGAAAGGGATAGGGAAAGGAAGTGTGGTTCTACTAGTAATTCTACATGTTCTCTGTCGCTCCGTCAATTGCTGGAAGATGATGTTGGAGGGGAGCTATACTTACACAGCCAGCATATATATTCAGCCCGATTCACATTTTTCCTGGTCATTGATAGTTGCAAGTCAGCATCAGACATCCAACAAGAACACACAGTCATTCTCACCACAAGCTCGGCCACCATGATTGTTGCAATGGATTGGAATAATTGAATCCATGAAAAGGAGACATGAAGGCCTTCAGCAGCGACGTGACACAAAGAACATGATATATACACATCGGAGTCGGGGGATTCGCAACGTGCAAAATTTCTTTCTGTTGAAGACTTCAGAGAACCAGATGGTCTAAGAACTTTAGAACCCTGAGCCACCCGTGTCGCAGCCGCTAAGGACTTCTAATGCCCAGCCGATGCGCACGGTTAGAATTCACCAATGGACCATGCAAAGATTCTGCAAAGTCTGTGCGTCAATCAGAATTCGCGCCAAATCCGCAGATGTTTTTATGGTAACGAACGGGTGTCCATGCCACAGAAATGACGCACCGACACACGGAGGAATGACACGGGGCAGTTTCGACAAGGCCAAAGGGTTTTCTGACAGCCACCTCAGCAAGCAAGGTCTTCTCTCCTACCTCAGTAGCCATCAAGGGCGCCTTTCCGCCATCAATAAGGTCAAATTTTGAGTAAGAAACGTTCATAATTCAGCTGTATGGCGCAGCCTTGTCAACGACACGCCCGACTGTACCCTGGCCGCCCTCAGCTCCTGGACTCAGATGTCAAAGTCGGTAAGAGAATCCGACCCTCGTTCTATCAGGCAGGTACATCCTCGCAGATGTCCGCTTAAACATGGTCCATATGACCCATCATCATTACACGGCATGCAGGCGGCAAATCAGGGGCTGAGCTGGACAAAGGCTTTCTTCGACTGGTGCAGTCCTCAATTTCTCCGAAAAGGAAAAATATCAGTCATGGAATCTCGGAGCCCCCCGCCCCCCCCCCTCTCCTACAAGAAGGAAATATTATTGTCACTTTTAGCGGTAGATCCGGGGATGAAATCGAGTCCAGCCACTGCGTCAAAAAAATAGCAAAAAATAAAAACAAAAAATACTCTAACGGAACGCCTACGAGCGACGTTCAGGAACATGGCAAGACGGATCCAGAAGACGAATTCGTCAAAATTTCCATCATTATCATCAGGCTGCCGCTGGATGAGCTGAGCAAAAATTCATTTGAAAGGGCTGGAACCGAACAACAACATCGGGCGGTCATTGGATTATCACCTCTTTTGTCTCATCCAATGGATTCAACAACATAGTTGCTCAAGGTATTGCCTCCTCTACCAAACCATTGCGAGACCAGGCCGCAAAGAGGCTGGCCGCGGACGTTATATTTCCGAGGACATTGAGCGATTCCGCCCCATGAGGGCTTTCAAGATCCCTCATCCCTTTTGCCTTGGCCCTCTTCTCATTCGAGGGACCGTCTTCTGACTCCCAACCAAATTAACCTGAAAACCTAGATTTGCATCACGGCATCAGAGTCTCCACAAATAACGGTTTAGAAAGGCACAAGGCTTGAGAAGACGCTCCACTATAACAGCCACATCAATGACTCAGACACCGCAGGAACCTCTGGTTACATCGGCTTTGCCCTTCGATCACATCATGGACACCTATAGAACTCCTCACCCAAGGTCTATGGCTCCTCGCAATCAAAGGCTCCTCTACTACATTGATAACGGTACACTGCCCGACAGGTCAATATCGCTTCCGCAGGCTTCCTGTTTATGTACGCTTCGCCACGGGAGCGATGTTGTTTCAGCCACGAGTCGACTATTTTCATCGTCGAGGTACGTGCGTCCACCGACGACACTGGGAATTTCCTTTGTTGAGCCACAATATTCTCTCATGCTTTCTATGGAACTGTCTCCGCCACGCAAATGCAGAGGGTTCTGCAAAGCAGTCTGATATCCTTCTGATTCAAGCTCAGGATCAATCCGAGGAGCAGCTTGCTCGGCATGTGCAGTGCTTCTGATGTGATCTCTCCGGTAAGGACACGGCAGTGTGGAATCCGAGACCTCTTCAAAATCTAGAGGCTGTCGATGAATGTGTGCTATTCCATGCGCCTTCCTAGGTGGGGTAAGCTGTGCAAGGAGATGCTTTCCCCAGTCAGCCTGAAACTGATCTGTTGGAACAAGGCGAAGTGGCTGTATTGTGCTGGCATAAGGGTAAGAGGAAGGCGATTTGGCTGGTCACATGTCAGGACGAAAAGGACTAACATCAATTTTGGCAGTGGACCGAGGGGCTTTAAGGTAGTATGGGGCTATTGAGCGTTGATCAGTAATAACAGGACGAGGACAACAACAGTTACAACAGACACAGAATGGCTGTGCGAGCATGCTATCGCTGCCAGAGTGCTTAACAGTTTACCGTGCTGGCCGTGTGCTTTTCTTTACAGTTTGAAGAGAGTATTCTATGGCTTTTTTTTTATTGATACCGCCTACCTATTCCTGAGCATTCATTTTGTCCTTTCCCGCTCCTCAACGCCGCCGCCGTGCTGGGCGCTCGTTGCCCTAGCCGCTGCGTCTCGGTGGGTGGTGTTGGCGGTGGTGATGTCTTGCCAGCGCCGACCGGAAAGGCATTCCCGATCCCCGACCGGCCTGGTAGCACTAGCCCCTGTCCGTTGTTGCACGTGCATTCCAAATCCAGAAGTGCTCCGTTACACTAGGATCAAGGACTACTCGAGGAAGAACTATACTGAGGTCAAAGGAAGTCCGTACGGTCGACGCTGCTCAGGGGATCGCCAATCGTTTCGTCCTGGTGGATCATACAGCAACAGGCCATAGCAAAAGTCTGTTACCCAGGGCCTCACCTCCGATGGCGCATCCACAGGAGGAGTTTGTCTGAGAATGAGTGAACACCTAACATCTGCGAACCGACGGGACACCGTGCGTGACTCGAGCTCAAGATGGTTGCGTCGTCTTCGCAAATTTTACTTTATGCTACAAAGTCATTGAGCAGAGCAAAGGTAAAGACAAGACGATGCATGCCATCAAGAATCCCCTCCACGAGACGCATGACGGCGAACTGGTTGTGTCAGATGATCAAGAAGATGAGAATCCAAACTCACAGAATCTCGCCTCCACTGAGGGACGCGATGCTCATGAAGAGACGAAGAATGAAGTTCATCCGAAAGACTAATTCTCAGGATATCGCCACAACAAGGTGGTCCGGCGCAAACACAAAGCACAACCTGACGATCTCAAGAATATTACGTCCGCGACGTCCGTCCTATGGGTCAGGATATGGTGGCGTTTTCAGCATGTTTTCCCCCAGGCGTCCGGAAGGGAGTCCAAGAGAGAGCCCAACAGCGTGGCGGGTATATTCCGAAGACGGCGGACATGGGCCAGACGAGCATCACCGGGGTTTGGTTTTGACGTCTCAAGGCGCGGTTGACAAGCAGCGGCGCAACAAGAAGAGGAAACCGGAGCGAAAAGCTGCAAAAGATCAAATCTAATGGGCTGTGTCATGAATGAATCTCCATAAGACGCCCTATTATCAACTAAAACTAATAAAGATGGGTCGGGCAAAGAAGGGCAGAAATGGGTCAGACTAAATTGAAAATAGGTCAATGCAAAGCATCCGCGGCATATCTAGTAGTGATGGGGCAGAAAGCGACTACTTCACCAGCTCTGTCATCCTCTTCACCCCAAAAGTTTCCAAAGTTCCGGACAGCATTGTAGATTCTACTTGCTTCCTACTTCATCCTCTCCCTAGATGACCGTGGCAAGACTCAGAAACTTTCGCACGGGCGCCAACCCAGGTTGCCCAGGTCATTGGATTATCGGCCTCACCCGCGGGATTCTTGAGATGCTTTGTCCTTCTTGCCCTATCTTCGCATTCTACTTTGAGGCTGTTCTCAAACCCAGCATGGGACTCGTCCACATCGACTTGAATCTTCTCCAGAGGCTCACAGACCCCTCATGTAATCATAAACCTTGCAACCCAGCCCCGCGCCTGAAGCTACGCCACAGCTGTTTGATAGACCGGGCTAAACCGCACGTCGACTATATTGCTTGGGGTGTTCTGCTTCCTCAAAACAGTCTTTGACATTGTCTGGAACGCAAATACTGCCCTCCAATATCCGCCGAGCAGTTCTGACGAAAGAAAGTGTTTCGAATTCAGGTACCTTCTGGCTGGATGTGGAACGCACCTTGACAAGCACGGGTATACTGCCTAATGGATGCTCAATGTTCAAAGTTGTCTTCTGTGAATGCCTCTCTGTCAATAGCTGGTTCACAACCGACCGATCAACTCGGCTGCAAGCAGCAGTGCAAATAGCGCCAGTTCCGGCCATTGAGGTATGGCACTTATTGTCCAAAAACAGTCTTGACTGGACGTCGCAGTCGCTGTCTGTAGGAGGAGAAACAAGCGCTACCATCGGAAGCATTGGTGATTGAGCGTCGACAAGTTCCCAATTCTTGCACATCCCAACCATTTGCGCAGCTTTGCCGCGGAGCTCTCTGACTCTGGCAATGAGCGCTGGATCGTTATCAAGATCAGAGGGCTTCTCATTTCCTGCAAGACCCAGGTCTTTGGCTCGTGCAAAGACAATAATGTTGCCAACATCGCAGATGGTGATGTCAATATTAGAATCATTGATGACAATCGTGTCTAAAGAATTACTCGTAGGAAGCACCCCACTGCTGAGAGCTGCGCCGATGACCTTTGACTATCAGGACATGCGGTAGATCAGAGAGAACATCCCACTTACATTGCTGTAGTCCATGAGAATGGGGGATCCTGAGCCGGGACAGCCAGCGATAGCAAAAGTACCCAACTCAACAAATTTCCCGGTCGCATGGTTGATTGGTACATGGGAAATCAAGACTTTCTTCGTCCCAGTATTATAAATTCTGACCTCTTGTGTTGTAACCGTCGGGTCTATAGTCACACCCGGCCTCAATTCTTTGACGAAGCCTTCGTCGACGGCGAAAGGGCCGACAGCCGCAGAGATATTGCCGCAATTTCCCTTATAACTGACCGTCTCCTCGTTGATTCCGACTTGGACAAACGTGTAATCGACGTCGACGTCAGGCTGGTCCGAGGACTTGATCAAGGCAATCTTCGAGGTCACAAGGTGGCTCCCGCCCATACCATCAATCTGTAGAGGATCTGGAGATCCCATAATGCGTTGAAGGAAACGGTCACGCTTGGTGCCTCGAGGAGGAACATGCTGCTCGTGGAAAAAGAGGGCCTTGCTCGTGCCGCCGCGGAAGTAAATCACAGGGACTGAACGATTTTGCACGACCATTGTGAATCTTGTGACATGGCTGAGCCGCCAAGGCTAATGAGATGAATTTTCGTAGGGAGAGAGTTGATGACTGAAATTCATGTATATCAGGTCACAGGGATTTGGTCAACAGAAAGCCGAGAATCGGACTTTGCTCTTCAACACGAGGCCGTAAGTCGGAGACGACTAACTTGAGTCAGGTGACCCAGTAGGTTTCATGAATAGCTTCCTCATAGACGACCTACTAGAGTTAAGGCCTAGGGTACCTCTTGTTTGCCTGATATCTTGTATATTTGGCGGTGAAAATTGCATATATCAGTTTTGCTCCGCCGCCGTGGACAAGGGAGGCTTTAGGCGTTGGTCTCGGCCGAGAGCCTCACCAGCCTCACCAGGCTTAAGGGCAGTATAAGCACCCTAGCTTCTAGGCTGGTGCCGCCTTAAGCCACCCATATGTCCCGCAGTCCAAATTCGGGCAGCCATAAGCGCCTCAACAGATACAATATGGCCAGATAGAGGAAACAAGTCGAAGCCGCCGCGCGCAAGGGACTGTACGCGCAGCCGACGAACCATGACCCATGATGTAACCTTTCTCTCGCGGCTAAGATCGGTTGTTACAGGACGGAGGCTTCGGCAATGGCTTCGGCGTACATAGGAGCCTCAGCCTCGCTCAACTCTGAGTTTTGCGGATTGGTGACGTCGAGTGGGACTCGCTAGGGTAAACTAGCAACGCCACAGGGCGTACTTCTTCCAACCTCATTAACTCACTTGGAATTCCATACAAATCGCGAGAGCCCGTTGAAATTTGCTTCACCAGATCCGCGACATAAACAATGCCACAGATAGCCAGTCAACAGCAAGTCGCAGCAACGTGCCTGTGCGGCGCGATCTCGTATGCTTTTCCCACGGATCAGAGCTTGCCGATGGATAGCAGTCTGTGTCATTGCTCCGATTGCCGATACGTGACCGGAGCATTGTACTTGTCATCGCCTCAGCTATTTGAACCCCCACCTCAGAATATTTTGGACCAAGCCGTCCACTATGATAGCTCGGACACGCGTCGCAGATGGTTCTGCGGGAAGTGCGGGTCGCACATGTTTGTTCAGGAAATTGGAGGCCAGGGAAGCAGATGGTGGGTCATGGGCGGCGTGCTGGAGCAGACAGGGTCTGGCTCTCGCACAAGGAACACCACCAGGGCTGCCCATCACATCTTCGTAACCGACACGGGAGACGGTGCTTTGGCAGCAAAATTGATCCGGTTAGGCATACGGGAAGTTGAATGCTGGGAGAAGCGTCCGTATCACAGCAGACAAGTGACCGCCGCCGAGTTGCAGGAAATGTCCCGGCGCGCCGAACGAATGTCACGACCTGGGAGTGAATCTTTAGAGGCCAGATGTCACTGTGGCGGAGTCAATATCAGCATCATTCGCCCAAACTTCGAGTCATTACAGTTGCAGCAGAGGTATATCCCGGAGGAGGAGAACAAGTATGTGGCCGGTCTTTGTACCTGTCGCTCATGCAGATTGGCCACAGGTGTCTCTTTCCAGCCATGGGCATATATCCCACCGGCCAACATCTTTCTCGCCGCCACGGGAACAATGGTCAGGTTTGGTGCGGAGGGAAACCAGGAAGGCTCAAATGGGAACGCCACTTTGAGACATATCTGGTCCAGCAAGGATACCTGCAGGAGCTTTTGTGGCCGATGTGGTGCAACCATATTCTATTGGCACAATAAGCGGCCGGAAGTCGTGGATGTCTCGGTGGGCATCCTGAGAAGTGAGGATGGGGCGATGGCAAAGAACTGGCTGTCTTGGAGGAAGGAAGGCCCTAGTTGGAAAGACGACTGTGTCGACGAAGAGTTGCTACAGGCCATCTTCCCACCATAGTGTCCACACTACCCAGTATCGGTCGAGAAGTCGAGCCCATCACAGGGTAACCACTGTGACATAGTTGCTCTCGGTGAATCCCGGCATCCTGGATATTGCTTCGAAAAAATATCAATTGAGTACCTAGCTCGCTAGATAAGTAAGCCGACTTGACCGACTTTATAATGTCTATTCTAGTTGGTCGATATAGAAGTCTCTTGGCGACGCCACAATGGTTATCCCAAAACAGAATATTCGTCTGGGCCTGCGCCACACTGGTCTCTCTTCAATTCCTCGGGACGTCAGAATCAATGGCTCGCCTTCAGCAAATATGAGTCCATACAGTGGTGTAGGTCAATATGAGATGAGTCCCACGATACTCCAAATGCCTGACGATAGGAACTGCCGCCCTTTCCTCAACCGTGATAATGAAATGTCAATTGTAGGGCTCAGAATTGCCGAGCTGGAAAGGGCGAACTCTCAGCTTGACATGGGAAACCTCGGTCCTGAAAGCGTGGAATTGAGACGCCATGTTGAAGAGAGAGATCAAGAAGTCTATCGGCCCAAGAAACATCGACAAGATGAGACTGAGGAGTTCCGGCGTCAAAGAAAGCAATTTGAGGGTGAATACAAAAAAAACGGTCCGCGGCAAGAAAAATGCAGTTCCCCAGCGCGAAAACGCTCATCTTCAAAGTCAACATGCCGTCCTACTGTAACAGAGCCCTTCAGGGTTCGGCGTGCACGTGCAACAACGCACAGAGGCCTGTTCAGCAGGTCGGGAATCGAGAACGCGTTTCTGGTTGGCACTGACAAGATAACACCACCAACACCACCCAGAGGGGCAGCGGCTAGGGCAACGAACACCTAGCACAGCGGCAGCATCGAGAAACGGGGCAGTACTGATAGAAACACTCAGGAATTAGGTAGACGGCACCAAAAGCCATGGAATTCATGATACTCTGCTCAAAACTGTAATGAATGGCACTCTGCCAGCACTGTAAGCTGTTCCGCACTCCCCCTGCCAGCCCATTTTGGTTTGACATGTGACTAGACAACTTCTCTCCCCCCTACTACCACTCTACCAGCCCTGCACAGCACAGCACAGCCTCTTTGCCTTGTTACACTACAAGGTCATGAACGTGCACTGGAGGGCACCATGCACCATTCAGGGATAAATTGACAGGATACTGGTACTTCAAGTCAAGTGGGCGATTTGGTATGTCAATCAAAGGACTTGCCAGAGATGTCTGTCTCTGTACGATATGAGCCATCTCGACTGAACCCACCGCCGTTGCCGTCCGCCTACAACGGTCAGCGTAAGCCGAATGACCCGCGACACAGCGAAACCTTAATGGGAAGCTACAAGTTGCGACGCGAAAAGGGGACAGGGTCAAGTTCTTCTGTGACGTCTCAGTCTGAGGTGGACTCAGGTGTCAATATGGCTAGCTCGGAGGCCCTAAGGAGAAGAACTCAGCAGAACATCCGTAACAGAAACGACGCAATCAGCTGCGAACCGAGTCAACAGACATTGACTGCTGCCGACAACTCAGTTCAGTCGAACCCCCTCGGGGCCGATCTCCAATTGCCCACAAAGACCCCGTCACTTCCAGATACCAGAGAGATGCTAAGCCTCCAGAGGATGACGCACCGGACAGATATCCCCCGCAGTAATGTGTCGAGGCCGCTCAAGGACTCCAGACCATGAAATGCGTAACTTGTACCTCAAAAACATTGGTCGACCTGTTGAGGAAGTCAAATATCAACCTGCCGGGCTTAACAGTGAGCCAAATCCTTTGGAACAAGTCACGAAGACCGATGAAATGGAAACGACGTCAGCGGGAAACAAACAAGCTGAAGTCAACGTCATTGATCCGGTGGGTGTGAATCCCTGGCAAAACATTCGCAAACACCCGTGGAAGGATGCTCACTCAGATTCAGATGCCTGTTAGCAAGACAAACTGGAATCTGAATTTCAAACTGAGGCGCCCTACAAAACCAATTGGTGGCCAAGCCCATCCCTGAAAATTCGTCATCGAGGCAACCATCGGAGGTGTTCAACAAGATACTCCACCAACAGCTGAATTGTCCTGTCGCAGACACCAAAACCCCAGCCGCCAAAAACAAAAAAAAACCTCAGTCATGCAAAGGATAATATCGAGGTGTCACGGTACCCTGGGGGATGAATATTTCAATGAGCCTCTACTCCTCCAGGGTATGGATCACCTGGATCTCGGCTGTTCAACATGCAATGGCCACGGCGACACTGAATCTCCTAACGCCCTCGATGGCTCTCGCCATGTCTAAGCTCCAAAGTTTCTTCGAACGGTGATTGATTCTCAATATAATGCCGGCACTATGGATGCGGGCCTCAGACACTTGACTTGATATGACCACCAATTCATCGAAGATGTTGGACTACCACTGGCCAAGTCAAAGAAGAGCTTTACCTCAAGTAAGTGCAGCCCGGGTTAGTTCTGCAGATATTTCTTTCTGGAAGATACTGACCATACAAATAGGTGCTCCACCGCCGTCCCAAGAAAAGGCCACGTCGACAGGGAATGAAGCTTGAGGAGCAGGCCAAAGGAGAGTTGGAACTGGTAGATGAAGATTTTGGACCTAAGCTCGGGAGAGGGTAGCTTTGAACTTTGGATGGCAGTCGACATACAGATTCAATGGAATAGGCTTGATTTCAAACCACCTCTCTTAGCCCGTGACAATTCCCTTCGCCTACTGCGGATTTCAGTCGTGTTGATCGTGACTAGCAATGTTCATCTCGAGGAAGACCCAAAGTTATGGCTGGTGAGGCGTCCGAACGACGCGGGGAACGGGTTAACAGGGCAAGGCTCTAGCCCCTTTTTTGGTCTTCGTCGGCCCAATTTCTCCAAAATTTGCCTTGCGGGCCCCCACAACGGTTAATTCTGGCTTGTTCACGCGGCATATATTTTTGCACGCTCCTCCGTCGACAGCTGTAAAGGAGACACATGTGTGGACATCAGGCACTCAACAGCTAAGAGTTACGATCTTTAGAATGTAGGAAACTAACTCCGTGCTCGCAACGCGGTAGGGGCCTTATCATTGTCAAGATCTGAAAGGACTTGTTACGTGCATATTTTCGGTGTCGAAGTGTATTTGTGACGGTATCTCGGGGAACACAGATGTCGCATAGGGTATGCGCAGACCACATCCAAAGCCTTCATCCCCCGATACGACGCGCCACGTCCAAGCTCAGACCTTGTCAGCATGCTGGGGGAGTGTTGTGACCCCCACCTCCTCGACCTGCTGCACGTGTTGCACCTTCTCCTCCACGACGTCCAGGTCGACGTGTGCAACCTCTGCGTCCTCGCCGTCGAAGATCTTGGCAACCTCTTCAAGCGTGACGCCGCGCGTTTCGACGAAGAAGAAAGCCACGAAGATAACTTCGAAAAGGAGCCAGCCCTGTGGAGACGGGCCATGTCAGCCGAATGTGCCGCGTCACTTGCATGATGGATCAAAGAAGGCAAGGCTTACGCAATAGATCGAGTAGAATCTCCAGCGAGGTTCTAGATGTCCCAGGCCGATGGGGTTGATATACCTGACTGCAGTCAGACACCCGAATGCATTTCCGGCTGTCGAAAAGACTCACTGATTGAACACAAGAGCAGCTTGGACGAAAAAATTCATGAGCATAAGACCCTAGAGAAGAGCTTGTTAATGTCGCAAGGAACAAGTCATTGCGCGGCTCTCACCTTTGCACGCAATTTGTACGGCATTATCTCCACTGTATACCCCACGAGCAGACCGGACCAAGCTATGTTGTAGAAGACACCATGAAGGAAGATGAAGAAGATGACTGTCTTTCCCGCTGCAAGGTTGCCGTCGAGGTCGTACAGAGCAGAGCACGCCGTCCAAAGGACGAAGGAGACGAACATGCCTGTCACCAATATTAGCAGAAGACAACAAGAAGGTGTCGCAACTACTAACCAAAGGTCGCGGTCAAGAATAGTGGTCGCCGGCCGAATCGATCGACAACTGCCGCGGCAATCAATCCGACAATGAGCTATAAGCAAGTCAGCTGTCCGTTTTCCCTGTGAGATACAGGCACTGACCGAAAGGATAGTCTTGGAGCCATTGATCTCGAATTGTTCGTGCTTGTCTGTCACACCAATACTCTTCATCACGAGGGCAAAGTAGTAGCTGGTCAAGCCATTGCCACTCCATTGGGAGAAGAGACCAAGAGCAATGACGAGTAACATTCGGTATCGGTTGCCCTTCGTCCTGAGGAAATCCAAGAAGCTGCTAGACTTCTTTGACTCAAATTCGAGGCGGAGGGTTTCCCTGATTTCGCGGTACTCAAACTGAACGGTGAGATCCATTTCGTTCCCATTCGCATGATACTTTGCGAGAGTTGTCAGAGCCTCGGCATGGCGATCTTTGGATATCAACCATCGGGGTGACTCTGGGATCACCCAGATGAAGCAGAACAGTATGAATGTCGGGAAAGCCTGGAGGATTGAAGGGATACGCCACGACCAGTTATTCTTCATGGTAAATGTACCAAAGGTAATCCACGTGGCTGCAATGGATCCGATATCCCAAAGCTGGTTGTAGACGGTCGTCACCCTTCCGCGATGTTGCGGATGGCACAGCTCGGTCAGGAGGAGAGGGGCCGAATTGGAACACATGCTGTTCCCAAATCCGACGAAGAAACGGCCAGCAATGAACATGGAGAAATTTTGAGAGGCGCTTTGGATAGCGACACCAGCAAAGAGGAAAACACACCCTGCTATAATAGCAATGCGCCGGCCCCAGATATCACACAAGTATGGTCTAATGGCGAGGTCAGCGGGACCTTTTGTCTCACAGAAGGCCTACCTACGCAAATGGTAGCCCTGCGAGACTGCCAATGCTGTAAATCGACCCGAAGAGACCGAGGATCGATCCTGTGGGATGGTGGAAGTAGTCTTGCCACACGTCGAGGATTTGGAGACCGTTCAGCATGGACCTAATGGTTGTTAGCACTTACAATGCAAACCTGGGTGCGCGCGATACCCGTCATATCCTGTCGTCGCCGAAGCGAAGAACAGCGCGATTGCCATGCCATAGAGCTTCCTCAAACCGGGGTCCTTGTACCAAATGACACGTCGAAGCGCGGGTGCCTCAGCAACGGCGACCTCTCGTTCAGATTTGTGCATATGCTGCATGGCTGCTATACCGACCATTGTGCCAGGTGTGTCTTGTTACCTGCAAATTGATTGAGCAATGTAATAGAAGTCAACCTGACTGTAAAAAGTTTCTCGAGGTTGTCCCCGTCGAGGATATATGGTTCTTGTTCATCTTGTCCAGCAAACTGCCGAAAGTCTTGGTATAGACGGTAGTAAGGTGCATCATGTCGCTCGGCTATGCCATACGCGATCACTTTCTCGAATCAAAAGATGACCAGTCTCGTGTGCCGCGGGAAATATCAAAGGAGATACAGATACCTCAATTCAGCCTTCTTTAGGCTAATAGGAGAATGCCCTGTCCCAGGTTCTATCATCTCCAAACCGTCGATCTCTGTGTGGAGTCTCTGTGGGATAGTTAATTACCCCAATCTGGACCCCAGAGTCTGCACTCGACCACGTTTCATTTGTTCGTCAATGAAGCTTGGAAAAAGCTTCGGGAAATCGGCAGGAATTGCCAAGCCACCAGCACAGCACAGATGATTGTTTATTTGTTGGGCAGCCGATGGTGGAAGATATCAATCCACCTTGTTCTGTCTTGCGTGACCTGGTCATGCGAAGCTGCTTTCCGGAAGCGAATGCTGGCAAGCTGCTGGAAGACTTCGAACCCGATGTAGCCCCGGCTAGGAGACCATGGCGCAAAACAATGGCTATTATCCATCACCCAAGTGGAACATAGACTTACCAAAATGCAGCATCAAACATATCATTCTGTTTATGATTTCTGTTCCGGTAAATCTTTCAAACTCGAGAATGTGCCTGACGGACGTTGGTCCAGTGGTGTCGGCCTGGCTCCCACTAGAGGACCTCAATAAACAACTTGGGACGCTCAGCTTGTCTTAATACCGGTTACGAGCATCTTCATTCAGCTCAAGCCCCGCCCGGGGATGATTTGGCGAGGACGGGAACGTGGGGACATCAGAGTCCACAACAACCCCCCCCCATGTTCCAGAGTGAGAGAGACAAGCCTAAGAGAAGGGAGTGGCATCCGCTGTATCTTCTCGGGTGACTGTCCGCTCGGAATTCTGATTTTAGCAGCGTAGAGGTATCATCTGAGACTTGGTGTTAGGATTGAGGGTGGATTCCGGCTAAATTCAGGTTAGAATCATTGGTAGGAAAAGATATGCCAAGGCCGCTGGTATGTGTCGAGGTATGTATCGAGGTATGTATCGAGATATGTATCAATGCGGCGGGCGTCTTTGCCTACGCTGTCAGATGCTTCAGATACACGGAGCAGACGACCATCACATTCCTTCGGCTCCAAATCGAAAACAAGTATTAAGAAACCGTCGAGCTCAAGATCTCTCAATCTCGAGATACGGGACATACCCTTTTCAACCTCACTGACCCTCTTTCCTTACCAAGCATGGAAGGCAGAACGTTCAAGCACTTGACTCCTGAACAGGTCGACTGCTTTATGAAACATGGCTACCTGCGTGTCCTAGGTTGCTTCACCCGCGAGGCTGCTGAAGAGTGGACCAAGGACGTCTGGGTAAGGCTGGGCTTCGACCCTAATAACCCTGACACCTGGACTACCGAACGGACCAACATGCCCGGACATGGAGAGGTGAAGGTCAAGGACTTCGCGCCCAAAGCATACAACGCCATCTGCGAGCTGATAGGAGGGGAGGAACGCATCACTGAGGATTCCAAGTCTTGGAGGGACAGTTTTATCGTCAACTTGGGAACAAAGGAGCATGAAGGCAAGGAGGCCCAGCCCAAGGAGTTGACCGGGTGGCATGTCGATGGAGATTTCTTTGTCCACTTCCTGGACTCTCCAGAGCAGGGCCTGTTGGTTATCCCTCTCTTCACAGATATTTTGCCCAATGGCGGCGGGACCTGGATTTGCTCTGAGGGAGTCAGAAAGATCGGGAAGTGGCTGTACGACCATCCCAAGGGTGTCCTTCCGCGAATGTCCCCAGTTGGAGGAACCGAGAATTTCGAGAGCGGTCTGGAGTTTTACCATACTGTCGTCCAAGGCTGCGACGACACCTCTTTTCATGAGATGACAGGCTCAGTTGGAGACGTCATTTTGCTGCATCCGCTGATGCTACACTCGGCTTCCAAGAATGGACGCCGCCTACCCCGGATCATCACCAATCCACCTGTGTCACTGGTGGAGCCCTTCAACTTCGACCGCGAGGACGAGAGTCAGTATAGTCTTGTCGAGTTAAAGACGATCAAGGAGCTCGGGGGACAAGATATGCTGCGAGGATGGAAAATTCAGGGGAAGAGAGAAGGCGTGGTGCCAGAGCGAGTTCGACGTCAAGCCAGGATGTTGGAGGAAGAGAAGAAGAGACTCGAAGAGCGGGAATTGCAGAGTCGGGCGCCGCAACCCGTCGCCGTTGCATAGAACATCTATTCCTTTCGACTTAAGTAATAAACGGACTATATCCAGGAGAGATCTTTTGCAGGGTCATCCTCTTCCATGTCTTTACCGGTTCTTTCGTCTTCTTTCGCATTAATCTCGACTCTCTAAAGTGCTAAATTTCGTGCTAAATTTCAAGGGATTTGGTCTACAGTTGGCTGCAATATGAAACAGGTGAGCCGCATTAGGCATTTCACCACGAGAACTGCAACCTGAAGACATTGTAATTTCTAGTTGACCCATTTTTCCAGCCGTTGACCCTTCACCGCTGCGACCCTTGCGAGCGCATGACGACGGGATGACTTTCACAATGACAATTTCTCGTCTCAGGTATTGCCGTTCCCCATGCTTGCCGAGCACGAAGGTCTTGGAAGGCATGAAATTGTGAGGGTCAGAGGGTGCAGCGTGGGTGTAGGGGGGTTGTGGCGATATTGTAAGAAATCCGGTGGGGGGGCTCGGCGAGTAGTTTTTCCATCCTCCGTTTTCAGTTCCAACCGAGCAACGTACTTTTCGCACTTCGTATTTGGCTGCGGTGGAGACGATCATCATCTCCAACATCCGTCTCAACATCAACCATCGCTTCCCGTTCCCATGATCAGGTCTCAATACCATTCCCATGCACTGAACTTCATAGAGCTGGTGTCGTACGGCATGCCCGCACTGGGCGACCGCAGAATATCCTCTGCACCGCCCTTATGTCCCTAAAACCACCCCTCCTCCAAAATCAACAACCACAAGGCGACGAAGCCTACGATTTCGACCTGACTATTCGCTTCTCTGCCTCCCTTCCTGACCTCTTACTTTCGATCCCTGCTTCCCTGAATGCAAATACAGCGACAATAAAGCAGCTCATTCGTTCACGCATCCCAGATGAACACGCCAAACACCGCATTCGATTGATCCATGCAGGAAAGGCCCTCGTGGACGATGTCCCGCTCTCCGTTTCGTTAAAAAGGAACGTCTCCAGACCGCCGAGTCGGATTGGCACCCCCGGGCCACACGATGACAGACCAAATGGCGCAGCGGGTGGGATTCCGGGCGGCGGGAGAGTAGACAATGGGAAAGGCAAACAGCCTGTACGGGATCCCCCGTCGCAGTCAAGAATCTACATCCACTGTTCGATAGGAGACATTGTCCTCTCCGCCGCAGAGCTTGCAGCCGAAGCCGCCATCGCTGCTGCAGCTCAACCGAGAGAGGATCAAGATGAGGACAAAGCGGGCGCCCCAAACCAGCAGACTACAACCACACCAGCACCTCGCGGCTTCGACCGCCTCCTCAACTCTGGCTTCAGCGCCGCCGAGGTGCAATCCTTGAGGCTTCAATTCCTCGCTATCCAAGCACACACACATACTCCCGACACCATGCCGTCGCCCAACACGTTACGGAATATGGAAGATCGCTGGCTCGATAACTCCACGGGCGCAAATACCGATCTAGGCATGGAAATAGGCCCAGGAGGCTCTGCTGGGATTGGTGACGAGGATGTTTCAGCCGGAGCTCTGGATGACATTATCTGGGGCACGGCTATGGGATTCTTTTGGCCTATCGGATGTCTCATGTGGGGAGTGCGCGAGGAAGGCATATGGAGCCAGCGACGCAAAATGGCGGTGATTGTAGGATTTCTACTGAATATTGGATTGGGCATTATCAGATATACAGGTTGAATTTTGATTCAATTCACGGAACATGTGGGGTGTGCATGATTGGAAGGGCGGACGAAGCGGTGCAGGGGTCACCAGAGACATCTAGTCAAGAACACGCCGTATCTCAACTTGAAAAGCATAAAGGAATGTCCTGCCTGGGGGCACACTGTATAGTTTCTTGTGTTTTTCATCTAAAAGCATGCCAACCGGGCCAATACCCCTAGAGATACTTCTGAAGCAAAGACTTCTATCACATGCGCCGACTCAAGATCTTGTATGCGCCTGCTCCATTATTCATATTTACGACTGCATGATTGACTGCCAACAACCAATCATGCCAGATCAACCCAAGCACATGAGATCGCTCACTTGAACTTGCTGTATATTACGCCAATAATAAGCAGCACAAGCACAGTAATGATGGCGATGGTAATCACCCGATTCGTAGCCATCCTGTTTCACCAAAATCGAAGCAAATATGTCAGCTTCTCGGGATCAATCATGAATGTCAACAAGGGGATGCTTACCTGCGCGCCATTCCCCTCAAGGTTTTAACGCTCCGATCCACGTAACCTTCACTCTGCAGTAGATTTCGATGCGTGTTTTCAATCACATTCCTCTGCTGATGAAGATCTGCTAGCGTAGATGCCCCGATCTGTTCCGTCTCCAATGCTATCCGATGCGACTCTCTTAACCGGTCTGAACTCCTGCCCAACCGGTCGGTGCCAGACAGAAGCTGCTGACGTTGCTCCAACTGTGCATCTCTAGGACCGGTTTCGGGGTCATCCGTGTACCTATCGCCGAAGAGTTGCTTGCGCTCAGACTCGACGAGTGACTTCAATTTGCGTTGGAGGGTGTCGATGTCGGACTGATGGTTACGGAAGCGCGAGTTTACTTTGCTCCGCTGGGAGGTCGGAATGTTTGATTTTTCCAGGTTCATCTGGTCGAGCTATTCCCAAGTCAGAGACGAGTATCGATCTCTTTAGGACTGAATACCTACCAACTCCTTGGCCTCATCGATGGCTCTCTCCGCACCCCGGATCACAGCTTTCCTCTCCTCCCCCGCGAGTTCGGGAATCTGATCCAGTTTCTGGTTTACGTCTGCCTGGACGAGTTTCAACTCGGCTTCATAGGTGCTAAAGAGCTCAGAGCCTGCATCGGTGTCAAGTGGGTTTGCCATTGTGGTGAATCCTAGGTGAAGGCTGGGAGTTGGGTTCCAGAGACTAGGGGGGATTCAGTGGCGCCTAATTACGGTATATCGCTGGAGAACAAGGGCTGGAAGGGAGGCGCCGAGCAGGAGATGGTTCGCGTGTCGAAGAAGGTCGTGCGCGGACAGGAGGATAGGTAGATCGGTCTATAAGGTGGCGGTTTTAAAGGGGATGGGATGATCAAATTCTGGTTGTCAGGTTGTGAGGCGCAGTGAGAGGACGCAGTGTATGGTGGTGTCTGTTCGCAATTGACGTCGGCAGAGGCGAGAATGGCTCGACGGTCGCAAGCCGGTCCCGTTTCGGAAATCGCTGACGCCGCTTTTGTCCCTCGTTTTGCTGCATTGTACGAGGTACCGACGAGGTACCCAGCGGGCTAGTTATCCCCGAGCACAGCTTTCATTTGACTTTTGCTGGAAGGCAAAGACCAGGACCTCTCGACACGGACAATATTTGATTCAGAGGCTTGAAATCAGGGACTGGCCGTTCGCCCGCAATTCGAGCACCCCAGCTCGAGCAATGATCTGAAGGTGAGACGGCTAAACCAATAACTGCTCAGAGGATTGAGGCCACACGTCGAAATCTCACGGGCGGTTGACAATTGAGCCCTCTCGAGTCTCCCAGCCATGGGAAAGCGTGTGGCAATCGTGGGTAGCGGCTGTTCAGGTCTTGGTGCTTTGTGGGCGCTTAATACCAGCACTGGCCATGAAGTCCACCTATTCGAGGCAGCATCACGTCTAGGCGGACATACGAATTCCATTGCCTACGAAGGGCCCAATGGGCACAAGGTCGAAGTCGATACCGGCTTTATTGTCATGAACGCTGCTACCTCCCCCAACTTCATCCGGTTCCTCAAGGAGCTGGGCATCCCAACGAAGAAGACGGGCATGACCTTTAGTGTCTCCCGCGACCAAGGGACGGTTGAGTGGGCGGGGACATCGTGGTCCACCATCTTTGCCCAAAGGAGGAATTTCTTCAATCCTGGCATATGGAAGTTGATTTTTGAAGTCATCAGGTTCAACGAGTTCGCACTTGATCTCCTGCTAGAAGATGATGGCGAGGATGATAACACCGCTCAAGAAACTGATCACAAGACCAAACACCAGTTCCGAGAAAGCATTGGCGAATATCTTGACCGCGAACACTACTCCCAGGAATTCCGTGACAACTATCTCATTCCGATGACGGCCGCCATCTGGAGTATGAGTCCTCATAACTGTTCTCTAGAGCTCCCGGCCAGCACAGTGATTCGGTTCATGTACAACCAAGACATGCTGAGTACCATGGCAAAACTCCCAGATTGTTGGACCATTTCCGGCGGAACGATGCGGTATATCGAGGCAGTGGTGAAAGACTTCCCCAATGACAGAATCCACCTCAAATCCAGAGTGACCATACTGACCCCGGGTGACAAAGGCGTTGTCATGCTGAGGGCAAATGGAAAAGACCATGAATTCGACCACGTAATAATCGCGACGCAGGGTGGTCAAGCTATGGACGTCTTGCGACCACTAGCCACCAGAGAGGAGATTGAAATTTTGAGTGGTTTCCGCACCAGTAGGAATGTTGCCGTACTACACTCGGATCTCTCCCTGATGCCAAAGAGACGGCATGCCTGGTCATCCTTGAACTATATCACCGAGTCCCCATTCCCGCCTAGCAGGAACAAGAACTTTTCCAAAGGCTGTCTAACATATTGGATGAATTCACTCCACGAAATACCGGAGCACACGTTTGGTCCCATCCTGGTCACGTTGAATCCCTTGAGCATGCCCGATCCTCGGCTAGCGCAGGGCATATGGGAATATTCCCATCCCCTGTACAATGCCGCCGCAATCAGGTCACAGAAACTGTTGTACAAGATTCAAACCACCAAGAACATCAGCTACTGTGGAGCGTGGACTAAATATGGCTTCCATGAAGATGGCTTTAGTAGTGGACTGTCAGTGGCCATGAATCATCTTGGAGCAAAGCTGCCTTTTGAGTTTGTCGATTCGACGTCGTCCAGAGGCAAGAGGCCAACTTTGACCATGAAGAATTATTTGCTGAGGCTGGTCATTCTCCTCATACAGATAGCGCTGTTGCTGGTAGAAAGAGCATGTTTGACAGTGGCCACAGCGATCGATAGAGGGATATCCTCGCGACGGAAAACTGCCTGAAGCTCAGCCAGCAGAGATGGCGAGTCCGGCAATTTGCCTCATCAACGTTGTACTTCCCTCTCCATCTTCAATTCCCACCTCAATGGCAGTGCGTGGCCGACTCTTGTTGAGTCCTTCTAGCAGAGTACAAGCCTTGCAGATTTTCTGACTTGAAAGATAACCACATCGCTCACATTGGCCCATGACTTGTTTGACGACTTTCCGACGTCCTCGTCGTTTCTTGTCGTGAATGCTTGCACGGACATCTGGCTGGGGCAATTGGGCCTCGGTTTCGCGTGCAGCGGCGGCTTCGTTAGCAGTTAGGTCCCTCTCCAACTGGACCATGGAGTCGGTCGTCTGGTTTTGACCGCCACAGCCGTTTGTCTGCTCATTACCGTCCGCTGCACAAGACGCAGAGCTTGCTAGTTCGGGGGGCACGAGGGCAGCCATGTCCTCTCCGCTCCTCACAATGTCCAATATGCTGCTTGGTCGAATCTTCTCCAAATCCTTGATCAACGTTCTAGCGCTGCCTCTGAAGGCCTCTGGCGAGTATATGCACTCCGTACTGAAGTAGTCCAATCTCTTGTGGTGAGCATAGAGGACGATTTCCTTCTCATAGGCATATTTCAGCGGCTTGCTCCTTTTGATATCGCTCGCAGAACTGGAGGTCATAATAGAAGTTGCCCTGGCAAGTCGCGGCAGATCGCCACGAAGCAGATTCATCATGACAGTTTCGGCAACATCGTCGGCATTGTGACCGGTCACGACGTGTCTGATGCCCAGCTTTGCAGCCCCACGATCCAACGCCTGTCTGCGGAACACGCCGCAGTATGTGCAATTTCCCTTCTTGCCTACCTGGGCCACGACTTGATCCATCGTCCATCCGTACAGTTGATCGTATCCGACAATTTCGAGAGGCATTGCGTACTGCACGGCATTCCGCTTCACCGTCTCAAGACTATCGTCTCGATAACCTTTGATACCTTCATCGATAGACAAGAGTACAAGATCTAGGCCGTAGTTGTGGCGTTCATTCAGAGTCTTCAACACTGAAGCGAGAACTGTTGAATCCTTGCCGCCAGATGCGCCGATGGCCACGCGTTCTCCCTGGCGGAACAGTTTGTTCCTCACGATGGTTTCGTGAATCTCGGCCTCGAAGACGGACAGAAAACATTGTTTGCAGATCTTTTGAGAGTTCTTTGGTCGAATCACTGCCGCCCGCGAGTCTTTACAAATCTCGCACATAGTCGGCGCCATCTTCTTACTTTGAGGGACTGAGGGAAATCTCCCTGATTTTTCAAGGCGAAAAGTGGAATAGAGTCGTCAAAAATTCCGGCGGAGCAAACCAAGAGTGTCGTATCCTACGGCGGAGTATTAGCTTCCTCCGAACCTGTCGCCATAATTTCAATGTTTTCGACGGCAAGTCCATCCTCCCTTCCCTTCGTGTGCGCCCTTCTCGTCCCGAATGCATTCTACTTTTCAAGCGGAACTACGGTTCTCGCAAGCCATATGTTCCACTTGTCGATTTTGCGCCCAAAGTCAATCGCGGAACATACGCCGGTCCTTTTGCACGCCGCCTCGCCTTCGGACTGCTCAGAAACCGTCGAGTAGTATAGGGTTGCTTAGTAGCCGCGGTATCAGTGATGATTCAAAGAGCCATGGAGCCTCTCGGTCAGAGGTAGCAAGAGAAAGTGACCATATCGGAGAGCCGTCGGCCCACATCCATCAATGTGGACCCGGTTCTCATGAGAACCACGCCGCTCGAACCGCGGACGATGCTCGAGCGAGACACTACTACGGCTCACCCGCGAAAAGGAGGCTGAGGAATCGCATGAACAAAGATGGTGAGGCGGAATATCAAGCTCCAGAATGGTTCATGGACAGCAATGTGACTCTCTTTGGGTCAGAGTTTCTTGCTCCCGCTACCCCCTCGAGAATTCAAACGGTGGCTGCAGATCTGATTACTGGCGAGCCTCTTGAACAAAACCCCTCCCCGGACCCCAGCGGTCCTCCTTCCCACGGTTCAGAGGGTAAAGGAAGCGACCCCCATTCGACTCCCAACGCGCATGGCACAAAAACCTTGACAGAGGACAAATCAGAGCTATCGGAAACGTTGCCTCCTGCGATATCTTCGCTGAGTCCGCCGATATCCTCAAAGTACTATGTCGTGGACGAACAATATGAAGAGGTTATGCGGACAGCAAGAGGTCTCATGCAAGTGTCACAGAACCAGAGTCAACAGAATGGCGCCGAGTCCTTTAAAGACCACCTTCATCTACAATATGCGGGCAAGGATGGCGACCTGCTACTGGAACATCTTGTCCAGGATATCGCACGCCAGCTTGGCTGTGACTTAATGGTTGTGGATGCTCAGGATATTGCAGACCTAATTCACCGGAATCATACAAACCAAAGCACGGCAAAGGCGGGCCGTATGCTCAGCTACGATGTGCTTTCAAGCGCGTTCCCAGACCTCTCTGAACAATATTCATCACACGAGACTCAGGATGTGGATGACGACGATGGAGACATTGACGATATGATGGACGACCTGGATTCCACGCCTACTTCTCCTCGGATTGGTATGCCCATGTTCATCGGAAGGCCTACGGCAATCTTGAAGACGATAATCGGACAACTCCCAGAATTTGGGGACAGTATGCGATCAGAAATGCCTCGAGGGACGCTGAGAATGTGGCCAGACTTTACCGACCCCCAAAAACCACGGGATGATCAAGGCGCGCTGTCCGGGCTCATACACAAATTGTTAAAGGGCTTGTCAGATCGGCGAACGGCCACGGAATCGCCGGGGAAAGAGCCGAGTAATGATCTAGAACGACAACGAGAGATTGCAGCAAAAAAGAGCGGGGTCTCAAAAGGCGCCGTGATTGTCCACGTGAGAGACTTCAAGGCCATCCAGGGTCTGGATATGGGCCGCTCATTTCTAAATAACCTTCACAGGCAATTGGCTCAACGGCGAAGCAAGGGTGAATGCATTCTGCTGATTGGGACAGACTCTGCTCGGGAGGATCAGGAACCCTTCACTCGCGAACGCATTAACGAGTCCCAAACCGGCGTACAAGATGGGAAGTCACAAAACATCGTCCTGACACCTGTTTTACCAAACACTACATCCAAGCTTGCACTTCTCCACGATCGGAAGCAACGCATTGCTACAATTAACATGAGGCATCTCTGGGAGACACTGAGATTTTGGAAACCATCTGTCTTTGCGCATCTGGAAACGGGCTTCTGGCGAGGTGATTTCTCCGACCGCATTACTCGTAGCGACAGATCATGTTTGGAAGGACAGGTCTGGAATCACCAATATGTCCAACGGTTGGCCACCTATATCGCAGGAGCTGTTCCCGCACCGCGAGACGCTGAAGCTGATATTCCTCCAACCCATGACCAGCCACAACCCGTCATTAGCGCTGCAACATCGCATTTAAACCACAGTGACAAGACCAAAATTCGATGGGCCGAAAAGCAATCAAAGGAAGCAAAGAAAGAAGTTCCAGAACGGCATATGAGTAAGGATGATCGACTTGCCAGAATGCGCGCGTCGGCCTCCAAATATGAGAAACGATTGATGGGCGGCATAATCGAGGCGAAAAATCTAAACACAACCTTTAACGACGTCCATATGCCTGTCGAGACCATTGATACTCTCCAAACCTTGACGACATTATCGCTCATTCGACCTGAGGCTTTCAAATATGGCGTCCTCGCCTCTGACAAGATCCCGGGACTTCTGCTCTATGGCCCTCCAGGCACAGGTAAAACCCTGGCCGCGAAAGCAGTCGCCAAAGAATCTGGTGCGACGATGCTTGAAGTCAGCGCGGCAGACATCAACGACATGTATGTCGGCGAAGGGGAGAAGAATGTGAAGGCACTGTTCAGCTTAGCAAGGAAGCTATCACCTTGTGTTGTCTTTCTGGACGAGGCTGACGCTATGTTCAGCGCGAGGAGCAATCAAGGCCGGCGAGTCAGTCATCGTGAACTGCTCAACCAATTTCTGAAAGAGTGGGATGGGATGAGCAACGACTCGGGGAGCGCTTTCATCATGGTCGCAACCAATCGACCCATGGATCTAGATGACGCAGTTCTTCGTCGCTTGCCACGCCGATTGCTCGTCGACCTCCCGAGGGAGCCTGATAGGTTGGAGATCCTCAAGATACACCTGCGTAACGAGAAACTCGGCGATGATGTCAACTTACAAGATCTCGCCAAAAAGACCCCGTTCTACTCGGGCTCCGACTTGAAAAACGTCGCCGTTGCAGCGGCATTGAATTGTGTCAGGGAAGAGAATGAACTGGCCAAACAGCACAAGGGGGAGGAACCTTATCAACATCCCGAACGACGTACACTCACAAAGAAACACTTTGACAAGGCCTTGGATGAGATTTCAGCAAGCATCTCGGAGGACATGTCCAGTTTGCGGGACATCAAGAAGTTTGACGAACAATTTGGGGATAAGCGCGGAAAGAAGAAGAAGGCCCCCAGGCTGGGGTTTGTTGAGAAGGAAAATGAGAAGCCTAGAGATACGGTCAAGGTGAGGGATTGAGACGTCCTCGAATGGGCCTACGTTCAGGGGCCTGAAACGGGGTTTTGAAAAGAAAGAAAAGGGACCGGCTTCGCAGTTCCCGTTGATTAGACCATAGAGCATCCTAAAGGCTGCGTGATGTCGCCGGAGTTCAACTCTATCTATAATGCTAGTGTCGATATTGACCAGAAAGACTTGTCTCGTTTCCGTTGTCAGTTTTCCCGTCATTTGACTCTACAACCCATGCCCTGAGCTACAGGTTGAGTATCGACAGTATGTCCATCTGAATCGAGTCTACAGAGATGAGGTGCCTATGTCGTTGAGAGAATTGACCACAAAACAACAACACCTCCCGACCCACGATCGCGTTCTCAGCCGTCGTTGCTTAATCCTCGTATCCGCTCCTGCACAACCTCTTCCACCCTCTGGACGCCCCAGTCCAACACCTCCTTCATTTTCCATTCCCCGGCGCCCGGACAGACCCTGACGCCTTCCCGCTCACAGCTCTCCTCGTCAAAGGCGTCCCCGTCCACGTTCCCATCCTTGTACATCCACCCGTGGTACCGGATGTAGTTGGGCCAGACGATGTCCTCGACATACCCCGGCGGATCGACCCAGAATCCTTCCAGCGTGACGTAGCCCGTGCGGGCGGCGCGGCGGGAGAGGGTCTGGGGGCGCGTCGCGGGGAGGAAGAGGAGCGGATGCAGGAGTGTATGGGTTAGATAGTGGAGGTGGTTCAATCCTGATGCCGAGTGAGGATGGTCGGACGACAAGGGCCGGGACAAAGTTGAAGAAGTCGAGGATGATGCCCGTTGCGGGTAGAGGAGGAATCCTTCGACGATGTAGATACGGATTTCTTTGCCTCCTCCACCGCGTTCTCTCTCCTCTCTGCCACCTGTCTTCTGGCTATCGCGTCTCCGAACAAGCTCCTCCATCCGCGTCCTTACCCTCTCTTTGTGCTCCTCGACCTCGGCACGAGAGACCCCGCTGTGTCCGACGGTGTTCTGATCCTCCTTGGACACGCTTTCTGGTGGTAAATTTCCGTGGTTCCGGAGGTGGGTGAGCGTGTGTTCGAACAAGGAAAGGTCCAACGAGTCGATACAGTCCCAGTCCTGGAGTTCGCGGGTGCCGAATTCCTTTGACGATACTGTGACCGTCGGAATCCTTTGTACAAGTTAGCTAGGGTTGGATCACCCGAACATGGATGGTAGGTTGTGAGGGAGCCCCCAGATTTGCTCTCGAGCGTCACCCAAGCGGCACGTGTCGGGAGCCGTCGAGGTTCAAAGAGGTATCAGATACAAGTAGATACATACTCTTGGTCCGTTTTATAAAAGTCATCCTGGTGCAGGATGAATAGACTGACTTTCCACCTTTCGGCGTCGAGATTGAAGACCTCGCGCAACAGTCTCGCCAGCGTCGTTTTTCCGCTCGACGAAGGGCCCGAGAGGCCTACCAGGATCGCCTCGACTCCGGTGCCTGGCTTGGAGTCTTTTGACACTTGGCCCTCTTTTAACATCCTGATGTATGCTTGTTTCCGGTGTCGAGCAGACAAAGATACCATTCAAACGAAGGCCGGCTGAGACGGGAGCGATCCTGCATGCAAGAATAACTTGGGTTGATGGCAATACGCAGAGTCGGATCGATAAGGAAATGAAGGAGTTCGATATACGGCACTGCCGTCAATTTTATGCATTTGTGGAAAAGGCAACAAATAACACTCCATGTGTAGTCTCGTACCCGAATCCGTACATCACATAATAATAACGTTTCTCCAGCTCCGTACTCGGCTCGAGGGTCTCCTCACTCATGTAAAAAGGCCTCTCTACAAGGCTGCACACCCTTTAAGACATTCTATCATCCAGACAACCGACTCGTAGTACATCTCGAAAAATATTAAGTGGGATTTTCCCATAGAGACATCTCAGTTCTATTAGCAAGCAGCGGCGATACTTGATTGACATAACCCCTGATCCTGATCCTCAGTATCCAACCCGACGCCCACGCGCTATACCGCTATATCACTCCTTCTTGCTTGCATCGCCACCACCAGAGTCCTGCGCGCCAGTACCAATGTCCACCCACATGCACCACCTTTTCTCATTCATGTCGGTCGACTTCATTCAGGTTCAGCCTGCCGCCGCATGTCTGCATCGCACTCCTCCTCTTGACGCTCGTATGCCCGTGTCGCGTTCGAGCGTGATATATCCAGAACATCGGAGGCTTGCAAGCTCAACCGAAGCATCAAGATCCGTCCCTGTGACAAACATAGAATGTCGAAATAATGATACAAAATCCCGTCGAAGCTGCCCAGCCGCCCATTTTCTCCGTGTGCAAAGCCTCTTTGTCGCAAGCTCCCCAAAGAAAAAGTGGTCGCGGCCTGTCTAGACAGCAACATATCTGTTCATCGGCACATTTGGAGCCCTGTACCGCAAAGAGGCCGAGAAATTCATTCCGGAACCCGACTTTCAACACCGACACCAAACCCCTTTGGAGACAACTCCTACAAGGGGTATATGCGATTGAAGAAAAACGAAAACAACAACAACATCTCCGGAGAATATCCATTCAAACACCACGCTGCAGCGCATCTCGGTCATCTAGACAACTTCAGGCCAGGCAGTTCTCACACCCTCCTGCAGGTGACGGAACTGCCTCGCTATCTGCCGACGGGGAGACCTGTTTTAGACTCTGGATCAGTCCAAGGGACAAGTCACACCTCATGCAGATCCCTTTTGCCTCTTGCCAAGCTTCGGACTTGGCTTGACTTTGTTGGCTCCATTCACCTCCCCCTGCGCATTTTCTTCCTCTAACTTGACGACACTCGCACGTCGCCTCTTGTTGGAAACGTTCGGACTAGTGTTCGTACTTGGGCCTTGACTGCCGCTGAGATTTGACCCTTGAGCGCTCATCTGGTGCATCATGGCCACACCTCCGGCGGTGGGATTCTGTGCAGGACTGGGGGTATGCACCGGGCCTCCCATCATTGGCGACCCTTGGGCTTGAGGAACGTTAAGGTGCCCCATTGCAGGGGAGTTCATCATATTTGGGCCGCTCATACCAGGGTTCATTTGATTGGGAAACATCACTTGGCCATTGGCTGCCCTTGCCATCTGGTTCAAACGCGTGTTGTTAGCCTGGGCCATGTTCTGGGCATTCTCTTGCGTGACTCGCAGTAACGTGTCTTTGGGAGAGATTCCCGGATGTTGCTGGTAATATTCCATGAGTGGGCCCATGGCTGTCATGACCTCGGCAATCTGCCAATATATTAGTCATTGTTTGATCATGGCCAAAAAGCCACATACCTCTAAGAACTGAGAGATGTGCTGGGGGACACCCCATTCACTAACACCCGAGCTGGGTATGACGGGCCCTGCTCCTGGTACATTTGCCTTGCCTTGCGTTCGTTTGACGTTCTTGTTCGTAATTTTGGGGCTCTGCTTCATCTCCGGCGATGTAGGCTGTAGCAACACATTTCGTGGAATGTACTCTTGCCATCCGGTCGAGCTGATGTTCAGGTGCTCAATAGTTTGCACGTCATCGAAAAGGACGCGCAACTGTCCGTTCGTTGTTACTCGGATATCATTGCCAAAAACATAAGTAAGACTCGCACTGCTACTCGTGATATGGACTCCGCCGTTGGCTGTCTTGGTTTGGGTATGTTCGAAAGACTGTAACAGGATTTGCTTGACCCCGCTCGCAAAATAGGAGTGGTAGTAGCGGGCCAAGGAAGGAAACTGGAGCTGGAAGGATTTGTCACCGCCAGATTTGTTGTTGAAAAACTGCTGCCTCAACGACCCGATCGGTGAAAAGAACCTGGTAATCAATGCTTCCCAGTAGTCCAAATCATTTGGTCGCTCCGGGTGCGCGAGAAGATCCTGGTACTCGATCAGCTTCAGAATGCATTGGCCACCGATCATGTCTTGTTTCGGTAGTTCAGACAGGATCATGTTGGCGGCCGCTTCTTGCTGTTGCTTCATCCCGCGAGGCTCCTCTTCTGGTTCCGTCGTCTTAACTGGTTGGTTGGCCGGCTGGCTTTGTTGTTGGTTATTTGCGGGTTGTGGCTGTGGCGGTTGGGGTTTGGGTTGCGCTGGCTGAGCCTGGGGTTGGGAGGTCGGAGGAGGTTGCTGAGGAGGTTGTGTCTGTGGAGCGGGCGTGGGTTGCGATTGTGGAGGTTGAGTGGTTTGTTCCTGCGACCGTGACATTTGCATCTGTTGAGCCACCGCCCTCTGGTTCTGAGCAACGGCTGCCATTTGCGCCGCATGCTGTTGCGCCTGGGCTTGGGCCTGCTGCGCTCGGATCAACTGCTGCTGGTTGTGTTGATGTTGCTGCAAGGTCTGCATCTGGGGATGGTTGGGGTTCATCTGCATCTGCGGGTGCATGCCCATGCCCATCTTCATTTGCGCCAACTGTGCCTGATTAAAGCCGGGCGCATTTGGCATCCCCATGGGCATGCCTTGTGCTTGAGCTTGCGACATCTGCTGCATCATGCGCTGGCGAGCCATGAATTGCTGCTGTTGCGGCGTCATCATCCCTTGGCTATAATTCATCTGCGGGTTATGCTGTTGAAATATGGCTTGCTGAGGGTTCATATGGGCCATGGCCATGCCGTTGTGCATCGGGCCTGGGGCCGGAGTTCCAGCACCGGGCGGCATACCAGTAACCATTGGACCTTGAGTAACTTGAGGAGCAGACACCCCTGGGTGCATGGCCTGCATCATACCAGGACCAGGTTGACCTCCCATATGAGCAGCGCCAGGATGTTGCATTCCCATGGGATGGCCCGGAGGCAGTCCAGGATGACCCGGAGCGATGCCCGCATGATGCGGGAAACTTTGGGCCATCATCTTCAGAGGTGCTTAGTGGGAATATGTCGTATCGCAAAGTCCGCGCAACGGTGCAGGGTAGTGTTTCTGATTACTTCTGTTGGGTTTCTTATCCTTCTCTTTTTTTCCCACCTCCGATCCCTCTGGCCCCACTTTTTTTTGTCGCGGAGAGACGCTGTAATTGTTCGGAACGGAGTGAAGTGTTGTCACATTTGTATGATCTGGAGGTTTCATACAATCAGATAGGTATGGGGTCGATGCTTTTCCTCCTGACGGTTGACGCGGCGTGGATGTGTTTGTAGAAAATCCTGGTGCGGGCGATGTTTCGCCGGCCCAGGGTCGTCTTACGGGGCTAGATCAGTGTCGCGACAACGACGATAATCGAATCATCAGGCGGTGGCGGCAGTGATGGAGGCGCGCAGAGGATTCATGACCATTTCATCCTCACATAAGGCGCGGAGAACAAGTTGAAGCGAGCAGTCAGGCGCAGCAGATGATCCGAATGCTGCGGGCGTTGCGGTTGCGATGTTATCGGGCTGGTACACTGGGTGGTACCCGTGATCTGATGACCCCGGGCAGAAGACGACGAGAACCGGTCGGAAATCAGGAGACAGGCTCCTAGAGCAGGGGCGAGGGCGACGAGGAAGGGAAAAGAGCGACTAGACAGCGACAGCGCCAGTTGAGACTGAAAGGCAAACACTGTCCGAGCCCGAGTGGTGAAGACTTGAAGATCAGGTTCAAAGTCGCAGGTGCAACTTCAGGATCTGCAGGTGTGCAGTTTGTGCAGGTGCAGGGAGAAACACTTACAGATCACGGAAGATGCTGGGGGGTGGGAGGAAGTGGCTTGGGGCTCTTGGGGGGGGAGGCGGCCGTCGGGCCCCAAGTTGAAACCCAGCGAGCGACCTCCAAGAGCCCAATAACCAGCAGCTCGCCAAGCAATCTTGCGGCCACAGCCCTTACCAGATCTAGCACTAGCGGCTCGCCGTTTCAGAAAATAAATTCCGCGCTTTCTTTTCATTTTCGCTTCTCACCTGCGTCCTCTCTGTGCTCACCCTTCCAACGTCCTCAATTCCCTTCCATGTCGTGATGAGTGATGTTGAATGATATTTGCTGACGGGCCATTTGCAGACATGGTAAGCACCTTTCCCCGGATTCTCCACCCTCCTGGTGTGTGGCTCGCAAGATGACAAAACTTCAATTCTTCTTCTTTCTATCCTGAGTCGCCCTTGAAGAAACACTCAGACTGTCATCGCTGAACAGTCTGTTACTAGCCAGTATTTCACGTCTGACTATCGACCGTCTCCGCAACATCTGTTGTTTTTTCTCCTTGTGTGCTCTGTCGCTGACTGGTGGTCTAGGAATGAGAAGAGGCTGCGTGGTACATGTGAGCCATCTTTGCGAACGAGATATTGTCAAGGTACGTCTCCCACTCTTGTCAATCCTCGCCCTGTCTTTGTCCACCCTCCATTTCCTATGATGAAAACCTTTTCCACATTCGCAGTTTCCACGCTAGCCCTGGCATATGAACCCATTCTAAGTCCAGGTGTCGTTGAGCGGCAAATCTTCCTTGGATGTCTGATTGGAACTATTATCTAAAAGCATCTCATTTTCCACTGATCTCTCGAGTCCGCGAGCTGACCGATATTGTGTGCAGGTAGTGCTGCGTTTCCTTCTGCCCCGATCATGCCCTGCATACGGCCCCTCGTAGTTGTGATGTGTCTGTCTGATGGACTTGTCCATTCGGAAGGAGATAAAAGAGTCGGGGAGAAGCTATTGCATCTGGGATGCACGTGTCATACTGCCATTCCGCAGAATTTGCAAAGCTCAATTCTCGCCGACAGCGGAATCCCCACAACAAATAAATATACTCAAATGAATACAGATTTTCAGAACCGTTCAGATCCTAGCTATTTTACATGATTCCCATGCACCTGCCATTCACTGGCCCTGATTTCGTTTCTTCGTGGGCCTCGCAGAGCACCTTTTGCTGCTTATGCGGCTGAGCGCGATGATCATTGCGCTTTCTCTAGCACAGGTGCGGTCGCATTGGGCCGCTCTGCAGTCGGTTCGTTAGTCTCCTCAGCTGGAGGCTCGACATAATGTGGGGAGCAGCATCTGCCAGGCTGGCGGCTGTTGGTCTTTCCACTTTTGAACTTCTTTCTCCGCGTGACAAAGTCTTCACTCTGATCGGTGAAGGCCCAGACAATGAATGACTGCGGTGATCATTCTCCCTTCAGCGTCCTCAACTAATGAATGAAGTTCCTGCTTGCTCCACGACTTTGGCGCTTCTCCTTGCGTCAATAAACAGATCTTCACACTCTGCTACATCCTCGACACCAATCTCTGTTCTCCCATTGACCCTCGCAAGTATACTGCTGGGCGTCAATAACTGTAGTGCGTATCGGAGACTCACGTTCGTGCCATGCTGCGCAACCTTCTCCAGCGCCGGTTCTGATATTGAAAGACCCTCGGTTTTTGTGCGTAGACGAATGATAGTCTGGACCTCGGAGGCATTGTATGGATGTGTTGGGATGATGAGCAAGCGGGCAAGTAGGTCTGGAGGAATGCCATGGGCACCAGTGATGTCTTGCGTGCCTCGAATGAGGGTGTTGCCCCGGTTCGAGGCAAGGATGACGATCGGGGAGATGGGGGATTCGAGCGCGCGGTTGAGATAAGTGAAGCATTCGATGTCGAGCATGTGGACCTGGCAAAGACCTGTCAATACCATTTCGCGGGCGTGCTGAATAGCAAAATTCTCACCTCGTCAATAAAGAGCACACCAGGAACCAGCTCCGCCACGCCCTGGTCGATGTACCGACTCACCACCTTGTTGATCTCCGCTCTCAACTTGTCCGTAATCTCGGTCTTCTTCGGCTTCATCAGTTGGCCCATCATGCTCATAACGTCCTGGCCCCCCTGAGGTCTGGCATTGGCAATGTCCAAATCGTGGAGCGTCACGTCTTGCACGACCTCCTTCTTCTTATGCACTTCTCCCTTCGGAACGGGCACGTATTCTTCCGCCTCGAGATCGAATTCCGTCGCGTAGGCGTCTGAGCGGCCCACCCGCTTGCATGCCCCCGTGTTGGCTTCTATGTAGATCACATCGCCGACCGTCACTCGTTCCTTTTGAATAGCTTCATATATGCTGGGGTCGAGGCGGAGTTTTTTGGTCCCTCTGGCGGACTTCATAGTGATGATCAGGTGGGAGATGGTGCGTCCAAAGCCGCCGAGTGGGTTCTCTGCCTCTTCGGGGAGGAGTTCGGTCACTTCACCTTCATATACTTCCTTCGTTTCACGTACACGCAGACCTGTGTGGACAATGAATGAGCGGTCGATTGCGCGCATAGAGAGTTTCAGCCTACCGATTGCTCTTCTGAAGTTCTCCATCAACGCCTCAGTCTTCTTGACCTCTGTAGAGTAGACTTCGCTGCCAACAATAGGACAAAAAGGTACTTTTGTTCCCAGCTCTTGCGATACTGCCAACGCCAAAGCTGTCTTGCCTGTGCCAGGTCCTCCCGCTAATAGTACTGCTCTTCCAGACATCTTTTTGGCTTTGATCAGGTCTACAACCACTCCGCACGCCTACTAGACGTCAGAAGAATGAACATTTTTATTTGGACAAGATGCACATACCTCACGGGCAGCAGCTTGCCCGACAAATCCATTGCCCGAAGGTTCAGCGGTGCCGTCTGATCGCAAGCCCAAGCCCTTGATGTGTGTATGTGCCGCGGTTCTGTTTTCGCGTGCATTGCCCTTCACCTCGCTGATGTTCACCATTATCGCCAAGTTTTTTCGAAAGTCGGCCAAAAGGAAAGAGTCGTCGCGTCGTGCTGAGAAGATGAGAGGCAGGGTGGCTGGGGTATTGGTGGTTAAATGGTGGCTGTCGCGGTCACGGTTGTTAGAAAATTAATTAATAGGATTGAATCACGCTAAAACCGACCCAAGTTGAGCATCTCAATTGACATTCATATTTTCTTACTCCGTCCACCAGCAACACCAGCCTGCGCGGACAACCACACGCGGCCACTTTTCCTCCCGTTTCTCGCCCGTTTCTCGCCCTCCCTTCTCCTTCCTTTTCTCAATCTCCCTTCATTTCGGACCCGGCGGCGTCAATCTTTACGATGGCAGCTCCCACGACTATCACGAAGCTTCCTGAGGTGCTCCGCAGCCCTACCTCTCTGCAATATTTCTCATACAGACAGCCGGTCAAACACTCCAGCCCATACTTCAAACCCAGATTCACCTTTAAGTTTGAAGACAGGAAACACACTTTGCTGGACATTTACCGCCTGCGACATACGGACCCCTTGATGCCGCCCTACCCCTATGGCGAGAATAAACATTTTCCTGAAGCAAATTTCGGTCTCTATGGTGGTGCCACGGTACAATCTGGAAGTAAAATTTCCAAGGGCAGAAACAAGGGAAAATCCTTGCGGCATTGGTTCCCCAATGTCCGGGTCGAGACTGTCAGGAGTGATGCCTTGAACAGAGACCTCAAGATCCCCATCACTGCTCGAGTCATGAGGACTATCAACAAATGCGGCGGAATAGATCAATATGTCACTGGAATGAAGCCTGCGCGAATTAAGGAGCTGGGGATGCTGGGCTGGAAGCTTCGATGGCTGGTCATGACATCCCCAAAATATCGTTCAGAGCATGCCAAACAATTGCAAAAATACAACCTTCCCAAACATTACTCACTATCGGGCTCTTTCGAGGACGCGTGGAACGATGAGGAGGCCAGGGCAAAAATGATCGAGCAGCAAGAAGCGGCGTGGAGGGAACTTCGAGAGGCCGCGGACCGATTTGAAAAGCATGTCCAGAGGAACTGGATCGAGAGCGGAGAGAAAGAGACCTACCAGATTCCGAAACTGGAGACGCTGAATCGCAGCAGTCCGCTCTCTCTGGGCCTGCCACAGCATCTAGAAGAACCGGATGTTGTTGACAGAAAGTATAGACACCTCAGGACTTTCGAAAACCCCGTGGGAGACGATGTGCAGGCAGTCTCCACAGAAGCTACCACTGTTGAAGATAGCAGCCCAACAACCAAGGGCAATCAAGAGACGGTGACAATGACATATGCTGAAAACATTTCAGGAGTCATTGAACATCATACGGAAGCGATCACAACGAACACGAAATCTCAAGAGCTCAAAGGAAAGCCTTGAGAAGAGCATTTATCAGCCACTGGACCTCAGATTGAAGCAGCGAGGAAGGACACGCAAATAACAGATCCCAAGGAGTTGAAGACAAGCACGGAACGCGACAAATGAGGCTGCAAAAGAAAGCGCCAACGAGCTGCTCACACGGAATGTTGAGGACCAATGTGGCGAATGCCGACTAGCACAAGGCCGACCGACAGGTACATGCGATAAAAGATGAAAGACAACGACCTCAGCCCTCGTTCTTCATCCTTGGGAATGGTTGAAAAGCAGTCCATTGGAAACAAAGCCCGATGAGAGGCCCATTGCCAGAGGGTGTGAAATGGCTGAGACAACCTATTAGTCGACTGGGAATGAACCAGATCATTGTAAAGGGGCTTTGCTGTGTACCCAATGTAGATTACCGCCAGACAAGGAAAGACAAATGTTGAACTGTATTGTACTGTGCAGTCAGATCATATCAGTGAAAGAACATGCTGCTTGGCGAAATCTGAACCAGATACCTCGTATATTCACCTCCTATCGGATTGTACTCTGCAAGCTTTAGGACTTTGCTTGTTGATCTGGGCCGTGCCATGCCGCCGTGCTTTCCAGCTGACGGCGACCAGTTGACTCTCCACGATGATGACAGGATCAAATCTCCGTGTCATATATCGGTCTTTTGCTCCTTATAGATCGTTTTCCTACTCACAAGCAACCATTTCCAGCGGTTGTTTTCCCACCAGCATCGCCCACAGGCACTTGTCCATTGGCCTCCAACTCCTTCCACCTCGCGAACAGCTTCTTGAAAGCGAGGGGATCCTGTGCCCCCGACACCTCCCACATATCATTAATCTCATAGAAGGGCACACCCGAGATTCCCTTCTTATGGGCCTCCTCTGCTTCTTTGTCGACCAATTCCCCATCCTTGCCAGAGGTCAAGTACTCGGTGATTTCCTCCTTGGTGCCCAGTCCAGCTTCCAAACCGACCTCGACGAGGGTGTCGAGAGTTGTGATATCAGCCTCCTGCTCAAAATAGCGTCTCCAAAGACCCAACATAACCGTATTCTGGGATTCCTCGCCTCCTTTGACCTGTGCCCAGTGGACAAGCCTATGTCCGTTTCTCGAGGGACCTGTCATCCCACCGAATTTAAAATCCAAACCTTCACTGCGAGCGGTTTGGCTCATCATGGCTTCAATCTGCTTCGCGCGCTCGGGCCCAAATTTGGCGGCGTACATTTCGCGCCTTGGACGCGATGGCGCCGGGAAAGGTGGCGGGGCCGGACCACTACCTGCGATCAGCTGTGGTGGTGGGTTCAGATAAAATGGTAAGTATTTCAAGTGAAAGGTGTCGTCGGGATACGTCTTTTTATGCTCAGTGATGGCCCGCGAGAGCCGAGAAAAGCCGAGATAGCACCATGGACATACAATGTCACTGGTGACTGTGATATTGTAGTTTGTCATTTTTAGGTAGTGTTGCCGTATAGGAGCAAAGGACATGGGCTGGTGATGAGGCTCGGATGTGCCCTAGAAGATCATCGAGTCTGACAGCGAGAGGTTCGTGTATTAAAAGAAGTTGGATTTGTCAGCCACTTGAGCGACCGGCTTGTCTTTCCCGATGGTCCTCGGCCAGTTCCTTGAGAGATGTTTCGAGGGAGAGCGGGTGTGCCTCTTTCGCCTGCTTCATGACCTCGCTCTTCCTTATCTCCTCCATCAAAGTCTACCACTCCGGTTGGACGATCAACCTCGAGGCTATGAGGTTTCAGCTAAGAGTGGGAAGTTTTATGTCAGAGGCGTGTAGTGAGCTGTCCCGAATAGTCAAACGAAGTATGATGGGTACCACTCGTTTCCGTTATTTGGTCTAGTAGTTCCGTTGATGGGTAAGACCCTAAAAATGCAGCCTTGCCAGATGTATCCCAGGTATCGAGTGGGCTGGCCCCCTTGATTAGGCTACAGTGGATTGATACCTAATAGTTCAGCCTTCCTGGGAAAAATTGCGCGTCTGACAATCTATTTATGTGGGGGTTGGGGGCCCAATATTCGCGGAACTCCCGTCAGACAAAAAAATAGGTCCTCCCACTAAATCGTTATTTCCATCCACCTCACCAGGAATTCCTCTCCTGTCATCAACTAGTCATGAAGACCTGGCGAGCTGAGTTGCACCTCAATATGATGTCCAAGTCAGATCCACATTCACTTTCCCATCAAATTCATGAAGACGATGAAGATCAACCTTTTGATACTGATCAGTTCTTCGTCGGCCCTGCGAGCACCGATGGCTGCTTTGCAACTGAAAACTCACACGCAGTTCTTCCCGTTGAGCTGGATCTCCAGGTACACTCACTCACTGGCGTCTACACCTTACTCCGGTTTGCATTGAGCTGACGCTACGCACAAGTCTCAGAATGGTATGGCGGGATCCCTATCTACCACCCAAACTACAGATTCAATTTGCAACCCAAGTGAACAATTTCGTTCGGAGTCACCAACATTGGTGGAGGACTATATCGCGCTTGGATCTATCCGACTTGTCAGATACTCTGAACAGGGTCGCAATGGTGGTTGGCGAATGGTTGGCCCCGGCGGAGAAGTCACGCACCAGCATCCTCTGTTGACACTAGGCGAGAAACGTTCATGGATCAAGACTTCTTTTCTTCAACATACCAGATACCCGGATTCCGCATCCTTGAGAGTCTACGCACTACCAGAAGATGTCAATCGAAGCACTCGAGGCTCGATCAAGGATCTTAGAAAGGTCCTGAAATTCATCACTAGCTTCATCGACATTTCTCTCGAGGCTTGGGATGGCAATTACGACCCGACGTCGCCTTTGCAAACCTATAGGGAACCAGATGCCTCTCAGGAAGAATCGCTCTTTTACATCTTCAACACTCTGTCCTCTCCTCAGACTTGCCTCGACGATGCAGGATCTTGTCTGCACAATCAGCATTCAATGTGTGATGTCTTCGAGGACAACATTGGCGGTCTCAAAACTTCATTGTATCCCTACCAAAAGCGGTCGGTGGCCACCATGCTCCGAAGGGAGGTAAATCCTTCTAAATCTTTCGACCCACGGAAGCCGAGCTTTCGAGATCTTAATGGCACAGAATTCTATCTCGATCTCCATGAAGGTGTCCTTCTCCGGCACCCTCATCTCTATAGTCAATGTCGCGGTGGCATTCTCGCGGAAACTATGGGATATGGCAAGACACTTATATGCATTGCTTTGATCCTGGCAACCAGGGGACATTATCCTACTATTCCAGAGGGTAGATTGAACGCCACTTCTTGGAAGCTTAATGAACGGACACCAAGCTTGCTTGACCTGGCCGCAAAGACGATCAAACAAACCGGCGTGCCCTGGAAAGCCCATTTTTCGAATCTCGGAAAGGAGGGATACCATTTTGATCGGTGCACTGAAGCTCTGGCCAAGTACAATGGCGAGTATGCCGAGCCCATCTTCCATCCGACTACGCCGAACCGAAGAGGCAAGCAAAGAGAAGATACTCGAGTGCTGCGCCCTGCATGTTCGACGTTAGTGATTGTTCCGCCCAATCTTCTCGTTCAATGGCAACATGAGATAAAAAAGCACACTCAAGCAAATGCGCTTGATTTGTTGGTCTTGGACTCTACAACGAAAGAAATACCACATTGGAAGGAGTTGATGAAATATGACATTGTTCTGATCACTAAAGTACGTTTTGAGCAAGAATACAGGGATGATGATCTCAACCAAGGCAGGCGCTTCAAAGGCCAGGAGAAATTTCGGTCTCAGCTGACCGAAGTGCGATGGCTGCGGGTAATCTGCGACGAGGGACATAGCTTCGCAGGCTCCAGCTATCGAACACATGCAATGACGATGCTGGACAAAATGTCCATTGAACGCCGTTGGATAGTCTCCGGCACACCGTCTCACTCGCTTCACGGGGTTGAGGTCAATCTTGCGCTCAACGAAACCAACAGCGACACGGAGACTTTCCGCAAACACTCCATCGAAATGGCACTAGAACGAAGAAAAGCTAGGGATTCTGAGACGGAAGAGCTCAAAGATATGGAACGGTTACGCGCCATCGTTGTCAAATTTCTCAAGGTGCAACCCTGGGCAAACCAGAAAGGCGCCGACCATGCCGACTGGAAAAGGTATCTCTCAACTTTCGATACCTCTGGCAAGCGTCGTTCCGCGCCAGCACTGCGAGTGATTCTGCAGTCGCTAATCATCCGCCATCGGATTGAGGACATTGATGTCGATCTCGTCCTTCCTCCTTTGCACAACACGACAGTCTATCTTGAGCCGAGCTACTACGACAAGCTCAGTATGAACCTTTTCAGACTGGTCTTGACTTCCAATGCTGTGACTTCGGAGAGGGCAGACGAGGATTATATGTTTCATCCAAATAACCGCAAATCCCTCGATGAGCTGATTAGCAATCTTCGCCGATCCAGCTTCCACTGGGTCGGATTTACTGAGAACGAGGTAACTGAGACCTTGAAAGTCTGTGACAAATACTTGGATGAGCACCTTGACCTAATCTCTGACGAAGACGGTGCACTTCTAACCGAGGCAAAAATGAACGGCGAACGAGCCTTGGGTGACTCAGGTTGGTGCGCTTTCTCTTTCTACCATGAGATAGGCGTTTATATTGAAGACTTCCCCGAAGAGGCTGCAGCAGCCTGGGCGTTAAATGGGGAGAATTCCGACCCCCTCCTCCTCGGAACCGTCGAAGCTCGAGAAGCACAGCAGCATGTTCTGCACAATAGAGATCCTGGTGACCCCGGAATGGGACTTGTTGGGGCGGGACTTCGAGCGATGTCTGCAGCACGAAAACGAGCCATGGAAGAACAAGATGCCAGAGCCAAGGTCCACTCAAGTGCAAACGGAAAGAAGCCTCTCACAGCAGGCACAACAGAAGAACCCAAGGTCAAAAATCAATCCGCTACCTCGTCTCCTGTCCGCTCTTCGATAAGAGATGGTGCCCCGGGGCTTCCCCTTTCACCACCAAAGCGACTTTTCCCGACCAACAGTCGCGTCCTTCCAGCGTCATTGGCCAAATCGCGAATCGTCGGGTTTACTTCCGCAAAGCTCAACTACCTTTGCACACGTATCCTGTCACTACAGCCAATTGAGAAGATCGTTATCTTCTACGACTCGAACAACATAGCCTTCTGGATCGCCGAAGCTCTTGAACTGCTGTCCGTCAAATTCCTGATATATGCAAACACACTCTCGGTGACACGCCGAGCAGTATATCTCGCTACTTTCAACCAGTCGGAAGTGTTCCGGGTTCTCCTCATGGATCTCAAACAGGCCTCTCATGGTCTGCATGTTGCGGCCGCCAGCCGCATTTTTATTGTGTCTCCCATCTGGCAGCCCGATGTTGAATCGCAAGCTATCAAGCGTGCGCATCGAATCGGGCAGACACGTCCGGTTTATGTTGAGACATTGGTTTTGAAAGGCACTCTGGAGGAGAAAATTCTCAAGCGACGTCGACAAATGAGTAACTCCGAGCTCGTCAAGGCGGAGAAAAGCCTCCTGGATGATGGAATGATGAACGGGATCATTCGAGGAGAAGGCTTTTTGCGTGTTGAAAACGGCGAGAAAGAGCAGATGAGAGGGGGCAAGCTAGACAAGCCTGTCCCACTGTTTGCGAGAGGCGACGGCTCTTTCAGCAGCGAGGATAGGGGGGACAGTGACTTGATCCTAAGCTTGCAGGACGAGCCCTCTGCGAAGAGGAGAGAATTGCATAAAAATAAGGAAAAGGCCAAGAGGAAAGGTAAGGCGGTGACTTTCGGAACGAACGAGGTGTTCCACTCGTCGCCGGGAACTGCGCCTGATATCTCCCCGCCGGCCACAGAAGCCCATACCTCGATATTTGGCACAGGGCTGCAGCAGCCAAAAGCAAAGACAAAGAAGAGCGTGTGACTCGTCGTGGATGTCCCGTCGACTTTTGCTTCTCGGCCTGACGCCTGTACTTCTTGAAATTGGCTGCTGGAATTGATCTTACATAATAAGTGCAAAAAACTCATCAGGCGCTGGTTTTCTATTGGGATATTGCTTTCTGATACAAAATGGTGCGAACTTAGACGGCCTATTTGATTCTGAAACGTTTGCCTGTTATAAAATCAGGAGCTTTAGATGTGTCTAGTGGCTAGATGAACATGATGAAGAGATACAGACTCTATCATGAAAGGAAATGAATGACAGAGCGCTAGCTAGGTATCTACTATGTATTATGACGCTTCGGGGACAGCGATGGTCTGACATTAACGCAAATCATTTGCCAACCTCGTATATGGACCACGGGACGGCATGGAATATTCCTTTTCAAACCACACACAATTCGGAACCCAGCCTCGTTTGTTCTCAAAATCTGCAGCTGTAGGCCGGGAAAGCCGATTCGTCTCAAATCGAGATGAAAAAACTCTTCTCACCCTCCCTTGGCTCGACCATGCACCTCTTCAGAATCGGGTCTGCACAAGAAATCCGGATCCTCTCGGGCGTGGCAGGACTCCTCAAGCTCAGCACACCTTCCTCGCCATACTGTTTCCTCGCGGCCTTAAGGGCATCTCTTATTGCGAAGAAGACTGCACTTCCCATGAATAGGGGCGGCTCCCCTACGCCCCGCGAGCGCTGGATCGTGCGGAGATTTTTCCATTCAACGTCTTTCAGCAGAGAAACGTTCATGATTTGGGGAATATCTCTGAATCCAGGTATCTTGTACGCGCCCGGTCCGCGGGTGAAGATTTGCCCGCTCGCCCTGTGCCAAAGGGATTCTTCGGTGGTGAAAAGGCCTTGGCCTTGGACGTATGCGCCTTCGATCTGCCCGTAGTCGATTGCCGGGTTAATGCTCCGCCCGACGTCCATTTTGATGTCTGAGCGCAGGCAGGTCCAATCCCCGGTTAATGTATCAATAAGGACTTCACTCGCAGTTACACCTTGCGTGAAGTAGAAGAACATCTTGCCCGTATTCTCCTGGCTTGGGTCAGAAGGGTTCGGTCCCCAAACATATCCGATCTCGGGGGTCTTATAGAAGCCCTGCGCCGAGAGATTGACCCGGTCAAAGTAGGCAGCATGAGCTAGCTGTTTCATCGGCGCAGCAGGCCCAAAATTTTCTCGGTATGGTGCGAGGCGCTCGTTGATCTGCATGCAGGCGTTGTATGCTGCGTAACCATTCAGGTCTGACGAAGCGGATGCCGCCGTGCTCGAGGCGTTGGCGACAGTGTTTGTCGCGGTTTCTGAGATGTGCACGTCTGTGAGAGGTACCTGGAGTGCTTCGGCCACGATCATGCAGATCTTGGTGTGCAGCCCTTGGCCCATTTCGGTACCCCCGTGGGCGACAAGGACGGAACCGTCATGATAGATGTGGACTAGGGCACCAGCTTGATTAAGGAAGAGAGCGGTGAAGGAAATGCCGAATTTTGTGGGGATAATGGCCAGCCCCTTCTTTTGCCATTTGTGTGAGGCGTTGAATTCATCGACCGCTTTGCGGCGTGCGTCGTAGTCTGCCGACTCTTTAATCTGCTTGTACATCAAAGGCACATGCCAATCTTCGAGCGCTTGGTTGAAGTGTGTTTTTTCGCCATCTTTATAGAAATTGATTTCTCTGAGCTTGTCGACGGGGATCTTCAGATGGTCTGCAATTTCCTCCATGTATGATTCCGCAATAAACATGCCTTGAGGGCCACCAAAGCCACGAAAAGCACTATTGGAGACGGTATTTGTCCTGCAGAGACGTCCGTCCACATCGACATTGGGGATGTTATAGCACCCGTCGACATGCGATAACGCTCGATCAACAACGGCAGCAGACAGATCTTGAGACCAGCCGGCATTGTTGAAGATATTGGCTTTGAGTGCCTGTATTTTGCCGTCCTTGTTGACTCCGACCTTCCAAATGCCCAGGAAAGGGTGTCTCTGCCCAGAGGTCATAATATCCTCGTCCCTATTGAGCATGCATCTAACCGGTCGCTTGACTTTGTTTGCTGCAACGGCGCAGATGGTGGAGAGTTGAACAGATCGAGTCTCTTTGCCGCCAAATCCACCACCAAGACGTTTGACCCTGGAGACAATCTTATTTGATTGAACACCGAGAGCCTTTGCAATGTACGCCTGTGTTTCAGATGGGTTCTGTGTACTACTCCAAATTTCCATCTCCCCGTCTTCTGGCTTGGGAATTGCCAAAGCAGCCTGAGTTTCCAGATAGAAATGCTCCTGACCGCCCATCCTCGACGTGCCTTCGAACACGTAGTCGCACTCTCCGAAGGCCTTTTCAACGTCACCTCTGCGGATATGTCTGTAGTGCTCATAAAAGCTTTGATTCTCTATCGCCTCTTCGATGGTATATATGGCCGGTAGCTCTTCATACTGGACGAGCACGGCACGTGCACCGGCAGCAGCTTCCTGGGAAGTGTTCGCCAGGATCATGCCGATAGGTTGGCCAGCTGTAAAGACTTCGTCTTCTGCAAAGAAAACTTCATCGCAAACAGGAGCACCCCACCAGTTCGCTTTTGGATCTGGAAAGTCATGTCTGTCCACCCAAGCGACCACGCCCGGAAGCTGAAGGGCAGGGTTGGGATCGACACCGATCAACTTGGCATGCGCTTTGGTTGACAAAACCAGACAGCCTATAAGTTCGTTCATTTGTACTGGAATATCGTCCGTATATTGGGCTTCGCCAGTGCATTGTTTCAGCGCGGCCATGTGGGGATGTTCCTTCCCGAGAATTTTCTGCGAGTAAGCAACGGAAGCATCATGATCCTTTTGGCCAGTAGAGATTTCCCTTTCGATCTCCTCGATAGCTTCTTTGTCGGCCTCTTTGCTAGATTCCTCGATGTTGAGCAGGACATCCTGGTAGAAGCGATAGAAGAACCCTAGCGCTAATGATTTTCGGTACCAGGCCATGCCTCCTGGCACACCAAATTGAAGGTTGAAGTCATGCTCCAATGCGTTCATCACTCCTTCAAGCGTCTGAGGATTCGTAAATGTCTTGCCTACGATATATTCAGAAGCCTGCTTGGCCTCGATTGTTATGGGAGCCATGCCTCCATATACCAAGTTCGCATTCTTCACTTTGTAGTCATCGTCCAGCGCAACTCGAAGACAAGCATTGACAATGGCGATATCATCGTCTTTCCTCTTCGATTGCTTATAAGATCTGACATACTCGCCTTTTTCAGCGGTAAGAGGAATCCTCATTGCCGCGATGACAGCGTCTGCAGGCAACGCTGTCACCCTGTAGCTCTTGAAGAAGCTCGACATCGGAATTTCTGTAGTCTTATTGAGAGACTTGGCAATTAGTGTCGAGTTTGTTGCGACAAAAACTGGATTGAGATCGGAAATAGGTGACGCCGTGGCCAGATTCCCTGCGGGAGTGCCAACATTGCGAATTTGCCGACCGGCAAAATACCTGATGGCTTTCTTGATAGCTTCGAATGGTTGAGCTTTGGTCGGTCCATAATGCTTGACAGCTTCATCACATATGTTCTCCAAATCCGTCAAGGCAACATTGCCTCCAATTTCAAGATAGTCATCGTAGAAAGAGTACTGTCGAAGTTCCGCAATATCCCCCACGTACACTGACACCGAATACTGCGCGGCTTTGAACTTGATTTCAATCTGGGTTTCTGTGCTGCCACCAATCAACTTGGCGCCGGGATGGGCATTCTTGATTTCAAGCAACTGTTGGAGAGTCACAGGCCTATACCATTTCTTCCTCTTGTTGCCGAAAGCCAGCGGCTTGAACTCGTGCTTTTTTAGAGCCGGAGGGTATATTAATTCTGTCGCCTTATCGTAATGGATGAAAGATGGAGGGGTGAACTTCTTCTCCACTGTACCGTCCGCGCCATTCGTCTCACCATTAGGGGCGCCATTGCACGAGCCGCCGTTCTCCATGCAACAGCCGGAACCACCATTTGCAATTGATTTGCCACACACCTTGTTGAAACTCTGAGCGGCGTCGAGTATGGGCCTGTAACCCGTGCAACGACACAGGTTTCCGTCAAAGTTCTCCTCAATTTCCACTTCGGATGGCTCAGGGCCGGAGTTTCTGAGCAAAGCATACAAGCTCATGACTATTCCTGGCGTGCAGAATCCGCACTGGCTCCCACTAGCCATGGCGATTCGTTGTTGTGCGGGGTGTGGGCTTTTCGAGCTGCCGATTCCCTCGATGGTGATGACATGCTTGCCGTCAATGCTGGCCAGAGGAGCTAGACAGGCATTGACCGACGCATGGTATATCTTGTTCGTGGTGGGATTCAATTGCGACACGACGACGGTGCAGGCGCCGCAACCACCTTCTGCGCAGCCCAGCTTTGTTCCCGTCAGACCGACGCCTCTTAAATATTCCAATAGTGTGATTTCTGGATCCACCGAGTCCAGCTCGATCTTTGTCCCATTGAGATAGAAGCGGAGTGTATCATCGTAGCTTTCGGCGAGGGAGGCGAGGGAAACCACCTTTTCAGCAGTCGCTGCTGGCTCGAGGACTCCAGGAGCCATCTTGAATATGCGGGGCTGGCGGGATACTGGGAAGAGAGGAAAGGGAAACAAAGAGGAAGTAGTTCTGTCAAGTTAGCATTCCAAGTCTGGGTTTTTTTAATGCTGTGAGGTAAACGAAGACAGAGGATACAGGGACAGGATCAAAGTCGTAGGGAGTCTGTCCGACGAAGAAATGAAGCTGAGGAGGCCGAACAGACAGACACCTTCGAGACTACCAGGCCCTTATCGGCAACGGCCTGAAGCTTCTGACCAGAGCAGAAGCAATTTGTTTCATGGCACGGAGTATTGATAGGCAATGGGACGCGATGGGCGAGAATGCGCGAATCAGCGGGGGACCATTGCAATCTCGTAAGAAAAGCTGCTGGTGGCTGACGTTGATCGGTATTGTGAGATGGAATCCTGTCCTAGAGCGAATGAACGCAGTGGAAATGTACATTCGGAGTAGACCAAGTCGACCTGGCTTGCTAGGCCGCTCACCTTGCGGTCCTCGCCCCCTCCTTCCTTCTCGAGGGGATGTGCGAGCGGCGAGCTCCGATATCAAAGCTACTAACTTACGGCACTTTTCTGCCCTGGCCTCCAGTACAGGGCGTGATCCAGATGACCAGACAACTGCTTAGACGATAGAGCCCCCGCCAATGCTTATGCCTTGAGCCAATCCATCAAGAGAAGAGGGCCCGCAATGCACAACAGAATCAACATCGCGAAAGGCCGTAGCAGAGACGACGGTGGCTATGGACCTAAACAAAGATGGCAAGATGGTTCGGAGGAGGGCGACAAGACGCAACAGGTTCGTACGATGGGTGACTTGGGCGCCATTTTCATCTTCATCTACACCTTCTATCCCAATCTCTCTCTGTGTGTCTATGTCTACTCCCACCCAACTCGCCGTCACGAAACTATCATCTCTCGTCCACCCGCTAGCAGTTCACGCCATGGGCAGTAGATAATGCATTTGCCACATTGTGTTCACCTCCTCCACGTTGTAAAAGCGCTCTGGCACCTTGAAGTCACCCCATTCACCTGTCAATTGGATGCACAGGTAGGTCAATGCCTCCTCAGTCCAGCTCCCCGACATGACCAGTGCCGAACGGATCATCTCCAAGGCCCTCATACAGCTGTCCCCGGCCAGCGGCTTGCCGACCGACAAAATGCGCTGGATGTGGTAGTTGAAAAGCTGCTTGTCGGATTGCGGCGTCATGTCATCGGGGAAGATGATTTGCAGTGCCACCTCGCCAGTGCCACGCACCGAATTCCATTGTTGTTGTGTCGGTTGCACAATGCTCTCGTCGAGCATCTCGATGTCTTTGAAGATGAAGTAATCTGCGTCTTCCATTGCGCGGTAGACCGCCTGTCTGTGACGCTCGACAATGTTATGGTATTGGCCACGAACATATGGTCGTTGGGGGAGTTGTCTGGCGCGAATCGTGTCTCGATCGATTGGTCCCGCGATCGTGTTCCTCCCACATTCCATGACCCAATGGCGCTGGAGGTCACCATACAGGTGCTGCTTTCTGCAGTAGCGGGTGAAGCTGTCGGTGCCACAGGCAGGGCAGATGACCACGGCGCTGTCTAAAATCCGTCTGAACGTTAGCAAATCTTGCGCGGCTGTAGATCCAATTCTGCTGCATAAGATCAGAAAGAGAACTTACCCCAGCAACTCGTCATCTTACGGCAGTCAGGTTTCAAACATCTCAGACGTGGATCGAAGCTATCGAATTTGAATTCAGCGGGAGGGTGAGGCTCTTCATCGCCAGGCTGGCCGTGCTGCAGGAAGTTAGTCAGGGAGCAACCAAAGGGTACAGGGGAGAGAGGGCGTACATTCCGTACATTCCACGGCTTTGTGCCTTCTCGTGTGGAACTGATTGCCTGGGTGTGAGAAGTCGTCTTGGGATTCTCAACATCCTTCTTTTTGGTTTGTCCCTTGTCCTTCTCAGTCCCTTCCCCATGTTGCTTGACCTGTTGACCTTTGCTAGAAGAGCTGGTGGCGATAGCATCGCTGCTCGATAACTCTGCTCGAGTAACCGTCCGATCAGAATCACTTGAATTTTGAGAAACAGCATCATCAAGATCTTGCTCCAGCTCCTTGGCTGCAGGAGTCTTACCGGGTTTCTTTGCTTTGCCCTTCTGCTTCAACTCCCCGGACAGTGATGCGCTTGTACTCTTTGCGGAATTTCCTCCGCCAGACTGAACAGCAGGCGGCGGGGGAGCCGAGGCTGGTGATGGAATGGAGGGTGATCCAGAAATTGTGATGGCCGCCATCTTGTCCGCAGCTCCAGAGCATTCTTTGTCCGCTGAATGCTGTTCTCCCTCATTTGACATGGTCTGGATTCGGGCTGTTGTTTTTGTGGGTTTCTTTTTGGCCTTCGTCGTCTTCTTGCGCTTCTTTGTGGGGACGCCCTGCACATCCACCACGGTGTCTTGATTCAACGGGTCATCCATGATGTTTGAAGAAGAGGCAGACGATGGGGGAGATGAAGATTGGGATGGTCCTGACTGAGAGCTGTCTGCGTGTGAAAGAGAATCGGGGCCGGCAGAAAGACCGCATACACTGCCATCTCTCGCTGCCGAGCCGTCGCCATCACTAGGGGGGAGCGTTTCAGGAGTCACAGCAGTCTGTTCATCAATAACGGTTGAATTCATGTAAAACTCCCCCCGCCTAATCGTTTCGATAAGAACGGCTGCTTCTGTTCGCTTTGGATGATGTACAAAACGCCGGGCTTCGGAGAAGATCCGCATCGCCGTCATGATGGCTACAGCCATGTCTTTCTGCAAAGAGTCAGTCTGAACGATTCGCTTGCCCGAAAGACTTTCGACACTCACGACTGGAGCCTGACTTGTCCGAAAACAGGAACGCAAAAAGTCTCGATGCGTGACTTTGACAAACAACTGCCACGAACATTTGGCCCGATCCAAGCAGCCTATGTCAAATGTGTGATGGGTGTACTTGACAAGACCAGCTGACAGCATGGTCTTGTCCACGATGATAAGGGTCTCCTCTTGGAGCCCAGCAAGTAGCAGCTCGTTTCCATTTGAGTCTGTCATGGAGAACGGAGTCAATGGTCTGCGATCCTCTTTCATCCTCTTCTGATACTCCTGTCGAAGAGGAGCCAGTTGCTCATTCTGGGTGGTCCAATTCAACTCCTGAACACCTTGAATCCCCACTGGCATCATTTCTCGCGCAAATGATCCCTGGCCGTCGAAACATTTGAAAAGCTGCTCCGCAATGACACTACCAATACCAAGGGCTCTGGTATCGGTATTCAACAAGAGGCATATTTTTTGGCAAAAGCCAGCAAGAACCCCTTCGGCATGCCTGCCTTTGAAAAAGGGTCCAAGCACGTGAGTTACAGCTATCAATTCCTCGTCTTGCAGGGCGATCGTGTGGATACGAGACCCATCGGAGGGCCATAGCACTTTTGAGTCTTTTAGCGACGAGGAAGTGTGGGAGACGTATGTTTTTGAGTGGTCGAGGCTTTGTTGTTGGGTATATATCTGTCCCACGGGCTCGTTGTCTGAACTGTCGGTTGGAAGCACTTATCAGCGAGCATCCTATCATGACTTTAAGGGGCTTTGCTTACGCGCTTGACATTCTTACAAGACGGTGACTGAACGTGGACTTTTTTGCAAAGAGCTTGAATCTGCAGTTGTTCCACTGAGAGGTGGTTTCTGAGCCAGGTGGTGAGGAGTTGCGAGGTCAATTTGTGAAGAAGATTCGTCGCAGTCGACAGCAGCAGCAGGAAAATGGCATGCGTGAAAGAGTACCGGCACAAATGAGCACGTGCTCTACATTTCCCACCAGAAACATTGCCATGTTCACACGGGTGTCCCAGGTCATCACAAGGCTGCGTGTTGTGCTATATATGTCTATTCGGGAAACCAGGATAAGGCTGGTGAGATCGATTCCTCAGACTGGGTATTGCTGATACAATTTGGCAGAGTTTCCCGCCCTTCACCAGTATATAGGCTCTTTCAACCTACATCGGAGCACCAGTTTTCGTTGCTTGTCGCCGTTCTCGCAAAAGCACCAGGAAGCTGCTGGATTGGCCAGGCACAGAGCCATACTGGAGACACCGAGCAGATTAAAGTGAACAACGGTTCCTAGTTGCGTGTAAGGAATAATTCGTGCTGGATAAAAGGAAAGCGTACTGGGTTGGCCGCATAATGTTGGAAGGACGTTGGAAAAGGGATGCTCGTCCGCTCTACCAGTTTGGGGCAAACATGGTCTAATCATTTTACGGCGAGCAGATACACGTGATTTGAACAAATCCTGATGTCCCACCTGCGCCGAATGCGGCTTTAACGCCTGGGATTTTCTAACCTGGAACTCATTGTCCCCATCACCCACTTCTACAGCATTTTCTTCTCCAACTCCATACTCTATTCTTTACCTATTCTCGTGTTGCCGCGACCTGCTTGTGTCGCTCTTTCTAGGCTCATTCACAATTGATGGCAGATCTCAGCAACATCCTCGCCGCACTGGCGGCGCAGAGGCAAGGGGGCACACCTCAAGCCGCTCCCCCTCCACCTGTTCCAGGTGCTCCTTATCCTCCGCCTCAGTATGCCACTCCTCCAGGCAGTGCACCGCCCTATGGTCTACCTCAGCCCATCCACTCTGGGAGCGTTGACCTGACCAACATAAAACCAGTCAGCTCGGGCTCTGTCAGCATTGCCGATGCCATTGCCAAAGCTCGCGGGATAGCTGCTGAGAAAGGTCTCTCTTATGAACCAGGTAGACGTACGTGAAGTCGCCTCGGCATTTGAGGCGCTCGTTGACTGTTGCCGTATAGCGCCCATTAACACATCCGATCTTCGTACCGGAAGCAGGACATACCGCCGCTCGAGGTCACCATCCCGATCTCCTCCGCGCCGGGAAGGTTATCGCGATGCCTACAATCCCTACAGGGACGAACGACGCGGGACCGACCGTGGATACAATAGAGACCGTTCACTTTCTCCGAGAGGTGGGCGTTATTCTCCTGGGCGATATAGGGACGATCGATCACCCGGCCTTGACCGCGGAGGCGAAGGCGACTCGGAAATACTGCCCCTAGACAAAGGTGTGGTTGGGCTTATCATTGGCCGTTCTGGAGAAAATCTACGCCGAGTTGAAAACACCACAGGCGCCCGCGTCCAGTTTATGGATGGCCCCGAAGTGCCGGGTCCGCAACGACACTGCAGGATATCTGGCAGCCGAGCAGCGCGTACAGCTGCCAAAGCCGAAATTTTTAGGATCATTGACGACAATGAAGTTGTAAAGAGAGGGCAAGACAAGTCACGCACCAGCCAAACCAAAGTCGCAAGCACCAAAGAGGGTGATAGCCTTCAAATGATGGTTCCTGACCGAACAGTGGGCTTGATTATTGGTCGAGGAGGGGAAACCATTCGAGACCTGCAAGATCGAAGCGGGTGCCATGTAAATATTGTCGGAGAGAACAAGAGTGTGAATGGCATGCGACCCGTCAACTTGATCGGCAGCGCGTCGGCTCAGCAATACGCAAGAGATCTGATCCTGGAGATTGTGGAGAGTGATCAAAAGGGCATCAGCATTAAAGATCTCCACCGTGAGCGGGAGGACTCGCAAGGCAAGCTCAATGACAGCATTGTCGTGCCCGGCGAGGCAGTGGGTATGATCATCGGCAAAGGTATAGTTTTAAGTCATCTATTCATCGTGTGCATGGCACTAATTTCCATCCAGGGGGTGAGTCTATTCGTGATATGCAGAATCAAACAGGGTGCAAGATCAACGTCTCGCCCGCTGCTGGACGAGACATCGAACGCGAAATTGGTTTGATTGGCAGTCGACACGCCATCGATGCTGCTAAACGTGCCATCATGGAGAAAGTTGATGTTGTGGTAAGCTGTCACTAATGGATGATTCTTGCCGATACATCTTCACTAACGCATATCAGCGTGCCCGAACACAAGCTCGTGAACGTGAAAGTCGCGACGACTATATGGACAGATACCCAGGACAACAGCCCACTTATCCTCCCGCTGCCGCTGGCGCCGCTCAAGGGGTTGCACCTCCTCCAGCTGCCGGGGCGGCCGACCCATATGCTGCATATGGTGGGTACCAGAACTACCTTCAGATGTGGTATGCAGCCATGGCGGCTCAACAACAAGGTGGCCAAGGTCAAGGTGAGCAACGATAAGACGCGTTGAGTGGACCGACCGTGACCTGGCTCGTGACTGTGGAATTTTGACGCCGTTGTTGGATGACCTCTAAACTCCTCGACGACCATGCTCTCGCCTCTTCGACGTCTGATGAGTGCTCGCCATGCTGTCTTGGCCAACTTTCGCACATGCTGTGACCTGCTCCGAAAACCAACGTTCGACCTTGCAGAATCTGGCTTCGCATGAAATCGCTGTACACTTACACACGTCTCTGTCGGTGTGATACGCCTTCTTTCGCTCCTGACCGTCGTTCGTACTTGCAACTCAACCAAATTCACGTATCCGCAGTCTACAGATCTCTGTGCCAGCTGCATTATGGAACGATGCGTCCTCGTCGGCAGAGATTGGGGTTGGTTGGACTTGTCTCTTCGCAAGACAACGAGCAAGACAAGATGATGACCGCCCATGCTAAAGAGAAAGACGTGGGCGTGCTAGTGACATTCGCCGCTTCGCAGTGTTGATCGACCAATTTTAAGTACCAGCCGGAGGTTGCATCCTCGCTTACCCTGTGTAAACACCGCAGATAGTGCGACTGTACTGAGTGCTCGATTATGGTGGACAGCCTCGCGTACTCACAACTCGGGAAAGGTATGCGAGATGGTAGCTGATCACGGGATGATGACAGATGCGAAAGACGCTAGGACGTAAATAGCAAGGTGACCAAAGCCGCCTACAAGGTACTTGGTAGGCTGAAGCATGAATGACATCATAGCCTGTTTCTCGTATGTCCCCCGCCCAACGCCACAGCAATAAAACAAGATGCCGATCCCGTGGGCATTGGCGCCGAATCTTGGACGATCCTTTAAAAACCCTACTTGCTGCCTCACCTCACCATCGGCGCTTTTCTTCTGGTAGGCACCATTGGGGGATATCGGATTGCTTCGTGGTGTCTCCCTTCCCAGCCTCGCACCACTTCCCGTCCGGCGCTGCATCTGTCCGTCTACAACTGATCACGTCCTCAGCGGCAATGGGTGTTCCTGAGTTGCGTCACGCCCGCGACGGGTCCTAGCAGAGCGAACGGGGTTGTGGTGGCCGCTGGGGTGATGGCGAGGCAATCTGAAGATGAATCCACTGTGCCATCTCATTCCCGTGCGATCTTGTTTCATCTTCGACTTCCACGTGAGAGCGCGTGTCGGACGTGGGAGCAGCAAGGACGAGATGGTTGGTGGGCGCTTCTTCAGCCTGGTGGCGCTATTTCTGGACTCTGCGCCAACTTTTTTGTTTGGAAACATCGCCACCAGCTGATATTCCTGCACCACCACATGCGACAACTCTTTTGAAACACTCACAATCTGTGTCTGGATGTTCAGAAGAGCCTCTTGGAACATTGTTGGTGTTGCGTCTGCAACATGGCGTCGAGGTCGATGGGAAAAGCGGTACGTACCGGCAGAATCCTGCTCTAGTTTTATTGAGCCTTATTGTTCTTATTGTCCCCCCCGTCTCTCATTGTTCTTTGTCTACAGTCCCCCATTCACTTCCCTCTCGATTGTTGGCTTTCTCCGCTTTCTTTCATGTCACGAATCTCCTTTGTTTGTGTCATAAATAGCATTCACTCTGCCGAGTCTTGATGACTGCCTTTGTCGATTAACCCGCTTTGTCACTTGTACCACCACCATCTTGGTTCTGTCTGTTTCTTTTGCTGATCCTGCAAAATCAACTACTTTCACTCATCAAAACGACCCTTGAAGGCAATCAAGATACTTACTTGAACTCCAAAATTAGATAATTTCCTGTCGATTTCTGCGCCATGTCTGCCCCGTCAGTCTTCGCGGCTGGCGCTCCTCCATCCATGCCTGCCGGCAGCCATGAGATACGAGACTACTACTCCAACCAAGGCCCACCTCGGACGCTACCACACACTGCACCATCCATCACACCCTACCTTGGCCTCCGGGCTCGTTTGTCACAGATATGGCTCAATCGATGGACCATTCTCCTCCTACTTGTCCTCGCTCGCACCCTTATCGCAATCTCTGGAATCGACGACAACCTGGGCTCTGCAAGACGCGAGGCACTTTCTGCCTGCTCCGACGTAGAATCGATGGGTTCCGCCATGGCCTCTATGCCTCATTATATGTCTCAGGGCGTGAATGAAGTGGCGGCTACCGGTATCGAGAAGTCGGTCAATGGCCTGATTCAGATGACGACTATGAGTGTCACGGCAGTGGAAGAGATTGTGGTCTTCGTGATCGGCATGATGACCAACACCTACCTCTGTCTAATCACATTCGCCGTCAGTGGAAGCCTGCATTCCGTCATCGGAGCCCTCGACTCGGCCCAAGGTGGTCTCAATAAACTCACTCAGAATCTCGGAAACGACTTGTCGGGCGCTGTCAAAACTTTTGAGGATGCCTACAACAGTTTCATCGGCAAACTCGAGAGCTTTATTGCTTTCGGCCAAACCGTCGACCAACCACCTCCTCTCAATCTTACTTCCGAAATGAATTCTTTGAAGAATCTCAAACTACCAGCGAACCTGGACGCCGATCTTCAGAAACTCAACAACTCGATCCCCACTTTCGCCCAGGTCAAGAATTTCACTGAAAGCATCATCCGCCTTCCCTTCGAAGAAGTCAAACAGCTCATGAACGAATATGTGGGCAATTATACCTTCAACCGATCATTGTTCCCAGTACCGCAGAAAGAGCAACTTACCTTCTGCAGCGACAATGATGGGATCAATGACTTCTTTGATGGGCTGGTCAATTTGGCTGCTCTGGCCCGCAGAGTCTTCATTGGCGTGCTGCTTACCCTGGCAATCCTCGCGATGATCCCAATGGCGTGGCGCGAAATCAAGCGATGGCAAAAAATGCAAGAGCGTAGTCAGTTGGTCAATTCTGACGCCCGTGACCCGTTGGACGTGGTCTACTTGGTCAGCCGCCCCTATACGTCGACCGCTGGAATCAAGCTTTCCAACATATTCCAGTCCCGGCGCAAAAAAGACCTCGTTCGCTGGGTCGTTGCATACGCTACCTCTGAGGCTGCATTGTTTGTGCTCGCCCTCGCCATAGCAGGCCTGTTCTCCTGTGCCTGCCAAGCCATCCTGCTCCATGCCCTAGAAAAGGAAGTTCCGGACCTCACGAACCAAGTCGGCGCCTTTTCTGACAAGGTGGTTGCGCAACTCAATAACGCTTCTGAACAGTGGGCTATTGGAACCAACGCAGCCATTGCCGCCACGAGCAAAGATATCAATCAAAATATGCTCGGTTGGGTGAATACGTCCACAACTGCGATCAACGACACACTCAACGCATTTGTGGACGAGACAACAAAAGTCCTCAACACCACATTCGGCGGCACAGTGTTGTACAACCCAATTATGGAAGTTCTCAACTGTCTTGTCTTGCTCAAGATCCAGGGCATTGAGAAAGGCTTAACCTGGGTTCATGACAACGCGCACATCGACTTTCCGTTGCTTTCGAATGATACCTTCAGTTTAGGCGCCGTAGCCAGTCTGGCGGACTCCAGCAATCCCTCTGACTCTTTTCTCGCGAGTCCAGGGGACACTGCAAGTGACAAGATTTCCGAGGCTGTCGCACGATTCATTGGTGCACTAAAAAATACCATCCGGACGGAAGCGATCATTTCAACTGTTATCCTGCTTGTCTGGGTCTTGGTCGTGCTCATGGGTGTCATTCGAGCATCGACGCTCTGGCGTCGACGGGATAAGGTCCGTGGCGAAGGCGGTACCCCAGTATCTCCTTCGAATATCGCAACAAACCGTGGATTTCGATCAGACAACCAAGGGCGGTATACTGGATTTGCGGATATCCCATTGACCAATTTCAACGATTCCCACCCAATGTCACCTGCACCAAAGTACACGCCACCTGAAAAGCCGGAAACGCGTGAGGAGGACTATCAAGATTCAAAGCTAGGGTTTTCTGGACGTCGAGCATATCAAGAGACACAGCAGTCACAGATTGACACCAAGGAACGAAGTGTCTGGCATGGGGAGTGAGATTGAAAAGGTTGAATTGAGTTTTTGAATCGTCGTGATCGCAAACGACTCCCCGCATAACCGAGATATCTACGCCCCATCTTGAGCATATTGAACATTCATACCAGATTTAACTGGACAAACCTCTCCAGGATTGCCATACAGCGGAGAGTGAACCGACATTTGTGGAGAAACGATGGAATTCCGATTAAAATCATAGGAGTGAGAAACAAAGCCAAACGGGTGGCATTGGTAATGTGTGTGTGATGTTGAATGTTGACATGCTTTATGGAGGACCTCTTCTTTGTTATGGCTCAACACCCGCCCGGACGCGATGTCGAAAAAGAAGAAGACAGACATGCCCGGGCTTTTACTTGAAGGCCACAACGAAGATGAATTCCTCAAGGCCAGCACCGAGGGACTCGAGTTCCTTCCCTGCCCCTTCTCCGGTGGCACAGCGTGGTTCTCTCTTCCTCTGGTTGAGAAGCACCCTGCTCCCTTCTCCACCGACCTTCCGATAGCCCTAGGTCCCTACAGTGGCTGTCGCGCCCTGTCACTCTGTGGCAAGGTGTCAAGCAAGGCTTTCGGTGTTGCGATTGGACACTGTGCCATTTTATCGCAGCCGGAGTTGCGTGATGGAGTGGAATTATAAGTCCTTTCGATCTATATACCCTTCGTTTCTCTCTTTCAAGAGGGGAATCGTGAGTGGTATCTCGAGGACGAAGCAGGTCTTGCACGGGATGTTCGGACCCACGTTGGTTTTGGAGCCCCCTTGATCCTTTTTGGATGATGTTGTGTAGGCTCTTCCAACCCGGACTTCTTTTGTTGTTGAGCTATGGTCTCGAGGGATATCTCATGGAATGCTGTTGATGTGTGCTTGGATGTTGAGGCCCTCATTGGCTGTTGCAGTCCAGCCCTCTCCTTTTGTCGTCCCGGGAACTCCGCATTTCAGCCGCAGTCATTGTCTCTTCGCTGATCTTCGGAGAAAGTCGAAAGCCGTGACTTCGGCGAGACGGCAGGATGAGAGGGCCTGGCTTCAACACGAATGAGTTCACCTTCGAAGTGAGATCCGGCTTGCTGCTTTCGGCGGACTCGACTGTGTACGTCAACACATGATTTTGCTCTCAATGCATGTCTCCCATGAGCAGATCATTCAGTCGAGATTCGCTGGAGGCCACCCCGCCATGATATCACTTCGAAGAAGGTCCCCTCTTCCATATACCTCTGGTGGATCGGATTTCAGCATGCAAAATCCGGCTTTCACCGGTATGCAGAGATATGTGGCACAGGGGACGGGCTTGTGAGCTTTTGCACCGCCACCTCCCTCCCCCCAAAAAACATCCCCGGAAAAGAGAAAAAAAGAAAAAAAAAAAAGAAAGGAAAAGCCGTGGGCTGAGTCCGAAGTTGTCTAGGTTGTTGTCGATTTACGTGTCTATGTCCTGCTAGAGAGGTTCGAAAAGGCGGGATGACAAGGGTGCTCATGTTGGTAGATATCAGCCTTGGATAGATACCGAAATATCAGGATTCAGCCCGACAACCTTGGAATTCCAGTGCTTCTTCTCTGTTGACCCACGAGTCACTCGCTCCTGGGATGTAATCTACCCTCTCCTTCGCTACCCGACTTTGCCGTCATTCCGTCCCTTCGTCTCGCCATGTTGGTAATCCGTCTGATTGGAACCTCGCACGTTGACTCAAGTCCGAGCGCGAGGCTGAAGTAAGCGGCAGCCGATTTTACCCCGGATGTGGAATAAATGCATTTAGTCTGGAATGGAGATTCAAATTGCTTCGCTTCTTGCCGTTCGTCATCTCCTTTTCTGCGCCGAGAGGCTAAGAGGTCTATCCAGTGGAAGTAAACCTTGGGAGATCTTGTTCCCCAACTCTGAAAAATCTCGTAATTAGCAGGGCAGTGACAGTCGAGGTAAGACCACTATCTCATGGCAGACATGGCCGAAGAGTACACACTCTTCTACAATGACTACTCTATCTGCTCGATAATGGTCCGGTACACGGTTGCAGTCATTCAACATCTTCAAGATGGGCGCATCAGGATCAACGAGCAGCCAATTGATATCCAGCACGGAGGACAACTGGCGGAATCTTACCTATGTAAAGTCAATCCCAAAGGGACAGTACGTCGTGTCGACACACGACGAACCGAGCTGAACCGGGTGGACAGGTTCCAGTCTTGACGAGCTCGAATCCTCAACGCTTGAAGACGCCGCTCAGCGAGAGTGTGGACATCACGTATTTCCTCGCCGAATATTTTCCCACTCTGTGTCCTCCCCATCTTGCCTCACAGATTACATCGCTTCTCAGTGAGCTCCACGATATCAACTATTTCTCCTTGACATATACCGACAAGCCTCACCGTGCCGTTGACATGGAGAACTCCGTGCAAAAGGTCCTTGCCCGCTCAGACATTTCGGAACGATACCGCAAGGCTCTGGAGTTGAAGCTCGAGGTGTAAGTTCATGAGAGGCCCGGCGAGACAAGTACTTATGGTCTGTGGACAGGATTCGCGCGACGCGGGCTCCGGCCCTCACCACAGAGGCGGTCGTGGTTCAGAAACAGAAAGCGCTTTCGTTCCTGTCGAAGATCGAAGCGCTGTTGGGGGCTACGGAGACCAACACGAAAGGTTCGGACCATGGTGGCTTCTTGTGGATCTTTGGTACTCCCGAGGCGACGGCTCTAGACGCGCATGTTGTACCGTTGATTGCTCGTCTGTTGGATGTTGGAAGAGGAGCGATGTTCGAGGGTAATCCCCGAGTGCGGGCTTATGCGGATCGAGCCTTTGAGACCGAAGCATGGAAGGATGTTATGCAGCGCAGGAGGACGGTGTACGGCACGTATCTCTAATGGTCCGACTGCAGTTCTGCCGTTGATAATTTGATCGTCGGCATGCTTTGGCTAGGCGCTTACGGTCTTTCCCCAATTCGGGATGTGGCAGAGGCGGCCCACGATGGTGGTTGTTTGACGTGGCAACCTCCACTTCACCTCGGCCGCATGTTCATAACTCGGATTTCGTCTATCACCCGTCTCTCTTCGATTGCTGTGAATTCTGTCTCTTGTCGTGTCCGTCCCTCCATTGCGTAACCAATCACCTTCGAGCCTACAAGGGTCTCTGAGCCATTGAGCTTTCTCGGCTGTTATTGCTGAAGCGCCTCTCGCGGATAAGGCTGAGTGTTTTTAGGGGGCCCACGCCCGAGAGATGGAAGCGCTGGCCGCCTTCGGGCTGGCGTGCAACGCCATTCAGGTTGTTGACGCTTCATGGAAAGCTTACGAGATCTACAAACAATTCCGGGAAGGTGGCACAACGGCCAGGGCTGACGAGCTACAGCATAGCACTCAATACCTGGTTGAGTGCAGCAAATCTTTGCAGGACTCATTATCAAATGCTCCAAAGTTCCCGCTTCTCCAGAGCGGGGTTGATTTTACTGAGTTGACCAAAAAATATGTATCGAGTCAGCAGTGGACATGCAGAAAGAGCTGAAAAAGATCGAAGTTGCACCGGGACTTGACCGACTTTCTACGTGAAAACTCTCAAAGCCAAGCGGAAATGGGACCGCATTGAGGAGTTGAAACGCAAACTGGACGAATATGTCGGCGTGTTGGATTCGGCGATTCTCGTCCACCTAAGATATGTCTCCCGCGAGCCGTCAAGCCGAAATGAAAAATAAATGGCACTCTCAAAACCCTTCGCTGTTAGAACGGATGTGGCCTTTGTTGCCAATGAGCATTTTGTTTGCCTTGGAAATAGTGGGCCTCTCTCATTCATCTTATACCGTCAATTATATTCGGAACAGCGATCGCTTGGACATTATTGAGCACATCGTGAACGAGTGGTGCTGTTTACTAACGGTCTCTCCTAGTCAAAACCTTGGCTCGTTGGCGCGCAGCTCGACGACTCGCAGCAGCAAATCTACGCGGCGATCGTCGCCGGTAAAACTGACGTTCAAAGCATCATCAAAACAGGCGCCGAAGATGTAAAGGATCATACAACGCTAGAGCATAACGTCACTTGGCTTCACATTGACAAGAAGCTCGAGGATTTCGCAGAGGCTCGGGGACTACGAGCGGGGCTTGACAGCTTCATGAAAAGCCTGTATTTCCCGGAGATGAACCAGCGACAGGATAGCATCGATGACGCGCACATGAAGACTTTTGAATGAATTTTCGACAGTTCTTCACATACCGAGAGGCCATGGAACAAGTTCCTCGCGTGGACTCAAGACGACAATCCGATTTGCTGGATTCTTGGGAAGGCAGGTTGCGGGAAGAGCACTCTGATGAATTTTCTGTTCCAAGATGCCAGAACACAAACTGCGTTTGAATCCAAATTTGCCGGCAGCACGGTCCTTATCATTACCTTCTTTTGCTGGGAAGTCGGAGTCGACCTACAAAAGAATCAACTCGGTCTCCTGCGTACTTTAATCTGGCAACTCCTCGAGTCAATGGATCTTGCTCCTTCAGTTCAAATCTGGTCAAATGTCCTCAAGAAGGTTTCACCACCCCTGCCTATTGTCTGGACTCAAAAACAGCTTGGACATGTTCTCAAATCCCTGGTGCAAGCCGTCTGCAATCCCATTTGTCTCCTTCTCGACGGTCTAGACGAGTTTCAAGGGTTTGGAGGACCAGTTCGACGTCATAGCAGATACCAACAAAATCTTTCAGGACCGTCAGAAGACAAAGATATGCATATCAACTCGGCCATCTGCAAGTCTTGATTCGCTGTATAAGTCATGCCCTAAGCTGAGGCTTCAGGACCTTACCGAGTTTGACATCAAGCTTTACGTTGAGGATAAGCTCGTCAAGAACTTAGCGACCGAAGATTCTCAACGGCTCGCCACTTTGGCGTCAGAAGAGATGTCTGAATTAGTTGAAATGGTCGTGGACAAGGCAGAAGGTGTTTTCTTATGGGTCAGCCTGGCTATTGAATCCCTGCTTCGAGGCATTCGGAAGGACGACGACTGGGAGACTTTATGTCGACGTGTCGAGCAATTGCCTGAAGGGATTTTCAATCTATACGAACACATGTGGAAGCGAATGGCACTCGACCAGCCTCTCAAGCAAAGGAAGCTGCTGCCTATCTACAATATATCCGGCTTTTTGGCCGTTGTTCCTTGATCGATCTCACAGTTGGTTGTGACGAAAAGTTGGAGGAGCTTTATCTGGGCACCTCAGCAAGATGGGATCTTGAAAGATTTGGAGAGGGCCTCGATCGTGAAAGATTGACCAGGAGAGTCCTGACGCGCTGCGCGGGCTTTCTCGAAATACGTAATGTGAGTGACGGTTGGGAAGTTGATGCGGAGAGATTTTGGCGGTTGGGAGTCAGGAAGAGCGAACTCATGCGATACCCAAACACCATCAACAGACTCGCTGAGATTTGCCAGAGTCACCGCAACCTGCGTGTGTCGTTTCTCCACCGGACTGCCGAGGAATACCTTCAGACCAAGTCAAGCAAGAAGTTGCTCCAAGCTCAACCACTACTGGAACACGAACTCGGCATGAGGCGGCACAAATCCACTCTTGTTTTGATAAAATTATGTGCAATAGAGCTGCACCCGGAAGCGATCAGCGAGAACCTAGCCAGTATCTCTATGTATAACCGACCATTTCTGGATTGCCTGGACAAGCGCAAAGATGTCGCCATTGCAATATCTGTGCAGCTGGAAGAAATCGTCGAGAAATTCCAGTCGCCGGGTAGGTGGATGAAAAGCAAGTGGCCATATCTCACGGACACGGAAAATGTGGACTAGACGAAAGCTTTCGCTGATTTCAGTCATCGAGCCTACACGGAACTCAAACTGAGGATCTCAGGCTTTGTTGAGAACAGAAAGTACTTGACTGAGCTTCTCTGCAGCTGCGTTAGCCGCATTCACTGGTCTAAGCAGAAAACTCTTTTGCAAACATTCATCTCTTGCTGGAATTGGGGGCTGATCCCAATCAAGAGTTGATTGTCGGTTCCGCAGAGCGTGACACGAAGAATTACCTCACGATGTGGACATACATGGTCCTAATGGCCGAAAACAGGTTCAACAAAATTCTTGGGGTGGGGGAAATGCTCCCTTTCATCAACGCTGGAGCTGACCCAAACATTTGGATTCAACTTCTCATTACTCATGGTCATCATGGCCGGGGTATTGGCCTGAAACCGCTATTCTAGAGGCATATTAACCAGGCATTTGTGCTGCTTCGGGCCAAGGTTTGCGATTTGATAACGCCAAATTTAGACTCTTCAGAGGCAGATCAGGTGTATGAGGCAGGGGCGGTCAGCGACCGACGAGGCCTCGTTCTATTTGTACCACCAGAAACATGGTGCACCATAACGTCAGAGACACCGAGACTGCGGGCACATAGTGCTCACTACAACTTGACGTCCGATCAGTGTTATCTTAAGAGGGTCTCTCTTGACCACCTACCGAGAGATGATTTATTGTAAGCCGAAGATAACCAGAGGTTTTCCGACAACGGAATCGACGCGTTCCGGACAGGGGGCTATTCTGATGAAGAAATCCGAGAGCTTCCAATCCCGCAGACGATATGGGAGGACTATAAAAAAGGAAAAGGCCAGATACACGACATGGATAAGACAAAATTCATCGAATTGTGGCAGATTCCAGAGAAAATTCTAGTGAAAGTGCAGAAGAACAGCATGACGAGGACAGGCGCAGGAAAGAATCATGGAATTCTGGCCTCAACCACTGGACTCAGAATGCTGCGTTATGTGGCATCGGCCAAGGTTGGGCAATACAAACCCTCCAAGGGTATCTAAGTTCTTGAAAAGCCATGCTATTTTCTGTCCTCAAGACTGTTCATCGGCAATAGCCACACCCAACTCGCTATCTCCCTGTCCTGTTGGATTGGTCAGCCGGATAGTACCGTTCGATACCTACTCAAAGAGCAAATCTTCAACTTACCAAAGTACAAGTACCACTTGCCCTTGAACTGCACCAGGCCCTCTGCAAAGACCACCTGGTTCACCTGGCCCTTTTGCTCATTCCCAGCCTCGGGAACCAGAATCGGTCTCTCCAGCCTCGCGACCGGCCCATCTCTCAATGCAGGCTGGTACGCGCCATCGCTCAAGTTCAGGGTCGGACGAAACGAGCCGGAGGGGTCGATGAGCATCTGACCCACCGAATACTGGTTCTGCGGGTATCCCACGCGACCCGTCGTCATCCCGTTGTATATGAGCAACCATTTCCCATCTCGCGTCTTGACGGGGGGCGGGCCGGGTTCGATCAGGCGGTTCTCCCAGGGATTGACGGGGCTGGCGAAGTATTGGTCAGCGGGCAATGCGGTCCAGTTTAAGAGGTTGCGCGAAGTGGCGTGGTAGAAGAAGCTGTCGCCGAAATACATGTGATACAGTCCATCCGCCGTGGGTTCACTGATGATGGCGCCGGATTTGGAATGGTTGATGCGCGGAGAAGGCACGTCGATGTCCGAGTATTCCACGTCCTGATATCCGGGGAAGAGAGGGGGGTACTTCTGCCAGCTTAAAAGATCCGTGGACGTGGCTAGGCAAAGTTGCGGCGTCACGCCGTCGTAGGCCGTGTAGGTCATGTAAAACGTGCCATTGACGCGGACGATGCGCGGATCTTCGGTCCCGCCGAGATGCTCCCACGGCTCGGTCGCATAGACAATCGGACGGTTGAGGCGAGTAAAGGTGACGCCGTCTATGGACCACGCGAGGCCAATGGACGACGTCTTGGACGAGTTCTGTGCGCGGTACAGGAGGAAGATGGTCTCGTTGAGCACGATGGCGGTGGGGTTGTACAGGTACGCCGACTCCCAGTTCGCAGCCGGGTTGGGCCTCAGGATCGGGTTGTGGGCATATTTCTGGAATGGCGTGATCGGGAAGACAGGCGGCGTGTAGTTTGCCGTGTTCTCGGGCGTCGACGGGTTGATGTTGAATGGCAGACTCGTTGCCATGCACGGAGGTGAGTGTGATAGCGACGTCGGCGGGATGGTGAGGAGGCCGGTGTTGAGGATGTGTTGAAATTTCATATTGGGTGGGATCTTTTTTTTTATCCCTCCCCTTTTTTGGTTCCGCCTCGTTTCTTTGTACACAGACCACGATCATTTACTGATCTGTGGCAAACTGTGGGAAATATTGGACACGAGCAATATATACCTGGCGAGCTGGGTAGTTCACTTTGAGTCTCTCGAAACAACTCTGCACTGCTCGTCGATCCTCATCACAAGGTTACAGCCTTTAGCGAAGATATCCCAGCCACCGGGGAAGCTAAGCGGGCATCTTCTCTCAGGGAAGGGCTGGCAGGAGTCATTTCAGCTGTACCGCGTGCATCAGAGGGGAGGGAAAAAGGGACTACCCAGAGAAGATCGCCCATGGCTAGGGGTTGTATGTGTTTTTGCTCCTCGTCTCAGTAGCTTTCAGCATGCGATGTTAACGAGTAAGAGAGACGTTGTATTCATTTAATCCCTACAGGGTACAGTACGGGGTCATGCGGAGTAGATTTCCTCCATTCTGCCTGGGACCTTGGGGTGACCACCTGGTGGCCACCTTCTTTACTTATGACATCTATCTCCCTTCTCTCTTGAACACAGGACCGTCATTTCAGCGTACATTCAGTAAGAAGCAGTAAAAATGCAAAAACAATCAACAGTCAGGATTCCCAAGTGGTCACCCACCTTAGTACTAACTGACCGGCATGTGGCTTAAGTACGGCTGAGCGAACGGGAAGCCCTGTTTTCCACATCCTATGGTCGATTGCGTGAGTTATTAAATAAATGCATAATATGTAGCTTGTACCCTCTGTATACTTGTAGAGCATTAATTTGGACATTCTGGCTCTACCCTTCCACCATCTCCCGATAGGCGTTGGATTCGAATCATTATCACCATGGTATTATCTCTGCCACTTGTATACGTGCTAAGTCGCCCTTGTTGGGCATCTGTACCTGATCTTCCTTACAGCCTTGGCCTCTCTGCACGAGCCCGTACCCCTCTGAGGCATCTCGCCGACGTCCTCAATCTGTAAAGCCTTGTGCCCGTGACCTCAACCTGCCTAAGCCATCTCAAACGCATGTAAGCGCCTCCAACCGCATTGCCCCGAGTCCATCATGCTGCTTTGCCGTTTCGTATTATCTCCATCCACTTCCCTAACTCGGCTTAGGAGCTTCCAAATCAGGGCTCTCCATCTGCTTTATGAATTTCCGCATGTCCACTGACGCAGCATTTCCACGCCAACTTGTAGATTTTGCAGAAGCGCGGAACTTCCAGAGAGGACTTGATGCAGGAGTCCTTCGCTCGTTGTTGCACGGCTGGGAAAGCATTCTCGGCAGGTTGCTTCAGGAACAAAACCATTCGCAGGACTAAATACCTGGAAGTAATTGCTTTGAATAAGTCACTAATAGAATCCGTGTCAAGCGCGTATGACCGTAACACTTACTGATGGGCGAGCACGGCGGGCGATGAGGCCTCTGTTGCTCGGGGATACTCCGGCAGTGCGTTGATTATTGACAACAGCTCTTCATAGAGAAGAAGCACTCGGCTTTCAACCTCCTTACATTGCGGTGGCTCCTCGTGATCAGCGTCAAACAGTACCTTTGTCAATCTCGTGGCAATAAGCGAGACCTCGCACTCGACTTCTGTGAGAGCATCTCTATGTGAAGGAATGGTTGTCACGTTCAGGGGTATGGTGTCCATGGATTATCCTTCTGTGATTCTGCACCGTGCGGAACCGGTTTGAGTCTGCGCGGCGGTTTCATCATTGGGGTTTCCCTAAGTGCAACACAGGTAGCTATCACCGTACTGAGCACGCCCTAGCAGGTTAGGTCGATGGCCATGGATAATTCTCCTTTTGCAGCGTCGGTTTCAAGCAAAGGCTTGCAAGCTTATTTCAAACTGCGGCCTTGATATCTCTTGGCTCAAATCCACTGCCCTTAGCAGGTACTGATACTCCAGGCGATCTTGTCCAGACAGTGAGATTGCTAGAAATAAGAACAAGAGGCCCTGTGCCGTGGGCAAGGAGGGTCCCTTGGCCAACTCGACCTCAAGTTGACTCTTGGCTTCGGCAATGAAGCCATCCATCGAATTTGACATAGCTCCATGCTTGGTCCGTGCTTCTGGATAGTCACTATACGGGCATACCCATGCCAGAAGAGAGATGACGAGGAATTTTGAACAGCACAGCAAGTTCTAGTGACTCAGTCCCATGTCCCGGAGAAATCGGGCTTTGTCTAGCCAGTTAGACCAAAGTTTATCCCAGGTCAGCCATACTGAGATCAGATTGGAGACTAGGTCGTCATCATGAGTCGCATTTGTCCATGATGTAGCGGAAACTCTGACGAGCGGCATGTCCACAAGCATGTGGATTGACATGGCCTATCGATGTCTGTTAATTTGACTCTCACGCCAAATTTCGATCTCGAGCATGACGAATTCCGGCGTCGGCTCGCGGCCCGATCGGCTCAGTCGATCCAATTCTTGCTCGATGCAGGACTTCACCTCCTCCATCGAAGCATTGCTGCGAATCAGCGATATGATCTGCGCAACTTGAGCATCGCTACTTTCTCGTAGATTATCTAAAAGTCTGTTCAGGATTTCTTGATCATGTTGTATTTCGTCATATTTTCGTTGTATTCCAGTAGTTTGTTGGCCGAGACTGTGCATTTTTCCCTCCAGTGTCTGAATGCGTTCAAGACTTTCGGCAAGGTCTCTTGGCCAGAATCAGTAGGCGATTACCGGTGTCGGTGCTGCCGTCACAGCTTACTGCTTGTTGCGCTCTCTCTTGCGGTCGCCATAGATGTACTTGGTATCATCTTTGACGCTTTTCGTGCAGCGCGTCGCACCCGAGCATTTGACCCGCATAAGGCGGCAGCGATCGCATGCATGCCTTGTTCGAGGTTGGGTTACGATGGCATGGAGAGCGGCCGCGAGGGCTGAATCCGACATACGATCATGTCTTGGAGATGCCATTTTGGTACCAGAAAAGAGAATAGAAGCTATGGCGAGTAATGGAACAAAGACAGGCTAGAGAGCAGATTGCTTTCGCCTTTTCATCCCTCGACAACCGATCCATGCGGGGACGTCAGTGGGGAGGCTTCAGAACAAACGTACAGAGTATGTTCTTACGAGGTGCTCAATGGATTGACACCTACATGTCACCACTGACCAGCTTGGAGGGAGGGAATGGGGCCGCAATATACAAAGGCTGGAACTTTTCCCCCACGCCTGGTCTATCCAGTAGGTAGGTGTTCGTTTGTGTTGGCCCCTACTCCCTGGCTAGCAAAGCGAGTGTGAGCTGCGCCAAATTTGGCCAGATCTCGCGCAGCTCGTGGTACGATCTTTACCCTGTACAATTACTTAGTACGAGTTGCCTAACCTTATGACCTACCTCGCTACGGTTCGCTGCCGCGGTCGTTCTTTTCCAAGTAATCAATTAATATTGAGACATCTTGACCTACAGAACTTGTATGCAGACTCCTGGATCGCCAGCCTTGGTCCACGTCCAAATATTTCTGAAGGTGTAGTCGACTTTTGCTTCCCAGATGTGATAAGTGGTACCTCGTACCTCGTACATGGTGGCTAAAACTCCTGCAAATAGCGGGGGCAGATGGTCTTAGCTAGCGCCTTGGCTTTACTTGGCGCTTTTCTAGGCCTCGCCAACGCCTCGATCCAGCAAAGCCTCGTGCTTCGGGCACAGCCTTGCCTTGGACTGAACGCTCCGTCCATCGTTCATTTGCATGTCAGCAGATGGAGGTGGAAAATGCCATCTGACTCTCTCAACCGGGCGTCGAATTCGTCGAATCATCACGGCGACACTCCTTTGTCACCAATACGAGGTAAGCATATCAAATCGCCCTGGTTAATTGATCTCTGCCTGATAGTCTTTACTGCTCTCTCCAATGCTCTGCGTTGACAAGAGTGAATCAGTACACTTTCTAACCTCCCAAATTTTTGCCCCTTCCCGTCCTTTTTGTCTTGTCCAAGCCTCCCTCGACCCTCCACGCACAAGGATTGCCCAATTCGAAGTGGTAGCAAATAAATCCAGGCACCCGAGCAGGATCAACGTGCCATAGCCATCACACCTCGATAATATTCTACACCCAAGGTTCGAGCATGAATGAGCCTCGCGTCGGCGTTGAGAGGGAGGTCGAGGATATGTTTCTACCCGCCAAAATCATTGTCAGCAAATCCGTGCAGATGCTATGGGTGAACAACTAGGGAAGACAAAATGCGTCAACATACCTTTTCACTGACACCATCTTCACTCTCCAATTCCAAACCCCTCGCAACCATTCTCCCCATCTCGCACAACGCTACTCTTTCTTCAAGCTTCTCGCGATCCTTGTTCAGATCCGAGAAGCCCGATCCCGAAGCCGACGACATAACTTGAGATCGTGCGTTCAACTCCGTCAGCGAACCTTGAAGCCGCAAAAGCAGCCCCTTCTTCGCTCTGCGCTTTGTGTCCGCGCTACCATCGGCCGAACCGCGTCGTGTTGGTGTAGATAGATCCATCAGCATCATCAACTCCACAAAATCGGCATACAATTGTCCACCGGTCCTCCACTGGGCCACTAATCCTTCGTCTCCACTGCTTGCCATTGCCGCGTTAACTTTCTGCTCTGCCTCATTCCCAAACCATCCCAATACTTCTCTCAGAGTCTCCCAGTCCTCGTCGATAACCAATCGCGGGGCCACGCGTCGGAGGAAGCAGTCATGAGCGCTGCAAAAGTCTCCTGCAGCGAGGAGATAGTTCAGCTCCGCGAGATGGTTATTGCACGAGCGCGCGTGGAGAGCTTTGGACTGGTGGATCCATGGTGCGGGAATACGGAGAGAGGTTGTGAAGGCTGTCCAGAGTGAAGAGTCTTGGGTGGCGGCGGCGCCGTCGGTACGTGGCGGAGACGGCAATGTTGCGGCATGGCGATTGAGGAGATAGCGAATCTGATCTGCCCGCTGTGCGGGATCGGAGAGGTGCAGGAGTGCATAGACCGCGCCCACAGTGTCTCTACGTGCTGAGTACTCGAACGCAAGAGACAGCGCGAGGTCGTCAGATCGGTTCTGATTGATTGAGATTCCTGGTATCGTGGCGACAATGGCGTGATGGAGACGAAACGTCGCATGGGAGTTCCAGGGTTGGGACAGCGCCGAGAGAGCTTGAGGGAGCACAGGTTTATCAATCTGGCTGGCAACAGAAGCAGTGGCCCTGCTACCTGCCTTTCCCTTGTTAGTTCCACTGTTGCCTGCGAAGATCTTCAATACCACCCATAGGGGATCTTCATATTCGTTCTCCCCACGAAAAGGAGTAGCCGATTCGAGCTTTGAGTTCAACTTCTCCTGGAAATCCGCGACCACTTCATGAATCTCGTCGTTCTTGTGCTTCCCATACCAAAAGCACAATGCAAAAGCCTGGATCCAATCCAACCCGAATTTTTCCGAGATGGCGAACGTCGACGCGCGATCTTCAACAGCCACATTCTGCCTTCCATGTACGATATTCGTGTTTCCTGAGAGTATCTCATACAATGCACGAATCTCCTCGCTCATTTCGGAAATGACCCTCTGACCGCGCCATGCGGAGATCTGATCCGCGATGTCCTCCTGAAAGGCTGGGTCTGCCTGTCCAATTTGCGCCACCAGCAATGCCAGGTTGAAATCCTTCTCTTGCATTAGTGAGTCGCATGCAGCATGGATGCTGTTCGCCGTGAGTTGCATGATGGCTGCGGTGACGCCGTTGAGTTTTGATGCCTCCTTAATGCGGTCACCGTATCGGCGCCACACAAGCTCCGAGAGGTACTTTGAAAGGCGGTCTCTTCGAACTCGCAACTGGAATTCCTGTTGTTGTTGGCGGTTTAGACCTAGGGTGAACTCGTCCTCGTAGTCATCGAAAAGGACATGAAGAAGTTCGTAGATGTCGAGTTCCTCGGCAGCGATACGATGCTGCACGAGGTGATCTCTAATTTGAGAAAAGGTAACCGCGTCGTGTTTGACCGAGGGAACATTCTCGGCGAGCAGCACCTGAACGTTCGTCAATATAGACTTGACGTACATAGCGACCTGAAGAACATGGTTAGCGACTCTGACGACTCTTTAGCAACCCTGACCTTCCCGTACGTTTTCAATGGGGACTGGCTGGAGCGAAGATATAACAACATTCCTGCCCGCAGTTCCGCTATGCGCCAGGACCTCCGTTGTCCAATCACTCTCATGAGGTGCGTCGACCGACTTGTAGACAAGCTGATTTATTGACGTAAAATGAGGCTTGAAACTTGCGTGCCAGAGCTTATCGTTTTCACCCAGTTGGGCTGATTCGTCTCGTATTTGATCTTCGAACGTCTTTGCGCGCTTTGCATATGGGAACTAGAACAAGAAATGTTTCAGCAAATGTGTTTCCCATTAAACTACCTACATATATATGCTATCGGTGACCGTGACCTGTGCCCTGAACCCTGGACATTGTGCGACAATCTGGAATATCACGTCCTTCCTTCCATTTCATGAAAGTCCGACTAATCACGGCCACAAGGTTCAGAAGGACAGGAGGTCGAAAAAATAATGAAGAGGGAGGAGGGCAGGGAGAGGGAATTCAAACCTCAAAATCTGGTCCAGCCTCCGGCTTCCCCTCCTTTCCTTTCAATTGTGCCATTCTTTCCTCGTGTCTGCTGAAAAGCGAATTCATTATGTCGATGCTCGTTCGAAATTCAGTCTTGTTGACGGGCTTGGTGAAGTCAAGACTCGGCCCTATTGGTTCGCATGTGCGGTCAAGAAGGATTTTGCTCTGTGCTTGTCGGAGAGCATCGCGGTTCTGTTTGCGTGGGCTGATAGTGCGTTGGAGCTGTTCCGCCCAGTCGCCGTCAATGTTAATGACGGCTTTTCTGGGCGTGCCCATAGTGCTGTGCTTGAGGATTGGCTTGTTAGGGCTAGCAGTGGGTGGAGGATACGAGCCCACCATGCTCACTTCATTATCATCTTCATCGTCGTAGTCTTCTTCCATTTCAGAACCCGCGGCATGTTCTTCAACAGTCTGAGCCGCGGGAACATCATTTTGGTAGTCGATGATGGATTGTCGACCGTAGCCGCCGGGCAGGGTCTTTTGTTTGAAGGCAAATGTATCATCGTCACCGTCCACGTCGTAATCATCAGGTGCTTCGCTGTCAACATCCATTCCCGAGTTGTCTGTAGATAGGGAGCTGTTCAGTGAGTCCGGTGGGGCTGACAGCAGACTCTGGCCCATTTCATCGTTGTCGTAGTCCAATCCGTAGCGGGTGTAGTGAGGTACTCGGAACGTCCATACACCTGTGGTCACTTCGTAATTCACAAATTCAGTTCCATGCATCTTCTTGAGGCGATTGACATGCTTGTCGAAGATTGGTCCACTTGTGGCGGAAGAGGGCTGACCACGGGATCTCGGCCAGGAGTTTTCGATAGAAATCGTCGATGGTACGTTCAAGCCTTTGCCGACTGGTGGCTTAGAACTGGCATCAGGATAAACAGTGACTGACCGCAGACGGATTTCCACAATCTTCTCGTAGAGATCGTCCAAAGGGAGACTCGTAAGATCCACCGGACCGTTGAACACAACCTTACCACATCCCTTTCGACCAACCTCAAAACCAACAAATCGGGACAGCTTCTCACGAGGCATCTTGCTTAGTTCGGCACGAGTGGGTTTCATCCAGTAGTCCCCCGGCTGAGGATCTGGCTTGGCTTGGACAGTCGTCTTCCTGGAGGTAACGTCATCGGACTCGCGATCTTCGGGAACAACGGCAAGTTCATTACCGCGAACTGGTTCGGCCTCAGATCTGGGTGTGCCATTCACAGCAGGGCCAGCAGGTGCGCCATCAACCTCATCTCGGTCATTCTCAGTCCTCACTAAAGCTCCGGATTCGCCATTCAAAACCCCGTTTGAACCGCCAGCGGTGTCCTTGTCAAAACTCACCCGCTTCTTCAATTTGTTCGTCGGTTCGCTGGCTGAAGACGATTCGCCATTTGCGACAACGGAAACCTCGTTGTTCCCATTGACTGAACGATCAAGAGTGTTTGTCGGGAATGCGGGGAGGGAAGGTCGGCTGAATAGATCGTTTCTGATGCTTCGATCAATGGTCAGTCGGCGCATATTGCCACTTGACCATCTGGGATTGGTGGAAGCGAATGCGTTGGGGCTAAGCACGCCCTCGCCATCTCCTGTAAACTGGGACCTCAAATTGCTGGCAGATGCACTCTTGCCAAACGAGCGACCAAAGCTGCCGCCATTGAAACTCCGACTGCCGTACATACTGCTGCTCAAGCCACTCCCACCAGGTGTGCTGGCTGCACTGTTAGGTGTGCCATAAGTCGAATATGAGAATCCAAAACCAGAACGTCGGGGCGGCGTCATGTAACGAGACTGGTTGAGTCTGAGGCTTGGTGGTGGCTTTGATTGGCTCTCCTTCAGTTTCTGGGTGGCGGACAATGGAGTGAAAAGTGGCTTCGAATTGTCCGGTGTTGGCACTGGCAGTCCAGTCCAGATAGAGGTCTGACCATAAGGATTCGGATCGTTCAGGGACGAAAGCTTGAAGTCAGGTTGCTGCTGGTTCTGTTGGTTGTTCTGTGAAGTACCGAATATGCTTCCAAAGCCGCTGGTTGAGCCGCCGAAGCCTCCTTGCTGATTGTTGGTGGTGTTGAAGAGGGAACCTGTTGCAGGTTTGCTGGCAGTGTTTCCGAACGAAAACCCTGAACCCGTATTTGTATTCGTGTTTCCGAACAGGCCTCCTGACTGCTGTTGGTTGTTGGTATTCCCGAAAAGGCCTCCGCCGGTGTTGATGTTAGTGTTTCCAAATGTGCTTCCGCCAAATATACCGACGGGCTTCTGCTGGTTGCCGGCATTGTTTCCGAAGAGAGAAGTACCTGAGGTGCTGTTATTGGTACCGAACAATCCACCACTGGTACCGGTATTGGGGTTGGTAGTGTTGCCGAAAAGGCCGCCGCTGGTGGGTGTGTTGTTGGTATTGCCAAACAAGCCACCTGATGGTTGATTCTGATTTGCCGATGCCCCAAAGCCAGTATTGCCAAAAAGCGAAGGCTTTTGCTGCTGATTGGCGTTGTTCCCGAACAATCCTCCAGATTGTTGCTGATTACCACCGAATGCGCTTGTGTTCGAAGTATTGGTGTTGTTGCCAAACAATCCATTACCTGTGTTCGTGTTGGTAGTATTGGTGTTGCCAAACGAGAACGATGACGGGGTGCCGGATGTGTTACCGAATAAACTGGGCTTACTCTGGTTTTGGTTTTGACCGAAGAGACCGCCGCCCGAGCCAAAGCCCGTGGTTCCACTGCCAAATGCATTTGTCGCGGTGTTAGAGGTCCCAAATAGACCAGTAGAGGGAGCAGCAGAGGACTGCGTGCCAAACAACCCTCCCCCAGCGGGCTTGTTTCCGAATAGACCACCACCACCAAAACCAGATGTGGCAGTGTTAGCGCCGAAGCCCGACGATGATGATGTGGTCGTAGATCCGAATGGGTTAGGGGTGGAGCTGGTAGTACTGCCAAAGCCAGTATTGCTTGATCCAAAGCCTCCAAAAGTGTTCGAACCAAATCCACCAGCCTGGCCAGTGGTGTTGCCATATTTTCGACCCGCGTTGTAATCTGCTAGACGCAACTCTTCAAACGAATATTTTTGGTAGGGTGGCATAAAGTTGATGCTCTGGTAGTTGCTTGATAAGCCCGCGGCTTCTTTTTCGAGTGTGGGCGCATATGGTGTTGAAGCTGTGCCTTCAGACGGAGCGACGGGTTGGTTGCCCAGAGCCGTTCCGCTGCCAGCAGCGCCGAAAGGACTTGAAGTAGTAGATCCAAACCCGCCAGTGGTTCCTGCACCACCTTGGCCAAACAAGGGGGTTGAGTTGGTGCTGGAACCGAAGGTAGGCTTCGACGCGCTGCCAAAGCTGAACCCTGTGCCGCCCGTGTTGCTGCCGAATGCATTGTTGGTACTTCCAAAACCACCTCCTGAACCAAATCCAGCGTTGGTATTTGAGCTACCGAATATTCCACCTCCTGTGTTTGTGGTTGTCGAGCCAAAGGGATTTGAGGCAGGCTTGTTGCCAAAGAGGGAGCCGGACGTGTTGGTATTGCCACCGAAGCCTAGAAAACTGCCTGTTAGTCTATTTGTCTCCATCGGAGATAAAGAAGCCGTATCATCGACATGAGCGAAGCGGGTTGGAGATTGTCGCCGCTTGGACGCCTGCTGCGAATTCGCCCACCGAGACATCGTTGATGCAACAAGTGAACAAGATCGTGGTAGCAGGAGAAAAAAAGGCCAAGATACAAATAAAGCGACAGCACGGAGGTGCGGCAGTGCAAAAAGCGAGGTCTTGCTGCCTGTGACTGATGATTCACACACCTCCAGTGTTAGATCCGAATGTGCTGCTTCCAAATGGATTCGCAGTCGCAGTGCTGGAACCAAAGCCAGTAGTGCTCGTGTTTGTACCGAACCCTGAGTCGAGAGGCAAAATATCAGACCTCCTACTTGCCACACAGTCGACATGACATCTTACTTACCTGTACCTGTGTTAGTATTGCTGCCGAAACCACCAAACCCGGTGCTGCTCTGATTATTGTTGTTCGACCCGAACGAGAATGCGCCGCCGCTGCTAAAAGACATGTTGGCGGGTATCGAAGCGCGTCTTTGCGCAATGTTTGGAAGCGAAAGATAAGAATAAGGGAGTCAAGAAAGAGCGGAAGAAATCAAACTGGCGATATAAAAGTGGTCTAGGAAATTCGTGACGCGCCCGAGGAGACGAGGACTTCGAGTCGGCCTGGCCAGGATCCCAGGCAGAAGAGCTCTCTGCACAGAATTTATCGACTTAGACCTCGACAACTCGGCGCCTGAATATGGTCGAGGTGCGTTTCGACCAAGTAGAAGGACAAGAAGAGGATCAACGCGCCTCAAAGGAGGTGGATGGAGATGATTTGGCCTCCGCTATAATGGGCGGCGGCCGATCCCTAGATTTAGGCTGCCAAGTCGCGATCACATGACCGCGATGCCACTCCCAAGCAGGCGGCCAATCACCCAGTACGTCATTGGTGCTGTTTTCTCGAAAGTATCGTGGTCTTCTTTGGAATGGCAAGGTCGTCAAAAAGCTGAATTTGAGGCCTGAGGAGCAGCTACATCCACTGCTCTCGTTCCGTACGCTCCTCTCTATTGCCTGCCTCCCAACTTAACCGTTTATGTGTCACAATTTCATGGATCTACCAGAACCTAGACTGAACCTGATCACTACGAAACGCAATCGGACACAATCACTTAACTTCCCTGACTGCTCTTAGGACGAGGGACCACTTTATCTGCCTGTTACTACCGCGGGAAGAGGCTGCGCAGTCACGCTCAAGAAGTAAATCACTGCAGACAACGTGGAGATGGCGGAGATGGAAGAGACGCCAGCGCAGCGACAAGCTCGCATTCGCCAAAAGAAGCGTGAAGCGAAGATTACGGCGTCAGCAACGGAGAGACTCGACAAGATTACAAGGTTGAGTGGAAGGACTCCAGAGAGCAGTGAGTTCCACTCCCGATAGAGATCTCAGATATCAGAAGGCGAGACGCGACGCTCAACAACAGGACATTGCCAGGACAAGCAGGTTAACAGTTGCCATTTACAGTGCGAAATGAATCTCCAGTGCCAACACCACCCCCGAGATCTCCGGAACAGATCGCTCCACCGGCCGCAGGATCTGGTGCCTCGCCCACTCCAGAACAGCTTAGAGCGCAAGAGGAATATCTAAAGGCAATGTTGAGACAGCCGCTGTCACAAGAGGGACAAAGCCAAGCACAGCAGGAAGACATCATGTTGAAGTTTCTCCAGACAATGGTAGGGGGAATGGACGGTTCAACAGATTCCAACATACCTGGTGGTATGGGTGCCGGCCCCGGATTATCTCCCGACGACATCTCAAAAGCAACAGGCCTTCCTCCCTTTCTGACCGATATGATAATGGGAGGCCAGAAGGCGCCACCTCGACCAGCCGAGATACAAGCGACACGCTTCTGGAAAGTCGTGCATGTTGTTTTCGCCATGATGGCCGGCTTATACTTGGTGTTCATCATCCACAAATCCAGTCAGACCTATGGTGAGAATCTGCCGGCACCAGCAACCTTCCAGAACCCGTTTATTGTGTTCATGACCGGAGAATTATTGGTCCAGGGCGCGAGAGCGGCATCCCAGGGCCAGTCGGGCAAAAGCGGGATAAGGCTGTGGATCCAAATGGGCAAGGAATTCATCGGGGACGGCGCGATTATGGTGTTCATGCTGGGATTAGCGTCCTGGATGAAAGGAAGCTGAACGTGGAAGTACTCCGTATAACAGTACAAACTACAGTTGTTGTGGCAATGTTGCTATTGTCAGATGAGATGCTTTTCAAAGCTTTGCGCCAGGTCCCCGAACTCGCGCCTTCCAGTTTGTTCTGGCGGCTGGGCGAGACAGTCGGGCGGAGGCATCACACCACAAGCTTGGCTCGATCAAATGTGACATTGCGGCATCTAGATCGCGAATGGACCGTAAAAGGGATGTCCGTGGCATGGATTTAATTCTACTGCGGCTACCCAGAGGATTTCTCTCGGCTGGGCGCAGACTTTCGGAGGGTGCACGCTGCCGTTGGCCTTAGCCGGGGGGCGTCCAGTTGTTCGGGGCGCCATTGGAGCACCGATTATTCCCTACATCCACGGTCAGAGGGTCAAGACGGTCAGATGTCATTCTCCAAGGGCGATGATGCAAGGCCGAGACAACTCGATGGAACGCGAGACACTGTTTATGAGGGACCCCGCGGGGTATGGGCTTGGGTCCCTTGGTATGGCAATGCGATGAAAAGCATCCCCTCGACCCTGGAAAACTCGGTGAATTCAAAGATGCACGAGAGAGGAAACAGACTGGGAGGATCGCGATCCCCTAGCCATTGTCCAAGACCCAAGACTGTACAACCTGGGCGTCGTGACTCGCTCCGTAATATCAGCATCGCCATCCGCAACGGATAAAAGGAAAATGGAGGGGCAAGGGGTAAGGGGTATGTACTCCGGATTGGCGCGGGCATCGAGGAACAGCCAATGCCGGCCGGGAAACCCAATCGAAACAGCGCCAGCCTTCCCCATCCGCGCGAGGATTCGCGAGGATTTGCATCTGATTTCGTCAGACGGCATCTGAGAAGCTGGGTTTGCGGGAGACCTTGGGATTTTTGGGCAGCTCGTCTGCTTGAAACACTGCTTGGGGTGGCCGTTCGCCGCTGCGGGGGAGGGTGGGCGGGAGCGACAGCTGCGGTGGTCTTCCATGTCGCTCATCCGTGTCAGTACAGTACGTCTGTTCTGCTCGTCTGCTGTGTTGAATTCAAATCGTCATTTCTTCTTGTTGAGTCCCTACCTCCCTGCACTATCCTATATTAGACCTCCTGATCTCCCCGCCCTCGATGCGGGTCCTGCTTCCCTAGTTCCAACGTTGCGCACTTGAGGACACACAGACGATATAAACACCCACCCACTCCCCTCTTCACGTCTGTCCGAGCTCGACTTCTTCTGTCACGCTTGCTGTCCCCTCCTCTCCCATCGCCTAGAAACGTCGCCGAGCAGTCCACAGAGACCAATATGTCTGAAGGTGACGTCCAGCCTCCCAAGAAGGGCCCTGTCGTGGTGAGTAGTTTTGTCTTGTTCCTTTCCTCCGGCCTTGAGTTGGGTTGGTCTGTTTCTGGGGCTGACCACGAGCACACAGGCTGAAGCCCACGAGGTCGACACCTTCCAGTAAGCTTCGGAATGCCGGATATCAAACCCCCAGCACGGCTGGCCGTACTGACCCAGTTGCAGTGTTCCCAAGCCCTTTTTCACGAAAGGCCCCGGCCAAGCTCACATTAAGGACCTCGACGAATACTATGCCATGTACAAGGAGTCCATCGAGCAGCCGGATAAGTTCTGGGGAAAGATGGCCCGAGAGCTTCTGGACTGGGACAAAGACTTCAAGACCGTCCGCTCTGGCTCTTTTACCAATGGCGACGCCGCCTGGTTCTTAGAAGGCCGTCTCAACGCCAGCTATAACTGCATTGATCGCCATGCCATTAAAAACCCCGACAAGCCTGCCGTGATTTACGAGGCAGATGAGCCAGGCGAGGGCCGCGTACTCACCTACGGCGAGCTCCTCCGCGAAGTGTCACGAGTTGCCTATACCCTGAAGCAGATGGGTGTCAGGAAAGGCGACACTGTTGCGCTCTACCTCCCCATGATTCCCGAAGCGGTCATTTCCTTCCTCGCCGTCACCCGTATTGGTGCCGTGCACTCGGTTGTGTTCGCCGGCTTCTCGTCCGGCTCACTGGCGGACCGGATCATTGACGCCAACTCCAGAGTCATCATCACCACCGACGAAGGAAAACGTGGCGGCAAACTGATTGGCACCAAGAAGATTGTGGATGAAGCCCTCAAGAAGTGCCCAGGTGTCACTCACGTGCTCGTCTACCAGAGAACAGGGGCGGATGTACCCTGGACAAAAGGCCGAGACTACTGGTGGCATGAAGAGACCGCGAAGTACCCCGCCTATATTCCCCCAGAGTCCATGGCCTCTGAGGATCCGCTGTTCCTGCTATACACATCGGGCTCCACCGGCAAGCCCAAGGGTGTCATGCACTCGACCGCAGGGTATCTGATTGGCGCTGCAGCGACCGGCAAGTACGTTTTCGATATCCACGACGATGACGTCTTCTTCTGCGGTGGCGATGTCGGCTGGATTACCGGCCATACCTATGTCGTATACGCACCCCTCCTCCTCGGTGTCGCGACAGTCGTTTTTGAGGGCACACCAGCTTACCCCAACTTCTCCCGCTACTGGGACGTCATCGACAAGCACAGCGTGACACAGTTCTATGTCGCCCCGACTGCCCTCCGCCTGTTGAAGAGAGCTGGTGATGAGCATATCCACCATCAACTGCACAAGTTGCGAGTTTTGGGCTCGGTCGGTGAGCCCATCGCAGCCGAGGTCTGGAAGTGGTATTTCGAAGCTGTCGGCAAGGAAGAGGCTCACATTGTTGATACCTATTGGCAAACCGAGACTGGCTCTCATGTGATTACACCGCTGGCCGGTGTGACGCCTACCAAACCCGGCAGTGCTTCACTGCCTTTCTTCGGTATTGAACCCGCCATCATTGATCCGGTCTCCGGTAAGGAAATCGAGGGCAATGATGTTGAAGGCGTTCTGGCATTCAAGCAACCGTGGCCGAGTATGGCGCGAACTGTTTGGGGTGCACACCAGAGATATATGGACACCTACTTGAACGTGTACAAAGGTTACTACGTAAGTCTCCTCGTGGCAGGACCAAGGGAACAATTGACTGACGCTGACAATAGTTCACTGGTGACGGCGCTGGACGTGACCATGAAGGTTATTACTGGATCCGGGGCCGTGTCGACGACGTTGTCAATGTCTCCGGACATCGCTTGTCCACCGCAGAAATTGAGGCTGCCTTGATCGAGCATGAAGGTGTTGCAGAAGCTGCCGTGGTCGGTATCAACGACGAACTTACTGGCCAAGCCGTCAACGCATTTGTGTCACTCAAGGATGGCGTTGATAGCGGTGAACAGACACGCAAAGACCTCATCCTTCAAGTGCGGAAGTCTATTGGTCCATTTGCAGCGCCAAAGGCCATATTCGTTGTTGACGATCTCCCCAAGACCCGTTCCGGCAAGATCATGAGAAGGATTTTGAGAAAGATCTTGAGCGGCGAGGAAGACAGCCTTGGAGACACCACGACACTCAGCGACCCAAGTGTGGTTGACAGAATCATTGATACAGTCAAGACGTCGAAGAAGAAGTGAGGGAGAGATAGATAGGGCGGTGCAGAAATAAATGTGACAGATATACCCTCGGGAACTTGAATTTCTTCGTTGGATCTCAGCTTTGGGGAGGTGGGCCAGCGGAGAGTATATAGCCAAATTTTTTTTGCAACAATCGAGATCCAGAAAAATGATGTTTTTCACAATAATACAGGGCTTCAATGTGCTTGCATTGTGAATTCATATCACAGCAGACCTGCGCAGAGCACTGAGTGATTGTGTCCTAGCTACTTAGAACCCCTATTCTTCAAATCCCTGATCCTTGTTTACTACAAAGGCTAGTAGATTTACGCACCTCATCTCCGTGTCTCCAACTTCCAACTGCGTTTCGGCAACAGCCAGTTCCCTCTCCGAATTGTGCGAGACCCTCAGTCACTCAGGCCAGATTACCGCGCACCCACGCATCCCATGGGATCCCAAACATGTCATTCCCCAGTCGCGCAACGGAATCGATCCTGCAGGATGTGTCTGCATCGTGCTCTGAGGTTGTGATCCACGGCCTCTGTCCTGACCAGGATGACCTGCCCAAGCTCATCTGTGGCCCCTTCGTATATCCGCATGAGAAGGTGAACTGCCAAGGGATTGTCATTGCAGATGCGCCAGCGCCCGGCACAGATCCTCTCTGAGAGCTGGAAGTCATTTGTCGAAGCTTCGAGAGTCGGACGAGTTGGTCCGCGGAAGACTTAGTATGATGGGCAGGTGGTTGGATATATGGCGAGCCTGAAGACTCAATACCAGACTGCGAAGATTGTATCTTGGCAAGATAGGTTGAATCTCATGTCGGTGGCGACAGGCACAGAGCAGAAGCGTTTTCACCCAACTTCTGGGTACATATTCTGATGGCCTCATGAATGTTCTGTGTCAAGTCCGAGACATAAAACCAATAGCTTGATTAGATTTACGACAGCTGGAATGTCTCCAATGATCCCGAGGTAGACGCCGCCAATTCCAACCAAGTCGTTCTCTTCATGGAATATCATCATTTCGTCAAACACAGTCAGTCGGAAACGCTCATTGCAGACAAATGGCATAAAAGGCCTCTTTTGCAACGCTCCCTGTCCCGTCATAATCAAACTCTTCCACCATGGCTTGTATTTCTTCATCCTCGAGACCAGTCTCACCTAGTTCCCGAGCGACTCTGCGAATATCGTCGACTTCAATGTATCCTCTCTGATCTGGATCGAACAACTGCAGGGCCCGTTCGACTTCTTCCGTGGGATCGCGTTCGAATATCTTTTGCGCTGCTATCCGCTGGAACGCGTTTTGTGGTAGGAGGAGCTGACTAGAGTGATATGTCTGTTGTCCTTTGACAGGAGGCCCTCTCTTAAATTGTGGCTTTGGTACGCCTTGCGATTGCATTATCTGCGCGACTTCAGGTTTCGGCACCGAGAACCCTAGGGACCTCATTGCCACGCGGACTTCGTGATAGTCCAGGTGCCGATCCCGATCGAGATCGAACAAGGAGAACTGCTCGTCGACAAGTTAGCATCAGACAGCGGACATTTAAGAAACACGGTGCGTACGGCTTCATTGATTTCATCTCTTTGCTCCTCGCTCAATTCGCCGAGCGCATTCGATTCCTTCTCCATGCTCTGCCTCCCGGCCAGCACGCCATGCTGCGGTTGTGGCGCTGCAGTCTGTGCAAGTTGATATTGTTGCTCGGGACGTCGCCCAAATGTCGACTGGGAGTACTGTTGCGAGGGTAGCGTGATGCCAGGCTTTTGCGTCGTGCGATCGGGCAGCTTACTCGAGGACGCGTAAAGATTTCGACCTGGGAAAGTCGGATTTCCTTGCGACATTGACCCTGCTCGAAGTGAGGGCAGATGCGCCTTCCGTCACCTGGACTCCCTTTGACGCGACATGAAAGATGTACTTGTTATGTAGAGTGAAATAGTTGAGGAAGGGGAAAGTCAATTGTGTACCGAAGGGGATGAAGGGGACGCGACCGACTTATTGGACGCGACTGGGAATTCCCTCCGCACGGGTCACGGTCACGGTGGCCGCTCTCGCCGCCAACCACTGACGACTGCACTCGAACCTCTCCCTCCTCTCTCCCTCCACATCCACCCGCGTCGGTTAAATGAGGCCATAACTGTGGTCTCTTGCAAGCATTGGTTTAGGCCACCATGGTCTTGACAATAATATGCACAGAGCTTGTAGCTTGCAGAGAGTCATCATTCATTTTGACTACGACTGTTTCTACGCCTCTGTCGTCGAAAATGAGAATCCGGCGCTCAAATCAGTGCCTCTGGCCATCCAACAAAAGCAGATTGTGGTGACTTGTAACTATGAGGCACGACGACGAGGTCTACGGAAACTACAGCTTATCACCGAAGCCAGAAAGGTGTGTCCAGAGGCGGTGATTGTCCTAGGTGAGGACTTGACTCGTTTTCGTGATGCTTCAAAGGATCTGTACAATTTCCTCCAGCAGTCTATCTGGAGCGGGAGAGCAGAACGACTTGGCTTTGACGAAGTCTGGTACGCCACCCGTCGCCAAAATTGTGTGCAGTCAGCTGACATCGCTGTAGGCTCGACTGCACGGATATGATAGACTACAACATCGGTTTGCTCAATCTTAACGATCTTTCCCATTCCTTCTTCTGCATGAATAAGGACGATCCTACCATAGGCTTCGCATATGACGCATCCAACGTGTATGGCCCTACTTATCCGTCGAGTCCCTGCCCAACTACGGTGCTGTCGGAGCAAGATGAAGAGTTGCGACTTCGCTTTGTGCTTGGGAGTCATCTGGCAAGGCATCTCCGACACGAGTTGGAGTCTCAGAAGGGCTATACATCCACTGTCGGAATCGCTATGAACAAGCTGTTGGCGAAGTTGGCTGGGAATGTGAATAAACCGAAAAATCAAACAACAATCTTGCCACCCCGTGAGCCGCTAGGCGATCCTGAGAGGACTGTTATCCGATTCCTTGATGACCATGACATAGGAAAGATCCCTGGCATTGGATTCAAGCTGGCTCAGAAGATCCGTGCGCATGTGCTGGGTCGAGAGGCGGCTTTCTCTGAAGGTCCGACGTACGCAGGCACGAAAGAATTGGTGACCGTTTTCGATGTTCGTTCCTATCCAGGCATGGGTCCTAAGCGGCTCGATGAAATTCTAGCGGGCCCAGGCTCGTTCAAAGGCATTGGTGGAAAGATATGGGACCTGCTTAATGGAATGGACGACGCGGAGGTCGCGAAAGTGAGGCGTGTCCCCTCACAAATAAGCCAGGAGGATTCGTATATGAAGTATCTACATACATTTGAAGAAGTCAAGAAACAGCTCCACATCTTGGGCGAGAGATTGATTCGGCGCATGCACATGGATCTTTTAGAGGACGACGACGATGGTGGGGGAATAGGTGATTGCGAGACCTTGCGCCGTCGATGGATAGCACATCCACGAACTTTGCGGCTGTCCACAAGACCTCGTCCGCTGTCTGGCCCGGATGGAGGACGGGCGAGGGCATCTCAGCGCATCTCTCGCTCGGCACCCATGCCGAACTTCGTCTTCAATCTGAACGAGACGCCTTCTACACTCGCCCTTCGTCTAGCCGATGAAGCCCTCGTTCCGATGTTTCGAAAACTGCATCATGAACAGGCCAGCTGGAATCTCAGCTTGATCAATGTTGCTGCCACGAACATGGCAGAAACAGCAGCTGAAACGAAAGAAAGCAAAGGGCGAGACATTGGAAGGATGTTTCGGCGACAGGACGAAATTCTCAAGGATTTCAGAGTGACTGCCCCCTCAGAGGAAGTGAACGACACTCGGTCGGCGATTCCGGATCGTTCAGCTGCTCAGTCGCTCGACGCCATGATGGCAGAATCAACTAGTGACATTCCGGTAGAGGATGACTGGGACTCTGAAGATGGCAAGAGCCAGCAACTGGAGCGGTGCGAGATCTGTGAAAATGCCATTCCCGCATTCGCATTGGCTGCGCATCGGAGGTATCACGATTTAAGCAATTAGACGCAAGTTCCACCAGGTTCCAGATGAGAACAGAACTTGATGAATTATGATGAGAGAATGGCTGTCCAAGGATGCGTGGATGCAGGTGGCTCAGCCGTATCTACATACTGGTACTGGGTACTCAAAGGCGACACCGAAATGCTGCCCAATTCCGCCACCCATAACCCCGGAGCTGGAGCCACAATTTTCCGGCCAGATTGCTTGGGTGCGGCGGGCTGGGCCGCTTGGCAGCTCACTCACATCAGAAGGACAACTTGCACCACGCTGACTGGAGTCGTCTATTTTCAACCAACTCCTTCTCTCGCCTATTTCTGAATCCCGATCCCCCATCCATCCCCTTGATTGTTACCCCAATAGCATCACTCAGCCCGTCCATTTTGGCCTCACTGGCCTCTTCCCCATCCCCGCTACTTCGGGCAGCTCGATGCTGAAAATAGAGTCCAGCGGTTGCGGATATGCGATCGAGGCCACGTTTTGCCTGATCTCCTCTAGCATCATCCTAGCATTGTTCCTGAATCCTGCTGATCCTGCTCCTTGGCCAAGACGAAGTGCCCCGACTCTGCAAGCTAATGCGCGCACCCAGGACCACCAGCCCTATCCTTCCCCAGCTCTTCCGCCGGCCCAACAATCAAGCCTTACCTTTTTTTCCATTCCCTCCAAGACACACCTAACCGCCGACACCTAGTCACCGGGCCTGGACAGGACAGCAGGTCCGCACGATGCCTGAAAGAGCAGGAAAAGGTCCCAAATACTCTAGGATTTGCCAGCATGGGGTTTCCGTAGCTGGGCAATGACGGCAAATATGGGAACATCTTGTTTCGTGGGCTGCGTGCCCGGATGACGCGGTGGGTACTTACCACCTTATGTCCCTTTAAACGCCTCCAGCATATCAGCTGCCTATGCCCGGCGACCTGAGTCAATTTTCTTTAAACAGTGCTGCCTATATTGTCTTCATACGTGTCGTGATGCTTATGTGAGGCTCAGAGGCGCCTTGATTACGCCTTCTCTTTTAAACAGGGCGACTCAGTGCCCAAGATACTAATAGGAAGGCTCTGATGATCTCAAATCGTGCTCACCCCTTTACGTGCTTATGCACCTCCCGCGACCATCCCGCAATCTCAACTAAAAGCCCTCTCGCTAGATTCTCCTACCCACCTAGCCGACCCTAAGAACCACGGGCATACACGAGAAGTTGGGTGGGAGAAAGGAAAAAAGAGTTTCTCGATTTGATGAGTGGGCCTTCAGCAGTGTCAGAGGCCTCTGCCGAAAGCAAAATGCTTGCCATATCTATGGCATCGCCTATGCCACATCTTTTATCTCGCCTCGACCCGATTCATCCATTATCGATGTTACCGACAGAAAATGCCCGGCATGTCAACCCTCCCTCGCCGGCGAAGAAACCGAAGCTGTCGCTAAGGACTTCTGATCTCGCTCCTACATTTCAGGGCTCGACCGGTCGTCAGAATGGTATTAATATGGGCGCCACCGCAACCCCAACGACGCTAAACACATTCAGCAATACATTCGATCTTGCATTCAGACCATCACCAGTAACTACTCTTCCATCACCGGTATCGCATTCGCAACCGAGAGGAAGCGCACACCCGACTTCCCCAGTTGTGAGGTTATCAGAGCACCCTTACGCCCTGAATTTGCCCTTTGGAGTCCATTCAATATTGAAGAACAGTCCGCTTCCTCGGGATATTCGCCGCCCTTCCGCCAGCGCAAGCCCCCGAGTAGCTGGTCGGCGAGTATTTTTCCCAGCACCTAAGAAGGTTGCTTTCCGCGCAGAATTGGAGGAAGAGATTGTCACGAAGAATTACATTACGCGCCACGCAGACTTGAGTTCATCCGATGAGGAATCTACTCCTTCTGAGAATGACGACCAAAGTGGAACCTCCAATGAAGAGGGAGAAGATGGCGGTGGCAATGGCCGGGAAATCCGCGTGGATGAAGTCTCGCCGCGTAAGAAAAGAAAGCGGAGGTCTACGGCAGTCTCCCCTTCGTCCTCGTCTGAACTAGACCAAGCCAGCTCAGAAAAATCCCAGAGCACATCAGCAGCGAGGTCGAAGCGGAAGCGAAGGAGATGGGAATGGACTCTAGAGCTATCGACACCGAGCCAAGCTAGTTCGGAGATACAGTCTGAAGACATCAAAGGAGACCGAAGAGCTCTAACGGAAGAGCCGGGGAGATGTCCAGAGGCAGATATAACTCTGGATAGGTAGAGTGCTGAGCAGAATGAGGAAGGTAATCAGGCTGATGATTGTTCAAATCGCTGAAGAGTCGCTCCTCAAAAGATCTGTATTTATGAAATGATCATCAAAGTAGTCTGAAAGAACGAGAGAAAAACACTTATGTATATGTCGAGACGATTAGAGAGAGACGGGATACGATGAACCCACCAGCTCGTTTTAGCGCCTTGCAGAAACGTTTGCGCGGCTTTTGAGACACTTCAAACGATTTCTCTGCAGGAAATCTGGAAATTCGCAACACCTTTCCCGCCTCACTTCTTTTCGAGTTTCATAGGCCTTGTTGATTCGATCAGTCTATCTCCCACTTCTAATCGCGCTGCCCACGATGGATAGATCGCTGAAATGTTTCACCAATTGCCTGCTTTGTACCTCCGGCGAACTGGTGGCTCAAGATCTTTACTTCAGCACTGAGCAGGGCACCATCACGCCCAACTACTACTATCGGCAGGAAGGCGTTGAGCGAATAGACCTAGATGGTAAAATTGTTGCACCAGGGTTTTTGGACTTGCAGACAAACGGCATGAAGGGTGTCCATTTTACGCAATTGGCCCTAGGCAATGCTCCAGGGGACGATGAGCGGAGGTTGGAAGAAGTCAGTAAGATGGAAGTCTGTCACGGGGTGACAGGTTGGTGGGCGACTGTTCCTACGGTGGACAAGGACCGGTGGAAACAGGTAGGCTGATGATGTTTCTTCTAACCTGTGCATTCCCTGGAGGACTCGCCCGTCTATTTTCACCGATATGCTGAAGTCTTCTTCTAGATAGTGCCAGTTTTGAAACCACGAACGTTTGTCTCCGGGGCCGACTTGCTGGGAGCACACGTCGAGGGGCCGTATCTCAATGCCTCGAAGAAAGGTGCCCATAGTGCCGCCTACCTCCAAGAGCCGGCGAAAATATCCCCGCAGGTCTTATATGGCGACGACAATCTCATAGACGCAATCAAGCTGATCACGCTGGCACCGGAGCTGCCCGGCTCGACCGCGCTGGTGGACCAGCTGCAAGAAGAATATCCTCATATTGTCATCTCACTTGGACATTCGGCGGCCACATACGAGGAGGGTCTCGCGGTTTTGCAACTGGGTGCCCGAGCATTGACGCATGTCTTTAACGCAATGTTGCCTCTGCACCATCGCAATCCTGGACTCGCTGGGCTGATGGGGACTGGGAAGTGTTATTACTCGATCATCCCGGACGGCATACACCTGCACCCCTCACTCGTAACTCTTTGCATGCGGACCGACCCAAGGAAATGTATCTTCATCACGGACAGCGTCGAACTCGCTGGCTTACCGGATGGCGTACACGGTGGGCATGGCCAGATTGCACAACGGCAACTTAAGCAAGGCAACAAAGCCACCATTGAAGGCACAGATACGTTGATTGGTGGTTGCTGTACGCTGGACGAGTGCATACGGAATGCGGTGGCATTTACCGGGTGCAATCTTGCTGAAGCCGTGCAATGTGCCACGGAAAACATTGCGGATATGATGAGCGAGAGCAAGAGAGGAAGGCTCGAACCTGGTCGACGCGCCGACTTCGCCATTCTGGACCATGAGGGGGTTGTTCTGGAGACGTGGATCGGGGGAAGCAAAGTATGGGCAAGGATGTGATGGGAATGTTGAACAATCGTAGGTGTCAACAATGACAGGGATTTGGAAGAGAGTAGCGGAATGACGAGCAGATGGTTTGGTAACACCGTTCGTATGTACTACGCAGATCGAGGTACAAAGACACAGAGTTAGAACAGTGTCAACGGAGCTTGCGCCTTCAGCCTCAAATCGGCTGCTCTTCCACTTCGCCATTAGCGGGCTGCCGCTGGTTAGCTTTCTGCAAGTTCCAGGATTTCTGGGTGTTAGCTGACGATGGCGTTGGCCCTCTAGATCTTGATCGCCAGCTAAGCGGCGAGCTTTCGCCTAATTAAGCCCTGCCGATACCCGGCGAGCCCACACCAGCCCCGGGCAAGCCCAGTATTGACTCGTTGTTGGTCATTTCAGGCTCGAGGCAAGCCACACACGCCTTTGTTACCCGCATCCAGCACGGCGAGGGGCGAGATGGGTGGCAGCTTGGTGTTGTGGGTGGTGGGTCTGGTAGTGCCGTTACGTCACTACTGATTGGGATAGACATCATTCTCTTCAAAATTCACAATGGAATAGCCTCTCCCAGGCCAGGCTGCTCTTCAATCGTTTCTCGACATCTTCCTTTATTTCCTCAAATTTGCTCCTTTCTTCATTCCCAGGGCTCTTCACGAAGAATACTAAGTAGTCCGGCTGGCCTTTTCCTCATCCCTTCGACCTCCTTTTCAGATCGACCCCTGTCATTGAGGGCTTGTCCCTGGCTCTAGAGGTGACCATGGAGGCCCAGCAACAGAAGTCAGGAAAGCCATGGAGCGGCACAAATCGAATCCCCAACATCAAGGAATTTGTTGCAAAGCTTGATAAGGACAAGTCCGAGAGAGACAAGGCCATTGATGGACAGAGACTCGCCGAGGATGCCCAGCTGTATTCCTCTGAAATCACTCCGCACAAGAATGAAAAGCAAAAGAAAGAGGGCAAAACCGTGACAGATCCAGTCACTGGCAACCATGTCGTCATTGCAGATGTAGGCAAGGAGTACATGGCGAGGGCCGACAATCCCCAGGTTTGAATATAACTTCCCTGAACAACCAGGTTTCAATTGACCTTGACTTAGCTGTCGGTGCCAAATGCCAACCTGGGCAGACCTACCACGGTTTCAACAGACCCTTCCCAAAAGAACCCGAAGTACAAGGAGAAGCAGGACATCACTGCTCTTCCAGACCCAGTCGCCGAAGGCAGCACTTCCGACGTCCCTATTCATGGAGAAAAGACCAATATTCTGTTCCATCCAACTCCTTCAGTCAGTTATGAGCCGATGTTTGAACTTCTCGAGAACCGGGCTGGTGGTCTGTGCATTGCCATTCTCATCTCCATTGTCGTCTTTGGGAAAATGTTCGGTGGCTCTCTCAAGGGGCTGGTTCCTCTCGGCATGTGTCTCGCTTCCGCCATCTGGCTGTGGATGAAAGAGGTTGTACGAAGTGGCCGTGAGGTGGAATGGAGCAGTGAGAAAAGCAGAGGAGAGACTGTGAGACTTTTCATCCACCTGCCACAACATAGCCTACAGCTAATATCGACAGGCCGTGGCAAACCTTCTGCCTGAATCAGTCGAATGGATGAACACCTTCCTGAGCGTCGTTTGGGGTTTGATCAACCCGGATATGTTTGCTGCCGTGGCAGACACCCTGGAAGATGTCATGCAGGCCTCTGTCCCTAGTGTCATCAACAATGTTAGAGTTGCCGAAATCGACCAAGGAAGCAATCCTATTCGCATCCTCAGTCTACGGGCACTGCCTGATTCAAAAATGAACGAGCTCAAGAAGAGCATCCATGAAGAGAATAAAAAGACAAAGGACCCACAAGAAGCGGCAGCCGACGAAGAAGGCGGCGACTATTACAATCTCGAGATTGCTTTTGCATACCACGCCAAACCCGCCGGTGACCATGCCTCTGCTTCCTCGAGAGCACGGAACATGCACATGAACCTCGTCTTCTATCTCGGCATCAAGGGGCTGATTGGTGTTCCCTTGCCAATCTTTGTCGAACTTCAAGAGCTTGTCGGAACCGTTCGCCTGCGATTGCAGATGACTCCCGAACCACCATTTGCAAAGAGTCTTACATTCACGCTGATGGGCGTCCCACATGTCCAAGCAGGTTGCATTCCCATGGTTCAGAAAGGGGTTAATATCCTCAACCTGCCACTGATTTCAAACTTCGTCAACTATGCAATCGCCGCGGCGGCAAGCATGTACGTTGCGCCAAAGTCGATGCAACTTGATCTGAAGTCCATGCTGCAAGGAGACGGCATCACCAAAGATACACAGGCCATGGGAGTCATGTGGATCCGAGTCCATCGCGCCATTGGCCTCAGCAAACAAGATCGTCGTGGTAGCAAGTACGGTGGAAGCGACCCCTACATCAATCTGTCCTTTTCGAAATACGGAAAGCCGATGTATTGTACTCGTGTCATCACAGATGACCTCAACCCTGTTTGGGAAGAAACCACTGCCCTTCTGGTGACGCCTGAGCTCATCAAGGCCGATGAACAACTCAGTGTCGAGTTGTGGGACTCAGACCGCAATTCTGCAGATGACATGGTCGGAAAAGTGGAGTTGTCGATGCAGAAAATGATTCAGCATCCTGGCAAGATGTATCCTCAGATCTCAAAACTCGCTGGCACTCATCAAGGAAGTGAGATGCCGGGTGAGCTACACTGGGAAGTGGGCTACTTTGGCAAGCCCAAATTTCGACCTGCCCTTCGCACCGACGGCAAAGACCAAAACCTACCGGAAAAGCTTAGGAACGATGAAGAGCTCCAGGACGAGAAGGGTGTTATTGACTCCGAAGATGCGGATGCTGTGGCGCATACGCCTCCTGATCCGTTGTGGCCAAGTGGCATTTGTAGCGTCATTATCCACCAGATTGTCAGCCTCGAACTTGAGAACATCAAGGGCAGCGACGGCAATCGGAAAGGTAAAGAATTTGAGCCGGCTAAACCCTACGGTGAGGGTACAGATGAAGAGTCCACCAGTAAGATTCGAGTTCAAGATTCTTTTCTTCCCTCGCACTGACCCAATATCAGAACTCCCGACCTCTTATTGTACCATCCTGTTTAATGATACATTGGTCTACCGCACTCGAGCCAAGGCTGTTAGCAGCAAACCTATCTTCAATGCTGGCACGGAGCGCTTTATGCGAGACTGGAGATCCGGAATAGTCACAATCACCGTTCGTGATCAGCGCAACCGAGAACACGACCCAATCTTGGGTGTTGTACCTCTGCGCCTGTCGGACATCCTCACCACTAGTTCCCAAGTCACCAGATGGTACCCTCTTGACGGTGGCATTGGGTTCGGCCGTATCAGGATTTCGCTGCTCTTCCGAAGTGTGGAGACTCGCCTTCCTCCTAACATGCTGGGCTGGGATGTCGGCACTTTCGAATTTATTTCTGACAGAATCGTGGCAACCGGTTGGAAGGCAAACACAAAGCTCAAACTCCGCACAGGCGGCAGTGTTGGCAAAATTCCCAGGACGCAATGCCACAGCAACGAGGCAGGCGATGGAGTTTATTTCGATGTTTCCGCCGAGGCCAATAACCATATTCGTCTGCCTGTCAAGTACCGATATCGATCACCAGTCATCTTTGAATTCCATGTGGCGGGCAAACGCGGAGCGGTCGCCTATGCTTCCATCTGGCTTCAGAACTTGGTGGACAACGAAGAGATGCCAATTAACATTCCCATTTGGACAACCAAGAATGGCAACCGACTCGTCCAAAACTACATCACTGAAGAGAATGTCGTGGCGTTCATGGACAAAGGCTTGGAAGACCTGCAGGAGGTTGGCAGGCTTCAGTTCCGAGGTCGCTTCAAGGCTGGCATGGACGAGTCGCACCGGGATTTCATTGTGGACAACAATAGTCGGGAGACGTACGAGACGTTTGAAGCATGCTTAACCGAGGGCGTACGTGGGCGAGTTGTTCAAAGCGAGGTACCCGACAATATTCAGGAAATGCACGAGGCATCCTTGACAGAGGGACGTGACGTTCTCAACCAAGAGGTGTCGGAGAAGGAGAAGCGCAGGTGGCTCAGCAAAACCGGCGAGGACTGGTCTGGAGCATTCAGCCATGATCCAAGGGCATACACCAACAAAAATTATGACAAGATTGCCGAGCATGGTACTGACGAACCTCCGCATGATCCATATAATCCTTCAGACAACGACGAGGATGATGCCGAGCCTTTGGATGATGACTCGTCAGATCTTGGCATCACCGATGCCACCAATGTTCCCGAAGGAACGTTCAAGAAGGACCCCAAGGAGGTCGATGGTCTAAATAGTTATAGTGCGGAAGTGAATGGGAGGCCCAGTGCTGATACTACTGCTACAGGCGAAACCGGCTACACGACCATGACGGAGGGATCAGCGAGCTCAGTGCAGCCGGTGCAGAAGAGAGATAGGGGCTTCGAGAAGAAGGCTGGAAAACGAGCGGAAGAGCGCAAACACCGAGGACTGTCGCAGTGGACGCCGGGAAGAAATGTCAAGTTTGCTAAAGATGAAGCAAAGATCGGGATGAGCAAAATCAAGAAACGGTTTACGGGGGGACTTGGTGGTAGAGAGCCCGGGGTTGAGAGCGAGGCGTGAACGAGAGAGGCCGCTAATAACGTCTGGTTTCGATTTTGTTGGAGTCAATGGGTCTCTCCATGAGGAAAATGGATGGATATCCGTGACGAGAAAGTTGGAGTGAGTCTTGAGGGATGAAGAATTTCATAATTGTGAAATTGATAAGGGCTAGGGAAGAATCAAAGATTAATCTGTCTTCGCCATATTGAGGGTTTCTGGGGCGCGTCAGAGCTGTTTCGGGGACATTGGAACCATGAGGGAGAACGGGACTGCCGATATCCTTAGGAAGGAGGGTGGTCATCTCCGTATTACTCCGTACCGAGTACGTACAATACGAAGTGAAGGACTGGGTACCTAGGGATCTCTTGTGGTGAATGATCTCCGCCGAGGACGCTGGCTATCTTAGCAAGCAACCTCTACTCAATACGGAGTATCTCGTATGCTCTTGCATTCGGATCGAATTGCAAGTATTTACTCGGCAGGGCCACCAGAGCCATGGGTATTGATTTGAATGGTATGAGACGTCTTTTCCCTTGGGAGGCCGGGAGGGGTGTAGATCTTAGGGACTCGGTGGTGATGGATTAGCGGTCGGAAGTTGGCTGACCGTGGCAGTGATAATCATGGATTTCTTTAATCAGTTAGCGGTGCCTTAGCAGTTGCTTGGCGACTCGTAATGCTGGCGCTGGGGCGGCGCCGCCCCCTTCTGCCCCCGTGATGCCCGGGATCCGTTTGCTTGGGGTGGCTGAGCCCACCAACGCCAGACGCCGACGCTGTTGACAAACCCAGCCCACTCTGGTACGGCTGGGCGAACTGCTCCTCTTCCTCTTGCTCTCCTCTACCAATACCGAGTACTACCATATTGCAACTTTGTCCGCACCACCCCCGTCTGGGCGTACGACAACGACATTCGTTCTTCTTACTCTGCACCTGTCGCTCCACCTTGCTTCTGTGTACAGTACGCAAGACATTATCAATTCCTCCGGCCTTTCGCTTCCATAATATCATACAACATCTCAGGCTGCGCATTCGATACATCCGCCCTGCCTTATCACACCCAATTTATATAGCAACCGTCGCCATAGAATTTCTACCTTCTGCTGACTGACTAGCACCGTCTTGCTGCTCACTCGGACATTCGCTAGTATAACGGTCGACCTCGACGACTTGTTTGCGCCTTCAATGCAAACTGAACAGAGAGTCGTCTGAGCACCCTGCGCACCTCCGCAGCCTCACCTCCAGCCTAAGCTCTAGTCTTCCATAAGCACAAGATGCGCCTTCTTCAGAAACTCGCCACGACCGTCGTGTCAGGTCTATTGCTATTGCTCGCGGGCACCGTCGATGCACACTCCCAGTCCAGAAACCCATTAAACTACCTCTCATTAATTGAAAACCCCCGAATACAAACGCCCTCGCAAAGGGTATACTGCACCTCCAGCTTCGATTTGACATTCGACCTCCACCAGAATGCCCAACATATTCGGCTGAGCCTTGAACCTAACCATGACATCATCCATGAAGACTCCTATATGGAATTTATCGACAAGGATGGCAACGTCAGACACGTCGAGAAGATGCAGCGCGAGGACCACAAGATCTATCAGGGAAAAGCCTTTCTCGTCGACGACGAGGGAATAAACCGACATGTCGGCTGGGCTCGAATTGCTGTGAGGCGGGATGGCGTCAGACCTCTCTTTGAGGGTGCCTTCACAGTCATGGGCAATCACCACAATGTCCAACTGAAGTCGAACTACATGGCCACCAAACACGACCTCGATCCCGAGCTGGAAGAAGATGACGACGAGTATATGACTGTTTGGCGTGACTCGGATGTCAGTCGACAACCTCATACGGACCTCAAACGAAGTGCTAGCTTGACCTGTACCTCTGACAAACTGGAGTTCAACACCCATCCTGACCATCCCATCTACCGCGACTTGATGCTCAAACGTGACGATAGTTTCTGGGGCGACATAGGCTCCATGTCCATTTCCAACCTGTTTGAAAAGCGCCAGAATAATATCGACGGCGGCGGTGTGGGCTCGGGCAATTCGGCAGGTGTCAATCTGGCTTCCACCATTGGCAGCACCGCTGGTTGCCCAACCACTCGCAAAGTTGCCCTGGTCGGGGTGGCTAGTGACTGTACATACACCGCGAGCTTCAACTCAACCGATAGCTTGCGGCAATACATTATTAGTCTGGTCAACACTGCTTCTGAACTGTACCAATCTACCTTCAACATCACTCTCGGCCTTCGCAATCTGACCGTTTCCGATGGCGAATGTCCCGGAACACCAAGCACTCAAACGCCATGGAATGTGGGTTGCTCTAGCAGCACCGATATAACACAACGGCTCAACCTCTTCTCTACATGGCGTGGTCAACGAGGCGACGATAATGCTTACTGGTCTCTCTTCACGACTTGTAACACGGGCGCCGAAGTTGGCCTGGCTTGGCTTGGACAGCTGTGCAACCACGGTTCCACTTCGCAGCAAGACACTAGCGGCAACTCTCAGAGCGTGACGGGCGCCAACGTGATCGCGAAGACCTCGAGTGAGTGGCAAGTGTTTGCTCACGAAAGTGGGCATACCTTTGGTGCCGTCCACGATTGCGATTCCAGCACCTGTGCCGATTCCAATATTGTCAACTCCGGTCAATGCTGCCCCCTCTCATCCAGCACCTGCGATGCCAATGCTCAATACATGATGAATCCTTATTCCTCGCCGGACATCACCAAATTCTCGCCTTGCTCGGTCGGTAACATTTGCAGCGCGCTGGGCCGCAACTCCGTTCAGTCGCAATGCCTCACCGACAACAAAGGCGTCGTGACCATTAGCGGCAACCAGTGCGGCAATGGTATCGTTGAGGAAGGCGAAGACTGTGATTGTGGCGGCACCGAATCCTGTGCAGGAAACAGCTGCTGCAATCCCACGACTTGCAAGTTCAATTCAGGCGCTGTCTGCGACCCCAGCAACGAAGGTTGTTGCACGTCGACTTGCCAGTTCGCTTCTGCTGGGACCGTCTGCCGTGCTAGCACTGGCCAATGTGATCCTGCTGAGACTTGTTCTGGTACTAATGGAACATGTCCGACAGACACCACCGCGCCCGACGGAACCGACTGCGGTAGTGGCCTTGAATGTGCCAGTGGCCAGTGCACAAGTCGAGATCTCCAGTGCAAGACCCTCATGGGTAGCTACACTAGTGATAACGTTACTTATGCCTGCAACAGTCAAACTTGCACTTTGAGCTGTGCCAGTCCAGACTTTGGAGCAAATGTGTGTTACAGCATGCAACAAAACTTCCTGGACGGGACTCCGTGCGGCGGCGGAGGGCGATGCGAGAATGGTGTGTGCAAGGGCAGCACCATTGGAGGCGAAGTCAAGTCGTGGATTGACGGCAATAAAACTTTGGTGATTGCCCTTGCTAGCGCAATCGGAGGCCTGCTGCTACTCGCTATCCTCGGATGCTGCATCAGGGCATGCAGACGGCCAAGGGGGAAGAAATTGGATGGCATTGTTCCTGGACAACGTCGACAACGACGAGGGGTCCAAGGTGCACAACGTGGAGGTTGGGATGGACCTCAAATTCCTCCACAGATGAGAGATCGTGGATATGGGGGCGGGTGGGAACAGTCGCCTGTACAGATGACTTCGCCACACGGTTGGTATCCTCCTCAACCACCGCCTGCGTATGGGGGCTGGGATAACTATCCCCAGAGAGGGCAAAGCGTGAGGTACGCATGATGGAGATGGGCGGTGGCACGGACTACTGTACAGATGAAAAGAGGTGGATAATGTACAAGCTTATACTGGGCAGAGGGGCATATGCCTGGGTAGATTGGGTGTGAGAAGAACTGGTGGAATCGCTGCATATTTTGCGCGGCGTCAAAAGGGTTCGGGTATTTTCTTTCACTTGAAACGACCTCCTGACGAATAGAATCGAATGAACGATACAGATGATCAATCCACCTCGAGACTACTCTCTTGCTGGGCTCTGCAGGCGCTGCTGGATGTTTGGTTCATGGTATTTGAGTCGTAGTAGCGCAGCTGTGGGGCTGATGGAACCGGGGCCAGCGCCGTGCGGTACCTGGTACTTGGTACACAATCGGGGACTCGCCGAAATCAAAGCCCAGAGAATGTCGCCATCTGACGCCGCACACACGTTGTGCTTCTCTCGTAAAGGGCTTGGCGGTTTGTGGGCGCGAGCTGCACGATTGAATGAGAGAGAACCAGTGCGTCCAAAGATATGATGACCTCTATTTGAAGTGAGGCCGCCCTGAATGCAGTTTGAGATGGTGCTACTCGGTTCCTCGTACATTGAGACATGATGTCAGACTGCCGCGGTAAGTGGTGTGTGGTGTTGACATGCTTTGCCCCGATCTCGCAATCATTTCCAGCCAGTCTCACTGGTCAATCCATCTTGTTTGCGCAACTCTCCATACATCAATTTTGTCCTCCCAAGTCACACTCCGAATTTTCTCAGCGTAGTTTGACTCTTGTGTCTCAGGCCCCATGAACCTCAGCTTCTCGACGACCACAGCAGTCCGATCCGCCTCTCGCCCAGTCTTTCGAGCAGAACTCCCCCTCGCTGCTAGAGGTGGTCCATCGCATTCGAGTCGCCCGCGCACTTCTCGCTGCAATTTCTCGTCGACGCCTAAGATGGATGTCAAGTTTGCGCCTGCGAAGCGCGTCGCAGGGCAGAGGCAGGATGTCTGGTCCATCGTCAATGAGGCCGCTGCTGCGTCGCCCATGCAGCCGATTGTGAACATGGGCCAAGGGTTTTTGTGAGTATGCAGGCACACACTGACATCACCGCTCGCGACCGTCGTGGGCAGGACGGAGGACTAATGTGGAGATCAACAGTGGCTACAATCCTCCCCAATTCATCATTGACGCTGCGAAGAGTGCTCTTGACCGAGTAGAGTGCAATCAATATTCTCCCACGAAGGGCAGGCCAAGGTTGAAAAAGGCGATTGCCGATGCATACTCGCCTTATTTCGGCAGAAAGTTGGATCCAGAAACCGAAGTCACGATCACAACGGGGGCCAATGAAGGCAGGCATCACGAACAATTGAGGATGGATGATCTCGCTGACAGAGGCCAGGCATGTTGAGCGCATTCATGGGTTTTATCGAACCGGGCGACGAGGTCATCATCTTTGAACCGTTCTTCGACCAGTATCTCAGCAATATTGAGATGCCTGGCGGAACAATCAAATATGTCCCTATGCACCCGCCTGCCGACGGCGCGGAGCGAACATCCTCCGCCGCGAATTGGACCATTGATTTTGACGAGCTGGAAAAGGCGTTCAACCCCAAGACGAAGATGATTGTCTTAAACTCACCTCACAACCCTGTCGGGAAGGTCTTGAACAAGGAAGAGCTAATACGGATCGGCGACCTATGCTTGAAACATAAAGTCATCATCTTGTCAGACGAGGTTTATGACCGATTATACTACGTCCCTTTTACACGAATAGCCACGCTCTCTCCCGAGCTCGCCAAAATAACACTCACGGTGGGATCGGCGGGGAAGAATTTCTACGCGACGGGCTGGCGCGTAGGCTATCTGATCGGCCCGCCAGAGCTGATCAAATACGTGGCTGCGGCACACACAAGAATCTGCTACTCAAGTGTCTCCCCTTTGCAAGAGGCTGCCGCGATTGGATTCGAACAGGCGGATAAAGTTGGATTCTGGGACCAACAAATCACCGAGATGAAGGGCAAAATGGACCGCTTCTGCCAGATCTTCGATGAACTGGGCATCCCCTATTCAGTTCCTGAGGGTGGCTATTTCGTGCTCGCTAACCTATCAAAGGTCAAGCTCCCGGAAGGCTACAAATTCCCGGACCATGTCAGAGACCGACTGCGGGATTTCAAGATGTCGTGGTTTTTGATCATGGAATTGGGAGTTGCGGCGATTCCGCCGAGTGAATTTTATACGGACGAGAGGGCACATTTGGCGGAAGATTGGATGCGGTTTGCGGTCTGTAAGAACGATGATGTCTTGGAAGATGCAAAGGACCGATTGAGGGGCCTAAAGAAGTACATGACCTGATTGACAGCATGCTTTATATAGGCTTCGCGGACGTTGCCATAGAGCGTGAGATACTAGATAAATACAGCATGAAGAAATCTATGTATTTGATCTCAATGTGGTTGATGCAATATTGCCCCATGTGTAAAAGGGATGCTCAGCCTTGTCACGAGTGGGGTTTACTTAACGCGTGTCACGCAGCGGATCTCAACTCCAACTGTTGGAATCCGCAGGCACTTTCATCACCGTCTCGGACTGTCTTTCCCTGAGTTTTTAGATTGCTTCCTAGACACTGATATATTGAATTATGAACACCCATCATGGTCGCATGCCCAATCTGCGGCAAATCTGTCAAACAAACCACGATCAACGACCACATCGATTCCAACTGCACCGAGTACATTGAGAGTGAAAGCAATTCTACACCCGGGGCGGGCAAATTCTTCAAGACGCCTGTCGCCAAACGTGATGCTTTCTCCTTCTTTTCGTCCTCCCAGCCAATACCATCTCCTAGCGATACTCGACCGCCTGCTGCCATAGCAGCGAAACGACCATTCGCACCCACTTCGACGCAGCAACAACCCAATGGACACCCCGTTATGAAGAATGAGGAGACAGGCACATCTCACCATGGTATTGAAGCAGCTGCACCTCAGAGCAAAAGGCCCAAACACAACCCCTTTGAAAAAGCAGCCCCGCTAGCAGAACGTATGCGTCCTAAAACCCTAGATGAAGTCTGTGGACAGGACCTGGTCGGCCGCGATGGCGTGCTACGAGGACTGGTCGAACAAGACCGCGTCCCTAGCATGATTCTCTGGGGTGCCGCAGGGACAGGAAAGACGACCATTGCGCGCGTTATAGCTGGAATGGTTGGCTCGCGCTTCGTCGAGATCAACAGTACATCTTCTGGGGTGACGGAGTGTAAGAAGATCTTCGCAGAAGCCAAAAGCGAACTGGCCCTCACGGGTCGCAAGACAATCATATTTTGTGACGAGATCCACAGATTTAGCAAGAGCCAGCAGGACGTTTTCCTCGGTCCGGTCGAAGCTGGACATGTTACGCTGATCGGCGCCACGACCGAGAACCCTAGCTTCAAGGTGCAGAACGCTCTCCTTTCGAGGTGTCGGACGTTTACATTGCAGAAACTCACCGACCAGAATATTTGCGACATCCTTCATCGGGCGCTGGAAGCCGAATGGAACAATTACAGTCCCTCTCAACTCGTCAATGACGAGTTGATCAGATACCTCGCCGCCTTTGCTGACGGCGATGCCCGCACGGCCCTCAACCTCTTCGAGTTAGCTATGGACATCTCTCGTCGACCCGGCATGACTCTGGTGGATCTAAAGCAATCGCTCACAAAGACGCTCGTCTACGACCGAGCCGGCGACCAACACTACGACACTATATCCGCATTCCACAAATCTGTACGCGGCTCCGACCCTAACGCAGCGTTGTACTATCTGGCGCGCATGCTCCAGTCTGGAGAAGACCCACTGTACATTGCGAGGCGGATGATTGTGATCGCGAGCGAGGATGTCGGATTGGCGGACAACTCGCTCCTCCCGCTCGCGACCGCAGCATATACAGCTTGTGAGAAAATTGGCATGCCTGAAGCGAGAATCAACCTTGCTCATGTCACTGTGGCGTTATGTCTTGCTCCCAAATCGACGAGGGCGTACAGGGCTCTTGTGAATGCAATGCACGCTCTTGAAGAGCCCGGAATTGCAGGTCTGCCGGTTCCCATCCACCTAAGAAACGCGCCGACCCGGTTAATGAAAGAATTGGGCTACGGGAAAGAGTACAAATACAATCCGGATTATGTTGATGGGAAGGTTAAGCAAGATTATTTGCCTGACAAGTTGAAGGGCAGAGAGTTTCTCGAGGAAAGAGATTTGGGGGAGAATATCGATGATGATTTACTAGAGGAAGCAGGATCAACGGAGAATGGCAAAGTCGCCAATGGAGAGAATGGAAACGGATGAGAAGATGTGGAGGAAGGTTTGAGATCATGAGAGCACGAGTTTTGACCACAGCTAAGGTTTCAGTCAGAGAAAGCTGGAGCTTCCACTGAAATCGTGACGATAGGTATCTTTCAGATCCTATTGTCACCAACCGATGCCAAGGAGGAGGGATGCAGGCTTCACCTATCCAGCAACTTGACGTCTTCTTTGTTCCAACCGGGGTCGGGTTTCATCGGAACAATCTCGCCAATGTCTCTCTCCAAATCAAGGCGGTAGCTCTGACTGCCTTCTCTTAAACAAACGCTGGTCGAGCTTGTCTGTCGACTTCTTCCATACTGGATAAACCATGATCAGCCTGTTGAACCGGCGGCGACATTCAGCGCTGCCAACTAACCGACCTTTGTTCCGTCTCCCTCGTCAACACTCCCGCAAGAATCACTTTGCTGCAAAATCCCTGTTCGACTTGAAATCCCTGCCTCGACAAAGTACTGAAGCTGGCAAAAGCCATAAGCCGTCCGGCCTGTTGCAAATCGGTCGAATTCTTCAGCTGTGCTGGGTTGAGAGAACTACTGAGGATCTCCCGGGCTGAGCTGGCATTGGTGGGGGTCTGCGATGAATGTGTGTCTGTTCTACTCGGATCAGAAGGAAAGTTCTGAGCAGCGACTGGTCTTCACTCGGCGCGAGAGCCCTATTCATGCCCGAGAGAGGGGTGCATGTGAGAAGAGAGAGCTCATTCCATGGCATGGGCAAGATACAGTAGGCGTCGACTGCACCGAGGAGAATACCAATCCATGAATATAGAGAAAGACGGAGGCGACCAACTGCATTTGTCGAACTCTTGGAAAGGAAAGTTGGCTAGCTTTGTATAGAGGAAGCTACCTTACGGATGAGGGAAGCATGAGCTTTATTGTCTATCTCCTAAACATCTAGCGACAGAAATACAGCACCTCGTCCAAACTGAAATGAAGTGAGGCCAATTCCTGGTCTGGGTCGCTCGGTTGCGATAGAGGACGCCTCGACTTTGCGACGAGATGGGCCACCATCCCTGTTGACAATTTGATTGACCATGACTCGCGCCTCTGACAGCCGCTGGCGAACCATCTCGTCAAGGCGTCCGGGCCAGGCGCCTGATAGTCTACCGACCTCGCGGCGAGGAAGGGAACGCCAACACAAGCTCGTGATTTGGCAAGCAACGCTGGTCTATGAGCATGACGATGCTGGGCAAGGCTGCCAATGCTGAGTCAGAAAATGGTTGTGGGAAAGAAAAGGTGTTGCGCATTCAGGCTCGTAGTGTACTCGGTCGAGAGCTTGCGCTTTTCGGTGTTTTGCATAAGGCCTCCAGTGTAACTGCTGTTATGTACACATAAAGTGGTAAAAGCTGACATGATGGGACTGAACGTGCGATGATCATGAAAACCAAGGGATTCTAGAGACATGTAAATAGGATGTAGAACTGCAGTACACCATTCAGCCAGCAAAGTACTATGACGATTCGAATTGCCATCGCAGGAGGAGGAATAGCCGGCCTTTGCCTGGTTTGCGAACTCCTTCAAGACCCGCAATTCATGTCCAGGTATATGAACAGGTCCATCAACACCGACACAAAGGTAGCGCTCTTGCTCTGCATGCAAATGCCACCGGGGCCATGGGCCTCATAGATCCAGCCATAAAACAGACATCTTTCCGAAAAGCCAACAGCATGTTGAAGGATGATGATGGGAGATGGCCACGCGCGTCATTCTGGCCGAAGGGAGAGGCCAGGGAGAAGTCATTGCAAGGCTGGGGCGGGCAAAGGGACGCAAAACAGTGGATTGTCTCATCGGCGCCGACGGCATCCACAGTGTGACGAGACAATATGTGCTGGGCAGGGACCATCCAGCCACACCCCCTGTGAGTCACGATCGATGGAAAGGACTGGGGGAAATTTGCTCATGGAGGAGGTCGAGAAGACACTGTCGTCGCGGTTTTTGAGATTTGTCCCTATCCTGTGTGGTCCGAATGGCTGTTTCAACATGACGCCCATACATTATGGAAGACCATGAATATCGTTTTCTATACTCGAGCACAAAGCGATGGGGAGGTAGGAAAACTACCGAATCCTGAAGACTTTGTCAGATACGATCCAGATTGCAAGAAGATGGTCGAAGTGAGTTTGTATGGCGCCGGGAAGAAGAGTTCTGCGCTTACTTGTGTTCTTAGTTGATCCTCAAAGCATTTGAACCAGACGAGGTGTGGGCTATCCATGATCACGACGCTGCGCCTTACTTCAACAGGGCAGAGTTGTCATGATAGGAGATGCGGCCCATGCGACTTACCCTTTCATTGAGCAGCCCAGGCCATTGAAGATGGAGCTGTGCTTCACGCGCTCTTTGCACATGTCAAACACAAGTCTGAGATACCAGCTGTTTTCACTGCTTTTGACGAGATTAGGAGGTCTCACGCCTTGCGAGCGGTAGAAATGGCGCGGAATGCTGGGCTGATGTACACATATGACTTTGAGGGATTTTGGGCTGTCAGCGATGGTGTTGAGACACTCAAAGATAGTTGGAAGAAGTTTGCGTCTTTCACCAACGACGTGGATCTGGAAACCAGCATCAGATGGCGATTTCCGTCTTTCAACGCATTTCTGGCTGGCAGGTAAACGGGGTCCAGTGATATCGACGGCGTCGTGCGGGGGAAAGCGAGTATTTGCAGCTCAGGGTGGTCGTATATAATTGAGTTCAAAATGTGCGGCCATTCTGGGATGAATCATCTGGAGGTATTCCATATTCCCTAGATGTATGCATGGTTGTTACAAACCGGTTGAATTAGAGTGAATCTGAAGAGTGAGAGAAGAATGTGTTGTGGGGATTGAATTGGCAATTGGCGGGGAAGGCGCGCTCGGCGGAGTGCAATATTGACACCTCAGGAGCCAGAGTTGCAACGCATCAACCTTCTCATTCCGCTGCCAGACTGCGCCTCTCCTTTCCTGCGGTTGAAGCCTCATTTTGACACACAATAGACCAACGATATCTTCTACAATAGCTCGGCTCCCACGCGTCCAGTTGAGACCCCCACCCAATCCCTTAGTGAGAAGCTCCAAGTTCTTTGTCACAGCGTGCAAGCATGGCTGCGCCGCCGGAGATCACTTGCATCAATCTATCGGGCAAATTCGTCATGGTGAGGGTCTCTTGCTTTGGAGCTTCCGAGTCGATCTGACAGGACATGAGAACAAAACCCTTTCGGACGACATCGACTCAATGCTCGCTCTCCAGGGCCTGAGCTGGCTCACTCGAACTGCAATCAGCCTGGCGACGGTCGTAGTACGTCAGGCACCGTGATAATCTTCTTGTCCAGGCTGACCTCGTGCAGCTTACCATCAAAGAATACAAGAAAGATGACGTCTACCATGTTGACATCACCTCAGTTGCCTCGGGCCTCACAACGACTCAAGAAAATCGCACGCTAGATTGGCAAGAGCGAGATCATCATGATCGCATCTTCGGGAACTGTCGGGGCAAGTCAAGACTCTGGAACACAGGCGAATACAAGATGGAAGGCCCCGGTACAGAAGAGGATGCAGTGTTCCTGCAGGCACAGAAGCTCAAGGACGGGCAGACAGATTCCAAGTTTCTGGACGACGAACATCTTCAAAGTTGGGTGAAGAACATGGACGAGGCAGGCTGGCAGGCTGAGCAGAACTGGGGTTTCGAAGATATCAGTGGTGAACGGCGATATACTCGGCGGGTATTGGTCTGGAAAGAAGGTGAAATTCGAAGAGCCCGGCTCGTGTATGACTACAAGGGACAGGCTGAGAAGAAGGAAGATGACGAGGATGACCTGGCATATGGCGAGGATAATGAATGAGCAACGAGCACAACAGTACGGAGAGTACAATGATACTCACAAGCATGGAAACAATGTGCATATACTTTAATGCACAGGGGGGGATGATACTATGTCGGCCCCGGGAGGCGGCACCAGACGGCGCTCCATTGACATCCTCACCATTGCGATATTTCCACAAACATACACAAAGTATATACCGAGCAAACGGACTCACATATAATGACACAGTCTGTCACGGAATATGTACCTTGAGCGTGCCCAAGAACGTCACAGTGGCTGCCACATCGAACATCATTGACAGTATAGAATGAATGACAGAGGGCCCCCGTTCCCATAGGTAAACAGCATACGCATTGTAAACGAAGGGCGTCTTCGGTCTAATAGTGAATCGCTCTCCTCTTGTTAGGCTGTACCATTTTACTTTTGAATCCGGCTCGCAAGTTTGGCCGAGGTAGTCAAGCTCGTGAGATATACCTCTCTGTCTCGCCGTGTATCCAGTACTTGTACCTCTCGCCTCGTGCCGCATATGTGGAAGAATTGCGCAACCGCTGACGTTAAACGTCAGGCTGGACAAACTCTTTTCCGACGCTATTGAGCCATTTGCGCTGGACGCCAAGGCCGGATACTGAATGCGGAAGCCATCGCGACGAACCATTCCACTTTTGACCCTTACATGCGTTGATTGAGGCTGCGCGGGCTGTGTCGGCTGCTTTGGTGGCTGGCAAATTCTCCTGTATCTTTTTGGATTTCTCCTTGGCTCTTTTTTTTTAGCGCCCAAAATGCCTCACAGGGATTATGTGCCCGCTTACCCTGGAGATGGAGCTAATGAGGTTCTGTCGATGTCATAGTAACAAAAACAATATGGACAGACACGTCTATATAACGGTAAGCGGACCCCGTTGCCTGCTCCATATTGGATCGGTCAAGACTGTGAACTCCTATCATCGAATGAGTGAATAGCCATCGAATATATCGCCTCACAAACAGTCCTAAACACACCCCTCAACATAGCAGCTAACACAACTCTCAACACAAAAATCTGAACACCAGCAATATCTACATCGACACCGCCAACACAGAGCAACTACACGCAATGGCATTTCTCCACCGTAGCCGCGAAAGTGAAGAGGAGGTAACCGGTCGCCGTCGGAGCAGCTCCCTCCGTGACCTCCAAGCTCGAGCATACGCCAAGTGGGTTACTGCGGGCACAGTCAAAAAGAGCAGCCGGACAACTAGCTTCGAGGCTGAGAGGGCGCGGCGACACTTTTGGGAGGAGGAAGCTGCCCGCTTTGGAATTGTTATGAGGACATGAAAGCCAAACTGTGTTTTTGGGCGTTTTCTTTTCTTGTCTGTGAGCTGATGCAAGATTGCGCTGTGTCGCCCTGGAGCTGGAGGTATTCTAATATGTACGAGCATCGGGAAGCTGAGCATGGTAAGGGGGTATTTTATGGTCCACAGCACATTTTGTAGAGAATAGGCATGGCAACCTGTATCCGGCGAGCCTGATAAGCAGGTTCCAATTTCAACCTCTGGACTCTTCTCAATCGACCCCATTCAATGTGCGTGCATTGTTCTGGCTGAGAATCTGATGCCTATCCTGCGAAGGAGTTCTCTTCTAAACTCTGCGGCGCCTACTCTCATCCGGTCACCAGCACCTCGATTCTCAACGAGTCTGCGTGTCAAATACTGCATACATTCCTGAATACTACCCCAGGTCAGACACTTGTACACTTTGGGTATATAAGTATTGGCCGGAGCTAGATTACCCTCCCTCCTCATCTTGTCCGCCAACGGCAGCAGCTCGCATCCGACATCGTCAGCCATTCCCTGAAGCTGCCCGAACTCTGGGATGACTTTCAACTTCGATTGAGCCGAAAGTTCGGATGCTAGACGAGCTGCTCTCCGAATACTGCTGGAGTTGTGACCTGCCAGCAGCAGATCAAGCTCTACCGCCCGTTGGTTGCCCATTGCTGGAAAGTTCCCGCAGAGGAGGTCCTCGACAATGCCATTGTACGAGGCGTCTGCATGCGTCTTGGTGTCGTGGGTCGCCTGCCTGATATCATTGTTGATGTAAGCGCCACGAACTAGCTTGATGCCCAACCGCCATCCTTGCTCCCGAGCAAGCTCCAGCTGGTCTTGTACTTTGTCGCGCGAGGATTGAGGTATACTTGGATTGTGTTGTATACCAATGCTTGCCTTCCCAGCTCATTGTAACGGCGCATAAGATCAAAGGTTCCTTGATCGATGGTGGCTTGCAACGCTTGTTGTTCTGCGTCGATCCATATGCGACATCCTCTGGCAGCAGTACGCCGGCAGATCTTTTCCCATGGCTTCGACAAACATGGGTGGAGCTTTTTCACCCATCATCAAAAGGTTTTGTGATATGTGTCCCCGCGCCACTGTACCTAGACGTTGTTGCAATCTCCATTTCAGCTGCAAGGGCCAGCGACGAGACTTACTTGACGCCTAGCCAGTCTCCTTCTCCAATCATTTCCAAGGTCTCGAGGTTACCGTCTGCCCGTTGATTTCTTTCTCTCTCCATTGTCACTGTTTGCGTGTCATCATGGCCGATAAATCTGTCGCCCTGGACCTGAAGTTCTCTACCATAACATAGGAAGACACCGGAGAACCCCAGCTGTCTGATCTCACACGATCTTTTTCCAATTTCTGCCCGATTTCTACCCGCACAGAATTGCTTGTAAATTAGGGGATGGATAAATGTGCGAAGCAATGGATTCCTGTCTGGGTTCAGCCATGTTGATCGCGAATTTGCAATCTCTCGAACAACAAAACCCCGGGTTTAAAGAGCAAGAGAGGGGTGAAAAAGGACTCAACAGCAAAGTCCGAAAATTGCTTGACGTTGAGAGACGCGCCAATGGAGGCGATGCAAAGACATCCGGCTTTTCAGAACCAGCAGATGAGCTTGCTTTCCTTGCTCTACGGTTGATGATTGTCTGAGGGGTTGGAGATGAAAGGGGCCTTCGTTGATTGCACGCAACTCGCAAAGGTAGTCGAGCGCCTAGCCGAGCCCCGAGAGAATCTGTGAGGAGTGAAGCCATGCCAGGCAAAGCTCCAATGAGTTCTCCCTGGTAAGCAATAGCATTCGGAGCTGATTTATAGCGTTGAGTGGGAGAAGGTTCTCGTCGTGGAGCCTGATCATGCGGCATCATCTACGCAGTATGTCGCGCTCAGCTGGCACATCCATTGACTACCCCCGCCGATGCTGTTCATGCACCACGGTGGATTGAAAGTAGGACAATACGCTGGTTTACCATTTGTGCCCGATATTGGAAAATTAACATTTTAGCGCAGGTGTCTGTTGTTGAGGGCTTGGAACCATGTAGAAAATCAGAGTTTCATGGACAGGGGCTGCCCGGACGACACACGGCAAGAACAGCCGCAAAACAACAATGTAACAGAACTATGCCTTCACACCAAAAATAACCGAGTATGTTCGAGGATGTCCGATATCGACTGATTAGCTTGATTGGTTCAGAACTGTTGACAGCAGAACGCCACTGTAGCAAACCAACCAATCCACCAATGCTTCAACCGAGGCCTCTCTATAATAGCCTCGGTGCCACCGTTAATCGACAACGAGGTCTGGACAGATCTGGCCAGATCCGGATCTATTCAGCGGATCGCTTGTTGCCACAGTGCAAATAGTATATAGAGGGGCAGAGTCTCTCTGAAAAGCCAGAGAACAGAACACAGTCAACAAGATAGATCCACTCTCATTCTCTGTACAAGAAGAACTAAAGGCAGATATTAATCCATTTGCGGCTATAATACTCTATTGTGTGATCGGCTAGACTGCCTGCCGGGGTGAGGCCAAAAGTATCAAGACAAACACGACGATCCAGAGCGGAAAGGGGCTTCTGATTCTTGAAGTGTGCAGATGGATGGACCCAACTTCTCCTCATCATCTGCTTCATCGGAAGCGCATTCCGTCGATAAAGGCACCAGAAGCTCCACTTCCCCGGGTTGCTATCCGGAGTGTCCCCACCCTCAATATCGCTATCGGACCATCATCCCGTTTCTGCTCTACCGCGAGATGTCGACACCACTGCGACGGCTTATCTTCCCATAATCATAGAGTTTCGGTGAGCCACGAAGCAAAGAGACGTCGAAGACGATTTCTCCACCGCAATTGGCTGGCATGGTTGTACTCCATAGTTTACAGCTTACGGGATGGATCTATTCCTATGCTTTTATGGTACTGGACAGATGGACTATAGACGTCCCTTTACCACTCTTTCGTGCTCGGTGAGGATTTCTTCAACCTCCCCAGTCGTTCCAATCCTCCAACTGACCTCGTCTCCCCATTGCTTCCCTTCTTTGTCCTGGCTTTGTTTCCATTGCCACCTGGGTAAAACCTGTTGTCCATTTTCCAGGAGTTTCACAGCCCACTGCCCGACGATTGGCATCATCTTGAACCCGTGCCCCGAGTCCCCGGACATTACGACCAGTGAATTCTCAGTACCTGGTACGAAATCAACGCAATACTCCGAGCCTGACGTATCTGCAAACCAGCACATCTTTTTGTCCGCGAAAGGGCGATCTGCTAACCATGGCAGCATCTTCCTCAACAGCCTCCTCAGTTTCTTTTCATCAGATAATGGAATATAGTCGCATAGGTGCTCAGGGGATATTGACTGTCCGCAGTGTTCTGAATGCGTTTAGCCTTGTCTTATCAGAGTAACGAAGCCCCAAACTCTTTCTTAGGCCGTTAGAATCTATTACAGTGGCTTCAACCAGTGTCCATCTGCTGAGGCCATTTCCCGCCTGCCAGCCTTGGTACACAAACCGGCTATTTTGGCCCATTTCCCGAGAAGCCCCTCTGCAACCTATAAATTCCGTGTTTGATTTTCTTACTCGACCTGTCTGAGCAGAAAAAGCGACCACTGGAAACTGCTTTCCGCTGTGAACTGGTCGTTTCTCCATGATTATTGAAGTCAGAAGATATCAGCTGCCTCCAATGGCTCTCATTCCGAATTCGCCGCGACCTCTCCTCCATTATCCTGGTATTCCGCTCCCATCGGACTGCATGGCAACAGCAGCATACGACGCATTTTCCGATAACGGATGGCGTGTTCAATGGATCTTTCGGTACCATTCCAGCCTGGCGTCCCACTACCACTCAGCAACTCCTGAGTGCATGGCTGCCCTCTCGGGCAGTGCAACCATCCGATTTGGTGTGGCAGACACTGTTCCTGATCCGGATGAGAGTACCTTTGGTTCTGGCAAAGAAGATGGGGGAATTGAACTACAGGCACGCGCTGGCGATGTCTTTGTGATACCCGCCTGTGTCGCCCATAAGACATTCAATATTGAGCCACGTGCTGAATTTAAGCTCCTAACGCCTGGCGATGGCCACCATATTGCGGCCGATCATACGAGGAGTACTTTGGAAAGCTTGCAGCTGTCTGGGTTTACCATGATCGGCGCATATCCCGAGGGCGGGTCTTGGGATTTTGCAAATGGGGGTGAGAATGTCGGTAACTACGAAGTTGTGTGGGCAGTGCCGACACTAGAGAAGGACCCCGTGTTGGCGAAAGCTGAAGAAGGTCTCTGTGGACATTGGAAATAGAGATTATCAACAAATCGATACCGTCTACGTTAAGTTACTTCCTGAGACACGGCTGAATACTTTTCTTTCTTGTCTGAAGAGTATTCGATTCGCTTATCTGGCAGGAAATTTGATTGACCGTCGGATAATACTACACCTCAATGATCCATTTTGTAATTCTCGGATCCGAAGGCATCCTGTTCTTGCTACGGGTAGCACGATCTTTGCCAAGTCATGAATGCCTTTGATGCTGATGCGAAACCTGATTCAAAAGTCAAAGAATGACCATCATAGATTAATATCGCACTTTTCTGCAACATCGAATCTGTACCCTCAACCCTCGTGAAAATGTCTACTCAACTCGCCCCTAAAAAGCTCCGTATCGCCATCAATGGACTCGATAGTCTTGGATATGATATCAAATTCTCTATCAGCGCTCGCTCGGAGACTTCGATTGATCGATTACATCGAATTTTTAGCTCTCAGAGAGCCCGGGTGGACATTATTACTTCGGACAACGTTGAAGCGGCTCGCAGCTCCGAAGTGGTAATCTTAGCTTTCCAGCCACAGCAATTGGTTGAGGTTTTGAACAGCCCAGCCTTGGTGGAAACCATACGGGGAAAGTTGGTTCTCTCTGTATTGGCTGGAATTTCCTCCTTACAAGTGGCTCGGCATTTCGGATGCAGTGAGACCCGAGGTACGATATTCTGGTGATATTCCATGTATATTTGGTCTCAGGTGGATTCTTTCTCTGCACTTCTATCCATTATGCACACAAATACCTCAAAAGATTTCCGGGGTATTCCGTTTATAGACGAGACTGAGTCTTCGCCAACATCGGTTATTCTTCTCGATGCAACACCTCCATCACAGTCTGGATTGACCTTTTTACTGCATCGGATGGTTCTTTGTACGGCCTTCGAGGTTTGAGCAACCGCACACCATCAGAAATGCCCGCCTTCGGAGCCGTAAAATCCGCAGCAGCATATTTGGTACTCGCAATGCCCGCCTTGGTGGCAGTCTCGGCCGATGCCACTAACTTCTGAAGTGCGAGAGCTTCGTCATGTTGGCCACCGGCCCATAGTTCATAGATCCTGATCACAGCTTTTGGGAAGACATTTCCAAAGGCAGCTATGCATCCTGCACTCCCAGAAGCAAGGCCACCGAATAGGAAATCTGACTGACCACCGCACCACTGCGAAACGGGAGACTGGGAATCTGGAAGCGAGACAAGTGATCTTTGCAGCCGAGCCACAGGTCAACTTCCCACCGATCACATTGGGGGCTTCCTTTACAATGTCCGTAATGATGTTGGCGTCGAGGTCCAGGCCGTTACAGACTGCCGGAAAGTTGTAGATGATGATTGGCAGCGAAGAAACTGAGGCCACCTCTTTGTAAAAGCTTCGGACGACAGCTGAAGTTGTCTGTTTGCCAAAGTACGCGCAAGGTAGAACCAGTGCATAGTTGGCACTGGCATTGTATGCGTCGCTAATGAGCTCGAGCACCTGTGCCGTCGAATGGCCACTAACTCCAGCAATGATAGGGTATCCCTTCGGAACAGATCTCCGTGCTAGCCCGAGCAGAGTCATGCGCTCCTCACTTGTCAAAAGGAATGTCTCTGCATTAGTGCCTAGTATGACAAGCCAAGAGAGACCCGTGCTTGCCAGATAGGAATACTTGGCTTGAGCGTCGAGACAGAGTTGATCCGTATCAGGATCGAAGAAAGTCACTGCAGGAACATAGCAGCCCGGTTTAGGAGCTGTTAGGCAATCTTTTGTATCTGCAGGATCGGTATGGGAATGTGCCTGCTGTAGGGCCATGGTAAGCAATCAGAATCTTTGTACAGTGATTTCCATGCCGAATATCACAACATGCTAGAAGATGTCTTTTATGGAGGATCCGATTGCACTGTCTGATCATTGACTTGTTTTGAAAGAGTGTTCTTTCTCTATACAAAGCCCTGAAGTGTAGAAACACTGTTGCGAAACGGGCATTGAGTTTGAACAATGGAAAGTTGATAACTAATTCGTCTACTTCTATAAAACATGATTAGATGATTATAATAGGGAGTTCAAGGCCCGACAAACGTCTAATTCTATTAGAAAAATAGAAAACCGAACACTTCCCCAATCTCAGCTCAACCAGTTCGAAGTATATATTATGCCGCTACGGCAGCCTTTCCGATTCGGCTCGACTGACAAAGGGTCCACCGTAAGTGGGACGGGGTCTTTCCGAGAATTGCACCGGGGAACTCATCGGATTCTCAATCCCTCCCTCGTGTTGTCTCCTAGTTTCGGCGAACCAAATCATTGAATAGGGGTTCTCGCTGAATCGGCTGGAATCGGCTGGTGACGGTGTCTCTGACAAGGTACTGGCACGAGATCAGTGACAAACCGATGGCCTTCATCCAATTCGGCCCCAAGGCCATTTATTCGTGATGTGGATGTTGCTGGCTTGAAGAAGGGCTTTTCAGGTTGAAATATACATCTGCCCTGCTCTCCCACTAAATGCCTTCTTATCGATCATACGAAAGCGCTCCTTGAACTGAATCGCACATCTGCCAACTTCGAATTTTCTTCACTGGAGCAGGCTGCTATGAGATGCCAGCTCATGCAGTCTCTCGGATAAGTGGTCCTTATTGCAACGCAGTGATCAGACTCGGCGAACCTAGTGTTTCTTCCTCATTTACACCGGTAAACAGGAGGGTGCTGTCTACAGCTGGGACCTACAAAACCCCAAAGCCTTTCAACGAGCCAAATGTACCGGGTATGAACACGCTCCTCTAAAGGCTGTATAGCTGTAATTGACACATATTCGGCTACATTATGCACCATCGTCCCCAGAGCGAGAAAAGTTGATCGTGGCGGTCCAAGGTTTGCGGCAGAAACTTCCACTTCGCATACCATCAATAAAAAATGGACAGGAGGAAGCACAGCAGCCCGGCTCGACTGATTCGGAGACGTATATGCCCTCCGAGATCTCGTCAACTTTCGCCAAGTATATCCCAGCAACGGAGGCGGAAGTTTCAACTGCTATCGAGGCGGCGTTGAAGGCGAGGACGGCAATGGCGAGACACGCCCTTCGTAGAGCGAGCTGCAGTCTTTCTCAGAGCAGCGGAACTGTTTCCGGAAAGTATAGATTCGAGTTGATGGCAGCAACAATGCTTGGACAAGGGAAAAACGCCTGGCAGGCTGAAATTGACGCTGCTGCAGAGCTGGCTGACTTCTTCCGGTTCAATGTCTCGTTCGCTGAGGAGATATAGTCCAGGCAACCTACACTGAATGAGCGCGGGCAAGCAGGATGAGTCGAACCGACTTTTCACTACAAAATAACGAGAGGCTCACCAATGAATAATCTAGACGCACAGATTGGCGTCCATTGGAAGGCTTTGTGTACGCCATCTCGCCTTTCAACTTCACAGCCATCGGCGGAAACCTCGTATCGGGTCCTTCTCTCCTGGGAACCGTCGTCCTGTGGAAACCATCCCCTTCCAACATATATGCCAGCTACCTGGTCTATAAGATCCTTCGCGAGGCAGGTCTCCCGCCAAACGTTGTCCAATTCGTTGGTGGCGATGCTGAAATGATCACCAGAGTGGCCCTTGCGCATCCAGAGCTCTCAGCTGTCAATTTCACCGGGTCGTCAGACGTGTTCCGCAGTCTGTATGGCAGGATAGCAGACGGCGTGAAGGAAAGAAAATATCGTGACTTTCCACGACTGGTTGCGGAGACATCGGGAAAGAATTTCCATTTGATTCATTCTTCGGCCGATATCAGCAATGCTGTCAAACATACGATCCGTGCCTCCTTCGAGTACGCAGGGCAAAAGTGCTCGGCTTGCTCGCGAATCTATATCCCGGAAAGTCGCGATCAGTAGTTCTTCTCCGAGATGAAGCACGAGCTTAAACAGGTCAAAGTGGGACCACCCGAGGATTTCGAAAGCTTTACCGGCCCTGTCATACACCAAGCAGCCTTTGAGAAACTCACCAGAGTAATTAATGCTGCCAACACAGACAGTCGGCTGGAGCTTGTCGCCGGGGGCAAGTATGGCGGCGGCAAGGTATTTTTCATTGAACCCACCGTTTACACTGCAAAGGCGTTGGATCATCCTCTCTTCGGCCAAGAGCTCTTTGGTCCCATCCTGGTTGTCCACATCTATCGCGACGCGGACTTTGACTCACTCTTGGCCAAGATTGACCAACAAGGAGGCGGGTTTGCGCTGACTGGATCCATCTTTGCAACAGATCCAGCGGCGATTCGGTCGGCCGAGGACAGGCTTCGTTATGCTGCTGGGAACTTTTACATCAATTGCAAGACAACTGGGGCCGTCATTGGTCAACAGTCTTTCGGAGGAGCACGAGGTAGCGGCGCCAATGACAAGGCTGGGAGTGCAAACATATTGATGAGCTTCACGGCTCCACGGACCCTGAAGGAGGAGTACCATAGCCTAGACACTGTACTCTACCCAAGCAACTGTTGAGGTCTGGATTGAGTGATCGACGTGGTAGAAAAGCACAAAAGCTGAGTTATTGTGATGTCAGTGCAATCTCTTTCCTAAGGTCGTCAGATAGTAACAACCGGAGAAGGCCGACAATAGCCGCCTCCGGTCCGCCCTTTCCGTCCTTGCAGTTCGGCCTTCTCCCCCGCGCTCCGCCGAGGCCACCAACGCCGCCAATGGTAGGTCGCCTGGCAGTGAACCTCGGACACGGCAATTTCTCGTCCCTTTACAACCTTCTCCGCAATTTCTAATGGCTGCTTGCTCTTCCACCATCCCCCTCCTCTATTAATTTGCTGGTTGCTTGCACCAGAATAGATTTGTTCAACCCGTGGGTGAAAAGAGCACGCTAGGTTCCTAATCTGTCTTTCGTTTCCCCCATTTTTGGCAGAAATGGCCGCTCGTCGGTCCCTTCTACGTGCTGTCCCCGCATTGACAGCTCGACGGGCCACTGCATCAGTTGCGCCCCAGATCTCTGCATCTCTCAGAATGTCGCCAAACGAGCAGATTGCCAGGCGGCGACTTCATGCCACTACGCGCCACCTTGCCGCCACCAGCACTGCCGTCGCCGACTATCCCACCTCTCACGAACAGATCACCAACATTGTTGACACTCACAACTTCATTGACAACCAGTTCGTCCCCTCCCAAACCTCACAATGGATCGACCTCCATGACCCTGCCACCAATAACCTCGTCACTCGAGTGCCTCAATCCACCGATGCCGAACTCAAGGCAGCCGTCGCGTCTGCGGAGAAAGCCTTCCCGCAATGGCGAGCTACATCCATCATATCCAAACAGCAAATCATCTTCAAGTTGACGCACTTGATTCGCCAGAATATGGATCGATTGGCCGCCTCTATCACACTTGAACAAGGCAAGACATTCGCAGATGCCAAAGGCGACGTCCTCCGTGGCTTGCAAGTCTGTGAAACCGCCTGCGGTATCACCACCCAGCTCACTGGCGAAGTCATTGAGGTGGCAAAAGACATGGAAACTCGTTCATACCGTGAACCGCTGGGCGTAGTGGCAGCCATCTGCCCGTTCAATTTTCCGGCTATGATTCCGCTCTGGAGCATTCCCGTAGCCACTGTGACGGGCAACTGCCTGATCCTCAAGCCCAGCGAGCGAGATCCCGGTGCTGCCATGATACTGGCTGAATTGTGCAAGGAAGCCGGATTCCCAGATGGGGTGGTTAACATCGTCCATGGCTCGGCCAAGACTGTTGACTTTATCATCGATGAGCCGGCCATCAAGGCTATTTCCTTCGTGGGCTCAAACCGTGCCGGTGAGTATATATATACTCGAGGTTGCGCACAGGGAAAGCGAGTCCAGGCCAATCTGGGCGCGAAGAATCATGCTGCAGTACTTCCGGACTGCAATAAGAATCACGCATTGAACGCCATCGCCGGGGCCGCCTTCGGCGCTGCAGGACAACGATGCATGGCACTCAGCACGCTCGTGATGGTGGGCGAGACGAAAGACTGGCTGCAAGAACTTGCCGAGCGTGCGAAGGAGCTAACCATTAACGGCGGATTCGAACCCGATGCCGATCTCGGTCCCTTGATCAGCCCACAGAGCAAGAAGCGCGTTGAGGATTTGATCCAGAGCGCGCAAGATGAAGGTGCAACCATCTTGCTTGATGGACGGGGCAAACACCCACCTAAATATCCCAACGGCAACTGGGTAAGTCCCAAATACTCTCCCAATCTATGAAAGCTTTACTGATTCGTGCTAGGTCGGACCAACCATTATCACCAATGTCAAGCCGCATATGAAATGCTACACAGAAGAAATATTCGGCCCCGTCCTGGTCTGTTTGAACGTTGCCACGACTGAGGAAGCCATCGACCTGATCAATTCCAACCCCTATGGCAACGGCGCCGCCGTTTTCACGCGCTCCGGTCCCACCGCCTCCCTCTTCCAAAAAGAACTTGAGGCAGGACAAATTGGAATCAATGTTCCTATTCCCGTACCGCTCCCGATGTTCAGCTTCACTGGTAACAAAAGGAGCGTGGCAGGGACAGGCCTCGCGAACTTCTACGGCAAGGATGGCATCAGGTTCTACACCCAGTGGAAGACGGTGACAAGTTTGTGGAGGGCCGAGGATGCATTGGCTACTGAGAAGCAGGTTGCTATGCCGACACATTCGTAAGGGAGCTTGAGGTGAATGGAGCAGAGATGAGAGACGCCGAGATAAAGCGGACAAAGGCTCGGTGATATTTTGCAAAGGTGGATATTGTATCTCGAACCAAAAGCCTCAGCAAATGAACAAAACGAACAAATTGATTACCAGCGCGGAACCACATTTAGGGCAGGAACACCAACGCGAAAAGTGTGTGCGAGTCTCGGAAAGACGGTGCTTGGGCATATTTGATATTGCGCGCGTGAGAATGTAACTAGTTTCTGGGACTCGCTGAAGTATTGCCTGCCCTTTTGAGACGATCTCTACCATGCTGAAAGCTGCCTGAAATGATCATGACGGCTTGTCGACGTATGGATGGAACAAATCTCAAGAGAACTGCGGACAGTCATAGCTAGTCTTGTAACAGAAAAAAAAACTGGAACTTTGATGCTGCATAAATCTCGTAAACCTCCCTCCCGAGTTTATGGCCCTGTAGCGGCGCTGCTAAGCAGGCACGATGACTTGATCGGGTAGGCTTTGATCTGATGTACACTAAAACAATTCCCGGTAGAAAACTCCTTCAACATTTGTCCCGGCTGCGATGTATTGTAGTTTTCCGGTCATCCGCCTCAAATTGACTCCTTTTGTGGCTTAACCCAAGCGCATCGATTCCTTGTTCGGCGGTGAGATAGTGGAGTCGCATATCATGTGGTCCAATGGTGGAATTTCCTTGCCAGCACCCGTTTACTCAGAGTTGCCGGTTGATCGAGTAGCTCTCTTACCAGGCTCAGCCTTTATCGTCTCCGCACCACTCGCTGCGGCAATCTGCACCTTCTCTTTGACCTTGGTGGCAGTATCCTTCGCCTTCTGCGCGGCTTTGTGAGCGTCCTCCTTGCTAGGAGCCGAAGAGCCGCCCATGCTTGTGAGGCCCACAACGATAGCAATCACCAATGCCACAGCGCCGCCGATTCCGCCTGCAACCTCGGGCATGAACTTGATGGCCTCAACCGGATCGTTCTTGGCCAAGGTAATGAATAGATCGAGTTTCTCCTTGATAAAAGTGACCGGGTCATCCATGAATTTGATGTCGGAGGGCGACTTGGGTAGGTCTTCGGGCTTGGGCCTGCTCTTCTCCTCCTCGGCTTCTTCAATGGGCCGCTTGACATCGAAAGTTTCGGCGCGGAACGCCGCGGCCTCTTCGACGGAATGACCAATGTAGATGTTGTCGAAAGTGATATCAGACTGCATAGTCCAAATTTCGAAACCGATCTGGCGGGGAAAGTCAATGGCTGCTCTAAGAAGGATGAAAACTAGGCACTTACTGCTCCCATGGGCTCGAAGTTGGAAGGAGTCTTGTCTTCAAAGTAATCAGGGTTGGGAATCTTGCGTGGTGCCCAAACTCCTTTGTAGGCAGGGTTGTCGATGAAAGGAGCAGTCCACTTGCCCTTGTAGAGAGGGTTCTTCTTCATCGGAGGCTCCCATTTGCCGCAGCCAGACGCTTCCTCACACTTGGGGTTGGGGACTTGAGGAGGAATCCAGTCACCATCCTCTTCCTCATCCCAATCTTCTGGTTTTTCAGCCTCTGGGTCTGGAATCGTTGCCGGTTCATCCTCGAGCCAGTCCTCGGGCTTCTCAGCATCCTCGTCGACAACCTCATAAGGTTGATCCTCATCCCAATCCTCTGGCTTGACGGCGTCAGGATCGGGAATGCGAGCTTCTTCAACCCAGTCATCCGGCTTCTTGTCCTTTGGATCGTCAATTTCCTTTAGAGGGTTGACTGCAGGAGAGAAATCATCCAGAAGACTTCCATTCTTTGCGGACTTGTTGTCGATCAACATCTCGAAAGTGTTATCAGGCTTGACAATGAGGGTATAGAGGGTGGTCATCTTGCCAGTCTTGGCTTGTGGAGGGCTCTTGAGGTGTTTCTCTTCATATTCGCCCGTCTTGGGGTTCTTGTGCTGGAAGATGAAGTGGACCTAGGACAGCGTCAGACCAAAAAGCACAAACAAGTACCCTGACTCACCTTATTGGTAGCTCCACACTTGTCGGGACCGAACATGATCACATAGGGAGAGGCGTTGGAAAACTCCTCAGCGTGTAGCTCCTTGTTCTCGCGGAGCAATTTCATATATGCACCTCCGCACTCAAGGCCATTCTGGAGCTTAACCTCATATTGAATGACAAGAGTCTTGCCCTTGTTGTTAATGACGGAGGGAAACTTGGCTGAAATAGCATGGTGAGCGGCTGCGTTCTTCACAACCAAGCCTTTGTCGCCAACAATGCCTGGGAGGACAGTCGGCTCTTCGACGGCCCATTCACCGACATATGCCCAATCCTCATCGCTCTTGGAGTCTTGCTTTTTGGCATGCGAGGGAGTCCATCTTGTGTCCCAATCGTCGGTGAACTGTTCTAGGAAAGGCGCCTTCAGGCTTGAGGGCTAGTCGCAAGATCAGCAGGAATGTAAATGGTACATTGATAGACAAGGTCAACTCACGGTGAAGGTGGGCCGCTCAACTGCACTCGTGGATGTCTCAGCCTCCTCTTGCGCAAATGCTGTGCCGGCGAGAAGAGCCGAAGCATATATGGCCGGGGCGATTGCTGCATTAAACCGCATGCTGGGCCACAAGCACTGAAGACAGAGCAACAATCAATTGGGCAAGAGGTCCAGGAAGCAAATTAAAGAAGAGGATGGATGAGGAGAAGATTGAGAAGAGGTGAGTCCACTCCTGATCGTGGTTATATTTCAATTGTCCTCGAGGGATCAAAGCAAGGTGTCCTTTACGAGTGAACTCCACCCAGGGGATTTCAAATGTCACTCAGATCGGTGAAGCTCCTGCGCAAATACTCGGTAATTAGCACCAAAAAGGCGGGGGATCACGTGTCAGCGTTGGCCAGCCACGTTGAAACTTCATCCAGTTTCTCTTCCATTCTTTCAATCAGGATTGCCCGAAGGAATCTCTGCCACCACTGCAATGGCGGACCAAAACAATGACCATCTGGTCCACTCTGACGATCCAGATCACCCTGCGAATCTGATTCCCAGTCTCTGCAAACAGTTCTACTCCCTCGGTAGGTTGTAGGCGGTAGGCGGTCTGCTTGGGCCGCAGATACTGACTCCCTTTCAAGGATGGGTCACTGGAACTGGAGGCGGCACAAGCATTCGTAAGGATGAACACGTCTACATTGCCCCGTCGGGCGTACAGAAAGAGCTCATGAGACCTGAGAACATGTTTGTCCTTTCATATCCGACTCCCAAATATCCTCCATCTGCACGACAATACATTCGAAAACCCTTAGATCTGAAGCCATCGGCATGCACGCCCTTGTTTCTTGCCGCTTTTGAACGTGGCGCCGGCTGTTGTATTCACACGCATTCTCAATGGGCCGTTTTGGTCACTTTGCTCGTCGAGAAGTTTCATGGCAAGGAGGCTTGTTTCGAAATCAGCAACATCGAGCAAATCAAAGGTATCCCAAAGGGCCCAGGGAAAGGCATGCATGGTTTCCATGATACTTTGCGGGTGCCGATCATCGAGAATACCCCTTTCGAAGAGGATTTGACGGAGAGTTTGGAGAAAGCTATGGAGCAATTCCCGGACACATACGCCGTGTTAGTACGACGACACGGAATGTAAGTACCTTGACCGAATGAGAGTGACGGGTCACTGATCTCGGGCCAGATACGTGTGGGGTAGCAACGTCGCCAAAGCCAAAACGCAGTGCGAGAGTTTGGATTACCTTTTCCAGCTTGCTGTAGAAATGCACAAGCTTGGGTTGCCATGGACGCCGAGGGGATGACGGATAGACGCTATGGAAATGGTGGCCGACCTCTATTCAGCAAGTTCTGAAGGACATCTTTCCCCTTGAGCTGAACCCCCACGAGTATAGATTTTGCGACGTTAAGAGTCGTTGATAATTCAAACGACGAAGTGCGTGACGATCAATACACCTTTGCTCCATAGGGGCAGCGGATATTCAATAGACTACAAATGGCCAATGAAAGATCATTCGCTAGTATTTTGTCTCCGAATCCTTCTCCGAAATTAATCCGTGAACCGTCTGTCATTGCCACAGTCAAACCTTGAAACCAACACTTATAACTTACCATCTTTCGAACGCAACGGTGTCAAAATTGAAGCTCACTTAGCCCAACCGTTTGAAATCATGTCTACAGTGGCCTCAGTAGCATCTGGGTCGCAAAGACCGGCAGCATCGTCAGCACAACGCACACAAGAAGCCAAAGACGCCTTTACGGCTTCGCTGAACGCTGTTGGGGCAAGCATTGACGCTGAGCTGCATGCTCGGGCAAAGAGTATTCACGACAATGCAAAGGTCCTGACAAAGCAGGAGGATGACGTGAGGAAAGAGACAAAAGGCCTGGCTAAAGAAAACGATTCTCTCCAGAAGCTGGTCGATAAGACCAAAAAAGAGATGCAAAGTCTGGGCGACTTGGACGATATCATGACAAATATTGACGCAGATATGGCTTTGATCGAGGAAACCCTCAGAATTGTGGAAGAAGACGAAGTGGAACATGCACGCAAGTGTCACGTCTCAGGGAGCGATGACTGACCACGAATGCACCAATCCTTACATTGCGCCTTAACATAGCGATTTCTATGATGCTCGCGGGGATGAATGGATGTTCCCCGACCACCCCCTGCAATTTGATGCTTCAGCAACTCCATGGCAGTCGAGCTCTTTTTTTCGGAAGTCGCTCACTTTTGAACTCGGGAGCAGATTGGCTAGATAAATTGGATGTTTTATGTGCACCATTATGCGCGTCAGCATGGCATGTCCACATCTTCATCTAGGTTGATAGCATTGGCAGCTTAATACCACCAACAGCGCTTCAGAAACAGCCGTGGACAGCTGTCGTACAGACCCGCCGAGAACGATTTTCAATCATCTGTACGAGGTATGAATGCTGCGGAGGTAATGGCTTCTCGCAACCTTAGTTAGCCTCGTCAACTTTGTAGCGTACCAAGAGCGTAACTAGCACGACTTGCACGACCTAGGCAGCCTTGTGAGAGTGAGCGAGTGACATATAAATGAGAGCTCTACGGCCGCCAATCGGAGGCTTCCTTTCTCCGCGCAAGCACTCCGTATGGAGTACAAGGTACCTCGCGAGCTCGTAGGCTTTCGACTTTCGACTTCCCTCACTCCCCGCAACTCTGGTGATATTCCAACCACCTCGAGGTTCATTTGCCAGCTAAGCGTCTTACGCTGGACGCGTGAGCCACCTCTCCATGCTCTCAGCATTCACTGCTCAGCCCATTGTCGAGCTGAAGCAGCGCGACAAGTCGAAGATCGAGTCAATACTTTCGCACAGCGACCAGCTGCTTGTGGGCCTGAACACTGGCTCCCTCCGCATCTACCGAGTCAAACCCCCTCCCTCGCATTCCACTGAACTAGGCGACGATCATGAAGAACACGATCCTACTAGCGATAGGCCAGCTGCTGCCTCCAAGCCCTCCGAACTACTTCGGGAGTACGAGAAGTTTTCAAAATACAAGATTGAACAACTGGCTGTTTTCCGCGAGGCGAATATCATGATATCTTTAAGCAATGGTCTTGTCTCTATTCACGACCTGGGCACGTACGAGCTCAATGAACAGCTCACTAAATCGAAAGGAGCGAGTACTTTTGCCGCCACAAGCAACATCGTCAAGGACTCCTCAACTGGTGTGCCCACCCTTGTCAGCAGGTTAGCCGTTGCAGTGAAGAGAAGGCTTCTAATCTGGACTTGGCATGATGGAGAGCTCGATGGGGACGCAGCTGAGATTGCGCTATCACACAGTATTAAATGCTTGGCCTGGGCAACGGGTACAATGGTTGTTGCTGGGCTTAGCGCGAATTATGTCCTCGTCGACGTCGAATCCCACCAGGTGAAAGACATTATCGGTCCTGGCAGCATTGGTGGTGCCCCTGGCCAAGAAAGCAGCAGATTGGGAGGGACGATGAGCTACATTGGTATGGGTTCGACAGTCCCAACGCCACTAGCAACCGGGCTTGGAGAGAACGAAATGCTACTGGCGAAGGATGTGAACACCCACTTCATCGACCGTAATGGAGATCCAATTCGTCGACGTCAGGTTCCATGGCGCGTGGCTCCTCACGCGATTGGTTATTCATATCCTTACCTGCTCGCCTTGCAAGAGGCTACCAAAGGCGTATTGGAAGTTCGCAACCCGCAGACGCTCACCTTACTCCAATCAATTGACCTTCCCGGCGCTGTGTTGCTTCAGGTCCCCAATCCAAGCATCAGCCTCGCCCACCAGGGGAAAGGATTCCTGGTTGCCAGCGAGCGTGTCATCTGGAGGATGCAAGGACTCCACTACGATGCCCAGGTTGATGCTTTGGTTGAGGGCAATCAACTTGATGAGGCGATAAGCCTACTGGAGATGATAGAAGAGACCCTTATCAAAAACAAAGCAGGGCGCTTGCGCGACATCAAGATGCAGAAGGCTCGGAGACTCTTCGACGAAAAGAGGTTCAGAGACGCGCTGGACCTGTTCGGCGAGGTCTCCGCACCTCCTGAGTGTGTCATTAAGCTATATCCCGCACTCATTTCAGGTGATTTGGCGGATGAGGGAAAATTCAGTGCTGGGGAAAGTCAAGAAGCGCCAAAGGCCGGGGAGAGCCCACAGAAGTCGCCCAAGAAGACAGATAATGCCTCTAGCCCTAAGAAAAGGGCGAAGGGAATTGCCTCGGAGGCTGATGCGGCAAGCATACAGAGCGTGAAAACCACAGACCACGCAGGTAGCGAATGCCTCTCAGAAAAGGAACTCAAAACAGCTGTTCGAGAACTTCAGGCATTCCTTGCCGATGTTCGCCGTCGGCTGCAACGGTTCTTCAACCCAGACCAGACTGTACGCACTCTGTCAGAAGTACAAATCGCAGCCCAATCCGAGGATGTCCGACAGATCATAGAACATCTTCTTGGGTTACCCACGCTGGACGATGTTGACCTTGCCGTCAAGCTGCTGGATGTAGCCAAGCTAGTTGACACCACCCTTTTCCGTGCACATATGTATGCCACGCCTTCGCTCGCTGGATCACTGTTCCGCATCCCCAACTTCTGTGATCCTGAGGTTGTAATGGCAAAGCTAGAAGAGACAGAACGGTACAATGATCTAATCGAGTTTCTATACGGAAAAAGGCTCCACCGACAAGCGCTGGAGAGACTGCGAAAATTTGGACGAGCTGAAAAGACCGAAGATATTGATCCCCTGCTACATGGACCGGCAAGAACGGTCTCGTATCTTCGGAATTTGGGGCCGGATTTGATCGATATGATACTGGAGTTTGCAAGGTGGCCGCTGGAGACAGACTCAGAGATGGCGATGGAGATATTTTTGGGCGACACGGAAAATGCAGAGTCACTTCCACGTGACAAAGTTCTGGCATTTCTCGAGTCGATCGACATAGACCTAGCAATGCGGTATCTGGAACACGTGGTGGACGAGCTTGACGATCTGACGCCTGAACTGCATCAGCGGCTGGCCGCGCTTTATCTTGAACGGTTGAAGGACTCGACCAAAGCAAACCGAGATCAGCTGCTCGATAAATTCCTGACACTGTTGAGGACATCTGATCAGTATTCTCCAGCAAAGACCTTGGGATTCCTACCTCGGGATGATCCAACGTTCTACGAAGCTCGAGCTATCGTCTTCAGCAAGATGGGCAACCACAAGCAAGCTCTGGAGATATACGTCTTTAGACTGCACGACCCGGCCAAAGCGGAAGAATATTGCAATCAAACGCATCTAGAGGAGACCGGCAAATACTCCAGCAAGTTGGCTCTGCGTCGGAAACCGTCGACCACCGACCCAGTTGACGAGGAACCATCAATCTATCATATTCTCTTAAACCTGTACTTAAATCCTCCGAAAGGGGAGCAGGCACTATTCGAACCAGCCATTGAGTTGATGGCCCGCCATGGGCCCAGGCTTCCACCAAGTTCAACGTTGGAGCTGATCCCGGAAGATCTGCTAGTGAAAGAGCTGGAGTTTTATTTTCGTGGTAGAATACGCAATGCCAATACCATAATGAACGAGTCGATGATATTCTCTGGATTGAGGAAGGCGGATGCTGTTCGAGTGCAGGCTGCTTTGCTGCTTGGGGAAGGCGTCCAGTCGGGTGGTCGAGGGAGGAAGGTGCGGATCGACGAAGATCGGGTGTGCGGTGTCTGCTATAAGCGACTTGGTGGCAGTGTGATTAGTGTGTTTCCTGAGTGAGTTTGTCCCTCGTCCCCTCCAAAGCAATAGTTGTTGGGTGCTGACCCTCGAGACAGCAATTCTGTTGTGCACCTTGGGTGTGCAGTGCGCAAGCAGAGCGAGATTGCGGCCAAGGTGGTCTAATGCATCGAGGCCCACCAGTATTGTGACTCTGAGATACCCATGAGCGACGACTTCATTTCTCAAGTCTCATCCTCCTCGTCCTCTTCGCCGTAGTTCTCTTCTGCTAATTCGTCTTTCCTCTTCTGCTTCAATGTGCCATTCTGACCTTCCTGGCCGACCCGTTCCTTGTCTTCCTCCATTTTTGCAGTCAAGAACTTGTTGATGTCCTCCTGTAGCTTCCTGCTTGATGCCCGGAGTCCGGATACATACTTCGTTTTGGCTGCGATGTCGAGTGATTCATCCTGCTTGATTTGTGGCGCAGAGATCGTGTACTCGAAAATTTTCGAATCGGAGGGTGAGTCGTAGGTGGCGGTGAGGACCGCATGGGGGTGGTCTGAGACGTCTGGCATTGCCTATGAGTGCTGTTCGACTGGCTGTGGTTTACAGTTGGAAGTGTCTGTCTTGCTTTCGTGAAGTTGAGAGGGTCGGTACATACGGTGGGGGTCGGAGGGACAGGCATCTCCAAAGAGGAACATCAACGTCAACAATATCATTTCACCTGCGGATTCTCCTCCACGCACAATTGCTACGTCGTTAGACGACCCCAACCTGTCTTTTCGACCGCGTGAGACGGGTTAAACATGCGGATGGTGCTGTGTATCGTGTAATGCCTCCCGCTCAGTTGATCCAGTGACCTCCCACGCCACCAATCTCCCCAATCCGTGAAGCGAACGGCTTTCACTCTTGCTCTATTCGACTATGGAACCGCCTCCCCAACGACGGACTGGACTCCGGTCGCCAGTCCCTCCTGCCTCTGCAGTTTCACCTAACCCGTCACGCGCGGGCTCGAAGCAGAGCAACCGACCTAGTTCGAGCGGCAGCGACACATCGGGCTCCTCACATCTGTCTGTCGTCAAGAGATCACCTTACAGCCAACAATTACCTGTGTTTATCTCGCATAACAATACAGGCAATGCCTCGCTATCATCCCATAACCGACCGTCTGCGCAGTACATGCCTCGAGACGGCGGCGCGAAGCAGAGTCTAGGGCCTCCGCCCGAACTCCAAAAGCATCGCCCACGACAGCACTCACAGGGATACTTCGAGCCCTCAATGCCCTCCGCCTCGCTTGCAAGCCAGTCGCAGCTCCACGATCATACAGGAATGCCTGCGCTTAACCCTTCTCAGATTGCTGCACAGGCTGCGATGCAGCACCTGAATGCCACGAACCATTCCCGCAAAAGATCGCAGACAGTGCCATTTCCACAAGAGCAGAGCCAACAGGAAGGTCGCCGAAACAGTAGAGGGTCTGCGGGCTCTCACGAGGGTCAACCCTCAGCTCCAGCCCCCGAACAACAGTATCGAAACGGATTAATAGGCACCAATGCAGCGGCAACAGCAGCCAGCGTCGTGTTCCCAAGGAATTTCGCATCTGCTAGTCAGGTGTCGTTGGTGGAGGAAGAGAAGTCAAAGAAGGGTTTGAAGAGATTTAGACCGAAACATATTGTGCTGTCAAGGGACAAGGACAAAGAGCCCAAAGAGAAGCCTCTACCCTCTCCAAACCGACTAGCACCAAGTGGTCTGTCGAAGGTTATGAATGCCTCAACCACGAGCCTAACTGAGTCACTGTCTTCCAACTCCTCCTCCATGTATCAGCTGGCCAACCCGTCGTCATCAACTATCGTTCCCATTCCAGAGCAAAAGGAGCAGAAAGACAAGGCCCACAAACACCATGGTCTGCGCCAGAAACTGAAACTAAAGGACAAGGATGAGACCTTTGCGCTTCCGTTGTCTTCTGCTAACTCCAATTCCCGTCCAGTGGACATCAATAATCCTCAATCCCTCTACTCCTTTGCTCCTCCGTCTCCTAACCCGTCGTCCAACTTTGCCAAATCAGTCTCAGGACTCGACCTTCGGCATGGAGGCCGTGCTCTTCGGGAGAAGAAGAAAGAAGAAAAAGCTCAGGCAGCATTCGCCAACCTCGAACCTGTCTACAGCCGAGGAGAAAGCGACACCTCGGAATGGCCTTCTCTCGGAACTAGCTTTACCAACCAGTCAGTCAGTAATTTCAATACGTACAGCGAGATCAAAGAAGCCGGTGCGAACTTCGGTCTTTCCAATATGTCCGCCGATGACGCTTGGGATCTTCTGAGGGCAAAGATATTAGTGACGTTCGAAGGAGAAGATGTACGAATAGCAGTTGAAGACCTGAACAAGCTCGTCACCATTCACGTGCAAAGATGTGTGCAAAGGAAAGATCCAAGCATTGTCATTGGAGACCTCGAAGACCTCCTGAAGACTGGGCTTCTCAGCCTCAATCATACCTTGCGCAACGTCGCTGATAACAGCCTCGTCCCTAGGCTGGTGAGTATATGGATGGAGGTGTTTGGCAAAATTCTCCCCTTCATGCAGGCTGTCTTCCTTCCACTTGATCAAGAATTCAAGGGAAGAGGCACCATACTCACAACCCCCAAGATGGCTGCGGAATTCTGGGGAGCTCTACCAAGCCATGATAGTGGTAGCAAGCTGTCGTCATCACCGGCATCCGGTGAGGGCATAGATCTTGTGGTCGCTGCAGGTGAAGAGCTAGAGGTCAGACGCATTCTGCTCATCAGCTACCGCGATACCATCGTGCTACCACGCTATGAGGTGCTTAAGTCGACTTTCTCACGACTGAGTCTCGACAGCATCAACGCTTCCATAATGCAATTTGATAACGGCAACAGAAATCGTGGTAACAGCGGCGGGAGTGATAGACCCGGGACTGCGCAAGGCACTGAGCCAACATATGGCAGCTACAACTCTCAGAGCAGCACATTGCTGGGCAGCATGACGTCCGGTGGCAGGTCTCGTGCGACGTCCAATCTGTCGGTGGTGAGCAATCCTGCACAGGACGTGGCTTTTCAATCATTTAGTTCCCCACCAGCAGCCAGACCGACTGATAGTTCATCCTCGCACGTTACGGAAACTGTGGGTCGAATGCTACAATGTCTCTCAGTCTTATGCTCGATACAGTCAGGAGACGAAGCTCAGAATAAGATGGAGGAACTTAACAAGCAACTAAAGCTGAACTGGTTGGGTCGGGGTCGCACTGGTAGAAACCGCAAAGGCTTTGTTGGAAGCAGAGTCCGACCTATGGGACGTGGACTCGACCGCGAAGGGAGCCCTACGCCGACCCCTACCCGACAGGGAACGGTGAGTAGGCAGAGCGACGATGCTGGCTGAGGTGGGCATGGTAGGGGTAAAGCATATCGACATTGTGTTAGGATTTCGGATGACAAGCGGTGATTAACGACATGAATGAGATAATGCAATGGTCAACCTCGACCTGCAAGATTCTCGTTATCCATACATTACTCTCTGTGGGACTGCACTGTCCCACAACTACAAATATGAGCTGTAAAGTGCTTCAGATCTTCCCATTTTCCAACATTCACCAGCCTGCAGATTCGAGCTTTACAATCACCTCCTCGAGCTACTATATTCAACTGGTCAAGATGCCCTTCATCCACTCCAGCCTGGATGGTACGCCTTTACACTACGTTGACTACAAGCCAACCTCAAGTTGCACTCGTCTTCAGCCAACAGACAGTCCAGCAAAGGATTGCAGTAACAGCGACAAAACGCTAGTCTTCATCCATGGGTGGCCAATGTCCCATCAGATGTACGAGCACTTGATGGTGAAATTGTGCGAGACCCACAAAATCCGGTGTATTGCATCCGACCGAAGAGGCTTTGGTAAAAGCGAATGGAACTCTAGCCACAGCAGGGATATCACTTACGATACCTTTGCTCAAGATACCATTGACTTGATCGATCATGTAAAAGTCGGGAAGTTCGTCTTTGTTGCGAGCAGCATGGGGTGTGGTGAATCTCTCTTAGCATACCTCCAGATGCGAGATGACCTCCAGAAAAAATGCCGGGGCTTGATATGGCTGGGTCCTAGTCTTCCATTTCCACTGAAGACAGATTCGAACCCTCTGGCGCCGCCTCGAGAGTTATGGGACATGATCTTGGCGGGGTTCCGCCAGGATCGTACGGGCTTCACCAGGACCGCACTCCCAGGCGTGTTTGGCATTCCTTTCAACATTGGAATCGAAGTGCCCGAAACAGTTTTGCAACGGTTCGAGTGGATGATCGCACAGGCTGACGCTCTTGCGATTGAGAGCTGTATCCAAGTCATCACAAACAGAGATTTCACCGACGATCTCAAGAAACTGGGCGGAAAAGACGTGAAAGTTCTCGTTATTCACGGAGATAACGACCAGAGTAAGTGCATTCGAATCGCCCGGCATGTCACCCACAGTCCTGATGATTCTGCACAGGTAATCCTGCCGAAGCCACCGCGAACCTCATTCCGAACCTCGCAAAACATGCCCAAATCAAAATCTACGAGAAGGCAGCACACGGGATGTACCTCACACATGCTGACCAAGTCGCCGAGGATATCCTCGCCTTCGTACTCGGACTTTGAAAGCGGGGAGGGAACTTCTAGGCGAGGATCTCGAGGCCCCTAGGCCTATCAGAATGCGTGGCTAGGCATTCGCGTTACGCTTCCTCCCCCACATCGGTCAAGAATCCCCGTGTTCCTGGTTGGCTACGGACCTTCCTTTTGCGGACCATAACGTTATGGCCTGCAGCTCGGGTACTTTGGAGACTCGGCGAGTCGGCTTTGCTCACTCACCAAGGGGGTTGTTGTCTACCCAGTACTTCAACCCTATATCACAGACAGCAGCAACGATTTCTCTGAGATCAAGCAGATGAAACACCGGACATAACACACACTTCGAGCATACACGTGCTCTCCCTCTGTCCTTTTTGTGGACTTTGGCAGCCTTTTGATCCCTTCACTGAGGAACCTCACGCGAGTGATACTGTCTTTAGGTTAGTCGTCCAAGATACCGTCTGTGCCAGAAATCCTCGTCTTTTATATTTGCGCTCGTTCTTTCTTTTCTCTTGGAAGGCATATAAGGCTATGTCGGAAATGAGAGGCCAGATCAAGCGCAAGGCCGCACCGTTGGCGATTCCACAACCTGGGGAGAACGCAGCGGAAAGGAAACGGGTGCTCAATGTCCTTGCCCAACGACGATACCGCCAGCGACGGAAAGAACACATCAAAAAGCTCGAATCACAAGCAGCGGATGTGAACGGGGATGCCAACGTGTTCTATGGACAGAGCCCTCCTTTGACAACGAGCCTAAGCGTAGCACCATGCGCCAATGGAGCACAAACGGAAGCTGGTAGTGAACCATGGCATTCATCATTCCAGCAACCAGACATATCGTTTGATGACAGCACTTGCGAATACCCAATCAAGACAGCTGGGGAAACTGCGTCGTTCCCTGCTCTACCAGATGCTTTTGCTGGCTACGACGCATACTCCTTCACCAGCATTGCTGCCGACGACGAGGCTCTCTGGGATACGTCGATACTGCTGCCTTCTTTGCCGAGCACACCGCTGTCACCGTCAAAGCATACGTCTTCGAGCGAGAGCGAGACGTGGTCGCTGGCACCTTTCCCGGCAGCCACCGGAAGTCCGGGGACCGGTCAGACGACGCCTCAAGCGCAGTCCATATTTGAGCAGGAGATGACATATGCATTCCCCGACGAAGCACACTTGGAGATGATCGAGCTTACCTTACTTCGGGGCTGTATGTCAATCGCTAGGCGGATGAAAGTCGAAGACATCATATGGTCGCTGACCTCAACATCGCCGTTCGCTGATTCTTCGACAGCGCTGGCACAGTTCGATCACCTACCGAGTAATTTACAACCGACGCTGACTCAAATGACCATCCCGCACCACCCAGTTATTGACCTCCTACCCTGGCCATCGGCGCGCGACAGAATGATCAAGGTGCTTTCACAGCCTCCCAAGTTTCGACCTCCGGGGGCAGCCTCGCCAATGGTCCTACTGGACTTCGTGTATGACCTTGAGGACAGCGCAGAGGGCGTCAGGATAAGCGGCAGTGATCCATTCTCGGAGATGAACTGGGAGGTGGGCGAAAAGGTGTTCAAGTCGTGGTGGTGGATTCTCGATAGAGATATCATCAAGAGAAGCAATGAACTGCGAGCGTCGAGGGGCGCGCCGATGCTGGGGAGCGGGAGAATTGTAGGGGAGGTGGTATGAGCACGGCAGAGAGCCTGGGAAGATGAGATCCTTCTCTGCTGTCTGTACCTCTTGGATGACTGATATGGGTTGTTGCTATCTTTGGTACCTGCGAGCCGGCAGGGATGTATCCCGGACGATAAGGCAATTCCCCCGTCTGCTCGTATCTGGACATTTGCTTGGCAGATCAGCGAGCATTGCCATTGACCCATTTGGCTGAAAAGAGAATCCTGGATCCAACCAGTTATACTCGGTACCTTCTCGTATACGAGCACCTTGCATGATGCTGACACGTGCGGGAGCTATTCGTCTTCTAGTCTTTAGCCGACACCTTCCATCTCTCGACTATGTGTTCTGTAATAGCTCGTTCTCTTCTCTTCTTTCCTGTTGTCGCAGCCCTATTTTGCAGGCAATTTCACGCCAGCCACCACACCCACCATGGCGGAGGTTAGGGCTGTTTGGCGCAGACGGGGCGTTCGTAATTCAATTTCGGGGCCACTTCCTTCGCCCCACGAGTCAGCTCCATGCCATTGGAAGGCGAAGGGTGCTCCTTTCATAGTGATGACGGTGGCCGGCGCAATACTGGGTAAGCGAGTTTGCGACTTCAATCCCCAGCCTCCTGCGTGTTTTTTTCCTGATTCCCTTTTTCCTCTCACATTGTGTCTCGACATTCGTCCGCGTGCGGATGGCGTGGATGGATCATACTTAAACATGCGAGGGTGTTCAATACTTTTAGTGATTGCGAGAACAGACCCCCAGGACAGCATGGGTAATGCTTCGACCCTGCGACGAAGGCTCAGTTGGATTCTGTTGCTTGGGACAAGCAGCTCCCTGAGCTTGTCCTGTCTAGCCTTTTCCAGCGCGCTTCTGGGCTTCTGGGTCTGCTGAGCGAGGGTTGTCCCTGACTGTTGGAGCCGAACTCAGAACTGGCGATTGTTATCTTCCAGGTCTGCTCCATTCGGCAAGATTTCCTTGCTTCAGGCTTCCAGCTTCTGTCCTCTGGCTTCTAACAGCAAAAAGACCCATGTTTTGGAGAGCCTGGCCTTGCAGGAATGCCTTTGCGCTATCCAATGCTAGGTGAGCTGGACCCATCGGTACCTGCATGAGGCTGCATGGTTTGCCCTCGCCATCGTGCAGAGTGCAGGCAGCTTGCAGAGCTAGCAACACCCGTCAGCTGCTCTCTGGCGCCGCCCTCAAAGGTCAGCTGTTCCGTCGAGTTACACGCAGGAGACCTTCATCCCTGAGAGATCCCTAACCTCGTCCACCACTCTTCTTCTCGTTTGTTGCTTTCCTTTCTGTTCTTTCGTTGTTCTCGTGGGTTATTTACACAATCACACTCCAACGGCCGCCGGCGCAAAGAGGGCCTTTGACCTCGACATTGTACCTACACACCTTGTCGATCTCGCTCGTTTTGGCTCATAATGCGTCGGTCCCTCACTCTTTTCCTCGGCCTCGCTGCCCTGGGATTTGCTCAGGACAGTGGTACTCCCACGACTGCGACTGATTCATCGACGGCTACCCCCACTGATTCTGCCACTTCTGCGCCCGCTCCCACATCTTCGAGTACTAGTTACGGCGCAGAGTCTAGCAACTCGACAACTGCTACAAGCACGACACAAGGGCCCATAACACACACGGTTGCGGTGGCTTTGGTATGGGATGCGCCAGGGAAGTCATGTCGAGAGACATAACTGATTCACAAAGTAGGCAGGCTTTACATTCGCCCCCGACGTGACTCTGGCCAAAGTAGGCGATACAATTCTGTTTCAATTCTACCCTAACAACCACTCCGTCATTCGCGCAGAATACGGATATCCTTGCGTTCCCTACGAAGACACTGGCGTCGACAAGGTTGGATTCTTCTCAGGCTTTTATCCCGTCGAGGCAGTATTGCCCGACCCACCTCAATGGTCGATCCTGGTCAATGATACCAACCCAATCTTTTATTATTGCGGAGCGGCGGGATCGTGTATCGACCATCAGATGGTTGGCGTCATAAATCCCAATGCCACGACGTCCCTACAACACCAAAAAGACCTCGCAGCAGAATCACAGTTCATGTTACTGCCGGGGCAACCTTGGCCCAACGAGAGCGAGAATCCACTCGCCACGTCGTCCCCAACCACCAGTGCAACGTCGACTGCTTCGGCGACCAACTCTCCGTCAACCGGGGCTGCTGATAAGTCTTCCTCTGGTTCGAGCCTCTCCGGCGGCGCGATCGCTGGAATTGCAATCGGAGCCTCCGCCGTGGCTCTCGCCGCCGCCGTCGCACTCTATCTCTGTGGTCGCCAATCCCGCGCCCGCGAGTCTAGCATAAAACATATCGACGACCGCCCCAACACAGGCCACGCGACCCAAGTTTCCTACAATCCGCACGCGCCGCATGGCCACATGTCCTACATAACAGACCCAACCAAGCATATGTCTATGCATAGCAGCGTCGTGGGCATGGCACCTTCTCCAGCGTTGCCTGGATACGTACCTTCACATGATCCCACTATGTCGCCCCCTCTACATCCCGCGTATCCAGCGCCTATCAGCGACTCGCTCAGCCCCGAGTCAATTGCGCCAGGGAGCGACGTCGCTGCACCACACAGCCCGAGCCCGAGTCAGATGTACTCGGTCCCGGCGTATAGCATTGGTGTCCCACAGAGCATGTAAGCCTCATTGATGCCATCCCCGGAACAAATCAAGAACAGAAAATGCTAATTGTGTGAACAGGACGGGAACACCGGTCCACTCCGTAATATATAGCGCCCCGCCGCCCCCGCATATCCATGAGATGGCGGCCTCGGAGCCTCTGCCCCGGCCACAGTCACCTCCGTCTCCGGGTGGTGGGATCATGGGCTTCATTCGGAGGTCAAGCGTGAGCAAAGCCGGAGGCGTGGAACGGTATGGTTGAAGATTCACGGCGCCATTACCTCCCGCTTTGCACTACGGGGGAATTGGTAACAGGATCGCAAAGACCAAAGATAATGTGATCTCCATATATGCAGCCATGTGCTTTTGGATAGATATCTGCTCGGGGGCAATCCCGCCACATCTCTCTCTGACGGGAGTCTTTGTAACAATTCATAAACACGAGGGGATGAAAGGAGGAAAAGGAGTTCTTGGAAGGCGGCCTGGATATCTATTCTGACGTCTTTGGAAGGAAACTAAAATTTGGGATAATACCGGGAGCATATATGGTTCTGGACTTCATAATTCTCTTGATGCATCATCGATGAAGACTATCCTACCACAAAACAAATCTGAGGCTCTAATAGCACTGATAGCTATGTAAACTTTGATCTCGTTTTAAGAATCGTGAGACCCCAATAATCCCTTCGTCAGTCCCTTCATCCTCCGCTTCAGCAGGTCCTCCTCGCTGCCGAGACTGACAAGACTCTTACTCCGGCCTAGACTGTCTGTGCCCTTTTGCTTCTCTTCTTGTCTCCCCCGTTTGCTGTCTTCCTTCATGGCTCCGTTCGGTCTCGCCGTTGCTTCCTTGCTGGGGGAAAGGCTCGACATAACCAACGGTGCATCCTCATCCATGCTCTCTCCCGTGGGTGTCCTTTTATGATGTCTTGTTTGAGTTGTCGTTGCAAGCTCAAGCGAGCTGCCCGAATCTTGCGTAAATGTGCCCTTTCTCAACCTACTTTCGATTGCCGGGCCTTCGAACTGGTGCGGTGGCCTTGAAAAAATCTCTTGGATCCACTTGCCACAGCGGAAGATGTGTTTCCAACCTTCCGGGAAGATACTCACAAAGGAGACGAATCCGTGAGAGATTCCCGGAATGAGCGTCACTTCGACGTGATCCTTTTCATTGAATTCTGCTGTGGATTTCTCGAGGCCGGCCTCTTGTCGCTCGCGGAAGAGATGAAGTTTCGCTTGGCGTAGGCGGCCAGCGAAAATGACGGTGTCGTCAACCAGCGGGTCACGTTCGCCAGTCAGGAAGTATGTTTTTGGAAACTTCGCCAGGAGACCTTCTGAGGCGACAGCGGGACAAAGCAAATGATCCGTTGTGAAATCAGGGCGATGATAAGGCCCGACGTAGAGGATGATCATTGCGCGCATCATCTCTGGAGTGAGGATCCGGTCGCCGAAGTAGGAGATGATGCTGGAGACGGCTAATCTTGTCTTGAGTGGCTGAGGCTTTGAAATGGCGACTGCCTGTTTCTGTGCTTCCACGTCGGTATTCTTCCGGTCAAGGAGCTCCTCTCCCTGGACAGGACTTTCTACTCTAGGTGCGAAGAAATCGTGATCAGGGTCGTCTTCATCGTCGCTCATGGGCCTTGGTGCTGTCGGAGTATATCGGCGATCGATATCCTCGCTCTTGCGCTTAATAAACCGCTCGTATTTCTTCGCGGTGCGCGGGTTGCGAATCAGCGCCATTTGGTCGTCTGTCATCCAGCTGCCAATGTTAAAGTCTAGAGCCGGGTAGAGGAGAACCAGTCCTGCAGGCGAGGGTAGGATTCCTCGAGAAGCGCCGCTCTGGTTCGATTGAATGATCATCAAAGTCGTGCCACACGCCAGATTCCCACCGGCGCTGTCACCTGTGATCACGATTCTTGGACATGTGTCCGGTTTCATGCCAATACAACGACCACGAGTTGCCACGATCTGGGTGTAGACGTCGAAGCACTCGTTCAGCGCATACGGGTAAGGATGTTCGGGTGCCTTGCGATAGTCCAGACTAAGAATTGGTAGTCCTGTTCTCCCGGCCAAAGCAAGCAGTTTGTCGTCACTTGTTCTCGGGTCCATGGCAACAAAACCTCCGCCCGGGATGTCTAGGACCACGTTCTCCTGCTTCTCCAACTCAGCAAGAGAGCCATCGAAATACATCCACGCAACAACGGGTTCCTTGTAATGCGATTGCTTTGGGCGAGGGATGCGGATCCGGCGTGGCTTGTACTTTGTGAACTGGGGGCGTAATAGCGCTGTGAAGAACTTCAAGTAAGGTGTGGTTGGTTTATTCCATGCGACTCGTAAATGGTCGACCGTGAGGACAGCCCGAACTTTGCGAACCTTCTCATCTGCTCGCTCCGCCGAAAAGAGATAGTACACCGAGAATATGATTGAACATAGATCCCTGATGGTCTTATTTTTGATTCTCATGGCGCTCCAAAAGCCAGCATCCAAGGCAGTGGTAATCCATGTCGCCCGGAAGTATGATCTGTTATACAGGTTTGCAAGGGGTTCGGGGGACTCGAGGCCAACGATCTTCGCAAAGTTTCGGCAGATGTAGAGCCAGAGGAAAGTCAGAACAACCGATTGCCAGACAGTGAACCGCTTCGAGAGGCGTTGGGAGATGGATCGAATGAGCGGAGGTCCATGTTTGTTACCTCTTGTCTGGTCATGAGTAACCGACCCCCAGAAGCAGAGTCAAATGCGTACCTCAGAAGATAGAGTGACCAGAAGGAGACCACTGCAAACACCTGGACTTTGCGAAACTGAGAGGACGGCCGGCCCAATACATGATCTGCCCACTGGAGTCAGCCCGGAGGATTTCAAGACAGAGAGGGGCCAGAGACTAACCTATCATACTTGATATTCACCGGGTGTCGAAGATTTCAAATGATATATTCGAAAGGCAGTTAAGTACAGGACTGTCAAGGCACACCTGAACAAGCCAACGCCATTCCAAAACACGGACAAATTTATGCTTTTGTCCGCATGCAGAATGAAGGGAGGAAAAGCAGACAAAGCCAACACTAGAAACAAAACCATACAAGGCCAACAAATGATGAGGCACGCTGAACCTGTGACCATCGCGAAGTAGGCGTCTCTGACGTTAACCTTGTACCTCGTACTTGGTAAGCCCCGGAGTCGGTTGGCAGTGGCATGCTCAGTTACCAGAAAACGGCGAGCGAAATGCGGAAATCCGCATCGCGGGCCGAAGGGCATGTGAAAGTTTGCATGTCAGGTGACACTTGGACATGTGAAAGCGGCACCGAGACCCTGCGTATTAGGTAAACCTCCAGTACTAGGCAGCTCGGGAGGTACGGAGAACGAGGTATTACTTATATGTAACATATACAAGGCACACAGCACATTCAAATCGAGAAGGGCATTCGCTGCGTTAAGCTGTCGGCAGTCTTTGCACGGGTTCCTCAATTTTTCTTAATGAGACACCTATGTGTGTCCTCCTACCTTGTTTTCGTATTTCCAGACCCGACCCCGCCATTCTTGTCCTGTGGGAATTTGTTACACTGTCGTCTTAATTTTCACGTCTCCCAATATTACCCCTTCCACCCCTGGATTGGATATTCTCACGCAACGGTCTCGAGACATATGGCCAGTATCACACGGATATTTGGATGCGGCCCGACGCACAAAAGACGTTGCATGTTCTCTTTCACTCGCCCCCGAGGATCCTCCACTGTGGCGCTTGTGCATCGAACTACCGTCGACCATACTGCCTTGGACGGCTAGAGAATTAAACAGCTTCTTGCTGACTGCAATCAAGAGAATGGTAAATGATCTCTAATCCAGCCTGTCACTCCTCCTCCGCTGTTTCCGCCACTGCGATTTCCTCCATTGCTGCCGCTTTGGCCTCTTGAGCCATGTCGCCTTAGGTCACTTTGAATGCTCGAATGTCGGTGGGTTTCAGGGCGTTCCAAGTCGTTATCTCGTTGCCTTCGAGAGAGGTAGTCGCTGATTTCTCGCATCTCGCGCGTTCTTTCTGCCAAATTGGGGCGGCCGCCATCCGCGCCCAAGGCACGTGGACTTAACACTGAAGATGCTCTCCGGCTGGTTCTTCGTCTTGAAGGTCCCGGCCGCTGATGATCCTCAGGATCAGTTATGGGTTTCCGACAATGAGGGCAAGTATCGTGCTCTTTCAGCCACGCTGTTACACAGTCGCCGTGAAACCAATGATTGCATGGCAGGACAGTCACCTCATTGCCCAACTCAACATCGTCCATGCATATCGAACATTCGGCCTTGCCTTCTTCGCCTAGCATTTCCCTATCCATCTTCTTCTTGTTGAGAGACAGGATGGCCTCCTCTGACGCCGGTGGAGGCGCGTTAGGACTGAGATCGTGGAGGTCCATGAGGTCTGACATGATTCGATCGAAGGCTTCTTGACTGTGCACTATGTCACCAGCCCGGGCATTCCCAGGGTTGAGCATTTGATGGACAAGGTCGAAAGGCAACGGGACATTGCCTCCCCTTCGTCTGTCGTCAGCGTCTAGACCATGAAGCCCATCCGGTTGCATTGATTGCAATATGAGGGAGAAGAGACTGCGAAACATTCAGCACGTAAACCATCACCGAGCGCATGAAACATACTCTTGCAAACCCGCCGGCTGCAGACGGATGTGAGGGTCATCTAACCCGCCTGCGCCTTGTCCTCGTGGGAATCCGAAGGGGCTTAGAGGGCCAAAGGGACCAGGCATGCCTCGATTCTGTGGTTCACCCGGTCGGGTAAGCAATTGCTCAATCTTATCAATCATTTCACGCAGGTCATTAGTTCGTACATTGCGGCCATCACTCCTCCAAGAACGGGTGCTGAGAACCATCCTTCCAGCTCCACCAGTGGTCGTAAATTCGAACGTTGTAAAATTGGTTCCATCGTCATCATTTGCGTCTTCGGACCATGGATTATGGCTATGTAGTCCACTGAGGGGTGACGAGGGCGGTTCGAGCGACGAGGGCGGTGGCGCCTCTTGTCCAAATTGGTAGGTTGACGGAGTTTCGCTCGGTTCAAGCTGGTTCCTTTCATTAGCATTAAGTCGTCCATGAGACATGATTATGCGCACAATTTCAGTGAAGTCTCCTTCGCATCGCGGACAGGTGAGTCCCCCATGCGCCCTATCCCATTCGTTCTGGCACTGGTGACAGAAGACCCGTTCACCTCGTATTCTTGACATGATGGGGGTATAAGGCTGGTCAAGGGGCTGACTTGAATTGGCGAAGTGTTATTTCGGCCGCGCAGAGGAGTGGGAACGAGGCTATCGTCATGCGCAAGCTGGCCGTGGCGTGGGTAGGCGGAGCGGAGAGTTTCGTGTCAACGAGACAGTGCGTTTGTGGCGGAAGGTAATATTCCGATAATGGTGTCGATCGTACAAGGACAGAATATCCTTCCCGACTGGCCAGAGAGGGAATGCGTGAAATGTTATTAGAGGTATTGATGAATCAAAAGATGGCAGGTAATTAATCAGAAAGCCCAGTAGTTTTCCGTTGTATGCGTGTCAACCGGGTGGGATTGCATCACCGCCACATCACTTGTCCGAAGTTATCGATAAACACACGAGGTTTAATCCCCTTTGTGGAAAAGCAGTGATTGTGGATGAATTGGAGCCAACTGGCGTTTTCTCCAACAAAAATGTTTGCACCAGCTGATCGCTGTATTGGTTTGCTCATGTCCATTATTCGACGCCATTCCAAATCATTCTCCAGACCAGGCATTCTCTCGGTCCCAGGCAATTATCATACACGGCCCCCCAAAGCGGACGCAAAGGGCTCGAAAACAGTGTCACCTCTTCCGTGATCCTCTCATTATTATGCCTCCCACAATGCCTGCAGCAACAGCAACACCGCCAATGATTGCAACACCCATCAAACCCTCCCTTGATACTTTGTCATCGATCAATTGTCGCAGGCTAGCAGCCTGTAGATTTCCCGGCTCCTTCTCTAGCAACAACTCGTTATACCGTCTCGCCTCAGCATAATTCCCCAACTTGTAGTTTCCTAGTGCCAGGTAGTATAAGCATTCTCTTCTTCTTTCAGGGGTTGTCTTGAAAATGTCGGATAGTAGCTGTACGCCCAGTTGTTGCTCGCTTCGCTGGTTTGATTTGATTAAGCCCTACGACTGTCAGTTGCGAAAGCTCTTGCGTCGGGCCAGCGGATCACCATACCCATGCATAGTTGAATTTCGTCTGGACTCCCACATACTCGCCCTCTTTCTCATACTGTGCGCGAAGGACTTGTAACTCTGCCGGTTTGAGAGGACTACAACAGATGGGATCAGCCTGGCTATCTGCGGATGTGAGTGCAGACACTAACCTTTCTGCGTCTGCGGCATATGGCAGATTTGACGGCATCGCGATTTGAGTCGGGCGACTAGCAGCCTTGCGGAGGATAGTGAGACGATAATAAGATTCGAATGGCGATTGCTTGGATGCCTTTTGATCTCGTTGGAGTGGAAAACAGGGACTTGAGGCTTAGCAAATAGAATGGTGGCTTGGGCATGACGTCTGAGTTTCGGCAGGTTGCTCCCCGCGACCACTGTCAACAATGAATGTGAAGTGCAACCCAAATCCCTTCAACTCGACAGCAACCCCTTCACACAAGCACTGAACCTTTTGGCCAACGTTGCTCACAATGCTCCTTGACGAAGACCCGTCGACTGTAAGTGCCCTCTCTTTTAAAGGTGAAGGCCAGCCTGACATGATGCAGCTCATCCGCGCAACCATTTCGAACTTCAATATTGCACCCGACAAAGCCGCTCTGTCGCGTGTCAATGACTCCTTATCCACCCTACAACAATCCCGCGAACTTCGGATTCGAGACGCTGAGAACGCTCTGAGAAAGTTATCTCGTCATTTGGCAACTTTGTCTTCGCAGCATCGAGAAGTGCTCTCCGGCCATGACAGCGGTAGACATACCAGCGAGATTGTGCAACTCGACACTAAGAAATTCCGAATCGCCAAACAGGCCTCGGAGCTAGAAGCTGAGAGCGAGAGACTTGAAGCGGAGCTTGACCGGTTGAAGATGCGATTGTCCTACTTAGAAGCACAAGGTGTCGAAGGCGACGAGAATACGCGGCAGGCCCGCGAAGTTGATGATCCCACCATGTGCGTTGGCTACCGTGAGATATAGGAACCAGTGCTGACTTGCGAGTAGACTGCGCCTTTGGCTGTACAGATCACTCGGAATTGCCTTGGAGCAGGATGAAGCAGGAAACTACAATAAGGCGACAATTGCAAACACGAAGAAGGGCGATGTGCATGTTGTCAATATCGACCCGAAGTTCTCAAAGTGGTTTTACGCCGACTACTTCTGGCAATCTATGCAGAGTTGACTTCTGTTGTCTGTCACGACTTTACGAAGCATTAAGCGAGGAGTTTTCGACTGGGGACAGTGGATGAGATTTTGTAGTCGGCGTGATTTGACTGCTTGCAATTTCGAAACGTCCTCCTTGAGACAGAGCTGTTGGAGGGAGATGTATTTGCCGTGGCTTGGATGAAGCTGTCTGGCTGCCATTTCCGAGTGCTGGAGGCTGAGCATTCCATCTTTCCAACTTCACCTCAACAACCCTTCCTTCTATATACCAGGCGGTTGTACCACCCTAGCTCGGATCTATTAGTGATTTCCAGTTTTCCAGCCCATCCCACTACATGGAACAGATTCTCCCACGCATTTTCTCAAAAACCACTTTTATCCATCCGCCATATTGTAAGAGCTCTTTAACAGACGCATGACAAAAAGTGGCACAGATTCTTCAGTAATACCTAGTGAGTTGATGACCAGAGGCACACAATATGTATGAAAGGCTGAAAGATTCTCGTTTTCGCGTTAGGTCATCGGAAAATATCAGCGCGGGCTTCGGAAAAACTCAATATTCCCGGTCCGGCGATCCTTGTCTACATAGCTGCGACATGCACGAAATCTTTCGATCCATCCGACCAGTGTCGACTCCATCTTTGACGATGCCGCGCAAACCGTCGACGCCGCTTAAGGTGAAGAAGAACTTTTTGGGCGAAGTGGTGAGTAAAGATAGGCCCTCTCTGTCGAGGTAATTCCTGACTGTTTGCGCAGAAAATCCGACAGTCATGGAACAAATACAACCTCTACAACTTGGCACGGCAGATGCCTTACACGGGAAAACCACATAACTTTTTCAAACAGAAATGGACATCAAAGTCGTTGGCGCGTAATTATCATGGCGAACACGTCCGTGAGAAGCAGTGGTTGCGAATGTTCGACAGGAGGATCCGATCAGTGATCCCTATGGACGCAGAATATCTGGCTTCCAATGATGGCTCGCTGGAGTCTGCTGGTCGTGGATCAGGGTTGGAGACAAGAGGAAAGCAAAAGACGACAACAGCGATCCCGTACATGCAAATGACATTTGCGCCGATGGAGCGGAGATTAGACACGGCCATCTTCAGAGCTATGTTCGCAAGTAGCGCTCGGCAAGCCAGGCAGTTTGTTGTACACGGAGCGGTGACGGTCAATGGCAAGCAGGTGAGGACGAGAATGCCGGCTTCCATTGAGCAGACTTAACGCCATGAACAGATGCGATACCCGGGCTATTTACTTAACCCTGGAGATATGTTTCAGGTTGAACCAGAACGAGTTATGTGGGCGACTGGAGCACCCAAAATCCCGACAAAGGTGAAGAGCGAAGAGGGGGCAGATGAGGGGAACAGCGAAGAAGCAGCAGAAGCCGCCGAGGAAGGAAAGACCGCTGAAGAAGCGGCTGAAGACGACGTCGATGTCGATAGAGATCCGCGAGAGGTACTGAAGGACCTACGAGCAAAAGCAAAGAGTATCCTTGCCATATCGAAACGAGATATCGGAGCGAAGCGGAAGCAGGACCTTCGTGGATTTTCCACCGCCATCAAAAAGCTGCTCTCACGATCCTCATCGTCATCAATCCTCACGGACAGCCTCGAGGCTCAGTTTACGGAAATCCAACACCAGCTAAAAATCCGGAGAGAAAACCAAGATACCGGCGCAAGCGCCCTGCCTTCTGCACAAGGGGATAAGAAACCTTCTTCTGAACCAAGTCCAGAGACAGGAAAAGCGGCCGAATCGACTACCCCCGAACTTGAGCAGGAGACAATTCTGACTGACGCTGATTACAACGAGCTCTACGCTGCACTGCGCTCCATGCACGAGAACCCTGTTGATGACTCCAAACCATATGCTACTCCCTGGATGCCACGTGAATACATGAGTGCATTTGCCTTCATCCCACGGTTCCTCGAAGTCAATCACAACATCTGCGCGGCAGTATATCTGAGACACCCCGTTGCAAGGCCAGGATTAGCCGAGGTCCCCAGCCCTTACCAAGCTGACGTCCATAGCACGGCATTTGCATGGTATCTGAGAAGGAGATGATGTCCTTGTGTGAATGCTGAGTTGGAAATTTGTACTACTACTGTCATTGCGCATAGCGATAGGCGCAGTCTAGCCTTGTGCATGAGAAAAGTATCTCAGCCATAAACTGGTCGTCTTCCACTTTTAGGCATCTCTATCATCCATCTGCCCAGCGTCTACTCATGATGACAATCATACAATTACAACAGAGGGTTGGACCGATATTCCGGGGCTGTTTCACCGTTGATTTCCGGCTTCTTCGCCTGTTTTTCCTTCTCAATGTCCAATTCGGAATCCTCCAAGTCCGCTAAGTACTTCTCCGCTTCGAGAGCTGCTATGCATCCGCTTCCGGCACTGGTGATGGCCTGGCGATACCGTTTGTCCTGCACATCTCCAGCCGCGAACACGCCCGAGATACTGGTGTAACTTTTGCCGGGCTTCGTCAGAATGTAGCCGTCTTCGTCTGTATTCAATTGGCCCTTGAAAATTGCGGTTGCCGGGTCATGACCAACGGCGTAAAACAGTCCATTAGCTTCCAGGACTTCCTCTTCCTTCGTGACCACGTTCCTGATCTTCAGATGCGTCATTAGTCCTCGTGGTTTGTTTTCTCCTTGTACCTCGACTGCAACATGATTGAATTTCACCGTCACCTTTGGATTTGCCAGCAATCGTTTCGCCATGGTTTTCGAGGCCCGCAGCTTGTCCCTCCTCACCAGCACGGTGACATGGGAACCGTATTTGGCCAGGAACATGGCCTCCTCTGCAGCCGAATCACCGCCCCCAATCACCACGAGCGGTTTGTTGCGGAAGATGGGGACAGCGCCGTCACAAACTGCGCACGCCGATATACCGTTTTGCCAATAAGTCTCCTCGCCAGGTAAATGTAACCGTCTCGCATTGGCGCCGGTCGCAATGATGACCGCATCCGCAGTATGTGCAGGCTCGTCTGATTCTCCATCTTGGTACTCTCTCCACAAACGAAACGGCCGTGATTTCAGGTCGACCCTTGTGATTGTTTCGGTGATGATCTCTGTGCCGAAGCGGAGGGACTGTGCTTTCATCTCTTCCATCAGCTCGGCACCACCAATGCCCTTAGAGAAGCCTGGATAATTCTCCACGTCGGTGGTGGTTGTTAATTGGCCTCCCGCTGCGGTACCCCCGGCGAGGAAGCCTTCGTATAGGACGGGTTTGAGCTCTGCGCGGGAGAGATAGATCGCAGCTGTGTGGGCAGCAGGGCCGGAGCCAATAATGGCAACCCTAGTGTGAGGGGGCGCCATGGCGCGCAAAAGCGAGGAAGAAAAGCTCGCTTTAGCTGGTGGCTGTTTTTTTTCCAGCGATACTGATGCAGCGGCAAGGGAGAGACTGAGGGACGAGCGCAGAGGTCGTGAGACGCGGTGAAGCTTCGAGTAGAACAGTTTGACGGATGAAGAAGAAGGTTTGAGGGAGAACGTGTTTTGCTAATGTTTTCCGAGAGACCGAAAGAGAGGGAGACGGATGAGAGTACGGTAGGATTCCAGCCACGTCGATTGACAAATTGTATGAAGTTGTCCGTGTGCTGGATTGCAAATCGCCAGAAACTGCGGCGGCCAGTGGCAGCCCAGGTAGGCGGCGAGTGCGGGTCGAAGGGTCGAAGCGAGCAACCATAACTTCGAAAGCTGGGGGCCTGCCGCTGGCGGAGCCAGGGGGCTGGTGGGCTAGGGCTTAAAATTCCTTCCTGAGCAGACTCTCTTCGCCAGCCTTTGATCACGGCATCATCGATCCTCCAAGTCCAAGTCGGCCCTTCGTTCTAGTCAATAACGCAATTGGTTTTGATAAAGCATTTCCACTCTTTCAGCTTGTCAGCCGTGAACCGGTATTGAAGGCATTTCACCCATGAGACGGTAATGGGTTTGTTCAGTGCATTGTTCCACCCCAAGAAACTTCCCATGCTTGTCGTCACCCTTGATGCTCTTGGAACATTGTACAATTTCCGGCAGCCAGTGGCTGTGCAATATGTACAAGTCGCCGAGAGTTGCGGGCTCAAGGCCCGAGTCGATCTCAAAAAATTGGATCGCTCATTTAAATCTTCCCTCAAGCATTACAACGCCGCGCACCCCAACTATGGCAAGAAGACCCTAGGAAGTCCTGAGATATGGTGGACGAAAGTTGTCAACCGGGCATTTGGCGACCTGGTGGAAGGGGGAGAGGTAGCGCTGCCAAAGGATTTGGGGCCTGCTCTTTACAAACATTTTTCCTCCGGTGCTGCTTACGAACCATTTCCCGACGTAAAGCCCTTTCTCCAGAGCATGGCTTCACTCAAGAAACAGTTTGCTCATCCAGAAGGGCCGCTCGTGGCGACTGGCATTGTCACAAACTCCGACCCTCGAGTCAGAGTGGTGCTTCAGGACATGGGTTTCCGCACAGGACCTTCGAGTATTCCAGACTTCGAAAGCGTGATGAAAACGCATATGGACAGTCTCCGCGATCCGTCCAAATTGGCCTTCGACAGTCCCTTCAAAGACTATTACAATCTCCAGAACGACTTCGACTTCCTGTGCACGAGCTACGACGCCGACGCGGAAAAGCCGGATGAGAAAATTTGGCTCGAAGCCCTGAGGCTTGTTTTTCCGATGCCTATTTCTCGATCTGAACAGAACTGTGAGCCAGCGTCCAGCATAACGGATGCATTTAGAAAAGTGTCGTCGGCCATCAGCCATCAAGTCGATATTTCAAGGACGCTGCGGATTCACATTGGAGATGAGTACGCAAAAGACTATGTTGGCGCGATCGGGGTCGGCTGGGAAGCTCTTCACCTTGATCGAGAAGGCGGCGGGCCAGCATTGAGGAGCGATGTCAAAGTCGTCCAATCGCTCGAGGAGGCTGCCATGGTGGTAAATCTGATGGCCCACGAGTATTTCGGTCAAGATTAAGACTGACAGCTTAGGGCCTTCAAGCCCTTATATCTGCCAGCGGCTGAAGTGTATTCCCTCCTGGGAGGGAATTGCATCTGGATCCATTGGACCGAAAAGGGAAGCATGTGATTCGGGTGACCAGAGTGTCCACAGGGTCCACGTCAGTGGATCAGGAACAGTCATCGCCCAATGAGAAGATCCGGCAGTGACTGGATTCTGCAGCCTGCTTAGAGCTTCTCCATCGCATGACTGACATCACTTTCTGGTCAACGTTGATTGCCGAAATATTCTTTCTCTGTGACCTCGTCTCGCTCTCGTCACAAAAACTGAAACGAGTATCCAATAACTATGGCAAGTCACAAGGGCAAATTCGACCACCTTCCGCTCGCCAACAAAGGCCCGCTCAAAGTACCTCTCCACGGCCGCGTCCTTCTGGATAACCCATTCTACAACAAAGGAACATGCTTCACGACCCAAGAACGTCTGGACTTCGGACTCAAGGGCCTCCTGCCGACCAATATCCAAACACTTGACGAACAGGTCACGCGAGCCTATCAGCAATACTGCAATCAACCAGATGATCTCTCCAAGAATACCTTCATGACCTCCATGGCCGAGCAGAACACCGTGCTCTACTATCGTTTGATTCAAGACCACCTGCGCGAAATGTTCAGTGTCATCTATACTCCAACAGAGGGCGATGCGATTGAGAACTACTCTCGAATCTTCCGAAGGCCTGATGGTTGCTTTTTGAGCATTAAACATCCGGATGAGGTGGAGGAGCGCCTGAGCAAGTTTATTAGAGAAGATGACCCCGAGGGGGGTGTTGACTACATCGTTGTCAGTGATGGGGAAGAGATCCTGGGGATCGGCGATCAAGGGGTTGGAGGCATCTTGATCAGTGTGGCCAAGCTGGCTCTGATGACAATCTGTGGCGGATTGCATCCAGACCGAACCCTTCCTGTAGTCCTCGACACGGGAACAGACAACGAAAAGTTGTTGAATGATGACCTCTATCTCGGCCATCGTTTCAGACGTGTCCGAGGCCAAAAGTATGACGAGTTTTGCGACAAGTTCGTCCGCACAGCCAAAACGCTCTATCCAAAGGCTTATGTCCATTTTGAAGATTTTGGTCTTCCAAATGCTCGAAGGCTGCTCGACAAATATCGGGGTGAGTTCACCGTTTTCAATGATGACATTCAAGGGACGGGATGCGTGACTCTAGCTGCGATTATGGCCGGGCTGCATATCAACGGAGTGAAGATGACGGACTTGAGAGTGGTTGTTTTCGGTGCTGGGACTGCTGGTTGCGGAATCGCCGAGCAAGTTCAGGCGGCCATCGCCACGCAGTCCGAGAAGAATAAGGAAGACGCTGCGAACCAGATATGGTAAGGCTTTCCTTATATCATGGAGGAGGAGCTGACTGTCCAAGGTGTGTCGATAAGCCAGGTCTGCTCCTCGACAACATGGTAGATACCCTCTCCGTCGCACAGAAACCTTTTGCGCGCAAAGCCTCTGAATGGCAAGGCAAAGACACCAAATCCCTGGAGTCGATCATTGCCGAAGTCAAACCTCACGTCCTGGTAGGGACGTCCACGGTCCCTGGCGCCTTCACAAAGGACGCTGTCAAAGAGATGGCAAAGCATGTCGAAAGGCCTATAATATTACCGCTCAGCAATCCTACGCGTCTACATGAAGCCAAACCGGAAGATCTCATCCAGTGGACTGATGGTCGTGCTCTCGTTGCTACGGGCTCGCCGTTTCCGCCAGTCAATCACAATGGTAAGGAGATCGAGGTGGCGGAATGCAACAACTCAGTCTGCTTCCCTGGGATCGGCTTGGGCGGCGTGTTGTGTCGGACCAAACTGTTGTCGGATAAGATGCTCGTGGCGGCGGTGACTGCGCTAGCCAAGCAAGCTCCGGCTATGCATCATCCGGAAAAAGCCCTTGTTCCAGGTGTCGAACAGGCCAGACCAGTCAGCGTCAAGATCGCGATGGCAGTGATTCGATGTGCGGTAGAGGAGGGACTGGCGCAAGAGGTAGACATTCCTGTTGACTCTGATGAGGAATTACAGGAATGGGTAGAGGCACAGATGTGGGATCCGGTCTATCGTCCGTACGTGAGGGCTTGAGACGAAGAAGAATATCCGTTTAGGATTTTGCGGGTGTGAATAAGAATTGACCCTGCGCAAGACAAATCGTGGGCTTGCATTGGCTCTATTTGGCACTCTTCACCGCCAGTGGTCAAATAGAAGTTTATCTTCATTACACGTTCGCGCTATACGCCAACATTGAATGCACATACAATTTGTCGCAGACTGACGTTGGGGATTCCTGTCCCAGTCGAAGACTGTATCAAGTTCGGCTTTGAGAAATCCAATGATGCGAGTGTAGCAGGGGGGTTTGATGTTGTTCTCACAGTTCGCCGCTGCGGATCACGGTCGAGTGGCCCAAGAAGACTCTTTTTTTGAGCTACAGGAGATGATCTCTGGCTTCCAAAGTAGTGACGTGAATGTTCTATCCTCCGCGTGCCCGAAATATATCTCCGACGAGGAAGACAATCACGTACCAGAACCAAGGGGTCTAGGCGGGAAAGCCATGCCGTAATCTTGACTGTCTCTGACTGTAAAACGTCAACCCCAGGTCACTGCGGCGATATTAATGCTTCAAGCCGCTCGATCACGACATCATCGACGTCGAGATACCCGCTGGCTCTGGTTTCGGCTCGTCGACGGTTCGACCGTTCAAATGGAAGCCTCAGAGCATGGCCAGGAAGTGTTGGGGTAGTGTGGAAAGCAGTGATGAGGTTTCCCACCTCGCGTTTGAAATCAGCCATCGGCCTGAACTTTGCTGGATCGATGGCCATAATGAAGAACCCAAACTCTTCCAGATTTGGTGGCAGTGCAGGGGAACCAGCCAGAATCCCCAGCAGCTGAACCGCAATAGCTAAACCACTACCTTTTGCACCGCCCCAAACCGCCAGAGCTCCCTTCAGCGCCTTCTCGGGATCGGTCGTCATTTCTCCGTTCTCATCGTAGGCTGTATCTGGTGGCAATTGTTCATTCTTGCGCATGGCCAGCATCACTTGCGCGTGAATGATCCTGGAAGTCCCAATATCGTAGATGATGGGGACGCCATCAGTGGGGATCCCGATGCAGAAAGGATTGGTGCCAACTAGAGGTTTGTATGTCCCCTGCGGGGCCACCCAGGGGCTGCAATTCGATGCGATGATGGTCACAAGGTCCTCGGTCGCAGCCATCTCAGCATAATACGACAGCATTCCGGTATAGTATGTGTTATTTGCTCCTACGGCTGACACCCCAGAAGCTTTGGCCTTTTCGATGGCCACTTTTGTCGCCTTGTGAGCCACCAGATAGCCGAGACTGTCCTTGCCATTGAGCTGGGCTGTCGTGGGCGATTCCAACGTCACCTCGACGGAAGAAGATGCCGCCTTACCAGATATTCTGTCGGCGATGCTCAGTATTCGTGCGAGTCCGGCGATTCCATAACCTCGCAGCTCGCTGTCAATCAGATGGTCACGAATGATAGGAATATCTTCTTCCTTGTACCCGAGCTCGCGCAAAGCACGGTCCGCTAGCTGTTGGGCTTCCTCAAAGGCGATTTTCATCTTGGATCGGCGGAAAATACAGGAAGTATCAAAAGTGCCGCGAGGCCGTCAGCAGAGAGATCTCAGTCTCGATATTAACAAGATTGTGTCGTGACGAAGGGAACTTGAGCAGTACAAATCCGCATCTGATGATCCGAGTTGGGGAAATTTGGAGAGCAAATGACATCGGATCCGATGACGCTAATTTTTCAAGCCGGGTTTCACATTATCATTCTAACGTACTCCAAATCTCACCACCCTCAACCGCCCTTGGGAGGTATGACAGCCGCTCTTCGAGGCATTCGTAATCGAATTGGTAGGAATCTTGCTGCCATCTGAGCAGACACAATATGCCCAGCCGCATTGACTAGCGCACATTCTCACAGGTATCACAGCTCTATTCTGGGCTCCAAGCGGTCAGTTAAATGCCCGGATGTCTTGAATTGGAGCAGGGATGCGATTCCTTCTCTGCAGTTGGAGCCGCCGAGGCGGGAGCTTGAGAAAGCCTTTCCCATGGCCATCATCAAAGGCGTCTGCAATTATGCTGACAGCCACAAGAACAAGATTTGGAAGAAATTTGCTGCGGCTGCGGCTTGTATGAAGGCTTCTCTTCAAAATTGGCCGCGAGTTGGTAAAGATGACAACACAGCTCCACTCCTTCACATAGACTTGAATGTGGTTGCGAAGCGTTCTGACGGGGTAGTGCTAGCAGATCAGACCATCAAAGGAATGTTTCACACAAGGCTTTGCCTGTTCTTTGTAATTATACTCTAGATATTGCAGAAAGGTAAAGGTCTATGCCTTGTATTCGTGGTCGACACCGTGCTGAACTTATCGAGCGCATAACTAGAATGGCAAACGATGGGAATACCTGTCCGTGATCTTTCTTGATCGTTGACACCAATATGGACAAAGGGGGACACCTGCAAATCAAGTAGATGGAAATGCATAGGTCGGAAGAGACCACAACAGAAGTGTTTGAGCGGGATTCAAATCATGCTCTCACAGGCGGAGAAGGTGGCACAAGGTGCAACGGCTCATTCCATGCTATTACTCGGCGGGATTGGGTTTATAACGGATGGGAAACGTCCTGGCTCCTCCTGCCTTGACTCAGTAGAACGGCGATAGATGTTCATGCCTGTTTCCCTTTCTCTTATCATCATTCTCAGCTTCGATAAGTTCCTCCAACGTCAGGGGGAAATAATCTGTCTTGAGATCCTCTCTCGCTTCTTCATCCAAGAGGGTAATATGGTCAGACGTTCCTGTCCGGTCGTCGTATGACCAGATGTTCATGTTTTCGTAGTTGTACTCTTCATCGTAAACTCCGTACAAGGGGAAGTTTTGGGAGTAATAACGGTACTCTCCATCGTTTTTGACCATCCACATCCTGCAGATGTTGTCTTGCATGTGAAAGCTGGCCACGCCCAGCCCTTCGTATGGCGGGGGACAACACCTCAAGGGACCGGGCACTCGATAGGGCATATTTAGACGCTCATCATGCTCAGGGGCGTCCTTGTACGTGGTGAATGGCTTATTCTTTTTCCACTGGCAGGTCTTCGCAGGGTTTTTTCCTTGCGAGTCCCATTGCGCACAGAAATCGGTCCATTTCGCGAGTGTAGCCTTAGCAAGCCTTTCACAGGTAGGTTCCAAATAGGGGTAACATATATTGAGCGTTCGGTTAACTAGATAATCACCCCAGCCGACTGGAACTATGTCATAACAGCCTACTGGTATGATACTTCGTGAGACTTTTGAAGTGGCAAGTGTCTCTGTAAGTTGACCGGACCTGGAAGAAGGTAGCGTCGTGCTCGTGAGGGAAGCGCTTATGGTGGTGAGGAGAGGGATCAAAGCCGATACGGCGACCATCCTGGGTTGAATTTTCATAATGGCAGTGATTTTTTGCTGTGCTATGCTGTGCATTTATGGCCTTCAACTCGGTGTCTGCTTGTGAATCGCCGGCTAGAGAGTTCTGAAATATATATGTATGTCCAAGCACATTCAAAGTTTTCGTTGATTTTTCGTTGGGTTTCGTTTGTCGCCATTTGACCGTCGAACCAGTGGAACTTGTGGGTCATACTCCGTGCTGGGCACATATCGGCATAGCCTTGCAGTGGCTCATCCCGCCAAGAAGCCTCGAGCCCACGAGCCAGCCTTGCCAGGCCTCCCTCCTCCGACCTCTTGCAACCTCTTGCTGATTACAAGCCCTGCACCTGCAATCTTCCCTGCCCACCCTTATCCATGGAGCTTATTGCTTTTTCGCAGCTCGACCTGATAGACTCCCTTACGAGGTCAGCTTGTGGTCCGAAGGGAATATCTTTTCTTATGTCAAAGGGAGAGTAGCTTCGACGGCTGCTCGAGAGAGGCTCCCGTGACGGAACCCGGCTGCCAGGATTCTCGAGTGAATGATTTATTCGACGAGGTACTATTTCCCAAAGTTTTGAGCAATCAGGCTAAATACGTCGTTGCTAACAGCAGCCAACCTCCCCACTGTGTGACCCCTGCCCGATGGACCAGGGTCGTTCAGCTCATGAACGGGTCGTACAAGATCCACGCCAACTTCGAGCACGGTACCCCCAACATTCTCTTTCTTTGTGATTAGGTCGATCATTGTCTGCGCGACCTTCTCAGCAGGCACCCAGGCATCGGTCTCTTCGTCCATCCAAACCAGTTTATCAGTCGTCCAGAGAGGGGTCTTGACGCAGCCAGGGGCCACAGCGTTCACTCGGATATTCAGTTTGGGCTCCAGGTCCGCCAAAGACCGAGTGAAACCCGACATGGCATGTTTGCTTGCCGCGTACATCGGCGTTGGCATGAGTGCAAGCTGCGCTGCGATCGAGGCCACAATGACCACGACTCCGTGACCTAGCTTCTGGCGGAGAAAATAGTCAATAGCCAGTTGCGTGGCTCGGATCGGATGGGTGACGTTGATCTCCAATGTCTGATATGACGAGGAAGCAATTGTGTCCTTTCCAGTGTTGAAATGCCAGAAGTTGGACCAGGGCTAGGTGCGGTCAGCAAACACCAGGTGCCGAGTTTGCCTTCGTGTTACGTACGGGCTCAAAGACGCCTGCTCCGGGGACGACAATGTCAAGTCTGCCAAATTCCTTCATGGCGAAGTCGAAACTGGCCTGCAACTGATCCCATTTTGTGACATCTGTTTTGATGAATTTGGCCTTCACTGGACCGGAGCTTGACTGTTTGACCACCTCTTCGGCCTCTGGCCGCAATCCCAAGTCGACGACAACAACATTACTTCCTTCTTCCAACAATTTCTTGACAAGTTCCAAGCAGATGCCCGAGCCTCCACCGGTCACGAGCGCTGTTTTGCCTTGCAGATTTAAAGCCATGCTGTAAGCCTCGGAGGGAGCTGCGAGTTGAAAGATTGCCTAGAACACGCAAGGATTATGGACTTTATCTGGAGAAGGAGGCAACACATTTATAGGTCAGGGAAATCAAGCGGAACCGCTCTCGCGGACCGGCGCGACATAGACCTCCTCACACGTATGGACACGCAGCCATGTATCGCGTGAGATCTCACGGCTTTCAGTAGTTCAGAGGCCCAGGTCCGAGTGCACATATCTCAGTGAGCTGATTGGAAGTTTTCTTTAGGGGAGGTCACGTCGTTCCGCCTCACAGTTCAGCAAGTTGCTCTGGCTGGAGCAAAGCGGGCCCAACTGTCCTCTCGCACACGGCAGCGACTGCACAAGTCCCTGAAAAAGACTTTTAGTAGCAGCACAAAGATGAGGGGAACTGCGGCAGAGCGGAACCAGTAATAGAAGCGGGGTTAACCCAATTGTGTTCGAGGATAACGCCCTGAGACGTTTCGCGTTGTGCATAGAGGACTCTGAGCAGGAATTGTCGTCTCTATCGTATTCGCCGATATCTAGCGAAGTACCAGAGATCTTTTTGGGGAGACTTTGTCATGGTATCACAGAGGCTGTCTGTTCTCGAAGTCAGCAGTGGTTGCCAGTTTCGGTACTGCCTCAGAAGAAAGAAGTCGGTCGAGCTTGTTGAACTCGCTCTCATTTGATCTGGTTTAGTTACCACTATTGCGTACGACCCTTGTAACTGAATGAGCCGCGACTGGCCCGGCTTCCCGGCTCACTGTCGCATATCCTCTAGATTATCTGATGACCCGGCCAAACTCGTGATGGAGAACCAATTTGAGCGGGCACCCCGCTTATAGGCGGGATAGCCCCTTTCGTTCGTATAAATGTCCTGGTAAAGGTTTCGAAGTGGTGATTCATTCGTCGGATGCAACAGGAGGTCAATAACAAGTCCTTCCTGAGAAAGTACACGTCAGAGTCGCGCGCCATGGTGCCTAACTCAAGGTAAGAAGTGAGTGTGGATGGTGTAGCCTCTTAGCAGCCGCGTCCCCCCAGCGTGGCGGTTCTTCGCGGTACCTTCGCACTGCAAGTCACTATGCATGGAAACCCGCTTCAGAGGCTTTCAAAAATCCTGAAATGCTTGCAATATCTGAGGAAACTCCCTTGAAAAAGAGCCCTTTAGTTTCAAAGAGCATTTTGAGGGCTTTAGCCTGGCCGAAACTCCACGGAACTATTTTCATCTCGCTCATTTTTCCAATACCAAGCCCGTTGGGATGCGGCAAACGAATTACGCACAGGGTTAATTACTCTAGCAAGCCAGGTGCTAGCTCAGGGCAAGGTTAAGATGCCTGGTCTGAGCAGGAAATGCTGGCGACCTAACGTAAAATGTAACAGGCGTCAGTTCGACCACTTTTCTTCCTAGGTCGCCCGCGGCAAAAAGGTCGTGCAGGTAGATGATCATCGAATGGCTCCTACTTCTCGGTTGAAGGCAGGCAAGGGCGCCCGGAAGATTATTGTCAACTGTGCAACAGCTCGGCATTTGAACAGAAAAAAATTCTCCCTTACAGGAACACGTCACCAGTGAAGATATTCCACGGTATAATATAGATTCCACCTCGGTATTCCCGACATGGCCCAACTGGTGGATCTGACGCAAGGCACCGACCCTCCTGGATCTCCATACAAAGCCCGATGTGGATTCGACATAATGTTATTTCCCTCTCCGAGATCCCCGATACTACTGTGGGTCAAACAACGGGATTCTGTCCATCCCAGCCTTATCCGGACTTGGCGGTCATGAGAGAACCACGAGAGGCAACACTGACCTGCCCCACCTAATACATCTATTAGAGAAGTATTCAAATGACTGATCGAAGTCCTGCTCCTGAAATCAACATGTGTATTACTTCAATATCTCAGAATCCGATCTGCAGTATAGGTTCTTCCTTTGAACGTTCACGAGAGCAGTGGATCAAAAGCATAATGAATACAGTACGTACTCCCAGATTAATGGCTTAATGGATGCAGTCCTGACATATCTCATCTCAGATAGGTTCTGTGGGGTAAGTTTAACAGGAGGCTCGCTAAGCTATAGAAATCTTGATCGGCATGAGCCTGACTGGAGGATTCTAGGTATGGATGGCTCGCGTTAATAGCGGCAGGAGCCGGAGCTTTCTATTTTGCCAAAAAATCAATCAACACCGAACGATCTTCGAAATTTGAAAGTATGAGGCAGAGGAATGTGAGGCTTGCCCATGCAAGAGTGCCTGGGGTGACTAGAGAGACACGAGAAGCATCAGGTGCAAAAGCAGGAAGGGCAAAAGTCGTCGGAGGCTTGAAACAGGACAGTTGTCTGTGACAACCCGGATTGATATCGCTTTATTACCCAAGCCAATCTAGGAGAATGTAAGAGAGCGAGTAGTGTTCGATTTGTTTATCTTCATTGTCGCGAAATAGTCTCTTGGGGGAGGTATTGAAGGAGGTATTGGACTTTCTGATCGGACAAATATGAGCCTTGGTCCTTGGCAGTCTTTTCCAATCTTCACAAGTAGCCGAGGAAGTGACCATGGCAAGTCTTGGGCCATGGAAATGCCGCAGCGCATTGAGGAGTGATGAACGGCGAGTGGCGTGAAAGGAGTGGGAAAAGTGGTCATCCCCGGTGGTCGCCGACCAGTGATTTGCCAGAGTATCCGATTCTGAACGAACCAAACAGGGTAGTTTGTTCACATTCTACAAGTATATCTCGCCTGGCTCACAGCGAATTTGTTTCCAACAATTTGAAGTAGAATCCATACGAAAATCACGACCTCTATAATACAATGCTCTCAGATGTTCTAAGGTCCACGGGGGCGGGCGCAGTTTTCGGTGTCGCCCTGACAATGTCGAGGGTCTACCACCCGTCGGTCATTATCAGCCAGATGCGACTGACTGATTTTCATATGCTTGAAGTTTTCCTATCAGCATGCGCAACCAGTGCGTAAGTGTTGCGGGAATTTTATTTCGCAAGGTTGCAGGTCGCTGACATTATCAGGATTATTATGCTCTACTTTGAGAAATGCGGCATTTCAAAACGATGTGTTCGATCCAACTCGACTCTGAACTGGTTTTCCCACTACGACGCGAATATCATTGGAGGTGCGCTCCTTGGAATCGGGATGAGTCTCACGGGTGCTTGTCCGGGCACGGCCATTGTCCAGCTGGCTCAGGGATTCCGATCAAGCGGACCAACGATACTTGGCCTTCTTCTAGGAGCTTCCTTTTTCCTCAAATTCGGAAAATTCCTGAAAGCCAAGGAAGATCCTGAACGCAAACCCCAGCAGCCTGGCGCTCAGACAATTGCATCAAAGACACACGTTGGCCCTGCAGTTGTTTTCCTGACGTTCGACGCCCTTTGTTTCAGTACCATCATCTTGTCAAGTCTGACACTACCCGGAAGATCCTTTGCCACTATCCCGACAGTGCTCGGAGGCGTCCTTCTAGCCGCCGCCCAAGCATTCTCAATCTATTTTACTGGCAACCCAGTCGGCGTCTCAGCGGCATATGAACATGTCGGGCGATACTTGCTGCGTGGACTCAGTTTCAAAGACATGCCAGAACCTGCAACTTTCCCCAAAGCGATCACTTTTGCTTTGGGAATATTTTGTGGAAGCCTTGTATACACCGAACTCTTACAGCCCGAGGTGACTGTCGGGGCGCCTGCAATTCCTGTTGCCCAGGCGCTGATTGGCGGATTTTCTATGGGTTTCGGTGCAAGATTAGCGGGAGGCTGTACGTCAGGGCACGGTCTCAGCGGTCTCTCAGCGTTGTCGTTTTCAAGCTTGATCACGGTTCTGGCAATTTTCGGGGCAGGCATCATGACTCAACTTTGCTTACCATAGCATGGAAGGTACTTGAATATGTGTAGTATTTGTTTCAAATAAACTCGCGGAGGAGACGGGCAGCGGCTGCGTGATCCCTAGATGATATTGGATATTGTGAACAGGCCAGTTATTGTACCTAGACTTCTAGACACATCGGAGACTTCGTAGATAGGCGGGCAATCTAGACTCGGACTGTACTGTATCCTCTCATGCTGAGATCGAATGGCGTTTTAAAGTATATCTTAACGCGGCTTTGAACCTCTTCGCGATCGGAACTCTCTTGGGTTCTTTTAATAAGACAGTTTGTTCACAGATGCCGAGATCCGAGGAAGAGGCGATTGGAGCTCTGTGATGTAGTACTCCTTCACAGTTGCGCAAGGTAGGGATATTGTCGAGAGGGGTGGAGGGGACAGAGGTGGCATTGAGCTTGTAACAGTAAGTGAACTGCTCGCGTCGATAGCAAGAGAAAAAAAGCCGGCAAACTTGCCACGAAAACATCTGAAATCAACTCCACTGATCAGAATTGTGAGAAATTCACATGATGGTACGATTTGATTATGTACTCGGTACAACAAAGTTCGACGCGCAAAGTCAGGAAGCTGAACTCGACGATCGTGCACACTTGAGAAATCATCAGTGTTCACGCTTTTATACTCTCTATCTCTCAAGCATTCGCATTGCTCTGTGATGCTGAGCCTGTCGACAATCATCTGCAGTGCGACTCAATCTTCATCATTTGACGCAAAGAGATCAAGCGTCAGCCAATACTTAGAAAGACTATGCATACTGCGACCGGCGAGGGGATCATTCCTTCCCCTCATAGCACTGGACAGGCATAAACACAACCTCTATGATGTGTCCATCTGGATCCTCAAAGTTGCGCCCATACATTCCGGCTTCCTGCTCAGCCTTCTTTTGTTCTTCGTTTTTTTCACTGATATCCACATTCATCCCGCTTTCGGCTGCCTTGTTCACCATGTCGTCCACTGCTTCCTTGCTCTCCCGGCTAATACAGAATAGCATCTGCGCTGTTGTCTTTGCATCCGCCATTGACCTGTTCGGCGGGAGAAAACTCTTGAAGAAATCGTGACTGAGTAACATGATTTTGATGGGTGAGTCATGTGGACTTGCGAAGTGGGACGGAATCGGCAGGGAGACCATAGCAGCAGACGGGCTGGAAAAGGTACGGTTTTGAACAAGGCCGAGTGAGGTGTAAAAGGCAACAGAACGGGGGAGGTCGCTGACCGCGATGTTGAGAAAAGTGGTTTGGGCGTATGGCATGGTGGTGATACCTAGGTTGCTTGTGGAAGTGGTGGGAATATCAGTGAAGTGTTTGGTTTGGGAGGCCACTCGAGCTTATTGTCGCTGCGTAGTCGATGCTGGTAGTTGTTCCATTGCTGAAGTTCTTCATATCTTCGAACTCTCCTCGGCATCGGTGCAACGTGAGACCGGCGTATTCGGGTTGCCCTTGCTTGGCCAGCGTCTCTACCAAGGCATACGCGGTTCTGGTTGACGGAAGCCTACGCGGACGCGACACGTTCGCACCTGACCGCCTTAAATAATGGGTGTAGAGCCAAAATGCCAAGGCTTTTACTAGTGTATAGCCAATCAGGTGTTGGAACCACTAACAAGTACTAACAAGTATAGCGCAAGGCAGAAGTGTACTGGGTAGCCCGACCGCGGGTCCAAACGAGTGAATTCGGGATTTTCGGGGATTGCTTTTCGCACTTCTAATCTGCCTCATCTTCGAAAAAAGAAGCTATGACGTTTTAGGATCTGTCCCCTAATGCGCTCATCGACATGGAGATTACATAATAATTTATGTGGCATCTGTCCGGTATTATGGCGTGATCTAGATATGGTCCGTTTTCGTGTTATATTCAAATATTACCACGAAGTCCCCGACTGGGATCAGGTGATAGAATTTATCTCGCGCTATAATCGTAACACTACTTTGTTACCGGCACGAAATGTGGCGTCGAATTTGCAATCATGAAGATCTCAACACTTTAAAAATGATCACCTCCATACCTACGTTGAGTCCACAATATTGCATTGTATTGCGACTTGAGGTCCACGAAGATCACCATGATTTCGGTCGAACAGCCTAAAAACATTGTTATTGTCGGAGGCGTTGCCGGTGGCATGTCGTGTGCCACTCGGCTTCGTCGTCTAGATGAGAAAGCAAATATCATTGTCCTGGAAAGGGGCAAGTATGTCAGCTACGCCAACTGCGGAATCCCGTATGCTTTGGGAAATGTCATCAAAGACGAGGCCAAATTGCACGTTCAAACAAGCGAGAAGATTGCAAGCTGGTTCAACATTGATGTGAGGACTGAGGTCGAACTTGTAGCGATTGACAGGCCAAACAAAGTCATCCATGTCAAATGCGTCGGGAACAAGAATGGCAAGTTGCACTGCGACATCGAAAACATCAGCTACGACAAGCTTGTGCTGGCCCTCGGCGCTGACGCTTTCATACCACCCATGAAGGGCATTGATTCGGAACATGTTTTCACGCTTCAAACTATTCCAGACTTGGAGCAGATTCAGTCATATATTGCAACACACGGGTGTCGGAACGCGGCAGTCATAGGAGGGGGATTTATAGGCCTCGAAGCCGCGGAAAATCTTCGATTGCTGGGCCTGAACGTCACGATCCTGGAATACTTGCCCCATATCTTCCCACCAGTCGACCATGATATGGCCGTGCCTTTGCAAAAGGAAATGGAACGCAATGGAATGCGCCTCCTTTTGAACGCCCGCATTACCGAGATCACACCAACGGGATCTAATAAGCCCAGCCAGATTCTGCTCAATGGGACTGATCCGGTCGAGGCAGACCTCATCATTGTGAGCGTGGGAGTGCGTGCGCGAACCGCTATTGTCGAGGATGCTGGCATCCAGATTGGTAAATCAGGTGTCATCGTGAATGACACAATGCAAACATCCGACCCCGACATCTACGCGGTAGGGGACATGGTCGAAACTCCACATTTGGTGTCCGGACATCCGGTCAGAATCGCCCTGGCCGGTCCTGCCAATCGTCAGGGGCGTCTCGCCGCTGATAACATTTGCGGACTGAGTGCCAACTATCGCGGGAATGTCGGCACGGCGGTTTGCAAAGTCTTCGATTTAACCGTCGGCGTGGTGGGGTTGTCCGTCGAGGCATTGAGATCCATGGGGCGCGGGGACAAAACAAAATATCTGACCATTCATCCTTCACACCATGTGGGATATTATCCTGGGGCCGAGCCGATGGTTTTGAAGGTCGCTTTTGAAGCGGATTCGGGTCGTTTGCTCGGAGCACAAATCGTCGGCAAGCAAGGAATTGACAAGAGAACAGACGTGCTCGCAATGGCAATTCGTGCTGGTATGAGCGTCGAAGATCTGGAACATGTTGAGCTTGGTTATGCTCCCCCATATGGAGCGGCAAAGGATCCAGTCAACATGGCAGGCTTTGTGGGCGGCAACATATTGAGAGGCCTCATGCAACCAGTCTATGCTGAAGACCTCGTCAAGGAAGTCTGTTTCGAAAGCGGTGATGGCACTCAAGAAAGACGTTTGCCCAAAAAGTACCAGGTCGTCGATGTGCGCACCCCTGAGGAGTTCTGCAAGGGTCATTTGATTGGTGCTGTTAACGTTCCACTCGATACCCTCCGGAGATCATTGCATCTGATGGACAGAAGCAAGAAAATCTTGGCATATTGCCAGGTAGGATACCGTGGTTATCTGGCATACCGTATCTTGAAGCAGAACGGGTTTGAAGCTGTCAACCTGAATGGTGGCTTTAAAGCTGTCTGTGTTGGAGGGTATGATTCACTAATCGATTAAGAAAGACAAACAGTGTAATTTTAGTTGGCGCAACATAGCCATGTATAGCAATAATGGCCGTTTTGCATTCCGATATGGTGTTGATGCATCCTCGAACGATTTAATGGGATACTCGGCCACGCAGTTGTCCCGCGAAGGTTCGCAGAGAAGCGAAACTACCGCCGAGACCCCACCTCCTGGCTCGACTGGCATCACAGGACAGTTATCTGAAGTTAATAGTCGCGAGAGAGGTGTAGTTGAGCCTACAAGTACCGCCAACTTATGGTTAAAAGGGCCCGACTGGCCTTAGTTGTTGGTGTGGGTGTGAAGGGCCCAGGCTTTGTCAATGCGTATGAAGTTCGTCAAACTCTCGGAATAGGAAAACCTTTCCACCAACTCGGTCAAATACAAACATGAACAATTGGCCCCCTAACGGCAAACGACCTCAAAACCTGCCAAGGAAGCAACAAAATTCATGCTATGATGACAATGGATCGCTCCACAGCAAAACGAAATAGGATCGTCGCAAGGGGAGAATGGAATATCGTGGAGCAGAATGATGCAGCCAGCTTATAAAGTCGATCCCCAGATTCATTGGGCGGACCGAGTGCAGGACGTGCTGTCTGGCGATGCTGTTGGCGGAGACGTGCTGGAATTGTTTTGAGTATGTAGCCTGCGAGATGACATGGAATCGAGTTTGCGTATTTGAAGCCGACTAACTAGATCTTCAGTCGTATTTCGCTGCACTTCTGTGCAAAGTACGGCGGCCGGGAGAACACTGCAGCAAAGGAGATTCCGGATCCAAGGAACATCAGCAGACGGGGTTGCGAAGGGCCACTATTACCGAATGAGATACCATCAGGAGAGCATTGTCAGCGAGGTAAACGATAAATAATGAGGCGAGTGCGAAAAGGGCGTGAGGAAATTGACATTCAATGTTGTGGGCGTTGCGGCCACTGCAAACAGCGCAAACAAGAAAGACCAGGAAATTCTAACGGTTGGTTGTTGAATGGACATTGACGTTGGACAGGCGACAGATTGAACCTGGTGTTTGGCTGTGAAATGGATGGTTTGCACCCATGGGTCATTCGGATAAGGACAAATAAAGTACTGCCCCATTTTCGCCTCACCAAAAGTCAATGTTGCTTAGACCCTGTCCTACCTAGGTAGCAGTTATTTCCGGGATAGTATTGATTCAACGTCAGATCCCTCAATGTGGTGCTTAATTCACAATCTGTCCTTGCGGAGTATAATTTCCACTCCGATATAAACGCTGGTGTACTGGGCGAGGAAGTGGTAGTATTCCGTCCATTAGTCGTGGCATATGCCCCAAGTAATGTTTCTAGGAACAATAGTATCAATCAGCTGGAGAATCGTAGAATCAGTCGATCAATGCAGGATTTTTGCCTACGCTGTAAATCCAAAACTGATGTCTGCGCTGGGGGCATACCGATGGTCACAGCCTCTGGCAAAGCATCCGCCGGACCAGCCGAGAAGGCGAAACTGGTAAGTAAAAGCCTCTAATCTCGAGATATAAGTTCAGCGTGGTCATCGTTGGGGTTGACAGAGAGGTGTAGTTTGGAAACGACGAATGAACAAATACAAGTGACGGTGGCAGGACGGGAAGATAGGATATTCCAGAGAGTCGGAAGTATGGTGCCAAAGGTTGGTGGGATAATGACGAGCTTGTATTCGGCAAAAGGAGGAAACTGAGATCGGCATGGTGGTTCTAGAGGTGGCCAGGGACTTAAGGCTGATTTCGCGAACGAAATGAGCAGAATTTAGAATCCTACCTGGGTAAGGAAAACGCTGGCGCCAGCGATATATCCTTCGGACCGAAGGGCAAACTCCATGTTTAAACTGAAGGTAAACGGTGCGTCTGTCAGATGACGGCCGATAAATGTCTGGCCGTCCGGTCCCGCGTATTTGCCATCAGAACCTATAAGGTTGAGCTTCGAAGGGCCTAGGCGAAGAGTATTAGTATGTCCTGGCGGTGACATGGTGTAGGAACCGTTGATGGGGATGCGCCGGTGCAGAAGATGGATCGGGAGGCTGGAGCCGGGCGGAAAGATGAGGTGGTTTGCAGCATCTGCGAACGGGCTGATACATCTGATTCAGTATGTGGCAAAATCTCATATTTCACAACGCTTACCCTTCTCCAGCAATGCTAATATTTTTGATCGGCATCTACCATCCTCTCATCGATCCACAAACAGGCTATAATATGGGCCAGTCTCCATTATTCCATGTGACAGGGAATAAGACAGTTTCTCAGCCCATCGTATAGGTGGTATAATTCGAACCAGAACGTCTTGAGAGAAAGGCTCCCCACCAGCTACCAGTAGAGTCTTAGAACAAATCAGTATGCCCGACTGTCTGAAAGTTTGGTGTCGTGTCAGCGTTTTTGATAATTGGATCGGCCGGATTAGGAGTAAAAGTCCGTTGAGCGTCTTAGAACGGGCGACACTCTCCATAGTTGAGCCCAGTGCCCCCTTCGGCGATCATCAAATAATGACAACCATCCTTGAAATATATATGAGGACCTTGTAGCGCGAGACCGCCAGTACCGTTCTAGATGTAGCGAACATTATGCCCGACCTCTCCAGTTTCAAGATCGATGGTTGTCTGAGTTATGCCGGGAGTGACCTGCCAGGGATGTAATCCAGTGGCAAAGACTGTGTAGCGCGGGAAGTTGAAATGAACGGGATTTGACCACGATGAGGAGTCGAAAGGGTCCATTGAGTGGAAAACAATATTGTTCCATCGTGAAAAGTTGGTCTGCACTGCATCTTCGAATAAAATTGTCGTCACAACGAAAAAAGTCCATTCGTGGTAACGGTAGCAGCCCAAATGCCACTGGTTGATTTGTTGGAGATGGCCAGGCTCGGCAGCTGCTTGGGACGATTGAGAACACTGCTAACGAGTTTCCAATTGATCAAATCCTCGGAAGCATGGATGGGAATCTCAGAAAAGACGCTGAAGCTGCTCGACGCGCAGAAGAAAGTGTCATCCCATTCAGACACAAAAATGCAGCTTGGATCAGGGAAGAAATCGTGAAGAACGGGGTTGGGATAGGTAGAATTCAAAAGGGCGAAAGCAAAAGGGGCGAGGGGGGCGACACTCAACAGCGAAAATAAGAAATTGGAAACCATCTTATCTTGTAGCTCTCTACTATGTACCAGCTTGCGGCCGACCATGGAGCCTCCATCCCCAGGCCATAATATATTGCGCGTCAACTGGAGACCGAGCGGAGGTCGTTCCTGTTTCCTGTTAATGAATCCTAGGATACTATCTGCCCTCCGCACGTTGCATCACAACAAGGGCAAAGGGGAAAAGTGGACTAATTACACTTTTCTAATTAGCCACGGCTTTTAATTGGTAGGCAATTAGTCCGTTAAGTATCAATGGTGAAAAATTCCTTCTGTTTTGCTAATATGTTAGACACAGCCTTTTCTGCGACCAGGACTGAGAACCGGGTAGGCAGGTGTGCCGACCCGCGAGGGCCACACAAGCAGGAAACACACAAGGCTGAGGCACGTGACGTGCTCAGCAACGCTCAGTGTAGATCAGTGTGCTCAGGCTGAGCACAGCTGATCACGACTGAGCACGACGGAGCAAGAGGGTACAGGATGTGACTATATAGCT